AAAAAAAAAAAAAAATTAGGCTGCAGCCAGCGCGATAAAAAAAGACAATAAAATCGAACTAGTCCGAAATCCAAAGCCACACGGCTATTACGTCAAGATCTTGAAACCGTTGTCTTGCAGCAAGACAAGCAGGGAAAAAGGATCGCGAGCTAAAGCACCGCTAGGGTCCGTTTGGGTGCTTTAGCGTTGAAAGTTGGGCTGCGCCACCAAAAGCCGTCTCAAAGAGGGCAATTCCGAGGAAAAGCAAAGACGGTCAAGGGAAGAAGCAGAATCCAATCAAGGAGCGGAGGACGAAGGAAGGAGGTTAGAATAGAATTCGGACGATCAACGGTCACGAAGAAGTAATGCAGCGAGTGACAAGGTCACCAAAGTAAATCAAATCAATACCAGGGGTAAGTAAAGATTCGAGAAGTCCTGTGGGATTTATAGGCGATGGAGATCCGAGCGAAATGCCCTTCGGGTTGAAGATCAGGAGAGAGGGCTGTACAATAAATTATAAAATAAATCAATCGACCTATGAAAAATCACAACCTTCACAGGATAGCCCGAGATATTAATTTTCGTTTTAATTTTCTTTTTTTCTCGTTTTTCTTCGGTGCCATCGAGGTAGACGGCGGGCGGGATTGGGGGACCAGATGGAGCCGTCGTATATTATTCTGATGCAGTCATCGAAGAAAAATAATCATTTATTGCCGTATCGCCTGGTTGTGGGTTAATTAGCATGATTTATTATTATTTTTACTGATATTATTATCTTGCGTAATAAGAATTCGAGCCAGTGAAAACTCACGGGGTATTCTCATTGAATTGAAACCACAAGGCAGCCGATCAGGTCTGGATGGATCCTGGGCATCACCGACAGGAGCTGACTTCCTTGGCGGGTGAACTTATGTTTCCTGCGATGGTCATTGGCTTTAAAACGGTTGCTGGTGTTCCAACGGTGGGCTCCGCGTTTCCCGGCTGGCTGCTTCGAGGCTGAACCACTGAAGGAGGGAAAAAATGGTCTTCTCTCATTCGATCCGCGAGCCGAGGGAGAAAAAAGAGTCCGCAAGTCTCCGGGTTTGGTTGATCATTCAGCAAGGGGACAAAGGAGTAAAAAAATTTAGTTGTATCATTTCCCTTGTTGAGAGTCACTCAATTCCCGAACAATCTCCTCATGTAACATCTTGATCTCTCCAATGACTCGCATTGTTGACAAGCACGGGAAGAACGATGACTTGATTACAGGGGTTCGTGGGCCCGTGTCAGAAGAGATCATTTTGATTTTCACTCTTTGCAGAAAAAAGCCACGACAGTTAGAATACGAATCTTGTCGGATTATTGGGTACCAGCTGTGGGCATAAACAGCAGGTCGCTCGAAACGCAACCGATTGATCCACTGACGCCAGTAGCCGAAGTCGCGGAAGTTTCGCATTAATGGAGCGGTGCCATCAAAATCTGGATCTTGGGCCGAACCGTCGCACCAAGAAAGTTTCCACTCTTTCTGGAACGTCGACGGCGAAAGCGCTAGTTTTCTTTTTCTTTTTTTTTCCCTTTCTTTTTCTATTTTTTTTCTTCAACAATTTTTGTCCCTGTCACCCTTTATCTTGCATCTTGAACGGGCATCTCTTGGCGGAAATTGCGGGAATTGTGTATATCAGCCAATTGGATTAACAATTCAATGAAAATGAACGAGAGGAACCCTAGAGCCTGCTCTTTTGTTTTGTCTCAACGACAGGAGCCAAAGAGTCCCATGGGAGGTTAAAAAAAAAAGGGGGGGGGAAATACACAATACTGGAGATATCTGAATTGGTTCTTCTCTCCCCTGTGTGAGTACACCCACCATCGTTGTAGATCATCTTGTTTGAATCTACTATTTGTGTTCAATGTTTCCTCCTAAACACAATTTATCAATAACAATCGTAATGGACAACCGTGCATACAATCTAGTACGCTGAATGGTCCCGACATCCGCATCATTGGGTACGCGAAGTGGAGAGTAACATGAGAAGCCATCATGGTACTTCCTTCCATCCAGCCACCAACGGCTTCGCCTTGTGAACAGCTAACATAGCCTTCTGCCTGGCTCGGGATTTAATTCATAAACAAAGATCAGGCTTCACGTCAGACGGATGAGTGTTAAGTATCCCTCGGTAAGGACAAAAGAGAAATCCCGAGGGGCTCGCAGACGAATGCATTGATTTGATTCCTCGCGGACAAAAATCAAGTTTGTCTGTCGTCATCGTGCATTATTGCTCGAATTCCTTGCTGAAGCGGTGGCATTGAATGGATGAAAGAAGGATGGTCATGGATGGTCACCCCTCTTACTATTTACTACTAGTGAGGGGCTTTGAAGGGCGTTGAGGGGAACACAACCATCGTAGTCACTTGACATGATCATGTGCCACCTTGTCCCCTATACTATACCACTAGTAGTTGCGCTGCCTACCACAATATCAGATTATGATTTTGTCGGTCTGCTGGCAAAGACTCAGATTATGATATCAACACTGGGGATTCTAGACCGCTAGTCTATCTTACTATCTCAACAAATAAGGGTAAGAATTACAATTAGATAAAATGAAATAAACCAGGGTCACCAGATTTGCCTCCCTATAATAGCGTTCGGTAACATCGGATAGATTTCCAATCAGAGTATACGTTGAGAAGGTCATGGATCAACTTGTCTGTAGTATAGTATCTGGACTTATTGTCGTATGTTCAAATCCTTTGATGATCCGTCGCATGTGAACCTAAATGTGCACAACACTCCAATGCCCTTTGAAAGTTGTGGTAGTATCTACAGAAAATAATTCATTTCAATCTAGTTGCAGGGGTTTCACTAAGCGAAAAAAGCGGAGCCCCTAGTGGGAGTGGAAACGGGATTAGAGAGTTGCCAAAAAAAAGAGGAAAAAGAAAAAAAGCAAGAAAGAAAAAGAAAAAGAAAAGCAAAAAGAAACAAAAGAGGACGGAAGGGAGGAGCAAGCTTGAGGGAGTGTTAATTTGGGGTTTAAAGTTGTATATTTCAAAAAGAAGAGAGGAAGAGGAAGGAAATGTGCTTTTTTTAATTAATTAATTAATTTTTGTTTTCATTTTGTTTTACTGTTTCCCATTTCCCGTTTTTGGGTCAACTACCTGCTTAGTATATTCATCATGGCTATGTTTGAAATAATCACACTGCCAGCATCTCCTACCAGAGGGTACAGTACAAATCATAAGACAAATTACCCTAAAAAAAATAATGACTCTTTAGTCCCCACCACCACTATTAGATCACGAACAAGCCAGCGCCCCGACAGATGTCAGAAAATTCGGTTCTGTAACAGCCCTGCCCGCTTGGTTCTTATTTTAGTAGGGATCCATCGGCCGGTCTGACAGTGCTCATCAAGAAAAAAAGGGAACTGGGACGTGACATAGGAAGCACTGGGCTAGTGGGCGTGGAACGGACCAACACTGCAAATCAGTTCAAATGCAAGTGCTTATACTAAGTAAGTTCTGCTGAAACGGACCATATTTTGGCTGGCTCAGTGGAGAATCCTCCGTGGTTGAGCCGCTTCATATCGATCGACAACCCTCCTTCTAGTGACCTTTGGCATTGTTTCCAGACCGGTCTAGATCAACTTTGGGCTCGTTTGACCCATGAAGCACTGACGCTTGATACAGAACGCTTGTCTTGGGATCATGAAACAGATGATGCACCGCCGCTTTGACACAATGACAGTCAGTCGCACTGCCGCTGTACTCTGGGGCAAGTATCAGATATTGTGTAGGCTGCAGAGTGTTGATTCAATCTCAACAGGGCACGGCAGATACCAGCCCCGGCGTTTGAGTGTGAAACTGGTCGCCCCATTTTTCATAGTTCATGGCATTTTTTGGGCAAGAGAACAAGAATGATCGACATGGGGCAGAATGTTTTGGGCCAAGATCTTAATGCAACTGTCAGTATGCTCCTAAGCTGCGTAAAGTTCAGGCATTAAACAGCGATCGAAGCACAAGCCACGCCCCCAGTACTGCAATTACCGAGGCCACCAACAGACCATTTCCCTCCCAAGTCAAGCCCAAATATGCTAGGCAGCCTACGACGAGCTCTTTTCTCCGTGCGGCGTCTCGTTTACTCGCCCATTCCGGGTCAATCCGAAACGGGATTGCTGACTGCGTTGCATCTGCTGGACGCCTTGACGGCACAGGAACAGAAGCCAAGAGCGCAACGGCGCGATGATCTGACGTCGGAAACAGCGGCAGAGAGTTATACTCTAAGGGCCTAACCCGTGCTTCCTCGCCCAAGCCAGGCAAAGTTTCCAGGTACAACACACGATCACACCAACTAGGCCAGCGTGTGCTGGTCCATAGCCACTCCTGTGAGCCGCTGCTGCGAGCTGCAGCCTGACGCGCAGCATTTGTGTATTTGTACGTCGGGGGGAAGGCTATTGGGGCTTCTGACAGGCCATGGAAGCTTCGAGACTGTCGCATCTCTCGGGTGAGTTGATCCTCTTTCAATAAGCGGGAGAAATGACGGGGGTCGGCTGGATCCACGCCCGCTTGCGGAAACCAGGCACAATCCTCGCTTCGTGGCGATGCATTAGACGTGCGATAATTAAGGTCGCCTGCCAGGAAGAGATAACTCGTAGGAATAAAAATACCCCGGTAATCATCGCCGGAACTCCGTGTAGAACCGTTTAGCAGGGCTGTACTCTCGGAGTCGCCCCCTGTTTCAGCATTCTCCCCGGCTCTCACAGTCAAACGATCAAATACTAATCGCTCTACCATACTACGCCAATCCTCGTTCCTTTGCCGTACGGCATACTCCATGGGCGCAAGGTGGGCAGCAATGAAGGTCAGGTCTACTGTGTCGTCAGGCGTTTTCTGCGTCGCATAGGTCAGTCGTGCCCCAACCGCGCCTTTGTTGCCCATTTGTTGGAATCCAAACCCGACTCGGGCAGTATCAATCGAAGATATACGTTCCGCCACATCTGATCGAGCATACACCATCAATCCCGTCATCCCACTATTGTCTGTGACCATATTGACGTAATGTGTCTCCCAGCGCTTAGACACCGCGCGCTCCACTACCTGGCTCAGGGAAGCAAAATATGGTGCCAAAAAAGAGCCACCAAGAAATGCATATGCAATAGGGGCGATCTCTTGAAGTGATAGAACGATGAGGTCCGGCGGCGTGGAAGCGCTTGAACTGTCGGTGAGGGGCAGTGCATCGAAGAAATGATGGGCGAAACGGTTGACGTCAACTGGATTCCGGGCGCAATTGAAAGTGAGCATATAGAGTGTAAGGGTCTCCATAGTAGGCGCAAGTCTAGTGCGATCGAGTATTGAATAATATATGTATGGAGGTATCAGTAGTGATAGAGATGAAGCCTGGGGTTAAAACTTATCGGCGATCGGGACGGTTGTCAATTCCACCAGTTCCATGGATTGATGGTTTGGGACATCCATGTGACGATCAGTGGATCCTTATCGATAACGATCGGAGATTTTGTATGTTTTGCACGTTGTTTCTTAAGAGCAGTTTTGTTCAGCTTATATCATTCCAGTGGAATTTTTATCCCTGTCTTTGAAAGTAAGAAACTTGTATCATTCAGGCATTTGTCCATGTTCAATGGTTTCATCCATTATCTACAACTTGCCCCGGACTTCTTCCTCTAGTTCCACCAACAACATACCCTCTGCCACGTCTTCGTCCTCTTCATCCATCTGATATACCCACTGAACTCGGCCGCCTCGTGGGCTTCGCACCTCAAGCTCCATCTTCATCTGCTTTACAAATGCCACTACTTGGTTCTCCACCACCTGGTCCCCAGCTGCCACCAAGACTTCAATCAACTTCCCAGAGAGAGGAAGCACGATATGGCGGGGATTGTACACATCGCCACGGCGATGAGAAGATGACACTAGAGCAGATGCAGTTGCAGATGTGCTTTTCAGCTGCAGTTGATAGGCCATGGAAGAAGACGGAGTGGTATATTTGACCTCTGCGGCCATAGAAGTAGGAAAATCATTTTGCAAAACTCGAGTGAGTTGGAGGTGGTGCTGCCGCTGCTCCACGGTCCCTAGGGGCTTTAGGGTGATTGACCATGCATCTCCAGGACGGAATAGAAGATTGGATGAAGAACTACTCGGCATCATGAGCGAACGAAATGGTTGTGCAGATGCTTCATGGCGAACAGATTGAGCAATCGTCTCTCCAATTGGGATCACCTGTCCAAGGTGTCTTTCCAGCCATTGTGTATCGATCTGTCCTGTCAAAAGGTTATCATGGGAAAGGATTCCTCGTAACAGATTCAAATTGGTCTGCACTCCAGATATTTTGGTATCGGTTAGCACTCGCCGGGCTTTCGACACTGTTGCCTCCCAGCTGGTCGCAGTGACGATGATCTTTGCCAACATGTTATCAAAGTTTGCTCCAACCGTAACGGGGCTTGATCCTGACGTATCAACATGGGTGTCAATACGAACGCCGTGACCACTCAGTACAACAAACTCAGTGATTTTACCTATACTCAAGTGGAAATCCCTACTTGGGTCTTCGGCGCACAATCGCAGCTGGATAGAGTGGCCCTGAGTCTGTGTTGTGTGGTCCTTCAGCAAGCCAACTTGGGCGAGCGATAATCCCATAGCAAGTTGTAGCTGTGTCTGCACCAAATCCACACCGGTAATGTTCTCAGTAATGGTATGCTCCACCTGCAGGCGAGGATTGATCTCGAGGAAATAGAACTCCCTTCGGTGGTCGTGAACTAGAAATTCGACCGTTCCAAGAGACCGGTATCGAATTGCCTTTGCCATGCGAAGGGCGGCGTTCACTACTTGCTCTACCACATCCCGGCTTTGCATAAGCGACGGAGCAAATTCAATGACCTTCTGGAAACGACGCTGCAAGCTACAGTCACGCTCCCAAAGGTGACACACGTCAATACCATCACCCACGATTTGGACCTCAAGGTGGTGAAATCCATCCACAGCGGCCTTTTCCACAAAGACTGTCTGCGATGGTGACTCGTTAGTTGCTGCCCGCACGGCATGCTCCAGCTCGCCTTCCTGCCGCACCAAACGGATGCCACGGCCCCCTCCACCATCAACCGCCTTGATCATAATGGGATACCCAACCTGCCGCGCAAACGTGCATATTTCTACCAAGTCAGAGGTGGGACTTGACATAGCCGGCAAGACGGGAACTTCACATTGCATTGCCAACTGCTTGGCTTTGAGTTTGTCTCCTGTGCAGACCAGGATCTCGGGTCCAGGGCCAATGACGGTAACTCCAACATCATGCATACGACTGGCAAATTCTGCACTCTCGCTAAGGAAGCCATATCCGGGGTGCACAAAGTCAATGTGGTATTCGCGGCTCAGGTTAACGAGCAACAGAATGTCCAAGTAGGCTGCAGCAGACGGTACCCGCACTGCGTGGTGGGGACGGCCAAGATCACAGTGAGAACGGTCATCATCTGTATAAAGAGCAAATGTCTCAATTGACGGAGAAAGCTCGCGTGCAGCTTGGAGAATACGGACAGCGATTTCGCCTCTGCTTTGTTAGACAAAATCCTCTCATACAGCATGAACCTTTAGGAAATACCTGTTTGCGACCAGGAGCCTCTGAATAGACTGAGCACACATTTTTGCAGTTCGAGCTATATTGAACAAAATGCATGGCCAGCAATGGTCAAGTACAGCGCTATTCACTGTTTCTGTTGCGTGGAGCTCAGCCCTCGGACCTCGGAGCGAATGAGATCATTACCCCTCATGAAGGGTTAGGGTATTGGTTGGAGAGAAATACATACAACAACAGATACTGTCAATCACTATATGGCGATAATCAAATAACTTTCAGGCTAGAACAATGTCAGAGGACAAGTCATCAATAGCGACCAAAAGACTCAACCAGGTCTCTGCGCATCTCTCGCCGCAAAAGCTCCCTCCCGACTATGCGGATGTACGCTCCCAAATCAGTACACTCCGCAAGATTGCCGCTACACCCGACATCAATCGTCGTGGCTACATTCGACAGAAGCAATCAGGGAAACTCTGGGTGCGGGAACGCCTCGAAGAGCTCCTCGACCACGATAGCTTCCAGGAGATTGGCTCGTTATCCGGCACAGTAACATGGGAGAAGACCGGGCCCATGCGGGAGAAGCCCGTTTCATTCGTGCCGAGCAATAATGTTCAGGGGATGGGGAAACTGCGTGGTCGCCGAGTACTACTTACCGCAGATGACTTCTCTCTCCGGAGTGGACATGCAGATGGCGCCACTGCAGGAAAGACAATCTACTTGGAGAAACTAGCTTTAGCACTCAAGTTGCCCGTTGTGAAGCTTGTCGATGGCAGCTCAGGTGGAGGCAGTGTCACTACCATTCGCAAGGCAGGTTGGAGCTACCTACCCTACGTGTCAATGTACAAACATGTGGTGGATCAGCTGAATCAAGGCATTCCAAATCTGGGAGCAGTAGTTGGGCCAGCTGTATGTATTCCAGTCTACCCATTCTTTTCCTCGGCTGAACGCGGCTCACCGGTAATAGATTGGCCTTGGAGCCGCCCGTGTCGTCTCCTGCCACTTCTCTGTCATGGCTGCAGATGTAGGCTCGCTCTTTAATGCAGGCCCCGAGGTAGTCAAAGGGGCAACATTTGAAGAGGGGCTGGATTTCCAGTCATTGGGCGGCCCCCTGATACACTGCGCCAATGGGACAATAGATAATCTCGCTGCCAATGAAGCTGAATGCTACGAGCAGATCCGTACTGTCCTAGGATTTCTGCCTAACTGTGGCCGAGAAGCGCCACCTGTGGTCGCCAGTGATGATCCCGAAGGCCGTGAGGATGAGGCGCTACGTCAGGTTATTCCTCGCCGACAGACGAGAATGTATAACCCACGAACCATCATCACTAGCGTGGTTGATCACTACTCGTGGTTCGAGATTGGCGCACTCTGGGGTCGCACTGCTATCGGTGGTCTAGCAAGGCTAGGCGGGCGGCCTATTGGAGTAGTTTCCTTGAATTGCGAAGTGAATGGGGGAGCACTAGACGCAGCTGGAAGCCAGAAATTAACGAGGTTGTTGAAACTTTGTGATGTGATGAACCTGCCCGTGTTGCAGTTCATTGACGTTCGTAAGTCCTCTCATATATTATCTCTTCTATGCCATTTTACTTTGTGACAATCCCGCTAACATTATCGCAGCCGGTTACGCCATCGGCACCGCTGCCGAGCGCACTGCGACAATGCGATGGGGGGTTGAGCTAGCAAAGGCCTATTACTCAACTACAATGCCAATGTTCAATGTAATCACTCGACGAGCGTACGGTGTGGCTGGCGGCATTATGCTAGGCGCCCGTGACCCGGTTATGCAAGTGGCCTGGCCATCAGGACAGTGGGGATCACTGCCACTCGAAGGAGGCATCGAAGTTGCCCATCGACATGAGCTGCGCGAAGCAGAAAAAGCAGGCCGGAAAGCTGAGTTATACCAGGAACTAGATGAAGAATACCGGCGATTGATGAATCCGGTGCGCACAGCGAATGCATTCGGCATAGAGGAGATCATTGATCCTAAAGACACGAGAAAAGTATGCTGTGCATGGGCACAGCATGTGTATAAGGTTATGATACCGGAGAGATTAGCAGATCGGGCTGCTGGGAGAATTCAGCCAATGTTCTCTTAGCCTTGGGCCATGGTTTAGCCGCATCAGGTAATTGCGCTGTGGGATTCAACTGAAACAGCAAAATATCAATATCATGCATGATACAATTAAGTGCGACACCTTAGCAAACCCCTTCTATAGCGGGCTGTCAGCTTGATTTTATTCCAGGTGATACTGAAGGAAGGTGGTGGCTGTTACCCAACAGAGAACGCCAATGTATATATTTTAATGATGGTCAGGAGATTAGCCCGCGCATCGAAAAAGCCACACGGATTGACCCCTTGAATCAATATATAACTAGCTAGCCTATTCTGGTAGCTCCCGGCACTTATGATCGATGTTTTCAGAGTATTGCTTTAACTAGTTCATATAATTTCAAGAGGTGGAGAAATTAGTGACCGGATATTCGGAAATTACAACTTGGCAACTCTCTCAGGCGTTGATATAAAGACTCGGACACCACCGCCTATGGTTGGAGGTTGGTGGTACCTGGCAACGAAATTTTCCCTTTAGTTCTAGGCGATTGACCAAGAGAAGCCGACACAAACATTCCAAATAGGACAGAGAGCGAAAAGGTATAAGCGAGGAATAAAGAAGCAAAGGGTGTGAGACAAAAAGAAGCGAGGTGTGATCCATATCCGAACAACCGTCCAAAAAAGGAAGTGAATGGTCCCGGAGAGGCTCGAACTCTCGACTTCTGAGTTATTAGCTCAGCACTCTAACCGACTGAGTTACGGGACCAACTTATTGGAGGAACTATTTCTAATATACCTGATTAAGGGAAAAAGAAAACACAATGGCCACCATAATCAACGGGCAGGTGTATACTCCCGGGCTCGCGATTATCGACTCCCCTCAGCCCTATACTCCGCTCGGGGGAGGTAAGGATACATGTACCCCCTTTTCAAGCACATATGCTGATATGAATCTGTGACAGACAGTCTCCAAGTAGCCATTGACATCTCTGGAAACGGCCGGTTGACCTCCAGTCCATCCGACTCCACGAAATTCCATGACATTACGGTCTTCCTTACTTCCAATGAGCTCTCGAACAACTTCACTATCTCCAATGGCACAGAGCCCAACTCCAAGGCCTATGTCGGTCCTGTCCTGGAGATTAACCCGTCAGCCACTGTCCAGCACGTCAACTGGAACTGGCCTGAGTGCTTAGTGGGTGATGGGGACGGCGGTTCTGGCTCCGCACGGGGCTCATACAATATCTCGATCCATCAGTCCTTCAAGTGGAATGGAACAGATTACTATACCATTTTCGACTTGCCTGTCAACGTTACAAACTCTATTAGCAAGTCGGACGATAGAGTCGATTGTAAGTTGTTGGAGAACGACTTGCTCAAGCCCGCTGAGATTGCTGCGAGCAATGATACTTTGCCGGGGCAGCCTTGGGTGGATGCAGGTGCCAAACGTGATAGTGACAATAGTGGTAGTAGTAGTAGTGACGATGGTGGAGAGACTAATGGTGCTGACCATGTTCGGGGTACCATAAAGCAATGGGGTCTCTTTGCCATGGTAGTTGGGGGTATGCTGATGGTTTGAGGGACAGGACACGGGCTCCTAGTGGATTAAATCTTTCAGATTTTGCCATATACATATCTTGTAATTATATATATAAAATTCTCTTCTATGTCCTAAGGCGTTACCGATTGTAATCGCCATCAGAGTGATAATCATTTGAATTAGTCCTTCAAGGTAGCTTCAGACATGAACAGTTAATGGCCATCGCGGGGCAACAGCCAGTGACACCCATAAGGGTCGGGGGACGGTTGCTTCCATGTCTACTCCAAAATGACACACAAAAGCGAAAGTTATTAGGATAAACCACTCCCAACATGACATCGTTATTGACCCGGCGCTCTTAATGCGCCTTCCTCTGCGCAGTCCAAGAGTGAAGATGGTCTGCTAATGTCTCCTCCAACGGTCGGTAAGCGATCTTTAACTCCTCCAAACTAGAGTTATTGTCTATATCGAATTTGACACCCAGATTCAATTTCAGCCACTTTTGGCTTAAGCCGAGTAACGGTCCGCACAAACGTACCAATGAATTTGGAAGCTTATGTTCTGGAATCCGGCTGGAGTGAGCAAGTGAGCGTAGGATGCGAGCCAACTCCACGAAGCTGTGCATATCTTTGTCGGCCAAGATATACCGACCGTGCGAATCTGGGGTTTGGGCGACTCGAAGGTGAGCCGTAGCAACCTCTCGGACATCGACAGTAGCAAACCACAGGTCTGGAACCCCCAAAAACAATTCGCCACGGAGCAGCTGATCAAGTAGAGACAAACTGCCGGATTCTGAAGTGGGAGAGAGCGACGGGCCCAAAACCAGTCCAGGGTTGATTGTCACCAATCTCCAGCGCCGAGGGTTCGGTTGTGTCTCGTAGTATTTCCACGCCTCCTTCTCCGCAATCACTTTGGAATAAGAGTAGGCATTGTGTGTGACGGTACTGGTGGTATTGTAATACTCGCTGGAGAGTGTGTTATCCTTCATACCTTGCACATCTGCGTTGTCCCCAAAGATGGCCGCTACGGATGATGTGACGACGACCAGTTTGATTGTGTCGCATTTCTGGACCGCATCGAGAACATGTTGTGTTCCTTTGAGAGCCGGCTCAATCACCTCTTTCTGGCCGTCACGGATGCGACTCTCGATGAAAAAGGGTGAGGCAATATGATATACCACCGAACAGCCCTTGGCTGGGACGTCGAACGACCCTGCCTTCAGGAGGTCCGCCTCAAACAAAGTCAACTTCCCGGGCCATTTGGCCTGCATGTCGAGCAGATGCTTGACCTTTTTCTCGTTCTTTATACTGCGAACCGTCGCGCGGACCTGGTAGCCGCTTTCGAGCAATTGTTGGACAACATGACTGGCCACAAAGCCACTTGCACCTGTCACGAGGCATATATCTCCTGTCATGTCCAGGTATGACTCGAGTTGTATCACAGTGAGAATGAGAGTCTCTGTTTTACCGAATAGAGTGTGGTGCCTGTTACTCTCTCAATTTCCCTATATTTTCAGGCTTGCTGAATACATGGGTGGCTCCGGAATTTATATCCGAGTGTTGAGTGAATACTCCAGAAAGCTTGCTCGATCATGGCTTTTTTTCCCCCCCCCCTACAAACACGCAATCCAACTTTGGGTCGTTATTGTTTGCCTCTCGCCGCGGTACATTGAATGGAATCCCGTCAAAAAAAATCCAGTGTAACCATATACATGGGAGTTTAGAACCTCAGTGCCCAGATCATCATCTACCAGGCAATAGTCTCGGGATCGGGCAGTTAGTTCCCCCGATATACTAGAACCATACGTCATATAGAATTTAACGAAACACGGGCCAAGTAAAGGTTCAATCATGCCAGGGGCTACCTTAGCGTATGAATTTATCTCAGACCTGCAGAGTGGCAATACAGTGAACGACCCCTTGCGCACATGGAAAGTCGCAATCTTGATAAGTTAGTGCTCTCTGGCTCTATCTACAAGCGCTTATCCCGGCATGAACTTCACTTAAAGCCCACATAGCCCTAACAGTATATTCGCCAATTCATGTTGATACTTCTAGATTCTTAGCACAACGTCGGAATTATTATATTGCCAAACTGACACAAATAAGTCGCGCTTGTGCTACTAATATAGCACATGAACCAGCATTGAAACAACATCCATATAATATATCATCCCCAATATCTACCATCCAGATTTCAATACTCTATCCACGGAAAGCCGCCCAAGCCTGGAACGCCCCTGCAGCCGCTGTGATGAGACCACTTGACTTCACCCCTCCCCAGAGATACGAGACCGAACTACCCCAAGCAATCAAAGTGAGCAAACCAGCGATAGCACGGTTCAGGGGCTCATCTAATGCTTGCGGATTCAATGACCATTGGAGATTAAGCAAGGCTGGGAAAAAAAATAAGTCGGTTAGAGCGCTGGCAAATACATTGTATGCATGAATAAAAGCGAATACATACCAGCTAGCACCAGGTAGCCACTCCCTTGATACCATCCCACGGTGCTGCAAACATATGCTATACTGGGTAATTCTTGGAATCGTCGCAATCGCATGAATTTACGGCTGGAGAGCTGTGTAATTGTTAGACCATTTTCTGTATATATTGGACTTTGTGGATTGGGTTGGATAGTTACTAACTGCATGTCCAAGGGCCAGGATTAGAGAGCCGTATGCGGCCGCTTTCAGGTGGGCTGGGTTTGCCATAGTATCGATATGTCAGGTATGAAATGAATTAAGCAGTATGGAGTGGTATGGAAAAGGGCTAGGGAGTTAGATATAATAAACGTTCTTTGTTCCTGATGGAAACTCGGATGAACGTGTTATTTCCCCCGATTACCTAGGTTGAATCAGTAGAGGTGGAGTAAGTAATCAAGTGTTTATCCCCGGGGCCGGCCTTAAGCTTCCCCAGGGTTGGGGCCACGCCTAGCCAAATTGGGGGTGGCTTGCGAGGTCTGACAGTGGCCTGGACCCTTGTTACTTTTTAATATTTAAAAAATAATGGTACCACGGACAATCCTTTGTGGGGAATTTGCTGAAGAGTGAAGACCGATTATTTTTATTTGAATCTCTAATACGACCTCAAAGATTGGCCATCTTCAGACGATGTCTGCAGCCCAATTGCCACCTTCTGATAGACGATGGCCAGAGGAATAAAGTAGTATATGATTGCTATCCACGTAGTCTACATCTGTTCGAACTGATAACGGGGATTTGACATAAGTCTCGGTACAGTGGGTACATGCTACATAAAGACCAAGATTTTTATTGTTGACTCTCAAAAGGAGGTTGAATACTGTTTGTTTCAAGGACTTCCCTACTGATGATGGCGAGGATGAGAGCAGAATCCAAGACATGTCAATTAGGGAGCACGTTATTTAACGTATTAATATTACAATATGGATATAAATAACCCCAAACGAGAGACTCAAAAAGGAATCTAACAAAAAGGCCGAGTGTAGCCTCTATCAGGCAAGTGAGGCTATTGCGGATTTTCGGGCTTGACAACTTTAATAACCACCTTCCCCAGACCACCGCGGTTGCTGTATACAACCTGACAGGCTTTCCGCACCTCCTCAATCTCCCACATATTAGCCGTGGTGCCAACCACTGGTTTCAACTGGTCCATCTCGACATATTCGCGCAATAGATCCAGGTCTTTCCCACTGGGCTCCAGGAATATATATGAGTACTCCACACCGTATCGTCGTGCACGCAGCTTACGGGCGGCATCCATCAAATTTAATGCTTGTTTATAGATGAAAGGCAGAGTCGGGCGATGAGGAAGTCGCATAACCGATGAGTCCTGTAGTAGATTTCCCGATGGTAAGGTTGAGATTGAGATAATTCGGCTGGTCTTCGGCCGCATCAGACATAGATACTCCATGGAAAGGCCAACTGTATCGAACAGAAAATCAACCGAGCCGTGTGGGATAGCGTCCTTTGGTTCAGACTTCGTATAGTCAATTACTTCAGTAGCGTTAGCAGTTGATTTTATGATAGGGAGTATAAGTGGGTTGAGGCTAGCTGGTAGGATGGGGTCTTACTCTGATCAACGGTTCCCTTTCCTAACAGTTCGTCTACTTTCGGGATTTTAGACGTCGAAACCGTTGTGATCACCTTGCCGGCATGGAAAACATGCTTTGCTAGTTGGCATGCATATAGACCCGTTCCGCCCACTGAAATGTTGTCAGATATGCGCGCCAATTTGAGGCAAAAAAAAGAGGGATCATACATCCTGCAGGCACAAATACAGTCTTCCCCGCAAGGTCACCATTGTACTTCTGGAGCGCCTGAAAGGCTGTGGTTGCTGCCAGTGGAATGGCGGCTGCGCTCTCGAAAGAAAGCGATGGTGGCTTCAGAGCAATGAATTCTTCCGGACATTTAGCGTATTCACTCCATGCTCCCCGATGTGACTCTGGCAATCGAACATAGACTTCATCTCCTGGTTTAAACCGGGTTACACTTTGCCCGGTTTCGGTCACTATGCCAGCACAGTCGTATCCGATCTTGTAGGGGAACCTGATTTATGTTGGTTATGACCGCCTTACTTTTGAAGAGCGTAACATACGTGTCTTTGAGCGCTGCCTTTAGAACACCTTCTGCCTTTTTCAGGTCAACCGGATTCACACTGGCAGCATGGACCTTAATGACAACATCTTTTGAGTCGGTGATTTCCGGTGCTGGTAGCTCGGAAAGTATGTACCCAGATGGGCCAGAGTAGGAAGGGATGTTGATCGATAGCATTTTAAGCTATAGTTTGACAGAGCTAATTGAAGTCAGAGACGATGAACTGGCTTTGAAATGCAGGCACCGTGACGTATTTTAAAGAACGAGTAAGCTCGGAAGTGGGTTACATTTATCAATCCTTGGCACTGGAAGCTTCAAGTAAATAAAAGAGAAAAATATATTAAGTTCTTGATAGCCTATTCATGCACAGAATGTCGCCCCGACTCCGCCTTGCGGCCTTCTAATGAGATGGTGGAGGTTATGAACCGGTTCCTGCCGTCGGGAACGGTCAGATCAAATCCTCCGCCAGGACCCACTATAACCACGCACACGTTTACTCATCTTGATCTTCAGGGTCCATGTCAGAGTATTGGAACATGGGCGAACATCTTGGTGCTCTGACTAATGTTTGCTTCTCCTATTCACTTCACTTCGAAAATTCTCTCGATGAGTGGATTTGAAATGTCTCCGGTGGTTTTTCAGCCACCCACGTTGCCCTACCATTATTTATATAAGGACAGGGGAATCCCACGACTTGATCCCTTTCGCTCATCACCCTCCTCAGTCAAAATCCATTTAATATATCCTCCTGTCTTTCGAATATCACCACATCATGAGCTCCAACAAGGCTTTGATCTTCAAACAGATCCCCCAAGGATATCCTGTTCCTGGGGAAGATCTGACCATCCAGCCAGCTTTATACGATAAGGATATCGCTCCCGTTGAGAACGGTATCGTTGTACAGTCTTTATATGCTAGTTTCGACCCTTACATGCGGGGTCGCATGAGACCTGCCGACGCGACATCGTATATTCCGGCATTTGAGCTGGATAAACCAATTGACAGCTTTGGTATCGCTAAGGTACTCCGCTCTAATAATGCTGCCTACAAAGAGGGTGACATTGTCATTGGCCAGATCCCAATCCAAGAGGTTGTTTCGCTGAATGAAGACTCGATTGCCAAAGTCCGCCTCCTCCAAAACCCCATGAGGATTGACCTGAGCGTTTTCCTGGGCGCCTTGGTATGCCTGGTCTCACAGCATTTTCGTCCTTTTATAAGATCGGTAAACCTAAACAGGGTGAAACGATCTTTATCTCCTCTGCCAGTGGCGCTGTAGGTCAAGTTGTTGGCCAGCTCGCGAAGCATGAGGGCTTGAAAGTCATTGGTAGTGTGGGCTCGGATGAGAAATTGGATTTTATCTTGAATGAGCTTGGATTCGATGGTGGCTTCAACTATAAGAAAGAGACGCCCACGAGTGCCCTTGCTCGACTTGCTCCCCAGGGATTGGATATCTACTATGAAAATGTCGGAGGCGAACATCTTGAGGCGGCCATTGACGCCTTGAATCAGTTCGGCCGCATCGTTGCCTGTGGTATGATTTCTGAGTACAACAGTGCTCCACACCCGATCAAGAATCTGTACAAGGTTGTGGCCAAGAGTCTTGAGATGCGCGGGTTTATTGTCATAAACCCCGGCTTTGCCGATGCGTACATGGAGGAACACCAGAAGAAGGTACAGAAGTGGATTAGCGAAGGGACATTCAAGGCTCTGACCCATGAGACTGTCGGTATCGAGAACGCAGCCGAGGGTCTGGTGGGTATTTTCTATGGCAGGAACAAAGGTAAAGCTGTCTTGAAGTTTTAAATGTATTATATGAACATAATCGTGACCTGGACACAACAAAAGTGTACCATTTAAAGAGTTTTCTTGAATGCGATTGCAGAGGCTCTAGTGAAGACATCTTATGTTAATTGCGCAGCGGAGCGAAGCGTAGCAAGCAATATAGGAGACTGTTCAATCGGATCTGTGTTTTGATTGGTCCACAGTTCTGGATTATTATTGGATAAGAATTCACCAGTGACATCATTCCTGTTTTATCTTATATAATCATCTCAAGCCAATTTCTAGAGCTTCTGAATTGTCTAGATTTCTCGAGCTTTTGAACAGCCTGTGTGGCCTAGATTTCTCAGGCTTTTAAACACGGTGCAATAATCAGATTTCTTAGACTTTTTAACAGTCTGTATAGCCTAGATTTCTCAGGCTTTTAAACGCGGTGTAATAACTAGATTTCTTAGACTTTTTAACACGGTATAATAACTAGATTTCTCAGGCTTTTTAATAGTCTGTGTAGCCTAGATTTCTTAGACTTTTAAACGCGGTGTAATAACTAGATTTCTTAGACTTTTCAACGCGGTATAATAACTAGATTTCTTAGACTTTTTAACAGTCTGTATGGCCTAGATTTCTTAGACTTTTAGACACGGTACAATAACTGGATTTCTTAGGCTTTTAAACGCGGTGCAATAACTAGATTTCTCAGGCTTTTGAATCGCCTGCGTGGTATAGAATAGATAATCTAGATAGATAATCTAGACAGTATAGTATAGTCTATTTAAATAATCTTAATAATCTACATAATATAATAAAAGATTATGTGATTCTTTCGCTGTGCAAGTATTCTGCCAGTTCCTTGAGCTGGCAGCCTCTAGTAATCATATTGGTCGTAAACAGGTACAGGATATGGGAAGCAGCAATCTATTGAGCAGACTGCTAGCATATCCAGCAATACTACCTGGTCGACTCATAAACGAATATAGCTCTACCTTTGCATTTAAAGATAGTAACCACCTAGAATGGGATGTATAACGTTATACTAGTAAACAGCCCTGTCTCGCAAGCTGACCTCCATCTGGTTAGTTTGACCCACATTTACTTACCGTGGCCCCGCCATCTCAATTTCGGTTGCCCAATTGCTGAATAGTTATCGCTTTAAAGCAAGTGGAGAGACTGGCAATTGTTCCAGCCCAGGAATACCAGATCAGCATCCTTCAATTTCTGGTCCATACTAGTACTAGTACTTGGTCGACTATATTATCCGCCACCAGCTGTCGCAGCGACATTGGCACGTTTGTGCGGCAGACAATCACAAAAGACATTAGAGCAGCGAGTGAAGCATGGACACACTTACCGACGTGAAAACACCACATACAAGGCCCATTTCAGCACCGACATGGACAAGGATGAACCTCGACGGCTTGTCAGCAAGGTACACGCGTGTTGGTCATACAAGTGCTACCATTTATGATTCCACCGACTCGGGCTATAGCTTGGACATGGTCAGAGAAAGGGGGAAGATTGAAACAGGCCCACTGAGCAGCATCATTGTAAGGCTGTTGAACGCCTCTGTTGGCTCAAGTATCGCTTGAATCCCGGCAAAAACACCCTCCATACCGACAACACACTTCGAGACAAGATCATACATGTGGATGCTTTTACACACAGTTTCATTCTGCCACCGCCTTCTGAGTAAGTCCACTGAACCATGGCTACTAGTACTAGTAGTATCGTTGGACCCGTAGTAATCAGACCTCGAACGGTCATTATACTACAATACTATGTTTATCCGAGCACCGCGGCGCTTTTCAGATATTGCTCGCTACGCACAACAACATACTCATGGCACACTTGATAGTCAGGGCACTACTAGTAAGATATACTCCGTACTGATGCATGTTAACCGATGCAGCCAGCCACTCGGCTCCACATCGGTTGTGATTAACCGACTGCTGTGCTGTTTCCCCGCATCCTACGACTTCGGTCGATCTCCCGCATCGTTGCCAAGCGCTCTGGTTCAGAATTGTCTTACTTCAATTCAGCTCTATTTTCTTAGGGTAACATACTCTTTGGAAAAGCAACCCACATGTTAAACCGTTGGTACTCACAATGTCCAACCGCCAATGGCTGTGCAGTGTCTGTTCTGTTCACTTTACCCGGATGGAGCATCTCAGGCGGCATCTCAGATCCCGTATGTAGGCCACCGTAGCAACATGAAATTGGCTAATAGCTGCAGATGACAATGAGCGGCCATATGCATGTGCCTTATGTCGGAGAACGTTTACACGAAAGTACGTCCACTGGACACCGTTTTCTGATCGTGTGACTAATGTCGCAGAGATGCAATGAAGCGTCATGAGAAAACATGCAAAGCACAGCCCAGTGCCATCGATGCACTTGGCACGCTAGCCCCTGTGTATAATAAGGGGATTGGTCACGGTGTCAACGAAACTTCTTTTCAAAACACAGACCCAGGCGTAGCCGACGAGGACACTTGTCTAGCCAATATCTCCGCTTCATCTGATTTCGAAGCGCTTGATTTGTTGTACTCACAAGATCTAACACCAGATAGTACGGCCCTGGCGGAGAGACTAGAATTTCTAGCATACTTTACAAGCGCCAATGGGATGGCGACTTTTCTGGACCGGGACACGCTTAAACAATGGCAGAAGGTGTTACTAGAATATGAACGACATGTTGAGGCGTATGGATACGACCGTGATACAACAATCCTGGGTGATACTTGTAACTCAGCTGGGAGGCATGTCTTTCCCAATTCATGGGGGAACGCTGCCGAAGATACGATCGACCCATCTGTGGTACACATGACATCTGAAGATTCAGACTTTCTTTTTCTTAGAACCCAAGAGGTTATTCATGACCTCCAAGCCCTCATTGCTCGGAAAGCGGACAAAAGTATCATTAAGTTGGACTGGAGCCCCTCGGTGCAGGAATCATGCAGTACCTTGTTTGCACCGAATAACATACGCCGCTTCTTGGGATATTTCTGGTCCCTCTGGTACCCAAACTGCCCGATCGTACACCGACCATCGTTCAAGCCACAGACAGCCCCATTGACTCTATTATGTGTCATGGTAATTATCGGGGCTTGTCTCTCGCCCCATGATGGAGATAGGTCGCTTGCAAGAATGTGGCTCGACACTGTGGAAGAGTTGGTTTTTAGCAACGAGATATTCCAGGAAAAGTCTTCCATGGAAACCACACCACCTGTGCTCGAGGGACAAACAGAATGGAAGAAGAGGCGTGTAGAGTGTCTGCAAATGACGTACTTGGTATGTTCATTACAAAAAAGAGAGGGCTCCATTGAGGCACAGACGAGGAGTCGCAGATATCGGCATGCAATGATGGTCACGGTAAGTCTTCTTCTGTCCCCGATAGTAGCTTGTATGCTCACATTAGAACAAGCTGGCCAGAGATATTGGCCTTTCTGCGTCGCATCGGGACCTCGAGCTGAAGGACTCTTCAGAATCTTGGTGGCGGAAATTTATAGTTGAGGAAGAGCGAATACGGTGAGATTAATATGCAATGTGTATAAACTACTGGTTAACATTGTATAGATCCCTCTTATATGTTTTCTGCATTGACTCGGCAATCACAATGTTGCATAACTCGCCTCCACGGATGGTGTTGTCCGAATTAAAAATGGATATGGCCAGCCCAGAAGAATGCTTTCAAGCGAGATCAGCCACGGAATGCTTCACAGCCTTGAATACATGGAAGGATAACATATTTTGGCGCGAAAGACTGTCAATGTCGGCAGTGGTAAGAAGAATCTGTCAGAGAAGCTTGGATGATCATCTTGTGCAAGAATATTCTCGAATGGGAACTCTGAATATGTGTACAATTGTACTATGTAAGTGCCAATATATACACATTCAAACCACCGCTGATACATTCTTTGGTATAGCACTCCACTCGCTCATTTTTAGTCTTCAGAACTCACTTACTTTTGAAGCTACCTTCACACCCGTCCAGACTGGCTTGGAAAACTGGGGACGTATCTGGAACAAGATAATTCCTGAAGACAGATACACACCGGATGATCCACACAATATCTGGAAGAAAATAGGGTTTGTACGCTATGCTGCCGAATTCTGGCACTTGGCACGAATCATCGTGACTAGAGTACAATCGGGAAGTCTTTCTAAAAGCCAAACGGGTTTATCTCGATACGATCATACAGATATGGTGGATGTCAATGGATTGATAATGGAGTATCGACGAATGAGTCTGAGTTGCCCCCCATCCTCATAATGCGCGCCCGTTCAGCAAAAATACCAGCTAGGCTTTTTTGATACTGGATGTCCGTCTGCGGACTTTCACAACAAAATCAGTTGGCTTGACAAACCAATAGTTCTCAGTAGACCACTTTTGGCCTGTGGTAGCAAAGTCGAAGTCCCGAATAAGACGGGGAATCAATTTCGACATCTCGAGAATGGAGATATGTTTTCCAAGACACGTTCTCGATCCGAGACCAAACTATCCGAAGTTAACGCTATTCCTGAGAAAGACGAAACGGAGATCTTACCGGCATGTACATCTCATTCATAATTTTCAGTCTTTCTGGATCAGACTCTGCTTCTATCCAGCGCTCTGGGCGAAACTTCTTTGCATCTGGGTATATCTCTTCGTCATAATGTGCCACCCAAGTGTTTATTCCTACCGTACTACCCTCCGGGAAGTAATATCCACTGATCTCCGCACCACCAGCGGGAACGACCCTCCACAGCGGGAGACCAGTGGCACTGTGCATACGAAGAGCCTCCTTCATGACGGCCTGGAAGTAAGGCATTTCTTGACTCTCTTTGAACGTCACACGAGAACTGCAGCGGCCTTGTGCGGTAAATTCATCAACTTCGCGACGAAGCTTCTCTAAAACGGCAGGATAGTGCAGCAGGTGGTACATTATCGACGAAAGACTGATGGCGGTAGTATCTGAACCGGCAATCACATTCGACAAACCCATCATGAATAAGTGATAATCAGTGACCTTTTCTGGATCCTTGTCTCGGGCGAGGATCATCTTCTCGAGAAAGTCCTGCGTCTGCAGCGTCCCTTGCTCCGGATCACGCTTGGCAGGCTCACTGTGTCGGCGAATTTTCTCCTGCACGTACCGCATGATGTATGTTCTTCCGCCCGCGCCAGACCACTTGAAATGGCTCAGAAGCTCGAATAGCCGTGGATGCCATTCTGGGTAGATCCCGATCAGAGTACTGTACATCATGGTCTTCTGCAGTGCAGCGATGGTCCCTTCGATGTCGTCGCCCTGGTCCAAGAACCCTATTCCTATCAATACATAACCGTCTCAGACCCAAAGATACATATATGTACTCACCGAATCGCTTTCCGAATGTAATCTCTCCAATTACGTCAAAAGCATAACATTGGAACCAGTGCCCAAGGTTGAGACTTCCTTCCCGCTGCGCGTACTCCGTCAACCGCTGGGAGAAGATATCGGCGCAGTGGTCCACAAATTCCTCATAGTGCACCAACGAACTCATCGAATACAATCCTGAGAATCTCTTCCTTGTTTCGGCTACATCAACCTTTAGTTTTATGCTCTCGCACGAACTACAGAGCAAGAACGAGAATAACCAAAACAGAAAAACAAAACATACCATGTCTCCGAACATCCCGATCAGGAAATAACGTCCATCGCTCGGGACTCGGATGCTTCCACCCCTCGTACCACGCCGACTTGGTAAATTTGGTCCCCGTCCCGTAGACGAGCTTCACCGCGGCCCGGTCACTAATACTGTAATGGTCCGGGGCGATGCGCACAACCGGACCATACCGCTCATGAAGACGGACATTATCCTCTTCAAAATGGCCCCGTCGGACACGATCAAAGTACCATAATTTTGTGAGACGAGTGATGAACGGCCCAGGAACGGATAGGAGGGATTTTGTTGTCAAGGTAGTGGAGATAAGGTGAAGAACGTGGTAGGATACGATGAGGACGGGGAGGAGGAGTAGGATATACATCTTGAAATATGAACCCTCCTACTTTCTCTAGAAATTTTCAGTGCAGATGATGCTGCAGGAAGAGAAGAAAACCGGGCTTACGCATGCGTTATATAGATCTGTCGGATGCGGGTGTGTGCTTGTTTATTGGTTACGGGGATTGGTTTAATCGTTCTTCTCCGCCCCCACCCCCACCGCCACTGCGGAGCTTATGCGATGGGAAGCCTGACTGCATTCCGGATTCATGAGGTTGTATTTGGCTAGCTAGTATCTTATGGATAATACTATCTACAGCTTTTGTGGGACAAAACGGGTGCGGGGTCCATTGATCAGCGGCATTTTAGTCTTTTCTTTTTGCTTTTTCTATAGGAAAAAGTCCGAGGAGTAGTATACTTTGTTGAGATCCCTACCTTTTGAAGCATTATATATAGACGGCAGTCTGCATTGAATCCCAGCAATGTCATTGCGCTGTCAATATACGTAACATACATTATAGAGTTATCGCCTTGAACCCAAAAGAAAACAAGATACAGAGAAGAGATACACCGCTTCCCAGGTATACAAAACCACCATCAGAACCAGAAGTTTAACAAATGAAAAAAGAACCCCAATAGCCATGCAAACAAACCAAACCATCCTAATCTATTTTCTATCCCCCCAAAGCCCAACAATACCCATCGCAAGCGCAAGACCCGAGAACACAGCGCGCACGCGCTGGAACCTGCGCTCCGTATCCATCTCCCGCTGCACACTCTCACCATTAACATTCTCCTCTGCCTCTACGACGACAAGATCCTCCTCCTTCTTCTGAGTGTTCTTGCGACAGAACGACGCGCAGCCGACGTCCTGAACAAAGCTCTGGACCCACGCCTTGAAGCCCATCGACCGGTGGAAGAAGTAGTCGGCACCGTAGGTTCCCATAATCGAGGTGGCGACCATCCACATCAGGTACGGGTGTTTGCGGTGTTTCGGGGAGGCGCAATATGCGAAAAGGAGGCAGCCATTGGCGAGGTTAGTTAGACGGAGCCCGTGTTTGCGGTTTAGGCGCTTTACTTCGTGGAGGGAGCGGGATGCGTTGGCGGAGGTGGGCAGGAGGGATAGAGATGGGATGGTTACAGCTGAGGCGGAGTAGGAGAGGCCCTGAGTTTTTATTAGTATTTTGGTTTTTGGCCTTTTGGGTCTTTGGTTTCTTGCTGGGGTTCTGGGGGAGTGTGGTTCTTGTTTTATGGTGTTTTGAGGGGGATTTCTTTGTTGTTTTTGTCGGTGCAAGGGAGGACTTACGGTTAGAAGGCCGAGGGAGACGGTGCCCACGAATTTGCTGACGGTGAGTGGACAGGCCATGATGGGGACGGAGAGAGCTATTGAGAAGGAGAATGCTCTATGGGTGTGGTAATAGAGATCGAAATGATCAGAGATCCCTTGCGATAGATGAGAGTGGCTCATATACGGTGGGTTTGCAGATGGGAGGAAAAAGGGAAAAGAAAAGAACAAAAGAAGATTAAATTGTTTGATTCATGTGGAGTTTGTCAAACATGACGTCGTGACCGTGGCCCAATGCCAGGCGGCCAATCAGAGTGTCCGGATTAGGCCGTTGGGTGTATTGGTGGATGCTGTACATCCATGTAGTACTAGTAGTATACATCTGTAATTGCAGATCAATTGTTTGTGACGATACGTAATGATATTAATTATATATATTTGAATCATAGACAGGACTTCAACATAGTAGGTAAATCCCGAGATTAGCACAATGCTCATAGCGGTTAGCTACTAGTATATCTACAGACGCACGTGATATATGCGGCCAGATCTCGAACATCGGATTTCTTCCATCAACATAAGAGGATGTTAAGTAAAGAGACTTACTGATGCTCCATAGTAGACTATTCAGAGTGGTCTCTTGCCAAGAGCTTTTTATACATATCTTACTCTGCACTAGACAATGTTGATTAAACAATAAATTGATTTGATGTTACCACTCCCGAGGCTCCAACCGAACCGCGGCATTCCCCCATCCCTTTCTGTGGAGCTTCTCCGCAAAAGCCAATTAAGACTTGTACTCTCCGAGCACTTGAACAGCATCTCTAGCCTTCAACTTTCTGTCTCTGCTGTACATACTCCATACCTTCATATTCCAGTTAAATACACTCATAGACAAAATGCCTCTCGCCAAGTCAGAATACTTGAGCGATACGTGGAAGGATGGCCTTTTCAGTATGTATTTCCACGTTGTATTCATAGTGGGCAACATGTGAATATCGCTGAACTCGGATAGAAAACAAGGTCGTCTTCTGCACCGGAGGTGCAGGAACCATCTGCAGTGCTCAGGTCCGCGCCCTCGTCCACTTGGGTGCAAATGCCTGCATCATAGGCAGAAACGTGGAGAAGACCGAGAAAGCAGCTCAGGACATCGCCACGGCTCGTCCAGGTGCCAAGGTCATTGGCATAGGCGCGGTTGATGTGCGCAAGCTCGACAGCCTGAAAGACGCAGTAGACCGCTGTGTCAAGGAGCTTGGCGGTATAGATTATGTTATGTATGAGCGCAACCCCTTGTCTTTGTTTGATTTCTTCAATTGACGTTGTTCAGCGCTGGTGCGGCCGGGAACTTCCTCGCTTCGATCAACCAGCTCTCGGCCAACGCTTTCAAGTCTGTAATGGACATTGATGTTCTGGGCTCTTACAACACCCTCAAAGCAACCCTTCCGTATCTGGTTGAGTCCGCCAACAAACACAAGGTTGACTCTAAGTCCCGTAAGTATCCAACGATCTATCTATGCTGTCGCAAGAGATATGCTGAATTGTTATCTAGTGAAGCCCTCTCCACTGGGCACCGGCGGACGCATCATCTTCGTTAGCGCTACCATCCATTACAGGACCATGCCTTTCCAAACGCATGTGTCGGTAGCGAAAGCTGGCGTTGATGCCCTGTCTCATAGTGTTGCCATTGAGTTTGGCCCACTAGGCATGACGTCCAATATCATTGCCCCTGGTCCAATCGCATCGACAGAGGTAGGCTCAACATCTCCATTGTTGAAATGGACAAACACATTCATGCTAACTGGATTAGGGTGTGGATCGTTTAGTTCCTGCCGATGCTATGGAAGGATACGTAAAGACACAGCCCCTGGGACGCTTTGGCTCTGTCCGGGACATTGCAGATGCCACGGTGTACCTCTTTGCTGATACCGGAAGCTATGTCTCTGGTCAAACACTAGTTGGTATGTGCCCTACGTTTCATTGAAAACAGGACGACTTGCTGACCTTTGTAGTTGATGGTGCAAGCTGGCGTATGTCTGCTGGTGGTGCAGCATCCGGAAACCTGGCTTATCCCGACTTCCTTCTTTCGGGAGATGCCGTTCCTAACGTAAAGGGACAGAAGTCGAAGCTTTGAGTTGATATTTGAACTTTCTGTATTTGCTTTATAGAATTAACGATAAGTTAGATATTCCAATTGGTACATGGTTGTGCACTTTATCTCTTGACCTCATGATTTTGCTGTACTTGTAGTCAATATAACCCCGTTTAAAAGGCGGAGCATACACAACGTTCCCTCATCGACTAAAAACTCAACTACACGTCCTTTCTCTTTATTCATGAACTTCCGCAACCGACTGACCAGTGATAATGGAACTATTCACTCCTCTTTTAGCAGCTACAGCTCCCTGCTATATGCAGCAACCCAATATGGTCCTGATTACTACAGCTCTTGGACACTCACATTCACTCAATCTTCCACTATCCCACCACAGCGATGGACATAAAAGCACCGAATTGCCTTTTAATGAAGCATGTATGCCCTCTTCTATTTCCATGATCATCCCTGTTGTTTCAAACCTGATGCATAGCGATAGTAGCATAATATCATACTTCAATTGCGTCTTTCCTTTTCTATAACTATCAACCTTTTACCTACTTTCACATTCGCTAATTCCAAACTGCCAACTTCCCTATTATATCTCGTTATCGGCCCCTTGATCTACTTCCATTCTATTTATGTTCATTGAATACTCTGTTCACCATGTCCTTCCACGGAGGATTCTCGCACTGTACCTGGCAACAGGCTGTAAATTGCACCGCATATCTCCACCACCACCAGCACAGTGCAAATATCGACCTACAGCAATCTCTAACAGATGGATATTATCTCCAAGCCAACAACCAAGAACTCATACAGACAATCAGCGTACTGCTGCGTGAGAAGGAAGAATGCAGGCAGGACCTCGACGCCGCAGACCAAGCGTACCAGCTCGCGCAATATGTGTCGTACGTTGCACAGTCGACTTTCGAGACCCAGAAGCACCATTTGCAATCAGCGGAGAAGGCCTACATGAAGGTTCAAGAGCACATGATGAGATATAGTGAGTTGTTGGCCGACGCTTGCGCGAAGACGAGGGCTTGGGAGGCTCATATTCGCTTTCGGGGGTATACGGTCGATCATTTGAATGCCATGTTGGAGGACAGGCAAGCCATGATCGACGAGTATCGGCGCCGTATGGGGCAGCTCGATAATGTGTGCTGGGCTGCGGATGTCTCTGCGTGGAGGTATCACCTGGTCGAAGCAGGTGAGATTCTGGGGGAGATACTTTTTCGGATCAGTCGTGCTGCTGATGAGATGGAGGGTCTCTGCAGGAGCTATCGACAATTTTTGGCTGATAGGATGGATATTGTCTCAGAGGTTGGTGATGGGGGAGAATCCATGTGGCGTGCTGCTTCTCGGGCTGCAGCTGGGGATGGTGATTTGGCTGATTTGGAACACAATTTAGATGACTTGATCAATGGGCGCTGGTCTGGTTGTGGGCTCAATCCTTTCCTGGAGCGAAACTTCTCGCACATAATAGCTGAGGCCCAGGCTAGTCGCGGAGCCAACGGGGCAGATGCACAGACACAAGAGGACAGTGAAAGTGAATACGAGCCGCCCGAGACAATACCTCAACCCTCTATCCCTATACCGCCAGGGGGTTATGCCAATTTAGGAGAGGGGCAGATGATTGCCAATGACACAGCCGCTGCAGGCCACATTTATAGGTGAGTGGATGATAAGACGCCTCAGGTAGGTAGTACTGAGCAAGAGTGTGCAGGGCAACACAACTGGTTTCATTCGTATGGCAGTCAACAGCAGGATATTGCTATGTTCACAGGATCCAGTCGGTCAGCTCATAGATTCGCATGTCTTTTCACTAGATGTGGAGCTTCCTCAAGTATCATAGAGGGCCTTTGATTGTGTCATGTACCCTGCTAACGCAAGGTCAGCGTGATATGATTGATAGAAATGACAATGATTCCATTCAACTAATACAGAAGCAACCAGTACCATAACCTGACCAGGGTGATTTATTACCTGGACAATGGGCGACAAAGGTCAGATGCAAGACAATGGCGGACCCTATGATAAAGAGGATTCCAGATGCTTTAATTTGCACACAAGTGACGGCTAACATACTCAACGTCGATAGCTTCTCTGCAAATCGTCTCCACGTCAAGTTCAGTCCTCCAGTCCAAGCCCACAGCCATTCCGACTATCCAAAGCTATCTGGAGAACAGCAATAAGGTCAAAAGAGAGGAAAAGTAATGTGCACCTTTGGTATTCCGAGATCATTTCGACCAAGGTATACGGGCGTGATATATTTCCCGGTGAAGGCCAGAGCACCAGCTCCACAACGACAATCAATACCGAGGTTCCGGCCTATAATAGACCTGCAGCGGATCAGAATCTCGCCATCGCTTCAGGTTGCAGGCTACCACGATATGTGTAATGGCATAGTAGCAGAAGAGCCATCGATATCGTCTTTGCGCTACAAATCTCCCTGCTTCCGAATGAATGCGAAAGGCGAGCTAGTTCCGATTCAAGATCCATACGTTTATGTCAAAGAGGAAACCGCACCAGCGACCGAGAAACCATTTAGTCAGGGAAGTGACACGGAACGGCAGAATCTGCAGAGAACATCCATCCCAAGGGTTGGGGTCATATGGTGGGTCTTATTGCTTTGCATCGTACTCTTGTGGTATCTGCGATCCAGTGGCGAGTCTAATCATCAGAAACTGCTGGAAACAAACCAGGGAGCGAACGACTTGCGTACAAGAATCCAGAGGAATCGGGACTCTGAATTTGAATTTATGCAAATGTTAGCCTACGAGATGGGCAAGAGATCCAATATAGATCCGATGGCACTGGGGTGATGTGGCCTCTTCGTCGTTCTTTGGATATCACATTTGTTAAGTCCCTGAAAAAATGCTCATTCTCTTGGGTGAGGAACAGACCGCTCCAATGACAAGAAAAGAGCATCATCATCAAAGGCTGAGTAACCCAGCCATGAAGTCCGAGGACACAGCGCAGTAGTGTTGGAGAGATCGTGTCTTGATCTTTTCGCGACAAACCACCGCGCGAATCGCAGTTGTTAGAAACGTCTATGGAGTGTGTTTCTGTTTCATTCGTTCCAACCTAACCTGGCGTCGGCGTCATGATTTTGATCCTGTTAACATTCTATGTAGGCGTTGAAAGTGAGAAGAGACCGGAAGCGGCGGAAAAGGTTTACACTGGTGCAGGGTCATGATAGATGGGATTTTCGGTATTGATAGCTGTTGTGGTATCTCGGTTGAGGACAAAGTTAATGTTGTTGTATATATTGAATACTAGTACTACTACTGTTGAAGAGCATAAGCTTTCATATCCTGCACATCCGAGTCTATTTTTAAGATGGAGTCAAACGACGGCCCCCAGTATGGGAGAGCGCTAATCCATAAGGAGCAAAGCCTGGAACGTAGTGTTGCGTCACGTCCTCCGCCACCAGGCATTCATCCAGCGAACCAGAACAATCCATAGCCGCCCTGTCCTTAATCTTCAGGCATACACATTTCCTTTATTCCCCCATTTCCATTCCCTACTACTTACTAGTCTCTCTCTCTGCCCTTCTTTCTCTCTCTCTCATTCTCCCATCATCATTCATCGTCATCTCCTTTGTCTTCATTCAACTTCTAATTCTATTCAACGATTCATATTTAATCCCAGTCCAACTCTCATGTTCATCTTCTAACTCCTTCCACCAACATCATGCATCTCCGCTCGTTCCTTCTCGGGAGCGCCGCCGTTCTAGGCGCCAACGCTTTCCTAGTCGTTCCGGAAGTCGAAGTAGAGGCCATCGCCTCTGAACCTGAATTTGCCGGTCTCCATCCTCTTGAATCTCACGCTTCTCAGCAACAGAATGTCGATCTCCTCTGCACTGAGTGCCCTTTCAAAGAAGTCAGCGAAAATGGGAAGGTCAGCTGGACTGACGGTTTCCAAACCGCCTTGGTAAGTGGACCCCCTCCCCCACCCATCGTAGTATAGAGCTTGTCGTTCTCAACCAAATCCATACAGAACCACTAATGATTCCCTACAGTCTCTAAACTTCTCGATCGACGATGGTACCTTGCTGGCCAACGGGCGTCAGATCTTCCCTCCCCCTCCTCCAACCATCATCACCGCCGTCCAGCGCCGCCTATCGGATGACGCGGAGTCGGAGCCTATCCCGTTGGGATACGCCGTCGAGATGCTGCCGCTGCCTTCTCCGCCTGAGGAACCCGTCGACTTGGTTGCTGTTCGTTTCACTGTCCTCGACTTGGACAGCCACCCTGTCCCGCTAAACACCGTGGCAATCAACCTCCTCCACGACCCTGAGGGCAATCTTTACATCGTTAAGACCGATATCGAGGACAACACTCCCAACCGTGTGTCTTGGAGACAGTGCCGCGGAAAGCCAATGTGCCTAAAGAGACTTTTGTTCAACCGGATTCGTGCGTTGTTCGCTGCTGCCAAGGGCCGTATGCTCGGAGTTATGGGCCCCAAGCCACACTGTGGTCGTCCCCGCCCTCCTCACCCCCACCACGAGGGCATGCCATTCCCGCCCCAGGCTGAAGGCCACATGGGACGTCCTGGCCACCCTCACCACCACCATATGCACCATGGCTCTCACGGTAACTGGGAGCGCACTGCCTCTCGCGTTGTTCGCTTCATTGTCATCCCGGCTGCGCTAGGTGTTCTGGCAGGATTGGCTGCCAGTGCTGTGGGTATGTTGGTTGGTCAGGTGGTAGTATTCTTGTGGCAGCGCTATCGCCGTTCTGACCGCGAAGAGTCTCTGGAGCAAGGCACTACTTCTGAGAAGCAGGGCTTGATGACCGAGACTACCGATCTTCCTCCTGCTTACAGTGATGAGGGCCCAGCCGAGGCAGCAGCCGACCACAAGAACTGAACGATTTTTTACTTTTTTGGGCGTTGAGATAGAAAGAATGTATCATCTGGGAAGGTCAAAAGGATCGGCGGGACGCTATCTTAGCTCTGCCAAATAGGAATAGGATCTAGGAATTTGGATTGGTTGGCAGTGGCTTTTAAGGATGATTGACTTCAAGCCTACTTTCTTTCATTTACTATCACCCTTCCTTCTATTTGGTCTACTACCTCATCCTTTTGTTATTACTATCTTTGTATATTTGCCCTTCCAGGAACGTGCCCCGCCTACGCGGTTTCACAGCTCCTGAGGGCTGTTGTGTAGTTCGGGTTTCGATAAGTTTAGGAATCGAAATTGTATTCGTCTCCGACTGCAATGCAATGTACACTCCAGGTATCGCTTAACAGCCCCGAGCCCGTCATCCTCCGCACGATAAGATATGATACAAGAGAACGAATGACCTTGTTCAATAGAACGTGACGCCGGCCGTTCTTGGCTGTTTCACCTGCAGGGCATCACGTGAGGGTCAGCGGCGGATGCCTTGATGGGCAGGCCGCTGGGCGTAAGGTTGATTCCCCTCTTCCGCTTCCAGCAGTCAAGTCTAAACATCTCCGGCTCCAAGTTACTGCGGCGCGTAAGCCCCTTGGAAGGATGTTGCGCCTGTCTTTACGATGAGCCTTGACTTACCATTTCCCACACTTCCAACCAAGGGCGTGCTTATATAACTACTGATTGCCCCGAGCTTGCTCGCCGTCGAGAGCTGCATCATCTGCCGCTTCCCGCCCGGCCTTAGCTTCAGCCTTACAACCTCCTCCGCTCAGGCAGCTGAGAGACGTCTCGGATTACCCGGTGTTGGGGGGTTCCGCAAGTCTGATCCGGCATCATGATGCAGTGGACGTCTTTCGTTCAAAAAGCCCAGTCATTGATCGACCCGGCCAACTTCACTCTCCCCACGCTCACTTCCACCGATCGCAACCCTTCGAAAGCTTCCTTGTTTCGCCAGCAATTTCGACTTCCGGATTCTCAGAATCCCCTACAAGAGATAACTGCTGAACTGATCCTTCCTATCCCACATACCTCGTCTTCCACATCATCCGGAGACCAACCTCGCAACCTTGACCGTGCCGGGAATCGCTATGCTGGCCGACTTCATTTGAGCGAACGGTTTATCTGCTTTACTACTCAACCTACCAGCTTCGCACCTTCTGCAACCCATAGCGCTTCAACTCATTGGGCCGGTCAAACAAATGGGACTGGTCCGTTCGGTAATGGGTTTACTCTCCCCCTTTGTTGCGTCCGTCGAGTGGAACGGCTAAATAGCTTGAGTCATGTATTCTCGCTCGCTCTCACAACATGGAACGGTGCGCTGGGGAAGCAACAGAGCCCCGGCTTTATCCCCCAACGATTTACGATTCAGCTGGTCGGGAGCAGGCAGGCCTGTGAACGATTCTGCGATGGGCTGAAGAAGGGATTACGAGAATGCATGAAAGAAATCGAGAATCTGCGGGTAGTCGTAAATGATTGTTATTCGGAGTACTTGCTGTCTGGTGCCAAGTCCAAGGCTCAGGACAGTGATAATGCCGAGGTGCGCCAGCCGCCAGATGCCGGCCTAGGGATGATCTTTCGCTACCCTGGAGATGCGCGCAAGCTCCGGGACAGAAGTAAAATGAGACTATGGGGGGAATATTTCAGAGGTATGATATCCTAGGCTCGGTTTCGCCCCCATGCAGACCGTGTATTAAAATCTCCTGTAGAAAATGGCCGCAACGCAACTCTTATTCGACAACCCACATTTCATAAGCTGATTCGGGTTGGGCTTCCGAACCGTCTCCGTGGTGAAATCTGGGAGTTGTCGTCCGGATCTCTGTACCTCCGCCTCAGATCGCCAAATTCATATACAGAGACACTTTCGAAATTCTCCGGGAGAGAGTCCTTGGCTATCGATGAGATTGAAAAAGATTTGAACCGGAGTTTGCCTGAATATGCTGGGTTTCAAAGCGAGGAAGGCATAGGACGACTTCGTAGAGTCCTGACAGCCTACAGTTGGACTAATGCGGAGATTGGATACTGTCAGGCTATGAATATCGTCGTCGCGGCTCTGTTAATGTATAACACCTCGTCGTCACCACCTTAAGTCATCGCTAACTCCATTAGTTACATGTCCGAGGCGCAAGCCTTCTTCCTCCTGTCCGTTTTGTGTGACCGTTTATTGCCAGGGTACTACTCAACAACCATGTATGGGACATTGCTCGATCAAAAGGTGTTTGAGTCCCTCGTCGAGAAAACCATGCCGGTCCTTTGGGACCATCTCACCAAATCCGATGTCCAGCTTTCCGTTGTGTCACTCCCATGGTTTCTCTCTCTCTATATCAACTCCATGCCTTTGGTTTTCGCCTTCCGGGTGTTGGATGTATTTTTCCTAGAAGGGCCGAAGGTTCTCTTTCAAGTTGGGTTGGCCATCCTGCGTATCAATGGCGAGGAGCTTCTGGACATACAGGATGATGGGTCTTTCATATCTGTCCTCAAGTCATACTTCTCTCGTCTGGACGAATCGGCCCACCCTAGATCCGAGAACCCCAAATTGAGGGCTATCACCCGGTTCCAGGAACTGATGGTAGTCGCTTTCAAGGAATTTTCAGGAATTACCCACCAGACGATTACGGAGGAGCGTGAGAAGCACAAAGACGCCGTTTTGGAGAATATTGAGAGTTTCGCGAAACGCACGTCCATTCGGAACCTGGGCCCGGACAGCAAGAAGCTCAGCATGGATGATTTGGGCGTGATCTATGACCGATTCTACGAGGTTCTCTATGAGCATCAGCAGCGGCAAAGACTTCTGGACGAAGAGAAGAAGCGCCAACAAAGGAAGAGAGTTGAACGCACCTCCTCCATCCTGGGACCTCCAGTGGACCGAGAAGTTGGCCGTGTAGGTCTCGGGCCCAGCCCCACTCACATGGATTACGATGCTTTCCGCGATTTTCTCGCGGCTACTGCAAAGTGGGCCGTAGGAGACACCCCGGGGTCTTCACGGAAGGAGTCGAATGCTGAACAGAACTCCAGTAGCTTCAGAGGGTTTGGGAAGTCTCTGGCATGGAACAACAAATCGGAGCCAGCGGACCACGAATTCATGCAGCGACTCTTCCAGAAGTGGGCCACAGAGCCATCTGAAGGGCTCAGCCTACAAAATGTGGTCAATGGACTTGCACGCCTCAAGGGACCCCGTGACATTATGAACAATATCAACTACTTTTTCGACCTGTATGATGATAATGGGAACGGCACTGTCGATCGGGAGGGAATCCTAAGAATGTCAGAAGCTCTCCTTTTCCTCTCTCGGCGAGGCTTTGACGGCGCAATTACCCCAAGTGAACCTCTGGAAGAGGCTAGCGAACGCGACCGTTTCGACCAGGATAAGCTGAGCACCGATGAGAGGTTCTTGGGGAGTGTCAGCTCGTTCATCCGTCGCTGTTTTGAATACGCCGATCCCAGTAACCCGGAAGGCAAGCCTACACAAGAGCAAAAGGATGCTGATACAGAAGAAGCAACCGAAAAGCTCGACGCATTTGCCATTGGTGACGACGAAGAAGAAGACCTCATTGATATTGGTGACGAAGCGAAACCTGAACCGTCCGATTCAAAGAAGCACGACAGTGATACCCAGCACAACCGGGGCGCATCAGAGGCTGCAAACCCAGCCCTCGACCCTAACAATCCTCTACACATCACCCTTCCCACATTCCGCATGGTCATATTGGCCGACGAGTTACTAGAGCAATTTTTCGATACGTTCTTTCCTCAGTCATTCCGTCTTTCCGACCAATCACTTCCCGCAGCAAAACTCACGTCTCTCTCCTCTAACCTCACCACCTTCTCTAACATCAACACGCCTAAACCCCACGCCAGCGCTGCTGCCGGTGCCACCGTTGCAGGTGCATCCGGTGGAATTGTTCCACCAGGCAAGGGCCTGCGTGGGGTCCTGGACAATATCGTTTCAGATGGTATCCGGATGGCTGCGGAGGTCAAGAAGCGCATGGACGAAGCACAACGCGAACTGGAACGCAACGCTCTCAGCCGGCCCCAGGAAGACGACGAAGAGGACGACGAGGAGGACTACGATCCTCGCAGTGGCAATTCGGCCCCACCAATCATCGTCGGCGGCATCTCCAGCTGGGGCGCCGGCGCTTACGGCGCAGACCCAGAACGGCGCAGCGTGCGCGACACGGACCGGGACCTCCTGGAAGGCGCCGAAGTGGTCAGCATCCACAAAAAGGAAGACGCATCTCTCCTGGACGACAAGGACGAACATCAACACAGCGCAGCTGAAGGGAGCAGCAGCAGTCACCACCACCACCATCAGCAGAGAGAAAGCTCGTCCCATCCCCATAATGATGGTAACGTCGTTAGCAAGGTTGAATTTGAGTCATGAGGTCTATGACTGGGTTTGGGATGTGTCGTTGTCTCTCAGTCTCTCTTGCTCATGATATGAGTGTTTGCCCTGCAATTACTTCCTGTCTTATCTCATTGTTCAGCTGCTGTTTGTCCTTGTCGTTGTCGAGTGTATCTCTCATTTAGATGGCCCGTTCTTCCCGTGGGGAAGTATGGTCAATATATGTATGTACTATGGATCTCCAGCGTTAACTTGAATCTGATGACTATGTGGCGTTGGATTGTGGAATGCTGCTCTGTTTTCTTTGTTTTGTGATCTTTGATTCTGTCGGTGTGCGCGATCAGATTATGCAAGAGAACTGACATGGTTAGATCTGCATATAGCAACTCAATACAACTACCTAGATATACCTCAATACTATGCGTGATAACCAGGATATAAATGAACGTTTGAAGTGATAGATGGTGTGAAAATTTGTGTATGTACAGGGCACTGTTCTCTGAATCTATAAAACAATGGCAACGAACAGTGAAATATGAAGCATGACAAAAAAGGGGTATAGATCAAGAATAGAAAGAGTAAGGGTGATAGATAGAACAAATAATCAAAATGCAAACGGAGGCTTGTATCGCCGCCGAGTTGAAGATTTTTCGGTGAAAGGTATGATATGATGTGAGGCGATGTGAGAATAAGAATGGGGGTAGAGGTCATCCAGATATACTAAGGCACAGCACATTTTCATCATAAAGTTCTGCCGCGGGGTACATCCTGCGAGGACGAAGGAGAAGCGAGGTGTCAGTACGACTCAATGAATCTAATCCTTCTGCCCTTCATTCTCAATTAATTCGAGAACGATCTGGTTCCGTTCGTACTCCGGATGCTGCATGCAGATTTTGACAGTTCGGCCGTTGTTCGCTAGGGCAACGCCGTTGGACAATCCGCTGGACAGGTTCACCGTGCCACCTGTGGTAGTGGGAATACTATTTGCTCCGGACCCAGGCATGCTGCTGCCATCATCAAGACAAACGACGCCATGCCCCGGGATAACCTGGCGTAATCGGCCATTCATCGCATTGCGCACCTCGACAAAGTCTTCGTTGAACAATATCAAGAACTTGCCGTAGAGACAGGCCGTATGGGCACGTCCGACAAACTCCATGACCACACTACGTGACACATCTCCATGTTTATTCACGTAAACCGCGCATTCAGCGTACACAACCAAGAACTCGCTGTCACTGAGACGGAACATACCCAGAGGGCGCAAGTTGGTAATACGGGCGGCGATACTGGTAAGCTGGGCTTGTGCCTCTGGAGCCTCCGAACGGAAATCAGGAACAGACCAAGTCTGTTTCTTATCAATTGTGAGAATCTCGATGCCGCGCTGGGTGGAAATTGCCAGGGACGAATGGAACATATTGATGCTGTAGCTTTCTGCCGGGATGTAGAACTCGTCATATTCACGGAAGAATTCAGTTTGCGAACGACGGGAGAAGAAACGAGTCTTGCTCGTTGATGATTTCTGCAGGACTGGCTCCATGATCTACACCGAATTAGTCCCGCAGACTTCTGGAGCTAGGAGAGCATGAACAAACCTTAAAAGTTGAGGACAGTCCATCTCGCTTTTTATACATCACCAATGTGCGATCCTTCATGTGTCCTGCGGCGAAGAAGCCCACTTCACGACTGCCTGATATTTTCTGCGGTGCTCGGCGAGCCGAGTCGCTCGTAGTTGGGGTAGAGACGCCACTTGGTGGGCACACAACGTCCAGATGGTAAGCAATCAAGGATTTGTCGGCAATCAGGAGGAATACATTGAATTCTTCAAAGACGGCGATCTGCGTGACTCGGGGAATTTGGATTGCCTAAAACAATGTTAGTCATATCACAAACGACCGACTAGAGACATCCACGCAGTAGAGAGAGATACATACCCGAACCCAACCACGAGGATCATTGTATTCAGAGATATAAACCCCGTTATCAGTCCCAATTGCACACATCATACGACCAGGAGGCTGTTGAAAGACAGTGGCAGAGTGAACGCTTGCCCGACAGACGGGTGCTGGTCTCTTAAGGTCGGCAAATCGCTGCTCAACATCTTTAATCGCACGATCTAGAGGCGTACCTTCGATGATAACGCTCTTGGGGGGCGGGGAATAGTCTGAAGAAGCGAAGGCAGTGTCCGCAAGTACGCGGAGTCTGAAAGGCTCCGCATTCTGCGCAAATAGGGCTGCAGCATGTTTTGTTTTCGCCTCGATAATCTTCTCACACCAATCCTGTCGGGTCTGAGAGGAAGAAGCGTAGAGTGTGTACGTCCCGTTCTTCCCCAGATGTTTGATCTTGAAAGGATAAAGGATTTTGTTATCCGTGGAATTCTCAAGGACTGTGGTGGGAACAATCGTCTTGCCCGCCGCTGCACCAGCAGCGTTGGCGCCATTGCCATCTACAGCGCGGGTGGCCACGGCCTGAGGCTGAGTCACAGTCGCGACGCCTCTCACTGAGGATTTGACGACAGGATCTTCATTGGTGCTTTCAAGAACTAAGAGATCCATGGGAATAGGCAATTTCGACACGTCGAAAAACTTGTATTTGGGAACCGGCTTGGCTAGCACCAGATAATGGTCAAAGAGGATGGCGTGGGTCTCCTGTAAGAAACGGGTTCGGGTTCCTGGCCGCTGCAGTACCCCTTGGTGGACAATTTCACGTCCCAGATGTTCCAGATTCAGTTCGACTTCCCTCTTCATATCTGGGCGGAGCTGCAACTTGGCGGCCAGTTCCATGAGACCAACCTTCTTGGTTGTTTCACCCACCTTGTTGTCACATTCCAAGGCAACCAGCTTAATTTCTTCAATCGCTTGCGCCAGATTTGCCTTTTCCTCACTATCCTTGAGCATATTCTTATGCACCGTGGCGAGCAACAAAGTATATCGCTGAATTCGGGTGATAGGGGCCTTAAGGTAAGTATCCCAACTCAAACGGTTCGATAACTTGTGACTCTGGGCCTGCTCAAGGAAATGCCGGAATTGGATGTTCCTCTCTGCTTCACTCCTAACAAGATAGTTGGCATGAGGAAACGTTGCCGCATAGTCAATGTAGACTGCTTTGGCTTTCCGGATCCATTCGCGGAAGATGTCACTGAAACCGCCGATGAAGGGACCCTGTTCTTTCTGCCGATACTTCAGCTGGGCCAAGAGGTGATCCTCATTAACCCTCTTCACCAAATCGACTTTGCCAAAAACATCTTTCAAGAACTTATTGGCGCGTTTTGGAGGAATGATGCTTGGCTGCATACCCGCTAGCTGATCCCGATACAATTCGCGCAGGACATCCAATTGCCCAATAAAGGAGTCCTCCGTCGTCACGATCTCGTGGAGATTATTCTGGCGGTCAATTTCCTTCTTCGGATACGACTCCCACAACTCCTTCGGGACCTTGTAGAAGGTCACCCAATCTTCGGCCTTCTTCTGTTGCTCCATCACTTGGGTTCGCAGATTCACTTTCTTCAACGTTCGCATGCAGTGATGAGAGTAACAGCGTCCAAAGACCTCAGTTTCCTGCTCGTGCAACCGAGATGAATAGCATCCTGTGCCGGTAATCTGGAACAAAACGCCGGACAAAGACCCATGGCCGAACTTAACCCATTCCTCCTCTTTGATCAAGGCCTCCTCCGCCAACATGTTCTGCACGACACGGGCGGCTAGTGTTTCTGCATCCGCAATGTTCATCGTCGGCACCTTATGAGTGAACAAAGCGACGATAGCATCGACTATCGTGTGCTCCTTGAGATCAGTCTCCTCCTCGCTTAGCTCCCGAATCCATTCCAGAATGGCACTCAGCGCCCACGGTTCCGTACAACGACGGAACTGCTCCGTGGACAGTTTGGTGGGATTGAACTTCTTGCGGCGCCCGGCGGGAATCGTGGGCAGATCCAGGGTCATACCTGCCGCGGCCTGTTGTGGGGACGCCACCTTCGGTGACCCCGATTGACGGTGCAGGTCGTGCTGTTGCTTGTACTTGGCCCGGTCTGCATCGGTCTTGGATCTGATAGGGGGGTCAGTACGAGGTCCAATCGGGTGACTCGATAAAGAGCTCGACCGTGGGACTTGAGATGAGGGGCTAGGCACGGTCGGCCCGTACGAGTCAGTAGTAGCAGGGTAGTAGGAGGGTGTATACTGAGTAGCACTCTGCCAATCTCCCTGCTCTTGATGCCGGTACGTCCCCGCCGGCATCAAATGCGGGATCAAATCAGCTCTGTTCGCAGGTTCCACCGGCGCTGGCGGTAGAGGTCGCATGCCGGGGTGAAAAAAGAGATCTCCGGGCTCTTCTCCTCTGTCTGAGTCGTCGCTGCCCGATTGATGGGAACGACGCACAGGCGATAATGTTCCCTCATCCCCATAATCGAAGCTCATCCGCCGTCCATAGGCACTAGGCTCGGACAGTCCACCTGTGCCGCCGGCGTCAACACGCGCATGGGACGGCACCAGTTCAAAGGGGTATTCAGCGTCCTGGGTAATAGGAGGATACTCGTAGTCGTCCGAGTATTCCCCACGATCCTCCGCGGACACGTTCGAGCTCCTCAGCGAGCCGGAGGTGGGCGCCAGTCGGCCATGGTCGACAGCATCAGCGTACTCGTCGGCGGATACGTCTGTCTCCTCGTACTGGTTCTGTCCCCGGAGGTTCCCGCCGTACCGCGCTACCTCATCACCCGCCTCTGCCTGTTGTTGGCTGGCATATGCACTGATGATGGACGCATTTGTCTCGCGTCGTTCGCGTTCCTGCAGACGCTCAGCCCGCATCCTGTCTTCCTCGTCGGCCATCTGCAACATCGCGAGACCTGCGGCCGCTTCGGCATCACTGTCGTCGCTATAGGCATCATAATTGACATACTGCCCCGTTCCTGTTGCCATATTCCCGTTGGTGTGCGTATGCCTCTCATCAGGCGAGAGACGCATGCCATCCCCTCCGTGGTTGGAGTTCTGCGCCTCCAAACGCAACGATCTTTGACTACTTCGGTCTCCGGCCTCTAATACCGCCGCCTCAACTTCTTTCAGCAGGTCATCATAGGCGGCTCTTCCATCCGGTCTGCCATGCAAACTCCCTCCGTTGGTCAATGGGGCAGAATCGCCCTCCGCATCGACTGGTGGACCAGGCAGCGGGCGCGATTGCGGATGTCGAGTCAAGGTATCTGTTCTCTGCGGTGACATTTGTGACTGAGGTGGGTAGATCGGCGGGGTTGGTAGAGATCGCCCAGACCCGGGACGGGTCAAGCTCGGTCGTTTTCCGTACAAATCGTCGCCTGACGACGCATGGGCGGGCGGCTCTGGGGGTTGGTCCTCATGAGATGCGGCGGTGGCGGACTCAGATCTGCGAGGAGAGGACGGTCCATAGGATCCACTGGAGTAGGGGCGAGACTGCGCTGAACCCATGCCGGCGAACGACGACCCATAGGTTGCGCCGGGGGTTGACGGGGAGGCAAGGTTGTAGGATGAGGTCGCTGGAGCCAACCCGTAAGGTGTCCCGGGAGAAGGGCTGCTATACTGGGGCGACAAACGACTTCCATACGGATGATCCGGACCTCGCGGAGGTGGTGGCGGCGGTAGCGAGGGAACCGGTGGTGCATAGGAGAGTGGTGTCGGAGGTGCTTGCGCGTAGCCGACACTAGGGTGTCGCTGGACACCAGCCGAGCTGTAGCCAGCGACGCTGGTGGTTTGGTAAGCGGCTGGATTGTATGGTTGATGTCCTAGGGCCGAGCTGTTGCTTGCACTAGAATATGCCAAGGGGTTGTAATTCAATTGCGACGGCGTCGGAGGGACGGCGTATTGCTGGGGGTTGTACGCCGCCTGGGTCGGTGAGGAAATGGATGAGGTATACTGGTACTGATAGCTGGACTGCGAGGAGGCGCGACTGCGAGGAATTTGGGGTGCGGTTGCGGAGGGGAGGTGTGCATATCTGGGATGGTCCGCGTACTCCTGTCGGTCATTGCTATAACCTCCTTGGGAGTCCCCAGCACCCCACTCGGAATAACGAGCGCTTGCGTCTGTCGGTCGTGGGTTATGAGAATGGGACGGCGCAAAGAGACCCGCATCGTCCCCTATACTGTAGCTCGGCATCCTCCGGAGTGTCGGGTTACTCTGCGAGGTAGAGGGAGCGGAGGTATACAGGTCATAGCGGGAAGGCTGTGCGGAATTTCCAGACTGTCCATATGGTGGCTGGCCATTTTGATAGTGAGCCATCGTGTGATCCGCACGAGACGGGCCCGGAAGGGAAGCTGAATAGGGGAAAACGAGAGACGTAGGGAGGAGGGGGTGTTCGTAGCGACAGAGGCTCTGCTGGCGTCAGGGACTAAGACCCCGGGGGGGCAGTGGGGAAATTGCCAAGGCAGCGATGAGGGCAGGCTGAAACGAGCGAACAAGTAGGGGTCAGCCGGTGCAGTCGATCAGGGGGGTAGAAAAACAAACAATAGGGGTTGCAAATGGGAGGAAGAACAGAAGAGGAGTGTCGCTGGTGTGGTTGTTTGTTGTCAGACTCGTCAGCCTGATTATTGTGATGGACGGAAGGAAAGGCTGAGGCTCAAGACCCATTTCATCCACTCAGATGGTTCCGAGCCTGACCCATCCCCACATTTCTCTGGAGAAACCGAAATTAGAACAGATGGGTACCTCTGGGTGTGACTATATAAGCGAAAGGATCCATACATACTCACTCACACACACACACAGAAAGGAAGACACAGAAAGATTGTCGTGAACAGAAGACGAGAAGTGAGGGGAGGGAGTGTGTAATGAGTAAAATACTTTTGTAGAAGAGAGAACGAGAGAGAGGAGAACACCTGACCCAGGATTACTGTACTACAAGAACAGCTGTTCCCAAATTGTATTGTTTGGGCATCACTGACCGTACCGTATGGTAATCTTTCCACTGGGCTCCCAAGGATAATACTACTAGTAGTAGTACATACATTCACAGTCCCTCGCCTGTATCTGCGTTGCCAGTTTTTTTTCTTGGCTTGAAATGAACCCACTGAGTGGAAAATACCCACTACCAACTAGTGAATTGTTGGCCTATTGGCGATCAAATTGCCCGAATACGAGAAGATTGCCATTTATATCGATTGGATTGCTTTTGCCAGAAGGTCAGATCGTATGGAACTATAGGTAATACTAGTAGTACATTGTCATTGAAACATGGGTCGACGCCTATATATTTTTTCATCAAGACCGCAAATCCAATCTCGAAGCGAGTACCTCTGGTTAGTATATATAATAGTACTACTATACTATACTGTAGAAGCCCAATTAATCTAGTCCCGGGCATTGGAACAAACAGCTGTTCATTAATCAAAACTTCACAACTAACCGCCCGCGAAATGATCTGGATAAATACATCTCGGGGACCCGCAGGATATCAATCATCTTTCTTCACCACTGTCCAACTGAGCCCCGAACTCCATGTTGATCTACCACCGCCATCATCCCCTCCACCTCTTCTCGACTAGCAACGTAACTTCTTCGTAGAACCAACTCACGAAAGACAATGGGATGAGTATCAAATCTTCACTGTTCTGGCGGCAGACCTAAAAGGACCGCTACGCCGCCAATTCGCAGTAACCCCAAGCTCCAGGCGTTGACGGCAATTGAATCTGCACAATTGATCACTGCGGCTAGGCCTTCACCCCCAGTTAGATCCAGAACTTTCTCGCATGCATCGTCACACGTAGAGGTTATTAGATGATCCGGCTAAAGCACCGTGGGCATGCCGTCCGTAAGCTGTAGACTAGCATCTCGGCTATCAATCGCCACCGTTCGGTATCCCAGCGCTTTAGCAAGCTGTACACCCAGCTGCCCGAGCCCCCCGGCCCCAATCACACCGATCGGATCACCTGCTTGGAGAAATGGTCGCGCCTTGTTGGTCGCTCCCCAAACGGTGGCCTAAATCTTCGTCCTGGCTCCTCTCCAGTGGAATATAGGAATAGCGACGTACCCCCGCACATAAAAGTGGCGCTCCTTGTTCAAAGGACATAGAGCCAGGAAGAGCGATTGTTGTCGCTGAGTCGGCGACCATATACGTGGCAAAACAACCGTCGTTCTTGAAGCCTCCTCTGTCTCTGTGATCACAAAATCGCGGATCCAGCTTTCCATATATTTTGCGAGACCCTCTGCATCCAGCATAGTTGTCGCATGCATTTTTGAAATTTAAGATACCCACCCGATCGCCGACTTTCGTTTTGAGGCGGATTCCTTCCCTACCCGCACAACTGTGCCTACCGGCTCATGGGATGGAATCAAGGACAGAGGGCTGTTGAGTTCTCCGCACCGCACTTGGATATCCGAATGACAGAATCCTGCGGCGTGTATTTTGACGAGGAGCTCATTGGGACGGAGCTGGGGAGTATTGACCGTTGAAATGGTGTACGGTTTGTTGAACTGAAGGGCGTTAGGGTAGTGGTTGTTGATAGGATGATGGAAACGCATACTGCGGTGATTTGGGCTGCCCACATCGTCTCGGGAATGGACGGAGGCATTTTTTGAGCGGGAGAAGCTCACAAAAGGATGTAGTGAGCAGTTAGTAAGATAGAGGCATTTGTATTTTTATGCTCTAATCTACAGCAGCAGTGAGCGGAGTAGTACAGCGCTAGCATTAGTGTTGGAGAGATGAAGCCATGCACTCCGTGGCACCATGCGTTTCTCCAACTAATTACTCCAACCCTAATCATTCCATACCGCCGAACTTTGGCTAAATCAAGAGTTCTATATCACAATCAAAGAAGGGCCTCCTGCTCGATTTCCGAAGATAGCTTAGTAGTCATATGGTGACTTGACATTTAGTTTAGCCAGTATATGTTGGTGTTAGTTGTTTAAAGGCCCCACGAGGGCTCTCTGATCCATATGTCTCTAGAATGATTGATTACGAATTCAAACATATCCAGAAACGTCTATGTGATGGGGTTATCTAATCTATATGGGATCCTAATAGCCGAAGGAAGAATGATGTATACCCGAAAATGCAAAAGGTGTGGCTAGAACCTCGCCGATCTGGTGCCTAGACCCTCTCCAGGCCATGACATGACTCGATACATACCATACCAGAACAGGCAAATGATGTTTCGAATGATTATTGAAGCCGTTTTCGTCCTTTGCGGAATGCGACACATCCGTGGGAACATTTTTCCGTTTGGGCAGCCACCCATACTGCATCCTATATAGCATGCAACGGGGGTTATATAAAGGTATTTTGTGAAGGTCCCCTAGATACCTCAAAAGTATCTGAGACACTTCAGTGTAATTGTTAAGTTCAATCTGAGAGGCGAGTCCTGAGTTTCCCAGATACCGATATCGTGTAAGCCATTCTACTACTTTTGCGAAAGGTTATATATAGTTCATTGAGAGGCATTTCCGGCCGACATTGATACTTCAAATCATTCTTCATTCGTCAAGCTCTCGATGTGCTCGCTAGCCAGCCATCTAAATCTTATCAATGGTAGGCATCTTGACGTGATTCCTACTTCTGGAGGAAGGTGGTATTCGGTTCTGAATACAACTTCCGTTCCAATTTGTGATGTTGCATTCGCGCCAAGAGAACCAAGTTTAGGAAACGCCTCTTGATTTGACTTGCACTTTGCGGAAAATTGACACGGTACCTGCTATTGGTGCATGCTATAGATAGAATGGAAAGAGGAGTTGGTACTAAACATATCAATGGGTGGTTGACTTGGTAGCATGTAGATGGGAGCGTTAATTGCTGACCAGGACGCAACAGATGCACCCACACTGCAATCGGAAGAAACGAATTAATACGATTATGTTTACATATTTTGATTACCTGGCTTTCGTTTGATAGTACTAGTATTGGTTGAATTGGCGCTGCCATGTTGTTTGCGGAGTGGGTATCAAGGGATGTCCTTCCAGAAGCGGCATCCCTTGATAAGACCACGCATTCATCGATCCAGGCCCGCCTCTTTCTCACTGGCAGAGGCTCACTTATCTTGCACCTGTTGCCCATGTCCAACATGAGACGTAGAGAAGCTCGGGTGCCATAGCCAGGTGTCAATAGTCTGACGTTGCATATAACGTCACGGGTTCCATTAAAACCCGACGCCAACCCTATCAGCACCTTTAACCTTCACTTTTATGAAGTCTAGGGTGTAGCCTAAGGATTCATGACTTGTATCTCTTAGAGGTAATATTCTTGGGGATTGCCAGTATCAGCAAACAACATGGACTCCGGGTTTATTCGCGAGAATATCCCTGCCATCGCATCGATCGCTCTGTTGGTATACGTTCTCTCGGTAGGTAGCTCACTGCCTCTGTTGTATCGCAGCCTCAGCTGATTCGCGTCATAGGTCGTATACCGGTCGCAGAAAAGTCACCTAAGCTACTTACCCGGTCCCTGGTATACCAAGTTTACCGACCTCCTTCTCCGATACAAAGTCGTCACCGGCCAGCGGCCCCGATATGTCCACGCTCTACATGAAAAATATGGTTCGTCGCACATTCAAGATATACATAAACTTGGCTAATGATGGGTACAGGCCCCGTTGTGCGAATTGGACCCGACGAAGTCGATGTGTCTGACATCAGCGGCGCGCGAGAAATCCATCGTATCGGAAGTGGTTTCCTTAAATCCCCTTGGTATTCCCTCTTGAACCGCAAGGATACACAGAGTATCTTCACCACCACCGACCCCAAATACCACAATGCCCATCGTCGACTCCTCTCATCTCCTATGTCTGAACTGTCACTCAAGTCGATGGAGCCACTGATCGACTCTCGAGTGCGCCTGACGATCCAGAAAATGCAAGAAGAGATGAAGACTCGTGGCGTGGCGGACGTCTATAAATGGTGGTTTTTCATGGCCACGGATGTCATTGGAGAGATTACCTTTGGAGAATCCTTCCGCATGTTGGAAAAGGGAAAGGTTAGTGGCTCGTTTCTTCGCTCGGATGCTGTTTAGCTAATGTACCGCAGAAAAACCAATATGTCAAAGACATCGAGATGACCTCGATGATTGGTGGTATCCGTGCAAGTTTCCCTATCCTCGTCAAGTTGGCGACGCTCCTCCCTTTCCCCATCATCAAGGAGGTCAACGAAAGCGGAGACCGTGTGTTCGGATATGCGACAGAGTCTATTAATCGGTATAAGCGTCTCTTGGCTGAGAACCCGAACAACCCAAAACCGACCGTCTTCACCAAGTTGTACAATGCGGGCGAGGAAGGTCTGCCGGATAATGAAATCCGAGACGATGCGCAAAGTTTCATCGTGGCCGGTAGCGACACTACTGCCAACACTCTGACCTACCTGGTCTGGGCTGTTTGCCGGGACCCTCAGATCAAACAGAAGTTGGTCGACGAACTGGCAGAGATTCGAGATGACTTCACGGACGAGGACCTGCGGCCACTGCCTTACCTGAACCAGGTAATCAGCGAGGCTCTCCGTCTCTACCCTGCTGTTCCTTCAGCCCTGCCACGCAGCGTGCCACCGAAGGGAACGACAATGGGAGGCCACTGGATACCTGGGGGTTCTACAGTGGGCACGCAGCTGTATAGTTTGCATCGTGATCCGGTTGCTTACCCCGATCCGGAGAGGTAAGAATTGCCATAAGCGAATGACCCGTGCATTGCTGAGTACATATCAGATTCGAACCGTCTCGGTGGGCCTCACCTACAAAGCTCATGAAAGACGCATTCATGCCATTCGGGGCTGGATCTCGCAGTAAGTTTCTATGCTTTTCACGCTCTAGTAGCTACAACACTCACATGGACAATGCAGATTGTATTGGACTGCACCTCGCAAAGGTGGAGCTGCGACTCGCAACCGGCTACTTCTTCCGCTACTTCCCCAATGCTAAGGTTTCTAGCAAGTACGACTTCAACGATAACGACATGGAACAGATGCTGTTCTTCTTAATGTTTCCTAAGGGCAAGCGGTGCCTCGTGGAGGTGTGATGGTGTAATGTATAATTATCCGAGGCCTGTTATCGTTCGTTATCGACGGGCCACAAGAAAGAGCCGAGCGAAAGCCATATTGTGGATCTCTTGCGTCAGGCACAGTCCCTGGCTGATTCCACCGCGGATTCAATTCCGTGGTTTCTCTTGGCTCATATGATGTTATTTGGGGTAGGGAATAATGGGATCTAGTATCTGATTATCAATGCTCATATAAAAGGTTCTGGTTGTGAATGGTAGGATATGGCTTCGGATGTAGGATGAGTACGAGCTACTCAGTTTAGATAGCCTTCGCTGTTTTGAAAGCCACGAACTTTGTCCTTCTCTTCGATCTGAAGCTATATCATCCGATCATTGCCCAAACTGACAGCCTAAACGTGGTTCAAACTCAATAGCCCAAATGCTTGATGCACGTTCAAAAGCCGCTAAGACTAGGGAACGGGTGCCAAGAACCGCAGCTGTGCGACGGACCGAAAGTAAGCCCTAAAGATGGGATCGGCAGAGGCATGCCTGCTCGGTGCAAAGAGGGCACCACGAGCGTTACCTCTCGTTTGGAAATTAACGCTTCTTAGCGATGGCTATGACTGTCGTGGCCGGTGCTCTGAGGAAGAAATAAGGAATACTACGACTGAGGTAACCCATATCTCTGTATCTCTTCGGTATATCGCGATGCCAGGAGGGAGCTGATTCGATATCGGGGCCCATTTAGCACTCCGAAAAGGACGCGCCATGCCGACTAACCGGGTCAACAGACCCAGCTTCGGGATGAAGGTGTCCACCGCTAATTTCTTAGTCCCGAAAAGACGTGCTCACCGCGGAATTACGTCCATGCTGGATCAGCATCCCGGTGTGCTGATTCGCCGAGGGGAAAATTCTTGGTCGACAAGTTCTTAAATCTATATGTTAAGTCGGCTGACCCCATGGGTGCTGGCACTTGCAGGATTGGTAGAACCCCCCAACTCTGGACGATGCGCTACACTACGGCAAGTCACCCCGATGATTTGGGCTTGAATTTTTGACCCACTGTAGTCTCTCTTCGAAGAAATAAGAAAAAGAAATAGCCAGCCAGGCCACCTGCTAGTCGTAGTGAAATTCTTTCCGGCTGTCGCTCCATACCCGTGTAGACTACGTGAAAGCTCGTGAGACCTACGGCATAGGGATTTTAGGCATCGGGATCATGACTCACGGCCTTGTGGAAAAGGCCTCGAAGGAGACGGTCAGCGCTACCTCTGGAGGGTATCTGGCTCCCCTGCCGCCTCGAACTGTCGACCTCGAGTCACAGCGCCGTCCTAGCACCCTCCACGATAGCGTCGAGCTTGAGCGCATCAACACATCTCGCCTACAGCAGCAACTTACCGTTGGATCGAATCGCAGCCGCATTCCTCGAGAGCAATGGCTGCCCATGGGAGCAGGAAAAGACTACCCCCCTCCCCTACCGGACGCAGAAGAATACGTGGTTGAGTTTGAAGGATCGGACGACCCCATGCATCCCCAGAACTGGCCCATGAGAAGGCGGTATGCTGCACTTTGATCGCGATGTGGCCCAGGCACCGGCACTAATCCAACCACAGTGTTCTTATAGGGTCGCTCTTGACTTTCTGTGCACTTGTCACGGCGTATGCAAGTGCTGTCTTCGCCACGGCCTCGGAGGGTGTTATGAAGGAGTTCGGATTCGGTAAAGAAGTCGCTGCGCTGGGTACAACGCTATATGTGCTGGGGTTTTCTGCTGGGCCGACAATATGGGCGCCGGCGTCTGAGTTGATCGGACGACGATGGCCCTTGTTAGTTGGCATGTTCGGATTCGATATCTTCACGATCGCCTGCGCGACGGCGAAAGACACGCAAACCATCATGTTGACCCGCTTCTTCGCGGGATTCTGCGCCGCTAGTGTCATCGCTCTTGTCCCGGCCAGTCTGTCGGATCTGTTCAATAACCATCATCGAGGGGTTGCGATTGCCGTGTATACGATGTCGGTGTTTACCGGACCGTTTACCGCGCCGTTTATCGGTGGGTTCACAGCAGAGAGCTACCTAGGTTGGCGGTGGACGCTCTATATCCCGGCCTTTGTCGGGTTCTTGAGCTTGATCCTAATGGCGTTGTTCGCACAGGAGACGTACGCGCCCGTTGTATTAATGCAAAAGGCGGCCATCCTGCGCCGTCAAACCAGGAACTGGGGTATTCATGCGCGGCAGGATGAACATGAGATCGATTTCCGGGAGCTGGTGACTAAGAACCTGGCGCGGCCCTTTCTGATCTTGTTCACCGAGCCCATCGCCTTCCTTCTGACCCTGTATATGTCCTTCATCTATGGACTGGCCTATGCGCTGCTGTCGGCCTACCCGATTGTCTTCCAAGGCACCTATGGTATGACCGGTGGAGTGAGCGGATTGCCCTTTATTGGATTGATTATTGGTGAAATCTCGGGCAGTAGCTTCGTTCTCTCGCTTCAGAAATCGTACTCCCGGAAACTGGAGGCTAATAGTAATGTGCCTGTACCTGAGTGGCGATTACCCCCTTGCATCGTAGGTGGTGTTGCGTTTGCGGGAGGTCTCTTCTGGTGAGTGACCTTCTCCTAGACTCGATCATGCCATATGTCTGGCCATATGCTTGGCCGTATATGCTTGGCCAAGACATGGAGTTGACAGTATGTAATAGGTTTGGATGGACAGGTTGGAACCCCTCGATTCATTGGATGGCTCCCACGGCGGCCGGCGTGATGGTCGGATTTGGCATCACATCGATATTCATGCAGGGGTTCAATTACCTGCTAGATTCGTATCTGAATTTGTAAGTGGCATGTTCCTAGACATTTAGTTATTCTCATGCTAACGGATTCTGTTTTCTTTCTGTTTTTTTTCTCAGTGCGGCATCGGCGTTCGCAGCTAACACCATGATGCGATCCATGGTGGGAGCGTGTTTCCCACTTTTCACACGACAGATGTTCAACAACCTGGGCATTCAATGGGCAGGCACCTTGCTCGGCTGTATCGCCGTCGTGATGATTCCGATCCCGGTGCTTTTCCTCGTATTCGGCCCTCGACTACGTCAGAGGAGTCGGTTGGCACCAGCCGTAGGGGTAAAACGGGCGTAGAATGACGGAAATTCTCAATGGTTCTAGGGAGAGATCTTTGCATATGATTGGGTTTCTGTTATTCAGCTGGCTTGGAAGGATTCCATAGATTTTTTATCCATGTCGAATCACACCGCGATTCGTTTCTTCTGTGGGCACTGAGGGAAGGAAAGCCGAACGTGGTCACGAGAACACCACCGTTCACGGAGTTGGCTTAATTTCCGAATGAGAATAATCAGGCTTTTCACCAAGAGAGCAGAGATCGACAGCGGGCACGGGTCTTATTGGTGCAGGACTGTGTTAAGAAAGAAAACGAATTGCAGCCAGTGAGTAACCGGAGACTCCGAGACGGATCTTCATCGCCAAAAAGCTTCAGTTTAGGGCCGAACATGAGTGGGGCGACCCTGCATTGCGCACCCAAGGGTCACATTAGGCCATGTGGTACATGTGATTCAGCCGTTTCGCCGGATCGTCAGTCAATCTGGTCCCTTTTTTTTTTTTTGGTTTCTGTCTCTGTCGATGTACCGCCGTTTTCCTTTTATGCTTATGCGTTGACAGTTCGTATGGGGTTCCCGGGGACTGGTATGCAGGGAGAAGTTAACCCGTAAGCGGCAAAACCGACAAGACGGACAAGACGGACAAGACGTACAAGCCTTGCAACCAAGAGCCCGTCCTCGTTGGATCAGCATCCTTTTTGAACATGCCGAGGCTGATTTCGTGGGGTTCTTCGTCAGCTTAAGCAGTGGATCCCCGTGGATGGGTACTGTCAACGGGTCCAATTCAGCTCGATCCGGCCAAGAGTGTCGATGGTAGACTATTGAGATCGCGCATACCATGTCTCACATTTTTTTCAGCGGAACCATGGACAAACCGATTGTCGGATCGGGGATATCGATTCTGGAGGGGGTCTGTATACAGGATGGAACTATTTAAGGGGCGTGGTTTCCACTGTCCGCTCTGTTCATCTGTCCATCCTCGCAATTGCATTGTCTCAATCCCTTGAGTAGACCCTGCGACGCACACTGGCCAAGATGCGTTTCATTTCCGGCGTTGTGTCTGTTCTGTCCTCGGTGGCCCTGTTGGGTTACGCTTACCCCACGGCAATTGATATTAGAGGTACTAAATCTCCTTCATGGACCTGCTCGACGGACACCGGCTCACTGTTTAGACATCCCGACCACCCAGCTCGATGACTTCAAGTTCTGGGTGCAGTATGCGGCTGCCACCTACTGCCCCAATAACTACGTTGCCAAAGACGGCGACAAGCCGAACTGCTCCGTGGGCAACTGCCCCGATGTCGAGGCGGCTGATACCACCATCAAGCTCAGCTTCTCCGAGTAAGCCGGCCTGAGTCCCCAGGACTGTGACCTCCATCTAACAACCCTAACAGCGACACCATCACCGACACCGCCGGCTTCGTGGCCGTAGACAACACCAACAAGGCCATCGTCGTCGCTTTCCGTGGCTCTTACTCCATCCGCAACTGGGTCACCGACGCAACCTTCCCCCATACCGACCCCGGACTGTGTGACGGCTGCAAGGCCGAACTGGGCTTCTGGACCGCCTGGAAGGTCGTCCGGGACCGAATCATCGCGACCCTGGACGAACTGAAGCCCGAACACAGCGACTACAAGCTCGTCGTCGTGGGCCACAGTCTCGGCGCCGCCATCGCCTCGCTCGCAGCTGCAGACCTGCGCACGAAGAACTACGACGCTATTCTGTACGCCTACGCTGCGCCACGGGTGGCCAACAAGGCCCTCGCCGAGTTCATCACCAACCAGGGCAACAACTACCGTTTCACCCACAATGACGACCCCGTTCCCAAGCTGCCGCTCTTGACTATGGGCTACGTGCACATCAGCCCGGAATACTACATCACTGCTCCGGACAACACGACTGTCACCGACAAGCAAGTCACCGTTCTCGATGGATACGTCAACTTCAACGGAAACACCGGCACCAGCGGCGGACTGCCTGATCTCCTGGCCTTCCACTCGCATGTGTGGTACTTTATCCACGCCGATGCCTGCAAGGGACCGGGATTGCCCTTCCGCTAATCTACCTTTTTTGTCTTGTGATTGATTTTCTTACACGAAGTGAATGAGAGGATTCTATTCTTGTACTGTCTAAGGTTTTTGATGTGGAGTTGAGGCCTACGTAAATACTTAATATTGCTAATGAACCAAAAATGCATCGTACCAAAACCTTAATCGCCAGATAAATTGTTTTCGTCCCCACTTCTCTTTTTAGGTAAGACTAATATCTTCACACCCAAAGAAAAGCTGAAAAAAAAAGAAAAGAAAAGAAAAGAAAAGAACACCCCCTCCTCAGCAGTCTGCAAAAAAAATTCCAAATGTCGTCGGCCAAGCACACCACCCCTGCAGGCAGCAGCAGTTCGATCCTCACCGTGCAGAGATTGCGCATGGAACCTATCAGCAGGGGGAATAGCCAACGCCCAGGCCAGAGGATGCGGGAGATTCGGCCTCTCGGAGAGCGATCGGGCTGCAGCCAAGCCAATAGTTTGTGGAGGTCGGCACGGGGCGGCACGGCTAGGCTAGAGTCTTAGTCGAGGGAGGATCACGGCGGTCTTATTCGGCTTGGGTTTGCTTTTTCTTCAGCTGGGTTGTTTTTTGTGCTGGTGGTGGTGGTGGTGGTGGCTGGAGATATATCTGAGATTGCTTTTGTTATGGGACGATTGCCTAGTCGTCTACATGTATGACTTACTTTCTCCTTTCGCGATTGATCCTGAGCCTGGTCAGTTACATAAACTGTATGGCTCAACGCCGGTGGCCCCATGTATGTACATCTGTCCCCTATAATACAGGCTTATAAGGACAAGGAGCTTTACCTGAGTAGAACTTCGCCGACAGGATTCGGGATTCTCAGCTGAGGACGGACGGAGTTTACCTCCGTGATTAGGTTGCATTCTTCTGCAGAAATCCTGCAGCTAAATTGTGTGTTGCATCCACAGCTGAATGCTGCCAAATTAAAGTGGGCTGCGTGACATCCCCAATCCAGAGCGAGACTCCTATCGTTGTCAGCTTTTCTTTTGCCCAACACGGCTGCTAGGCTGTCAGGCTATGCATGTACGGCTGAGAGATAATATCGGACTCTGCTGAGCTGTTCGGTGAGGATGTGCTGAGCTGAGATTTGAACTAGGTAGGCTTGCCGAGATGCTGAGGTGGGATTCGTGTGATATGGGGTCTGTGACTGTCTGTTTCTTGTGTGGTTTTTCGGGTGGCGTTATTTCTGGTAGGTGGCCATGCTGTCAGATTAAGAATGGTTAATCAATAGGGGGTTGATATTTATGTCATAGAGTCAGTTACGCAGCCCATGCGAGTGTCTGGTTTGGCGTCAGGAGAGCATGTGGCCTGGTGTATTCCTAGGAAAACAGTGGCTGTTGTAAAAAGTCTCACTTTTATTTGTGCCTCGTCAACTCACTGAAAATACTTACCCGACATGAAATGTTCAAAGGCCAGTAGTAATGAGATATATATACCTGTTGGTCCTGGTGACGCTCAAGTGAGCCTTGGCTAGTTGTGTCATTCCATCCATTCTTTCAGGGTGAAATTCCTATGTAGCTGTATATATCCCATCTGGCGTCGACTATCGCGGATCGGAAAGAGTGTGTCTATGGAGCCGAGTGTCCTCTGGAGGATCATCGCATTAGATACTATACAACCCACGGAGCTGTCTCGATTGCCCTAAAACAACAATCATTGATGGATGTGAGCATATCTTCGTGTGGCGCTGACATCTGATGCATTAGTGACCGTCCAACAACAGTCTTGGAGGAGAATCGGTATATGGATGATACTGTTGCGCTCTGAGTGTTGCATTTGAAGTCAGTAAGTTATACCCCTTAGTCAATTAGCTTGACGCTTACTTTATTCATTGTGATAGTCATGTAACGTAAGAGGTGAGTAGCGAGAGACCGTTAAGAAACACAGGCAGCTAGTGATGACCCTAGACGGATGGACCAGGTATAACATGGCGAGTTAACTATGTCGATGTGAGACAAGAGACATTATGGTTAGGTTGCTCAAGATCATGGCGCGAGGAGTGAACTCTTTGTAACTTGATGTCTCCTGATATTTGGCAAGATATATTATTGTGATAGAAGACCAGGCACACAGCGATGCGATTGGCACTTTTAACATTCCAATAACGACATTTTCGCATTCAATATAGTAAAGATTTCTATTCCGTTGACCATGCGATAAAAAGAATAACCATAATCAGCGTTAAGAATACCTTGTCCATAATAAACTACTTGGTTACCATTGGGCGGGGATACTTCATACTCAACTCAACGCATAATGAGCATGATGCATTCCAGCGTCGGTGTAGCAACCTTGGTAGTACCACTCCAGTATCTCGTTAGGGACGTTATAAGCAATAGAGTGAAAGCGAATACAAGCCTGAGGAGCACAATCCTAGCTTCGTCCATCTCAGTGATTGTCATCCCATGCGAACCGAACAGGCAAGCGCCTCTAATGTCTTCCCTCCGTGATAGTTTCCATTGTCACTGTCTCCCATACTGACCATGTCTAGTCTGTGGGTACGCCACTGTATTCCAGGTGCATAGCTAGATAGTCAGTTAGGTAGAAACCTACAGGTTAACGGAATATTGATAGCTGGTCGATTAAATGGATCCGCTGAACAGTCTAGATTACTGGGATATGTAACGCTGTCATCGCAGTGACGGTTATCTCTAAAACGCTAGACTCTTGCATCAGTGACAGAAGATGAATCAATTGAAGGTAGCTCAGGTAGGTATAGAACCGGAATACTCGGGATGGCTCAAGACCTATCTATTGAGGGTGCTCATGTCACCCACGATGATATCACTCAGAAAGTCTAGTCCAACTTCCCAAGAAGAGTAAAGGAAGTGCACATGATGTAAGAGATGAATTTCAGCATGGGGCACCGCGAAGCTAATGACATCAAGGACTAGACGCTAGTTGAGGATGTAATACTAGAGATAGCGTCACTAGCTCCCCGATGAAAGGCTTTGAGATAGGAGCAGTGCAGATAGTACGGTGCTCGGATGTATTGAAAGGAATGGACCTATATGCTGATTACATTAAACTAGAAGTATCAGACTGCGATACGCCTTTTGGAGACTATGATTGTATAGACGGGAAAGGAGTCTTTGTAGGATAAGGTCCGTTCCTTATGGACGTTTCACTTAGCATATTCTTACCAGTTAGGTCGGTTACTGTTGAATGGCTATTTGCACTACCCTTGCTATAGGGCCCAACTTCGTAAGCTAGGGATGACATAAATTATATTCCATCATAGAAAAATCACCTCACATCTTCTCGAGAGCTCTCAGACTCACGGAATTTTCAATGAGGATGATAGTCCGGTGACTCCTCATTAGTAGGTTCAGGAAGTTCACAGTATATCAGCCCTTCTTCAATCTTACTCTTGTAGTGTACCACTGTTCATGTGCTTCATGTCTTGTCTTGACTTGACTATGTTAGTTCAACAGCTTGATGTCAGCTGCTTTGGAAACTATCTCCTGACAGACTAGTGGGGCGTAGACAACCAGTTCGCCTGATCCTCCCTAACAGTACCCTTTTGGGCGCTGGCCTCAACATACCCACTTAATAGCCTTACTACAGAGGCATCTCCACTCGGTTGCTAAAGCGGGGGTTTGGGCGGCAGCGAACACCCCACGTAGAGGAATGATAGCTCTAGCCGAGAGAGGCTCGGGGTAAAACTGTCTCTAAGTGGAGAAAGGACTAAAAATTTGAAATGACATTTCAATATGCTGGACTAATTGCTATAGTTGAGTGATTATGACGTACATGGGGAAGTATGACATAAAACGGTCGACGACACTATCGAAGTCCACTTGGCGTAGATTTCATCTAGGCGACACCACTAATGCAATATCTAGAGTACCTTGCAGCACCGTCTAGACTCATTGCCCAATAGATAGTGTTTATCGAGTTGTTGGTCTAGACCTCTGTGCCAGCACAAGTTGCATCATACTAACCAGGGTCCGGCTTGGATCAACGATTGGTTCATCAAACGGGAGTATTGCTGTCGTAGAGGCATTGAGAAAAGACCATTCTAGTAGATATACACGCAATGAAGGAGTCGACGTCATGGAGGGTGCCCCTGTGGTATTCAAAGCGTCGAGACATTTATAGGGTGGATGTTGGTTTCACAGGTGAACCTTCAGGTTCAAAGCGAGCCACCAACAGGTATACGTCGCTCAGGAACAGAGGACAGGGCCATTCATGCATATTTATAACTACCAATTGGCCACGGGGTATCTGATCACAATCTCAGGAACTCCAGTTTCGATCCCTCTTGGATCCCCGAGTGAACTGCGAATACCTCTGCAGCCATGCATTGGACTCATGGCACGTGGCTGTGGATAACTCACAGGCAAGCCCTCTTTACTTTGCAATTCAAATTCTACCTGCTGATGCCAAGTTTCCCTGTGCAGATCCAAAAGGGCGTCAAGGACTTCTGCCCGATACCAGGAAGGCACCGACCAGAGGAGTAGCAAGCAACATCATGTGTCTGAACAACAAAAGCCGCGCCCAGGGATGTACGTTCGGAGTGTTCAATCTTCAGGAAGCGAGACACAACCGTCGATTCAAGCAACGCGTGAGGAATACAATATACACGAACTACGATGCCAACGGTGCAATGGCCGTCGCTCATCCGCTTACCACCGTAAGAACCGTACAGACCCAGTTATCTATCCACCCGTGGGGATCTGCTCTCGTGAATGGACCGGTTGTGCAGTAGTGAAGCAGTCGGGCGGGCTGGGCCACTGGGATCACCCAATCCATGAACTCCCAGGGAGCTAGAGGCTCGGTGGATTCGCACTATGCAGGGACTTCAGAGAGCGACGTGCATTGCATGTCGACTTAGAAATGGTGCATGAGATTGAGAACATCAGGTATAATGATGTCACAATAGCCATCAGCCCCACCAATGAGCAGTCCACAGACACCAAGTCGCACGCAGGCCAACCGTGAAGCACTGACGACGTTGCTTGACACTGGTACCCCGAGATTATACGTTGATCAATGGCAGCCAAGCTACCATGAGCTTCGCGGCCAGATGTTCTTGGAGACGCTTGAGCGCGGGCCATAGGGTGACGCTTTGAGAGGTTGCACTAGAAATAGATGTTACTAAATGAAGAGACGTTACTAGCACTCATAGTCAAGAGTGCCTTATTATGTATCAGAAGTACATGTATCTGATGTCATGTATGTATTATAAACGGCGATTCGCTTCTATCATGAATGTGTTGGGAGAGTGGAGACGCAAGCTATGGATTCACGTAGGAACTCTGTTGACAGACTTAGCATTAATGCTTCAACGCCAATCACCGAGCATAAAACACTATGAGAGAACATCATAGGTGACCGCATCATGTACCGCAGACACGCCAAGGTATCTGACGTAGATTTCTGTAGTACTGTAGAGAGATTGACGCATGGTTCTAGACCACAGTTGTGCTCAGGCCTTCCCATGAGGACAGGCGCAGAAGAGAAAAGCGCAGACCCACAATCTGGCCTTGACTGATACTAGAGAGATAGTCTAAGAGATAGTCTAAGAGATAGTCTAAGAGATATAAGTGCATTCATTCTGCCAGAGAACTGTTTGTGGAATACGTGCTGTCGTGAATACTATACAGCCTGAACCGCGAGGAGTTCCCCAGTGGAGATATATTAGAACGTATATGCTAACTTCATACTTCCGCTCGATTGGAGAGCGTTTATAGTAGATTTATGACTTGTCTTAGTATATGAGCTAATGAACCTAGTGGGGGGTGGCTGCTAGGGAGGGAATTTCATTAATTTTTCACAGTCAAACACAGGAGCAACGGAACCATTTATAAAATTAGAGCAAGCATCATAGTCACGAAAGCATTGCCACAAACCAGATCCTACGACCGAAATCCTCCGTTGAAAGGCAATCGCTAAGTCAAGCCAGCTAGAGGGGTTCTGGGAATAAGGCCTTTCTCTGCGCCTAGATGCATCACACCCATTTAGAAAAGAGGCCAAGACCATATCGTCACTTACTCACAGTCCTTGGCGAGTAGCGCCCACAACCACTTATGGCTTAGTATTCAAATATCGAGGAAACTTTCAGGAGACAGAAAGCTATATGTGGAAAAGTTTTGCGCCAGGCCCGCTGATCAGCAACATATAGATGGCTGTAATGACTCTTGGAAGAACCCCTGGCCGTTTTGTCGGTGAAGCGTTACGTGAGACATATGTGCTCGCTGATACCCCTGGCTAATGTAAGGAAGATTAGGGATGCATACAATTGCTGCGGTGAGGATTAGTATATCCTTCCCGCTAGGACTCATACTCTTCCTGATACCTCGCGTAGCTGTGCAGAGTCTATTAGGTTTACGTGGTGGTGTACGGAGTACACTTGCCCTTTGCATGTTCGTTCAACAAGAGGGTATCTGTGTACGCGCGCGGAACTGACATCTCCGACAGACCCATAGTGGGCCCTACAGCCATGTAGTACCTGACGCTACAGAAATTCCTGTAATGGGCCGTCTTAGTTAAAAATATCACGATAGCATGACGCAAGCTTGTAGGGGAGCTGTCAGATCGAGTGTGGCAAACATTGTCCGACCTATCGTCTCTACAATTAGCAAGATTTCAAGGAAAATGGAGTCCCAAGCACATCCTTGAAGACAGTCACTTCGGCAGCATCCTTCTGATTACCCTATTACGTCATGTGAAGGTTAGTGAGACCATAATTGGGCGCGTTCAGCTTGGAAGTACTGCATCCTGACTCCGTGGCTGACTGCGAGCCGGGGTGCATGTGGGTAGGCACTTTTGTTATGACGCAAAGTTTCTTGATGGCAGGAGATAGGAGTGAACACTGAAAGTAGAGGGCACCAGTGCTTACGTGATAGTAAGCTCCAAGCCAGGTTCAATGGCCTTGTAACTCGCTTCTATAGTAGGCAAGGTGTTTCCCCTGATCATGGGTTGAACGCTCCGGTGCTGCGGTGCTACTATGACCTATTGTCCAGCTTGCACATACACGGTAGCTTTCTGTAATCTGTACGAACAGTATGTAACTAGCAATGGCGACGGCCTGACGTAAAAACGGTGGGCTTGTTAGCCCCCTTAAGCCCTTGTCGACTACGATGAGAATAGGACTAAAAGTGAACAGTCATCTACATGCTATTTCCGTGATAGTGTACTCGTCCAATGTCCATTCTGGGGCTGGAAAACAACAGTCACTATAATTACCGAGGCGGATCTTAAATCTTAGTCTCTAGGCGAGGGGTAATTAGGCATAATCCATTGGACTGCCCCTGAAGTGGAACGGGCAATCCTCTTACCTAAAAGTGAACGGATCAGTTTCCTTCGCCGCTAGAGATGGTTTTCGATAGTGCGGAGGAGACAGGAGTTACATGAGCAACTACTTGGTTGGATCCTGTGCTTGCCTTACTACTAGTACCTGTTTACGCTTCAGCCAGTCCGAATATTCTATACATTGGTCTCCTCTTCCATTAGTCTGGCCCATCGTAGTCACTTTCCTTTACGGATGCTACCACCGGTGGCGGATGCCCGTTGACCGGGTAAGTAGTCATTACACAGTAGGGGAGAAGTAGATCAACATTCGCTATCACAAGTACAAATTTCATTAGGGGGAATTGCTACAGACATGCTGTCCAATCGATGAAGGCGTCGGAGTTCAGGAACGACTCGGATTCCGAAAATTGAGGGATAGTGGGTTCCTTTAGACCCATCGGCGACATTGCTAGGCACACACTTTGATGAAAGTGGAGCACTTCCATGAATCTACCAGCTTCCTTGTTAGTAGAAGAGCGTTCAGGGGGGATGAGGAAGGGCATACATCATTTCTTTTAGCATCTCCTCGTCAAATTCACTGCCGTTGAACGTCCAGTCGAACTTTTCTTCGGCAATGGGCTCATCGGCCGGGTCATGATACACACTCATATAGGGGTGTTGTAGGGCTTCCTCGGCGGAAATCCTTTCTTGTGGGTCCAGTATGAGCATTCTCTCGAGCAAGCTCCGGGCTGGGTAACCAATACCAATCAGCAACCCAGTGAAACTATTAGAGGGTAGAGTATGGTCGGTATCTTACAGAACTCATCTAGATTCTGAATAACGCTTTGCAAGGGACGCGGCTCTCTTCGCTCCAGTGACCGGATGATCTCCACTGTCTGAACGGGCAGCAGGTCAGTACTGCCGCGTGTATAACAAAAGTCTGCTGAAATACCTACATTTGTGGTACAGACCCGCGAGATAAACTTGTCCGATGGATTCCCCAACACGTCCAGGATCAAGTAGAACTGGTTAATGGGGTCTTGCCCGGGGAATAACGGCTTTCCATTGAACATCTCCGCAATGACACACCCGGCACTCCAAATGTCCATCTCTACACCGTACATCTGCCATGTAAGCATGACCTCCGGTGCGCGATAATACCGCGTCGAGACATATCCAGTCATTCGACGATCCTGCGGCCTGGCGAGACCGAAATCACATATCTTCAAGTCGCAGTTCTCATCGATGACCAAGTTGCTGGGTTTGATATCCCTGTGAACCACACCAGCCGAATGGAGGTATTTTAGACCGCGCTAAGGCTCGTCAGAATCGAAAGAATTAAGGTATGGGGCACCAGCGACTCTCACCAGTATTTGATACGCGAAATACTGTACGAATTGTGGTTCCAGGGTCCAGCCTCCAGGAGGCGGCCGAGGTCAGTTGAGAGGAGCTCGGTTACTAGGTAACTGAAAAGCAATATCAGTGAGCGGTATCGCCAAGATGACTGGGGCTAGACATACACATCTGTTCGGGGAGAGATAAAAACATCGCACAAGCCGATGAGCTTCAAGCTGTTAGCATGCTTGGACTATCGCTCACAGGCTCAGAATCCGTACATTTTCGTGTCGTAGCTGCTTTAAGAGCTTAATCTCCCGGTACGTCTGCTTAGCGTTGGCTGCCGTGGCAAAGGGGTTCAATAGCTTCTTGATCGCCACAGATTGGCCCCTCACCCGGTCATACGCGGAACTGCTTTCCTCACTAAGCCTTCATCTTTTATAAGGGGCCAAACGGTGGGGGAAAAGGGGCAACGGGGATAATAAGGGAGACATACCAAACAAGGCTAAAAGCACCCAGGCCCACCGGCCGTACGTTGCTATACCTAGGCGAACGGTTAATTTCTTCGGAGTCGATGACAGGGCGCAAAGGCCAAACGTATATACCTGCTGGTAGTGTCAAACACAGATCCCAACACCTGTGAGCGATTGAATTCTGCCATGTTTGCTGCTTACTTGCGATACCTTCAAAGACGGTGCACCAGGTGGACAAAGCGGCACCTTGCTTTATATAGCCTATGCCCTGACAGACCGAGAGAGTTCTCCACCAGGACCCATCTGAGACGATAATGCGAGGATGGGAAAAGCACCTCCGCATAGCGGATCTGCTACGTTTCCTGCCATTGAACAGCACTTCCAGTAGGATCGCATCCTGAAAGGGCCCTCAGATAGTTGCATGCTCATTGGTGAAACCGACTCAAGGGCAGCCAAGAATGCCTGCTTTCTGACGGCCATTGGCTATGCAGACTAACTCTAGACAGGAAGTCCTCTGCTAGTCAATAGAGGCTAGACCCATTAGAAAAAGGATAGGCCAGAACGGGTGGTACGGGTCCATCGAGTTTGGGATTTGAAATATCCTATCACGGATGCCTTTTCCAGTGGCCAATGCGAACTCATTATAGGACAGTCGTTGGTACCGTTACTGGTAGCCTTGCCGTGTACGAAGTAGATTGATGTGTAGTTCTGGGTGGCGATTTACCTATACCCACTTAGAACCTTCTTGTATCATTGTGAAACCTTCGCCCAATTAATTGCTCTTATTTTGAGCCACTTATCAACCCACTTCGGCCGGGGGAGAGAGAGAGACGCAATGGGCAGGAAGTGTCCCTACCTCTGAAGCTTCACATCGCGCGAGTGGTTCATGAACTAGCAAGCATCCTGTGATAAGAGAAGAGATCTCGAGTGTTCTGACGGGTATTACCTAGGGGAAACCATCTGTTTTCTTCTCCCCACCCCTTCAGCAAGCCGCTGTTGGATGTCCGGTGATGGTCTCTCGCCAGAGGGGTGCTCCACAGCCCTTGGCGAATGGCGCACATCAGCAACTAGTAACACTTATACACTTGGGCCAGGAGAGTCTGGAGAGGCTGTCTAGCCCAAGCTAACTCTCGGCAGCCTCCAACGGCCGAGAATGATGTGGAACTTTAGATGTATCTCTCACTGACGACATCCTCTGGACCATGCACAATGTGGGACGGGAAAATGCCCCCCCCCCCCCCCCTTGCGCTATTTTGAACCTGCCGCTTCTTCTTGCCATTTAGAGCTTCATGCATACTGCTTTGGCTGGTGCGATAAGGTATCCCCTGCCTCCCGGTTGCTATATTCAGCTAGGCGACATCCTAAGGCAATAGAGTGATATAGTAACCGAACACCGGCAAAGTTTGCATCGCTACAGGCGTCTCTGATTAGCGCATAAAACGCCGGAATCTCACCGTTTAATCCACTCAGGTGGCTATACGGCTTCCTAGGAGAAGGTAGGATCACGCCTGTCAAAGCATAGTGCCTGACCGAGGACACGGCGGAGTACATTATCTTTAGTCCCAGTACTTGGCGGATTATTCCGCAGCTAGCGTATGTGCGCGGTGGGATTCTGGGAGATAATAACAATCCTCTTTCGAGTCATTAGAGTGGCTAGAAATTGATATAACTCGCTACTGTCGTGAGAAAACATTTTGCACTAATAGGCGTCATGTGAATCCTCTATGTTGAGGTTGTAGACCGTCAGAGTTAGAACAGGCAGGGCGTTCTACTATCACCTTAAAATCTAGTAAGGTTAGCTGCATAACACACTATATACGCATAAATGACATACATTGTATCCGATTCCACCTGACTAAGTACATTAGTGTAGGGTACTACCGTTGCCCTATCCCACCTGGTCCAGGCCGGTAGTGATCCACAGGATATGCGAGACGGGTCTTGTCTCTATTGCGAATCAACCCCGTGCAGCGCACTAAATAGTCTAGGAGGGGAACTCAGCTAATTGCATTGCATCACACGAATTGATGGCCCTGAACTTTCCAATGCGCAGAGATGCCGTTTAAACTGAGGCAGACGCTAGATCAATACGGCTTACATCATTACATGCATGCTTCAGAGATACGCCTTGTGCTAGCCAATCCAGGTTGGGCTCTGTAGACTGATGTTGTGTCTGGATAGACTCATTCACTATTTCTGGGATGAATAAAATGCCTCAAGCGCTGGCTATTTGCCCTGCCTATTGGATTCGCTTTTCTCCGTGAACTCGGCCGGTCCCACAAGGGGGCACTTGAGGTTGCATCACTGACTGTCTTGTCTTGCCGGGGTAACCGCCGTTCAGCTTCCTGCCTTGGTTTGATTCCGAGCCCTTTGGGCTACTTAGGTCACTTCGGAAACGCAGATCGCATTCTTGGGTCACTTGCTCCTTTCCTTTCTTAGTGGAGTAACTAGAAACACGATGTCAGCATCCCAATCACTACGTGGGGAGTGGTCCATTTCTGTGCATATGTTGAAAGTTCGATCAATGTGTCAAGTAGACTGGATGCATCACTGGAATTGAGTCAATCCTGCCGCTCGCAGGCTTTTAATTAAGATCCAAGCAGGGAGAGGTACTTGATTGGTTGTCATCTGCATATAGTATTACCAAATAAGGAGGAGAACTTTCGGTTATAGTCTGACAACGCGTGCAGGCGTTGGGTATCATGGTAACTCATGCTGGCTTCCTGGCGTTGATACCGCAAGCTGGTAGAACACGAACCCACTAGCTGTCAATCATTCTTAGATTGTGATGATTCTCGGTAGCTGTGAGGAGTTCTTCGATACTTTCGCCATGCACGTCCTTCGGCGTGCCCTCCTCTACCAGTACTCACAGGGTTCCACAATCCAAGGAAGTATTCGAATGCGACGAATGATGTCAGCATTGGCTAATATTTCATTGAGCGAAGTATCATCATCATAGCCTCTACACTAGTATATGAGAAGCCGGGATGTTGCCTCCCGGAACTGCTGCTCGATCTGATTCCTATTGGGCCCTCGAAGTAATGGATTGGACCAGAACAATAGATGTCATGCGCTATGAGATAGTACGATGGGGATAGGTGGCATGAGACTTACTCCTGTTTGCCTCTTCGCTAGCGGCCTCTTTTGTTATTGAGCCTGGCACTTGTTGGGTTGATGCTAGTGGCTTCCTGGATTTGGACTCAGTAGAGGAGCTTGAGTTCATGAGGGTGGTGTATTTGGTCGGCACAGATAAGCGGTTGGCACTGTTTCTGTCTGTCTCCGTCTATTTCGATAGTATATGAGCTGAAGCAATTGCTGTGTGATATTTATCCATAGTTGCTTGGTACAAAATATGCGTCTTTGACAAGGTTAGATGGACGAAATGTAAAACTGCCTATCAATATTCTCCTTGGTAGAGCTTAGAGCCATCCAGACACTGGTGCTCAATATCTCTCTTCACGATCGATTTCCTAGTCACTGTTGGACTACTCGGTATATTCGAGGCCTCCAGTTTGGGTACTGACAAGCGCTTTTATATGAGATATGATCTTTAGACACGAAATCTCTCATCTCTTCAGTAATCAGCTGACCTGTATGAATTAGTTTCGACTGCTTGCAGGGTAACGTGCGATTAGAGAAACATATATGCTTCTTTTTATATACCCTCACACACATGGGCATGTTATACTTCGCCATTGGTAGGAGCATGGTCTCAACCAGGTCTTTGAGTCTTGTCTGTCCGTAGGATTTATATTTTTTCCAGTAATCGATCCCTTCTAGAAAAGACTGTGAAGATACCGGACAAATTCTAAATTGATGTTAGGTGAAGGAAAGCTGTCTGACTCTAGGCCTGCCACTATATAATGAACCATCCTGCAGACGTCAGATTTTGGTCGATGATGGATGCGCATATTCGGGTAGTAGTAAGTGGCGTTCTACATGACAATGGCTGCAGCCAGCGTTACATCCATCTTATTACTACACAGTCATGATCAGAAGCTTTACAACATTCTTCCACACGTATTTAGTCATAGTATTTCGGGCCTGAGCCACGTCCTAAAGGCTGCTGGTACAATGATGCCATCGGAGATGTGATGGCCATCCGGCAATCCAAACACCGCCCCATACAAAGTGGACAAGAGTATTCTCCACATCTCGACCTACATATGCAGTCAGCAAATAGGATTCTATGGAATACGAGCGACCAGGAGATGTAACTCTCCACTCTGGGATTTCATGCATCAGACGATCCATTCCAGCCTACCAGATGCTACCTTTCGCGTCACACCGCATCGTCCGAATTTGCAGCTGAATCCGGGCCAATGGCGATATCAGCTACAGCAAGCTGCAGGATTTTAGGTCCGGGACTTCGAGGGGATTTGCTCTGTTCCTGAAGTCAGATTTTAGATAAGTCTAGGCGTCGCGGGGAAGGATTCGGATTCGAGGTGCGTAGGAGCCGGAAATGATCGATATAAATCTCATTCACCCAACTGTCGAGTTGAACGCGGACGTGATCCTGTCAGCCTTTCCCATATCTGCAAGGTCAAAATGATCCTAGGGATATCTGTCCTGGCTTTGCTGGGGGCAGCGTTTGGTAGTGCTGGTATGGTCTAGCATGTTCCAACGACTCACAGTGACGGGACTAATTCAAAGTATAGTGATTCCCCGCGACACTCCATCTGGGTCGATCAGCTCCCCAGTACGTTCATCTGTGCCGGGCACCCTGCCAGTTCCTTCTTCCGAGCCGACTTGCTACACCAGCAGTCAGTGGCTCGTCATCTCTAACACCAGCGTCTTCTGGCCGACATCCACGGACTACCTTTACGGTCCCACCACGGGACCCGGTGCATCCGATGTGATCTGCGCAGCACAATGGATGCAGTACGATAAGCGGTCAAGTGGGCTCTCTAGTCTTGGCCCAACCAAGACCACGACGACTACATTGTACACTCCCACGAGCACTGGGGCCTGCAGAACGAGCATTCACCCCGAAGAATACTCGGATGTTCATACTGGCCCAGTGACAACCCTATGCGATGGGGTTGTCCGGGCTCTGGGACCACGAGAAACCGCAACAAAATACTACCCCGGGACTGGACCATGCAGCACATTCAGCCTGCCAAGCAGCACAGTCACGCCAGTGTACCGAGAGCCCTCGGCATCCCCGACGTGCAGACCGGAGTTAGCAGGATGCATCGGGGTCTGGCAAACATACAGTAGCCTCTCCAGCGAATACAAAGCATCCGTCACATCCTCGATTCCAGGCGACACAAGGAGCCCCTTGCGACCAGTGCACTGCACGAATACCGCTCGAGACCGCCCCGAAAAGGATCCTTGCTCGGCATGCCATTTCATCCCAGGTACCGCGACAATGTTCTACTGGCCCGTCACGACGGCCAACGGAGACCTGTGCGCTCAAAACGGGACAACCATCCCCGCGACGCCGACGGGCGACGGCCCCAACACCGCCATCCTCGATGATCACACCCTCGTCTCACCCAGCATATATATCTCCTTCACCTCGATCAACGCCTGGAGTAACCGTCGCAACGGTCACATCTGTGGTGAACGCTATTCCAGCCAGCTGATCTCCGTCCATCCCACTGCCGTCACATCGCTCCGGGACCACCGCAATGCTCGATATCCCAGCGAGGGGACCCCATATCCGTTTAATTTTGCCGAGTTCCTCCCCCAGACGGTTGGCAATTACACGCAGTCGCTGATCCCCTGGCCTCAGTATCGCGGTGGCTCGCAGTGTCCCCTCTATGATCCCTCCTGTACGATGGTTCGTGATGATTACCTGCCCTACATTGAGGTGCCGCAAGAGGCGGCGGAGATTGATTCCCACTGGGAGAAGTGTGACCGCAGATGGCTTGTTCCGGCTGTTACAATGGTGCCTATTATTGATGGTACTGCTGTTGCTCCGACCCCTACAGGAGAGCCGGAGGAGACGTCCATGGACGCGGATGCAGTTCCGGAAGGCATGGTCGCTGCGCCGACGCCAACGCCGACAGCTGAGATAGGGCGGTAAGATTGTACAAAGTATGGGATTTTAGCATGGAAGACTGGGGAGATTGGAGGAAGTGATGGTTATGGATTGTGGATTTCAGTATTGGCAAGTACTTAGCACCATTAAGCTTAGTTTTGGGGTGGACTTCGAAGTGGTATAATTGAGCGTGGGCCTTTGGAGATTCGTATATGCTTTAAAACATCCAGCATGATTATGTTTCTTCTCACACATATTCCAGTCATAGAGACACACCATTCCTTAGAAGACGGTACCACGAAGAATATCCTCCCTCTTCCCAAGGTGGAATACAGGAATATGTTCCACCGGCGCGGGCACAGTAACCGTCTGGCCACCAGCATAGGTCTGATTAGTCCACCAGTGCGTCCAAGGCTTGGTACCATTCTGGCCTGTCTGTGGAAGATATACCGACCATTCGGTGACATTCGGCATGGTAACAGGTGACACAAGCAACCTCGGGCCGAACATATACTGCTGCGTTGTCACATTGTTGTTCGCCTGCGTCCACTGCGAGACCTTCGGATCGGTCTTCTCGAAGTCCATGTACAAGGGACGCATGATCATGCGACCGGTCTTGTGGAACTGATCGAAAAGAGCGCGCAGATACGAACCCAGCTGGTACCGGAGGTGGATATACGAGAGGATAATAGGAGTGTTCTTCTCGCCGTACGACCACGGCTCATTGTTGCATGTGTATGCATCCTGTGTATCGCAGACCCGTTGACCGTGCGTGCGCATGAAGGGGACGAACGTAGCCCATTGCAGCCAACGCACGTACAACTCGCGGTACTCCGGGGTGTCGATGTTGGCGCTCCATGGCACTGTCGGGTCGGGCTGGAAGCCGCCGGCGTCCATGGTCCACCAGCCCCATCCTGTTGCGGCGGCGGACAGTCCACTGGCGATTTGAAGGCCGAGTGTTTCCCAGACGGACGTAACGTCTCCTGACCAGATCATGCTGCAGAATCGTTGAGACCCGATATAGCCGGACCGGCTGAGTGAGATGTGCTCACACGCTTCGCCTTCCTCGCTGTCGGTGACGTTACGGAAGCCCTCTTCGATTGCCAGCTGGTGGGCCCAAGGGTAATATTTCCCGGCACTCTGCTGGGTACCAACCGCATAGAGGACGTTGGGCAGGGCGAAGGGGACAGACTGGATGTAGGTGCTTTGACCGTTGTTTTCGTAGGCTTCGCCCAGGGCACCACCGTCAGCTTGGTCGATCCAGAAGTTTTTGATACCCTTATCATAGTAGTTTCGCTTCAAGGTTGACCAGATGAACTTCCGCGCGCCTGGGTTCGTAGAGTCGACATTGCGGATGTATGAGCCATTCCATGAATCGGTGGTTCCGGGGCCGTCGCGAGTTGCAGACAAGTATCCGTTGGCTTGCAGCTCTAAGTAGTTGTCGCTCCCATCGGATACACTGGGCCAGAGAGATGCCATGATCTCTGCTCCCGTGAGATCTTTTACCTTCTTGGCCATTGCCGCTACGTCCGGCCACAGCGCCGGATCGAGACCCCAGTCGCCCTGATTCCGCCAGGACTGGTAATCGATGACGAACATTCCGACAGGCACGTCCTTGTCCTTGAAATTCTGTGCTAGGAGCTCTAGTTCAGTCTGGTTCTCATAGCGGAGCTTAGACTGGATGTATCCGAGCGAGAAATCAGGAGGAGTAGGTGCTCTACCCGTCAGGGCGGATAAACGTTTCTGAAGTGTATCGTAGTCGCCTGGCGTCGTGGCCACGACCACATAGTCGACGACTGTGGTGGAGGCTGCGGTGAGCTTGGTGCGTAGCTGTCCGAATTCCATGCGACCCTGGGCTGGCATATTCCACACAAACGCATAGCCTTTATTGCTCATGAACACGGGTGTCGGGATGTGAGTGTTGAAGTTGATCAAGTCAATGACCGTTCCTTTTTTGTTGACAAGATGGTCCTGTTGTGTACCCGTGCCATAGAACTGCTCGTCGGGTGTAGTACTAAACGAGAACTCGGCAGAGAATTCACTTCCTGGCCCGTTCCACGAGTAGTAACGGGGGTTGACTGATTTGAGTGGCGCATACTCGTTTGTTAATAGGGTCTCAGAACCATCTTGCTCGGCGCGATAGAATGCTAGCCGATATCCTCCGGGGTTTCCACCCCAACCGGAGGTTCGCACAATAGTGTTTCCATTGCGAATGGTAACGGTATGATTACCGTTAAATGCCGTGTCAAAGTTCAACCCATGGGCTTGCCCGTCCTCAAAGCCTTCCAGTGGTGGATCGTAGATAAAGCTGATCTCATGCCCCGTAGGAGGCCGGAAGGGCCAAGCGCGCACACGGAACCCATCGTAGCCAAAAGGCTGCACCAGAATAGTCTCGAAGCCATGCTGCATGCGAAATCCAGTAGAGTTGGGCAGGAAGTAATCCGATTCCCGTGTCTGGATCGGGGTCGCCTGCACCAGCTGTGCGGCGCAGGCTGTTAGGGCCACCAACCAACGATACATTTTGCTCAACAGCCTTGAGTTTGAAGCCCTTCGCTGGGATTCTCTCCGGCCTTAAATCATGTTGATATGTGTTTTATCCGTTCAAATAGCCTGAATAAAATGATCCCAAAGGCGTGTGACATCATGGCTCGCTGTGTAGGTCTGGCCAGTTTATGCAGTGATCGGGTCGAGAGAATTGGTGTATATGATGATTGGCGAATTCGGGCGTGAAACGGCTCAAAGGAGACTGTCACAAACCCCCAACGGAGACCGGATGTGGAGTACATGAGGAGACTGAGGGGACTCCGGCGTGTCTTCTTTGGAGATAGTCATTCCGATTGCCTTGCTGGTCGATCAGATCCACATGGCGTCATGTCGGCCGCGATTTAGTTTGGGCAGGACCCTGCAACCGCTGCTTTTGCTTTGCTGGCGAGCACAGACGCTTGCTTGTTTTCTGGAACAACCGGAACGACCGCATGAAATGGTCTCATCCATACCCCCATTGCCGTTGGATTGGTTGATTTCTGAAGTGTCGTTGAGCGAGAGCCTTGGCTGTTCCCACCTGAACGCCGCCGGACCATTGATGAGAAGAGCTTTGTTATTTAGCCATTTAGGCAATATGAATGATCAATGTTTTATCTTGTCCTTAGCTTCTGGTTGTCGGTGAGCCAACATGGTGTGTGTTGTTCGTTGCGTGGTGGGATGCGGCGATGTTAATGCACTCTATTCCCCTCGCTGTCTGAATTGAGGGTATTATGCATTATCCCCCTTTTTTTCTCATTGTTGCCTTGATTCTTTCTTCCTTTCTTGCTTTCTACCAGCAGGACTCCCGTCCTCCGTAACCTGTTCCTTCCCGGCTCATCACTCCCCTTTAAAACTTCGTTCCCAGTCCTCTCGAACCTGTCGCTCCGTGCCATATGACTTCGCATCCGTAGAGAAGAGGGTATGCTTCGCACGCAATAACCGGTACTGCAGTGCTAGTTGTGACGCCTTGCAACATCTCTTGTCGCAGACAAAAGGAGATTTAATGTTTGAATATTTAATCCATGGTTGAACTCCGGAGAGGATGCCGTCATTCCGCCCCCGCCACACCGGTCCGAGCCATCCGGCTACTTATTTTATGGTCCGGACAGCAGGTCACAGGTATATACAGGAGGAATAAAACCTCATCCCCGCCCAGAGTCATGTAATAAAAGTTTAAAGGTGAAAGGTTTAGCCCCGGGGAAAAGCGTTCATCCCCGCAACGCTTATCCGTGAAACCCCCGTGGGGAGAATATCCCTCCACGTCCCCCATTCTTGGACAATCCCTGACTCACTCCACCATCCTATATTTATGAATCACAAGCGCCGATAGAGCACTCTTTACACCGTGCCAGCAAAAATAGACTCATCATGCCAATCTCCTGGCCACCAGTATCCATTCCCAATGAATTCGGGATCGCCACCCTCTCCCTCGGCAACTGGAGACAGCATAAACTACAGCCGCGACTAGAAGAAGCGGCGAAAGCTGGATACAAATGGATCGACTTATTCGATGAATGCTGGGCTGCTTACCTTGAAGAACATGGTTTACCAGGGGACCAATTATGGGAACCAACGGAGGCGAACCTACGCGTTGCGCGGAAACTAGGTGATCTTGTAAAGTCCCTGGGAATGCAGATCGCGTGCACACAGCCACTTCGAAAGATCGAAGGGATCAAGGATCCAGTCGAGCGACGGGCATCCCTGGACTTGGTCGCTAAGCGGTTCCCCTTCATGCGCGCATTCGATACCGACTTGGTATTCATGTGTGCCAGTATCCGGACGGACGATGGCGTGACCGCCGATTTGAAGACGGTGGCCCGAGACTTAGCTGAGTTAGGAGATATGGCCCAGGCCTTCGCCGAAGCAGACGGGGGGCCGGTGCTGCGCATTGGCTATGAGGGCCTCTCGTGGGCGACGCGAAATACATGGGCATCTACGTGGGAGGTTGTCCGGATGGCGAACCGCCCGAATGTTGGACTTATACTTGATGCATTTAATGTGTTAGCGGTCGAGTATGCCGACCCGTATAACCCGGCCGGTCATGGACGGCTGTATTCGACGCCCGAAGAATCGGTCGATGTACTTTGTGCATCTATGGCCGGGCTGGTCGCCTCTGTTCCCGGGGACCGTATCTTTTTCTTCCAGGTCGGTGATGCCGAGCGTATGGACCCGAAGATATTTCGACCACCTACCGATCCGGACGTGCCGGCTTTGCTGCCCTGGTCGAGGGGCCACCGGCTGTTTCCGTATGAATCCCAGCGAGGAGGGTATATGCCGGTCGATTTGGTCGCTGCTGCTGTGGTGGCGACGGGGTACAAGGGTCCCATGTCGCTGGAGGTGTTCAATAATTCGTTGAATCAACCGGATGCAGGGGTTCCGTCGGCCCATGCTCGTCGGGGGTTCACTGGCCTTCGGAAATTGGCCGATGCGATTCCCCAGGTGCCGGCCTTTTGGGAGATGTGGCAGCAGGGCAAACACAAGTTTGCTGGCTCGGTTCTTTCTCCGCGTATACAGCGTCTGTGAGACTCGCGCCCCTTCGACTTTACATTGTATATAGTGCAGATGTGATATATTGACTAGACCACTCCGGTCCCTACCGAAGAAGCTTAAGGTTGTTTAGCTACATGTTGCGGTCTGACATGAGCTACTAATAGAGTTTTATAAAGAATAGAACCGATAATATATTCACACCCGAAAATGACATACTCTTCAAAGCATATTTAGGCTAAATTGCGTAACTTGACAAAGGGCCAAAGTTAGGCATTGCCCAACGCAAGGAAAGTCAGGATGGTCCAGGTATTGGTGTTCACCTCCCATGGGTCGGAGCGTGAGCGCCAAACAAAGAAAAGAGAGAGCGCCTCGTGTAACCACGCATAAAATTTCTGGGGAACCGGGAAATAGAATCGTTCCTTCAAAAGCTGGCTTCGGGCGAATGAGTTAAAGCTTATGGACACACCTCCTGTTCCCGTACCCGAAATCTGACCGGGTCTCGGGCATGATGGTGACACAGGAAGGAGTAATATGAAACATCCCCTGGTCCGATCCCGAGGCGACGTGGGCAGTATCGACACAAAGGATAGGGGCAAATGTGTGTCGCCATACCAGGTCTATGTATAAGATTTGGTCTCACAGGGCTTTTGAACAGGACCCCAACTGACTAGAAAGACCATCGCTTGGATTCAATGTCCCAACGCTGGTATGGATCATTCGACTTCAGCTCGCAAGCAGATTGCATTCATTGTCCCAGAAAGTGAACCACTAGTTAAACGTTAAATCCTCTGACCACCGGTCGCATGGTCCGAGATCGTCCCTTACTTCCTAGGTTTCATTGAGGTGGAGTGGATATCGGGGAGCCTCTTAAGGACAAGACAGTGCTCTCTGGAATGGGTCGGAACAGCAAGGGTAGATCTTGGAAAGTTGGTGCGGCTGATCAATTCGAAACAAGTTGCCCGGTGCATCAGCCGCATAGCGTCATCGTAGAGACCTCATTTCGATGATCAAAAGAAATACGCCTGGCAGATCACTCATGCCATTCGATAGAGGGCCATTTTGGCCCATTGTCAATAGTCTATGACTCAGGCCGAACATCGGTGATCATGGAGTTGAAATGGTCTTTGACGGAGCAAGGAACCGACTATGTCGCCAACTAGTGGTCATCTCAAACCTGTTACCATGCGCAAAGATGGTTGTCTGATCGGTAGTATTGACACGCATTGGGTCATTTAGGACATAGACCGTAGAGACAATGTATACATTACAAAGTCCAGTCCTGGCAGTAATCCAACGGCAAGTTGAAAGGCCCATATATTTGTGATGCTTGTACCTTGTATCGAAGCCTGTTTCATCCTGGCGAACAGTGATTGGTGAAATGGTTCTTATCGCTGTCAGTATGAGAAGCTTCATGGCGTTTCCACTCATGGAGCGAGCGGCTGGTTGTCAGTCCTTCGCATTTGGGATAGTGTACAAGCCGCTATTTGAATACCATATAATACTACCAGAAATCCACAGAGTTTGGAGATGGTCAGAAGTACCATTGATAGATGATATACATACACGTTTCGCCAAAACGCGCCGCTATCAAAGACGACTGTAGAGCCTTTGGGGCTCAGTATGCTGGACGATGTCGTGGCTAACGGTCACTTCAAACTTATGATGTGGATTGTAGCCAGCATATATCTCGTTGCCGCGATAGTACGGCTGGCCCACAGCAGTCACCGAGTGCAATGGCAGGGTGTCCCGCGTCTCGCTGGTCCCCGTCCCTCGTCGTGACATCGAGCGACCGAGTTTGGAAACTATCCTGCTGGATCCGACATCTTCAAGGAGTGGTCTATACGTGGGCAGACAGGCTGATATCAGGTACACCCCGGTCTCGACTTGGGTCCAGATTATCAGCTCAACAGCTACCCAGGTCCCGTCGAGAAAGGCATTGTTTCGGAAAAAGATCTGGAAGCGCATAACTGAAGTGACTAATCCTCTGAAAAGCAAACAATCCCATGTTAGTATAAGTAAGACTGTAGAGGACAAGGTGATTGATCTCACATGCTGCCTACTGCGAATGTGATTGTCAGCCCCACTTTTAAGCGTGGACTGACATTAAGTGACCACAACACTGGCATTGGAAGAAGAAGTAGGATGACGTCGGTCACAATGTTGGGAAAGCTGGCCCAGATGTAAAGAACCTTCTTGTTGCCACAGTTGCCAGGGATACGACCAGTCCAGTTAGCGGAGAACGGTCGACAGACGAGGCTCGCGCCAACGATCGTAGCTATCGTGATGAGAACCAGGACCACCATCATGAACTTTGTGATTGCTCTCATCTTCCTGGTTGGGAAGAGCTTATGGTACAGCAACAGGATGGAGAACTTTGGAAGATTGACACTTCCTAAGTAGAGAAAGGACAAAGCAAGGAGATATTTCGCCCAGGTCCTCAGACTAGCTGGATCCTTGACCAGTAACCACGGGATATGATGTCCGACGCCAGCGAACTTAACAGCACCTAGAGCAAAAATCAGCACCTCTGATGTAGGTCAGAATTGGATTACCTGGCCCCGAACCTATACTGATGCCTGCCATACCCATCTGCTCCGCAAGCGCAAACAAGATCACAGCATCATCCAAGCCCCATGGTGTGCGAACCTTGTGTCTAGAAATAAAACGCAGAGCAACACAGAATATTTGAAGAGGAACGAAGAGAGCAGTGAAGATCAGTAGCCGGTCTCCGATATAAACGGGGACTTCCTCAAGCGGGATATCTAAGGATCCCATTGTGGCCGCACACCGCAGTCAATGGTGCGATGAAGACAATACAAAACATGGATTGAGGTGGGTTGAAACATAGACGGACCTGGTCTACGGCTAGGATGGCAGAAGTCACACATGCTCGGGTTATTTATTAGGAAGCAACTCCGGGCGCATGGTGGATAAAGATGTCGAATACGAGACAGGGCCAACTTCGTTAGCAGCCGAGTACCCACCGAATCCATATAGTTGATGGGGACTATAGTGTCCAACCTGAAAAGCATAAGCAATGGCACAAGACTGCTGCCCGGCCTGCCGAGGAACAGAACACGATGTGACATCGGGCACGGATCCCGCATTAGGGTCTGAATTAGCACTTGCGCTAAGAGTCGGGCGTGTCCATGGCGGGCCCATTGCCCCATCCGAAATGTTCACTGTACAAGCGGTGTCGCTTAGTTTATTGATTAGTGTCCTTGATCCCTCCTTGCCATCCATGACCCACGCTGATAAGCGGAGTCCGAGCCGGAGATCTGCAAGTAACAAGCAAACAGTATGCATGGCTAGAGGCCGGTACCCCCGCGCGATTCCTGCGCTTGGATCAATTAAGCAAGTCTGTTTCATGTATAGATAGCTTAGTGCCCAAGCCAATGATATGCATGATTGAGGCGTGGAAAATACCATATAGGCAAAAGCCGTGTCAGTGTCGCTAAGCGTATAAAGTTTTCATTCGTTTCAAGGTCTGAACTCAATGTACGATAACATCAGAAGGCTGGAATGAGAGCAGTAAACAGGCGTGGAACGGCTGGCTTTTGTGCTGGTCTAGCCTCGGACATGTAGGGCTCCGTTAGTAGGAGGCCGTCCCTTCCTCCTGAGACACCAATATATAGTGCGCTGCAAAGCAACAAAAAGGCCCACTTTCAGACTCCTTTCGCCTGTTTAGTGGGATAAGTGTTGGCCAACGGCATCTGACACGATGAGACCAATGATTTCTCTCAACTACGGAGTAATGCGCAACCAATCATCATGCGCTCCGTCCCATCATATCTGGACACTAAGATACAATTTATCTTTTCCACGATCGACACCACATGGGATTCACGTCATGGTAGGGGTTGAGCTTATCCAAGACGTTGATCGCGACCGTGCGCAGACATCGTGACCCAACGGCGCTGATCATTTCGGCATGGAAAGGGAAATTTTATTCCTGATTTGAAGCAGAACATATTTGTCCAATGCTTAAGCGTGCAATGACCCTAAGGTATCTAAGCTGCGCCACGCATCTATTGCGCGCAATGGCGCTGGACGTCAGGGTTCGGCTACTGAATCTAGCACGTCAATGTGATAAGGTCATACTATGGTAATGGGTGGAAATGCTGTATTATATGAGACACCTGTGATAACTGACTTCGGATCTATGACGGTAGGTGTCCACATCATTGAAGATTGCAGTGTCCATACGGGATTGGCGAGCATAGTTCGGGGAATAACCGAGAATTCGGTGCTTTGGGTGCACGCCGGCCAGTAAAGTTGTCCCGCAGATTTTACTGACAAAAAAAAAGTTCATCGCAGATGGGGAAGTATCTCCAATGCCAGGGAACAATTCCATAGTGTGTTGGATGTCGAAGGATCAATTGCATGGATGAAAAGGGAAAGCCGAACACATGTGACGGCACATGATCTGGAGGGGCGTGACCTGCCAGCCACGTGCAGCGAATTGAGAATATTTCTCAAGAAAGCACTCTCTCTTTGGCACGAAAGAGTCGTGCAAGGAGGACGGTTTCAAGGCCAACGAAGGCTTTGACGGATCAGGCTAGGTTCGACTTGTCCCAAAGATCTACATGGCTGCCGGACCATGAAACAAAGACGCGGAAATTGAGCGTTGGCCAGATCTTCATATTCCATCACGCCCACGGGGAACGGAACTATCCAATTTAATCGCAAAATCAAAGAACTTCCCGAAAAGGGGGACTAGAACGAAATTGAATAGTGAGAGGAAATGAGTTCCCGGTCGGGGGCTATGTGGAAGACTGTTTGGGGGAGCGACACTCTCTCCTAAGAGCTTCAGCTCCAATTAGCTTATTGTTCTTGTGCAACAATACTACCAGTCTGAGCCTCACCAAGGATCCATACAGCTCACTCTCTGGTACTTCCAAGCCATGTGGAAATTAATGGTCGATCCTACAACTTCCTCTTCACCAATGGGACACCAGGATAGAAACCCAATAGATCAGGAACACTGAAATGAGTCCATTAAGCGATTGTTGGTGTCACCAACTATTCAATTAGGATCGAGGAAGAAGCCTGGAGTCTCCTTCCGGCAATATAGCCGTCTGGGCTAGAGATTCAATTCAACCCAATGTCTGTGCTACATGAATTAATCCCGCCTCTAATGAACGCAGTACCACCAACAACCAACCGATCGTTCTTTCATTGCCTTCAATAGATGGCCTTCACATTATCTTAATTCAGTGAGGCATCAGTGAGGATGATCAGTCACGTAAGAATTGGGCCCTCATAGCCATGGTTATACGGTACGAACCCCGGTTACTGCAATCAGAAGTCGCAGTCTAAGACATCCCGGGAAACGTGTACATTGTGGCTGACCCTTGCTTCGGCTGGGCCACCACCCTTCGCCTACAAGATAATCGGGCCTCCTTATAAGGATCAGAGGGGGTAACATTTCACAATAACCAATGACCAAGATGGTTTCATGGAAGCAAATCTTCAAAGTCCTTGCCTTGGGCTCGGTTTTCCGAAGCGGCAGAGCAAGCGCCTCTTCTCTATTAAACGTACACCAAGGATCTGAAGGTGTTACCTATCAACTAGGTGACATTACTTATTTCGCCAATGCAAAAGATCCGCGAGATACATTGACGATCACATACCCCAAAGATAAAAGTCACCACGCTACTGGAATATACATGACATTGACAGTCATCGTTGCCAACGAGAGCATCGTGACGGCTCGCTACCTCAACGCCACAATTTCGAGCTATCTGGCCAATGACGACGTTTTCTCAACAGAGTTTCTTGGTTCCGTGTATCTCACTTCATCCACCTCCAATGCCAGTTTAAACGCCAAGGCTTCGGACTATCTGTCGAGTGCCGGCGTTGAGAACATCTTTGTTGACTCGAGTGTCTTCAAGAGTCAGGGCGTACGGGAAATACACGTGCAACACAACTCCGCTAAGGCTATGGCACCTGGTCCATATACCGTTGTGATGTCGAAAGACAAGATCAGTTTGCTAGACACATATCGCCTATTCCCTGACGCATATCGCGATTTCATCAGCGGTATATATCCATCGAATGACGGCAGTGGCTCTTTTGTGCCACTTCAATTTATGTCTTCAAGCCTCTGGGCACCGTTGGTGCCGGTGCCAAGCCGCATCCGTTCGTGGGGAGACCCACGGCCGTTAGCTGGTAAACGGGTGGCAGTGAAAGATATATTCGATATCAAAGGATTGCAGACATCAGCTGGAAGTCAGGCATGGACCCTGACCACACCGGTTGCCAACCGAACGGCGCCAGCGATTCAGCGGCTGGTGGATCTGGGTGCGGTTATTGTGGGGAAGCAAAAGTTGGCACAGTTTGCGTCCGGTGCGAATCCCTGGGATTGGACCGATGGGCAAGCTCCTTTTAACCCACGGGGTGATGGATACTTGACTTGTGCAGCATCAACGTCCGGTGGAGCCTGCTCGATTGCGGCGTACGACTGGCTGGATGCGGCGATTGGAAGCGACACTGGCGTTTCAATCCGTCGCCCAGCGGCTGTTACAGGAACATTCGGAAACCGACCCAGTCAGGGAATGATAACGCTGGAGGGTATGCTTGCTCAGAATTGGGCAGAGGACACGGCCGGTGTGCTCGGGCGGAACCCGGCCGCATGGGCCAAGTTTGCCAAGGCGTGGTATACTGCAGATCTTCACCAGCCAGAGTCGATTACTGGATTATCTCCCCTGTCGGTGCCAGACACCATGGCTTTCCCAACCCAAATACTGTACCCGGATGAGCAATTTCCCCTCGTCAACCCCGCTGCCCAGAAGATCGTTGAAGCTTTTCTCTCGAGTATGGCAATGGCACTCAACATGACTATCAAACATACAAATCTTAGCGCCACGCTCATAGATGCACCTATCCTCCCACATAAGAAGGACAGCTTAGACCGTCTCCTAGCGGCAACCGCTACCCTAACGTATTGGTCATCTCATGTTGCCGTTGCTGAGCCTCTCATGACCGAATGGTCGCGCCGTTTCGAAGGTCGCTTCCCTCCAGTAGATCCGCTGTGGCGGAGAGAGTGGTCACAATTCAACGCCAGTGCCGTCAACCAAGCCGCATACAACCAGGCTTTACAGGATAAAAGGAAAGGTGTCGACTGGTTCGAAAGGAATGTGATGCTGGAGACGCCTCAATCTTGCTCGGAGTCATTACTAGTCTGCGATATTGGCACCGGCGGGTTACCCAGTTTCCGCGAGAAAGCCCTTAACGAGGGACCGAATGCTACATTCCTGGGAATGATGCCAGATGGGGCCGCGATACCTTGTTCCATGATTTGTCCTATTTTCGGGTGAGTCCAGCTGGCATCCTGGTAATGCGAAATTGAAAGATGAGCTAATGTGTTTGCTGCAGCTGCGCCGATTTCACCATTCCCTTGGGCCAAGTGCCTTATCATTCTCCGGTGTCTAAGGTGACGGAACAGTTTCCTGTGAGTATCAATGTGATCGTGCGTCGGGGATGTGACTTTGTATTATTTAACATGGTAGAGAAGCTGGCGCAGGCGGGTATCATTCGGGCCGTTAAGACTGGTACGAAGGCATTTTAGTTCAAGGAGCTTTGAGCCATTTTCCTGCCTGTTGGTAGGTTTAATATTTCTTTCTAGTGTACCATAGAGCAATTACAGTCAAAGAATTCCGTGCTAGATCATGGTCGGGAACGTCTGAGGCAGTCAGAGCTAGTATTACTACTGTGTTGGACTGCAAGTTAGTATAATAAAAACCCCCCCCTGCCACATATATTTTCTACCAGCTACTCGCTGACCGATCTGTAGTGCAGCAGAGACTGCTCCTGTCTTGCTACAATAATGCATCCTCTGACATTGTTTTACGACATCCGCTCCAAACACGGCTGACCTCCTGTGTACAGTCCAATTTGAGATCCCAGTTTCAGGATATATACGTTATGAAGCGATAGCAGGACCATGAAAGAAATATAGGACAGGAAGTCGCGGGTTAAGCAACCTTATCTGGAAGTCTTGAACGAAGTACCTGGAGACTTCGGGCGCAAATGTACCCCCATCAAGATGAGAGAAAGGCGAAGAGGTGCCACACCCCAAGAGAAACTATCTGATCAAACAGCCTTCGACGACGAGTAGGGGCCAATTTGGTGATAGTAGCTTTCCTACCTTATCGTCAACCCAGGTAGCCCTTCTAGCCCTTTTACGGTGGGAATTATGACCGGCTCCGGGAGATCAAGGATAAGTATCACCCGCGGCAGATCTTCTCTGCACGAACTGCAGTGGGGAGTGCGTGGTGGGTGGGGCGTGAGGATGGCCGTTTGTGTCGAACTGTTTGAGGGCCTGCAGACTGTGCACTTAGGGCAACGACAGCCGGAGCTACAGAAACGCATGGGCCTCGGTGGTCGACATATTCCGCGACTGGTTATATTGTATGCCAAAATGGCCCCAGTTACGTCTTACAACGCCTTAAAACTCAACGAAGAATTCTTCGATCCGGTTAATGTCTGACAAGGAGGCAGATGACCTAACTTCACTCCACATCAATACGGCGATTATATAATTGCTAGTTCAGGTCTCTCGGTACGCATAACGTTAGATCTATGGCATTTCGTCAAGTCATTAATCATCTGGATTTATATCCAAGGTAGACATTAGATATCACTGTATTATCAACAGAAAGTCGCTGCGAACGAAATTCCAACTGGTTCCACATCTATCATACATATAACCTGTTTTAATACCACCTGCCAAGGACCCCGTGTCCTGTAGATAATCTTCGATACTCCTCGAGAGCTGGACTCACTGACTTGGGACGTTCGGACTCCGTCGACGTCTTTGCCGTCGCGATCAGCGGAGTGTTCTCCTCCACCTTGGTGCGAATATAATAATGCTCGTCGTCCTCTTCCATGCCCACAACCCATTTCTCCTTGAATTGAGGACCTTGAGGCCCGGTACCACAAGCACCCTCTAATCGCGATGTGGCCGGGCTGTTGATGGCCAGAGCGAATAGGTTCTGCGGCTCTGTGAAGTCGGTAAGCTGCCGTCCTTTTTCGCTTAACAGGTAGCCTAGACACAGGACACTGGTAACGAAAGTGAGGAACAAGACTGGAAAGAAGGCGCCCTGCCATTTCTCGGTCCCGGTGGATTGGTAATCGACGACACTCATGGTGGCATTGAAGTATTGTGTATCTGGTTCCGCGAGGGAAGCGTCGGAGTGATTCCAATAGGGAAGGAAGGTTGCGTTCTCCGTCCCCATAATCAAGGTATTGCCAGCCATCACTGCAAGTGCCTCCGCTAGAGATGGTAGACCGGGCTCCAGGGAGTAGCCCGAGGGGGTGAGCTGCATCAGCAGCCGGGCGTTGGAGGCCCTGCCGTCATTGATGCCGGCATTCAAACTCAAGGAGTTACCCCATTCCGATCCAATGTTCTTCCAATCCAAGCTCCAGTTACCGTCCACTGCGTCTGGGAAGAACCGATCGAACTGCCATTTGTTATCCGGCTTTTCACAGTCTGTGATAAACTTGGCTCCACTGGCAGATGCAGTATATCGCACTGAGCAACGCGGTGTCTTTTTCGCTTTCATTGAGCATAGAGCATAGTCCACCCCAGTGGCGTTGGGCGGCTTCCCCAATACATACATTGCGTTGCCAAACGGTGCTGAGTGGTTGAGGATTGTCTGATACTCGCCCGGGAGCCTGCCGAAGATTGGTGGACGCCATCCATACTTGGGTCCCCAACCGAAGATATCGTCCACAACAGTTCGATTCAGCCAGGAGTCTGGCCAGCTCGGTAGCTCCTTCTCTTGGTCTGTCCACTTCTCCACGTTGAATTTCTTCCCCGGCCACATATCATATATCAGTGGTTTCAGTTCATTAGCTGTCATGCCCACACACAGCACGTTGATTGCAGGACATGGCGCAGCAGCGATCATGTCAAACTGACCTTCCGATGAATTTTGCGGCTGTTTAATTCCATTGACGGGGTCCTTTGCCGCGGCTAGAACTCCAGCATGAGGCATAGCAGCTGTAACATTCAAGACCATCCGTTTATAATGCAGTGACAACTCCGTCATGTTGCTGCGATCGATCCAACTCCCCGTCACTGTTGTATTATCGTGGATCGATCCCGAGGGAGGCGGTCGCTCCTCTAGCACAGCCGATGCATGCTCGCCGTTGGTAACCATCTTGCTCCAGCGGTTCAGGTACGCAATGTAGTTGTGGTATGCCTGTCCGACGTGTTGCATTTGAAGACACGTTGTATTCCGGTAAATTGGGTCCATCTCGTTGAGGATCGGTGTTTCGCAGTTCAAGCCCATGTAAACCGGGTTGAAAAAGTCGGTGGACACATTCGCTCGTAGGGTTCTGTCCTCGTGCGGTCCGGCATGCAATTTGGGTGATACTGAGTGATCGGAGTCAGAACCATAGATGCCACTACTGTCAACGCCAATCTACCTAAGTGTGTACTTACCCAATGCCTCCGCCGCAGTTGTATACAGCATGGCGATGATGGTCGCCGTCAGAGTCATCGCACCGAGAAAGGTCAATGCCGAATAGCGCAAGGTCTCCCAGTGAACTATCATCGACCCCGGCTGCATGATCCACGTCCGCATGCTCATGTCGGAAATGGTGATGCCGTTGGAATCCTTCTGGAGAGCTCGTCGACTTAAGAACTGCCCCAGACAGGCGACAAAAACCGTAACGTACGCCAACTCAATTGTTTTCGCGAACATCGCACTCAGTAAGTTGGCCGTCGAGGCCGCGACATTGCCGTCGACCCCAATGAAGTTTCCATATCGCGGCTTCAGACAGGCGACAAAGAAATACAACCCCGACCACACGGTCGCATATACGGCCAGCACCAGGATAGTCATGGGCACCCAGCGAAACCATCGCTGGGCGATTGTATCTCTATGAGGACATCGCACCTCACTGTCCAGAAGGGGTGTTTTCGAGGTGTGCGACCGCGGCGTGGCCTGCTCCGACAGGTGCGGGGAACGCGATTCTCCCCCGGGACGTCCTTCGTCCAAGTCTTCAACGAAGTGAATGGATGCTGGCCTGCGCCTTGCATTTTCGATCCCTAAGCCCACCGTTGTAAATGCCTCATTGTGGGAGGTGATGTCCTGCTCTTGGTGCGAGGAAGATGCGCGTTCATAGCGGATGTAGGAACGGTCGGAGTCGGCCGGGGGGCTCGGGTCGAATGGGCTCCAAGACGTCTGTGGCCGGTCGGGCTCGGTATGGGATAACCTTGACAACGGTGGTAGAAGGTATTCTTCTTGATTTGAAGGCATGGTACCCAGAAATCAACATACGGTGGTCAATGAAGACGACCTTCGTCGGGGCGAGAGGAAACCCCACGCGAAACAGCCTCTCTAATAGCATATGTATTCACTCCATTTGCAAGGAAAATGCGGCTATCTCCCCGGTTCACGAGCTAGAAGTGGTACAGCTTGGAAATGAGCTGGTCCAGCCTCAATTCCTTTGGCCAGGGCCTCTGTCAAGTCGACAGGGTTCCTTGTGGATCTTCTGCCCGAATGGTTTAGGTCTGAGATATTTCCACCAATAGCCCTCATGGACGAGTCCGACGGCTGTTGGTTGCCAAGAGGGCCGTTCAATATAAATAGATTAGCGGTGTTTACTTCGTACAACGAAATCCCAGAAGGCTGATTTTTCCGTCTGGGATGATGGGACCAACGGTTGGCAGGTTGCCTTAGGGTTTGTAAGGGTCAGATGGCACGTTTGGTCGGACGCATGCATGCGTGGGCGCCGAGAAAGAAACCACATCAAAATGTCAGTTCAACCTCAAGGATTCGTAATCTTTCCAAGTTCCAGAGGACAAACCGGTGCGTCTGACATGCAGGAATTGACCCCACTATTCACGAGAACTGCCAATCCGTTGAACGCCTACCTCTTACCAGTCAGCAGCCACCTCGTAAGGCCTCGGGGTCCCACTTGCGCGGCTCATATTGGCCTGGACCCCTACAGGCCAATATTCATTCGGCTGGCTTAACGGTGACCAGGGCATATCGGCGCATATTTTAGTATCGGCTATCAGCAACTGTAGCGATGGACATATTTTCTCTAAAGGGCAAAATCAACCAGTTGTTTTCACATAGTCTCGATAGGCGTTGTGACGCCTTGTCTTTGCGATCTACGGTACAGCCACGAAGCGGATCGAATGCTAGTATGACCCCGCCACATTAGCTCCACGCTTTTCCATGCTCTCTGAGAGCGAAGGAAGGTTAGCCTGGTCTTGGACAAGGCAACTAAGCTTCTCAGAAAAACAGTAGTAGTGTTCGTAGCACGGAAACCCCGGCTCAAAGCTGACCTGGCTTTGTCTCCAAATGACATGTGGGACGCACCTGGCTAGAGTCATTGCATCCGAAACGCATGTATACAAATAAAGACCTAGGTCGAATTCTCTGTACTATACCTGACACAACGTGCGACGGTCACATTATTTTTGTTCGCTGTGAGATTCAGACAGAGATTCAACGTTATTGGGCGGTTTATTGGGGAAATGGTGACAACCTGGCGCACCGGCTGCATCTCTGAGCAGCATTTTGGACTTCCAGCCTTACTCCAATTTAAATAATGCCTAGTCGGTCTCACGGTGGAGCGGTCCGAGCGTTAATAGGACAAAAATCATGGATACAATTATAGTAGACCTCTGATTTGCAGCAATGGAAGATGGCGGTTGTACTTAGGCCTAGAAGGTAGTGCAGGTGGTTCCCATGCATATACTCGCATACAAAGACAACCAAAATCAAAGGTTCTTAGCATCATATGACTGTTAGAAGTCCGGAGGTAAGTGCGGAGACATTGTATGTAAATATTTCATATACGGTTTGAGCTAACCTATGTATACTCCCGTCAGTAGTTCTCTTAGGGTTGGGCATTCCCCTATATAGAGTAGTAAGCTCCATCAGCAGCCATTCAAACGAATCCTAGATAGGAACTAAGACATTGCACCACATCCATCTCGTCGTCAGTCAATACCCATGTAATACAAGTGGACATGTTTGGTGTGTAAGTGGTGGGATCGCAATACAAACTTGGTTGACGAGCTTCTTGGCCTGCTGCGCGGCTGGATTATAGGCATATTCCATCTCATTGGTTTCCTTTAGCATAATTGGACCCAGGTTCAGGAATCACCGAGTGGCTGTAATTACAGTTCACTCCCACGGCTTGCATAACTCACTTGTTGTCCGGTGATGAAAGGAGACGTGGCGAGGAGTTCATTCAAGGCAATCAATATTAGATGGAACTGTAGCCACTGTGTTATATTAACAGGTGGTGTTAATCCTCCACGCCTAGGGTAAGCTGAGACAGTCGCCCGGGTCTCCCCAGGATAAATTTGTCTCACCCCCCCTGGCCGGCAACGATTTCCCTTGACTAGAGTAGATGCATCCAACCAAGCATCTGAGACGATGTAAGAGATTGTCGATTCTTCTAGTTCACTTATTAACGTCGAACCGGTTGTAGCTTCGCCCCACGGATTCCCCACCTAGTTCGAGACTCTCGAGGTTCTTGATATACTGAAACAATCAAATTCAGACTAGCTTGACAAGCCAAGACGTACCTTCTAAGTACTACAATGGTGAGAAGAACAGCTGACCGGCATTCTTACTCCTAGTCTCATATCCTTTCGAGAGCGTCGCTTAGTGAAATGCGAGCTTTTGGATCCATCTTTGTCAGGTCATCGCCGATAGATCGTAACCTTTCACCGAAACTACCGGCGCCCAATTTCCTGGCCATCATCGAAAGTAGTTTTCCATAAGCCCAACAGTCTGTAGCGATGCGTTGCTCGGGTGACGTCGTAGCAGGAGCCGTCGCAATGCTTCTTTCAATGATCTTTTGCATCTCTGGAGAGAGCCATTCCCATTCATACCCACCAGTTCCACTAATATCGACAAGGATCGCATTCTTATTCGCGTCAAAAACGATATTCGATGGTTTGATGTCAAGATGAGTCCATCGCTGTCTGTGCAACATTTCCAATGCTCTACCAGTCTGCAGTGCCCATCGTCTTAGCAATGAATCATCTTGGTCTTTATTCTCTGATAGAATTCGCTCAAGAGAGTCTTCGGAGTAGTATTAAGGAGAAATCCTGTGATTACAGGCGACGAGATTGTTGATGGGCGGGTATTGTACGGATTATCAGATATCACAAGCCCGATTAGCTGTGCGATACTCTGCTGTCCTCGAAATTGTGCGAGGGCGGTAATCTCGTTCAAGATATGTTCTGTGTCTCCTAGTTCATAGATAGGGCGGTCTATCTTTTTGTATGCGAACCGTTTTTGGCTGAAATGGACTGTGGAGACGGTTGGGGCGATGACCTCGTCGTCTTTTAGATCACTAGCCTTAAAGATAGGTAGATCTTGAACTTGGTCTAGAGTCGGGTATCTAATTCTCCCCGGGTCTTCTTCAATCTGGACGGACATTCGATGGGCAATAGATAAAAAGAAATTTGCCTCTGTCTGATTATCATTCCGAACCTTACGAATCGGAATCGGCTTAAGGCTTTGCTCAGCCAAGGTGAGACTGATACGAGTCACAGTATCATCCACCAGATCTAATTGATCAAAGTCAATAGCCTTCATGAATTCCTGAAACATAGAGCGGCGCTTGAGATAGCGTAATTTCAGTATTGACTTTGGTAGAGACCAAGCTATCTCAACTTGGATCCACCATACAGAGGAGGAGTGGAAGATCAAGGTCTGTGAAGGATGATCACCATTCCAATCTTGGAATGATTTGAATTCCAGCCTGCGAGGCGAAGCAACTGACTTGGGGGGCATCTCGTCGGATGAAAAGAAGAGATTTGACTCGCGTTTGTGAATGTCCAAAGTCAAGAGATGAATTGAATGACGAAAGAGAGAGGGGAGAGTACCCATTAAGTAGTAGTTATGCATAATCATGTGTCACCACTCGACAGATCGTTGCTCAGGTCCAGCCTGTCCTGGACTCCAAAGTAGCTGTCATGCTTACACTTAAAGACTAATAGCTATGCAGAGATCAACCTGGCGCATGTGTGCTCACCAGGTTACCGCCCGCAAGCTCTTTAGGCTGGCTGTACTGGTGCTAAGAGTGGTTTTCCAGTGCGAGATACGAAGACTGGTAACACAGAGCAAAGAGTATTCCAGTGGTCCTCTCATAGTACGGACCACGGCCAATGTCAGTTGGGGTTTGAAATCATGGTGTTTTCGCCGCCTTAACGGCGTGCTTGCTGCTTTAACTACCATGATCTTTCTCTTTCAACCTTCACTTGACACAAAGAATCGCAAGAGCTTTCCTGGGATGATCTAGCACACTTCAGTCTGTAAATTCACTGGAATTTCCGACATGGTTCAAAGTGTTCTGGTTTTCTTTCCGAGCGTGACAAAAGCATTGCATATCATTTTTGTTGAAAGCCGAATTGGTCTAGAAGCGGTACTTGACTAAATGAGGCATAGCTTGCGGTCGACCATCAGCATCAAGATAACTCGATTCTCTTTTTTCGTCTCAACATTCTCTTCGTCCCGGTGATCGCCCTATCCTGCGCTGTCCTTGAGCGATCTAGCGTTCTTTCCCACTGCTCTTGATCGATATCAATATGTCCACTGAATTGAGTAGTCCAATCAAGCCGCTGAGATCCAGACTGGGGTGTAAAACTTGCAAGTAGGTGCTTTCTTTCTTTTCATAGGAAGGGTATGAGTATTGAGCACTTTCTAGAATTCGACGAGTCAAGTGCGGAGAAGAGAAACCAAACTGTGTCCGATGCACCAGCACAGGCCGTAAGTGCGAGTATGAGGGCACAATTTCCGGCACTTTCTCCTCCACGCCTTCCACAACTTCCATACAGGACCACCCACTTTCATTACTGCCCAATACGGTGTGGCGTGAGCGTCGTGCCTTTGCCTACTACTTCCAGCAGGCCGCTGTGTCGCTCGGTGGTGGACTAGATGTTCATTTCTGGCGCAGTATCGTTCCGCAAGTCTGTCGGAGTGAACCAGGCGTGTGGGATGCCATCATCGCACTCAGTGACCTGTTTGAGAGTCCCAGCCAGGATTGTCGCTCTCCCAATCCGAAGCACCGAGATGCGTTGAGCTGGTATTCACGCTCGGTGTCTGCTGTCCGTCAGCGAATTCAGTGTGGTGACATAGATATCTTTGCCGGACTAATAACCTGTATTCTGTTTATCAGTATTGAAGCCATCCAGGGCAATGAGCAGGAAGCCTTGCAGCTGTATGGTCAAGGTGTGCATCTCATTCGCACGCTGCGCGCTCAAATAGCGTGCGGGGTTGTATCAGAAACCAAAGCTTGCTTGTTGGAAGATGCAATCGTCCCGATATTCGTACGTCTAGGAGTAATTGCTCTCACCATTGCGCATCTTCCAGTGAGCGGTCTACTGCTAGACAATGATCCTGTACTGGTGCAAGAATTTGTCTCCCTCAAGTCTGCTCGGGAGGCTATCGCTCGCTTAAGCACTGAGATCCAGCTCTTTGAACGCACTTGCATTGAGTATCGACACGAGTCGCATTCCTCCGATATGCACCCAGAATTTATGGACCGACAAATATTCCTGTCAGGTAGGTTAAAGGACTGGCATACTGCCTTTACTGTTCTCATTGAAGGTCTGCACGCGAAGGGCGTGTTATCACAGCAACAGATTGGTACAGGTGCCCTTCTTCTAACCTACTATGAAATGTCATTTGTGATACTTGCAACCTGCATTTCCTCATCACACATGATATACGACGCTTATACACCGAACTTCCAAAATATAGTGGAACAGTCTAGCATCGCTATCAATTCCTTAGCACGATCGGACGGCACACAACCGCCGTTCACGTTTGAGATCAACGCCGGGTTTCCGCTTTGGTTCACCTGCCTCAGATGCCGCGAACCCAAGATCCGACGCATGGCACTAGCTCTGTTTCGTCAGGGACCTCAAGCTCAGGGCTTCTACAACTCCGCCGGGGCAGCAGCCCTTGGTGAAAGAGTCATGATGCTAGAAGAAGCGTTAGCAATCAGAGCAAATCAGGGTAAAAGCGAGTCTGTGAGACAACACTCCAGCAATTCAGCTATCGAAAATCACGCCTATGATCCAGACCATAATAGCCACGTTTTCAACGTCGATTCTAGTTGTCTCCCTGTTATTCAAGACTCTGAACTCGCAGTTTATGTTCCGGAAGAGGCACGCCTGGGACCGATTGGTATCTTTCGGTCACAAGACGGATTTCCGCCAGGAACGAAGGAGGAAGACCTCGCGAAATGGAACCAAAGGCACGACCAGACCTTTTTGCGATTCTCGCGAAACGAGCATGATCAAGCCAATGATACTTGGCATGTGGTTCATGAATATGTTCCTATTGATAATTAATTGGAGCTTGAAAGATCTTGATGCTTATGGGATAATATATGGTCAACAGAAGGTGGTACCATGGGGGCAGCAAGGCGATCACTCGTCAACTGACCTTTAAGGTCAAGGAATACTCTATCTCAGCTGGAATGAGACATACAGACCTGCATATGTTATTTCTAGAGCTGTAGGTGCCAAGACCAATGTGTGCTGACTGCATGCGCTATGGGTCTCGAAAGGCACATTGACCGTCTTTATGGGCTTATGAACAAGATGTTCCGGACGAGGTATCTCTTGCCTCAAGCTGTTACTGGATCGAGTCCCAAGCAGAACATGCAGCATACACACACAAAATATCCAGGTATCCTGGATAACTTGCAGCTTCAGTGATCTTGGCACTTAAGCCCGGCATCATATAGCAAATATCAGCGGGCGATTCCCAAAATGTCAGCAACAACGTCTAAGGCTGTGTCTAATGCACACTACAGTACCCGGATCGACTATTTTATCTTTGCGCTTGTGGAAAGGCAATCTCTTCACGTTTATCTGACAAATCATCAGCATGTCTATATGCGAGACTATCTCCACGAGCCACGGCGCTGTTATTTGCGACTGTGATATGCCCTGTGGACCCGAGTCAACTGGGGTATGGCTGCATATGTCCGCCTCTCTGTATGTAGCCAGAGTGCTAGCGTGGCACAGTTGCAAACTGAACTGCAGGTGCCATTAAGAGGAAGAGAGGTCAAGAGCAACCAGATAAACCATGCACATGTAGGGGTACTCTAACATCGGCAGTCCTCGGTCGCATATATAGAGGTAAACGGTCGCCGCTTCGCTCCGTCAGCCACAGTATACACATACGTGCATAGTTTAGCTCAAGCTCATCGGCCTTCATCTATACCTTCAACATCAAGATGACCAGCGGAATCCCCGTTCATCTTCCGTGGCCCTACCACCATGGCCGCACCCACCGGACTGGAGGATGGTTGACAGAAAACCCCAACACGGTCGTCGGCTTCGTTCGAAAGGTCTCTGTCGAAGAGGCCAAAGCTAAGCTCCCCTTCCACCCCATCATCCAAAATTTTCAGGCAGCCGTCTACGGTTCCCCAGATCTTCGCATGTTCGCGTCCGCAATGCTCACCGAAGTGCCCGACAAGCCTCCATATATCAACGACCCAACTGGCACCAAACAGATTCGGGACTTTGACCACCTTCTCCATCTATTCAACTACACGATGCAGAAGGTGGCGCCACAGTGGAACATCGATGAGTACCACGTGGGCCTTATTGGCGTTCCTTTCAACGCAGTGCTCGACTGGCCCATGGCTACCCCGAGCGGATACGCGTTCTTCCTGCACAAGGAAGTCAATCTCCATATGAAGAGAATTCTAGATTACTGGAGAGACCATTTCCTGTCCACATCAGCTTCCGCCAGCGTGCTAGCCGAGGAACCAAACGGGTGGCTGTCCGAAGAAGCCCGCAAAGTAATCGAAGATGAGACCAACCTCGATCCAAACCACCGGTACAGCTTCGAGGAATTGTTCGGACACAGCAGGGAGGACGGCAAGCATTGGGGCTTCAAATCTTGGGACGACTTCTTCACCCGCAAATTCGCTGATTACGATAAGCTTCGGCCTGTCTATGCACCAGACGACGACTCCTGGGTAGTCAGCGCCTGTGAATCGAAGCCATTTGCACTCCAAACACACGTGAAAGCCTACGATACCTTCTGGCTGAAGGGCCAGCCCTACTCCGTGTACGAAATGCTAGACAAGGAAGAGGAGGCGGAACAATTCGTCGACGGAACCATCTATCAAGCCTTCTTGAGCGCCACATCGTACCACCGCTGGCATTCTCCAGTCAACGGCACCATCAAGAAAGTGAAGCTGATCGGCGGGACCATGTTCTCCGAGCCAACCATTACCGGATTCATGAACCCCGACGGCCCCGACCCCGCTGCCCCGGACAGGGCGCAGGGCTATATTACGCATGTTGCAACGCGAGCCCTCATCTTCATCGAAGCGCCGGAGCCGGTCGGTCTCATCTGCCTCGTCGAAGTCGGTATGGTGGATGTCTCAACCTGCGATGTTACTGTTAAGCAAGACGATGCTGTATCCAAGGGCCAGGAGATCGGCATGTTTCATCATGGCGGATCAACACACTGCCTACTTTTCCGGAAGGGTGTCAAGCTCACTTGGGTGACGGGTGCGTTTCCGGGCGTGAGTAGTAAAAATCTTCCCTTACGGGGTGCTTTGGCGCATGTTTCGAGTGCGTCAGACAGGCGGGAAGTGGTATATGGGTTGGGAGAGGATGCTCGTCATGATGGTTGACATGGATCTCCAGAGCGTCGTCATGGTCATGGCGATGGTTATGGTCGAGGATACGAGGGCCATTATGGACGCTGGCGGCGAGCACGGGACTGGCTATCCTGGTTACCACTAGGTTAAAATGCAATTTAGAGTTGTCTGAGAAGCCTATGACCCTTGATGGTGGGAAATATGTATCTATATAGCTCTGGAATATGAATTAGGCTATGATTGCATCGGGAGAATAGAGCAAGTTGTGGCATTCTTGGTTTTGTATCTCTTTATAGATTCTGCTCATCGAGCAACATAGTATCTCGCTACTTTCGGTTTTTCCCCCTTTTTTTTTCTTCTTTTAGTATTATCTTTGAAAGTCTCCCTGGATTCGATGATAGCAATCAGTAGAGCGCACGTGTTGCGCAAAAGTCAGCCTCCGCTCTACATAAACCTCGTTCAAGCAATGATAGGCAGCAAGTCCACCTTCCAGACCTCTGTTGAGTATCACGGACTGCCTTGGACCCAAACAGCCAGCGTAGCGAAAGTCGTGTAGACCATGAACACGAAACCAAGCGTCATCATCGCAATATCTCCCCGTTTCTCCCACGGAGACTCAGCCACGCCCTTCCAATGCAGATACGCCGGATAGATATATACCAGCGGAACACATGCAAACGACCCGATGATGGAAACAAACTTGTCCAGGTCACCCGCACCAACGGAGGATATGAATCCGCAGCAGAGAACGAGGAACATTCGAAAGATATTCTTCTTCCACTTGATCGACGGGTCGCCTTTCCCAGATCTGTGCCCGAAGAGCTTGCCCTCCATGATACGGGTAGCGGGAAACAGCTGAATTGGAGCCCCAACCAGGATTGCGAGGGAATACAGAAATTGGATCGTGTTGACGAGTCGGTCTGTCTGGGGGAAATTGCTGAAGATCTCTGTCTGAGTTCGGGTACCGAATGTAGCATACGATAATGCGCCGACTGCTGTGAAGAGCGTGGTGATGATCGCCATGACGATGTAGAGGAGACGGTCGAAATGCTGCGGCTTTCTCATTGACGATTGGATCGGCAACACGAGACCAATTCCTTCGAATGTGAATATCGACGAGCCGATGGTTAGCGTGAATGACTGCGGGTTGAATAGCTCGACGGTTGGGTCTACTCCCGGCCGCTTTATGAGAGTCGCAATGTCATACCAGTAGATGTATCCTAGTCCCAGGAGAATGAACACGTCGGAAAGCAGCGCTGCCGGACCCAGCTTAGAGATATTCCGAATCCATGCCAGAGGAATGAGCACGAGCAATTGGAGCAAGATCAAACTGCCCGTCGATATATCGGTCGCCATAGCCTTCAAGAAGGCCTGAATATTCTCGGCGGTGAAGATGAAGCACGTGCACACGAAGCCGATCTGAGAGATGGTGATGGATGAGAGGATAAGGGACCGAAGACGGGATCCTGCGATCCGCTCCCCAATGTCGCCATAACCTCCGCCATATTGTCGGCGGCACTGGAGGAGAAGGTGAAAGCATACAGTGGTGATCAGCGCAACCGTCACTAGCGTAATCGAGGAAAATAAAATGCCTCCATTGCGGAACGCTTTGGGCAGGAAGATAATCCCCGTGCCAACGAAAGCCTTCAGCAGCGTGAAGAAGGTCTTCATATTGGACGCGTCGCCTGGACGGCCGACTCGTGAACGCCGCCGGGCCCTCTGTATCAAGGGGGTTTGCTCCCATGGCAATGTCCGGCTCTCCCGGTCTTCGCTAACCACGGAGTCTTCCTCAGTCTCTGCTAAATCCTCGCCAGCAAAGTTGCCATATAGATCGAGGAAATCAAGAAAGGACGTCGTCACGCCCGGGTAATCGAAATTGCCGTTCTTGTGGTGTTGCACGAAATGGCGACGGAAGCTGCCAGGCTCCAGAGCAGCAACACCCTCTTCTATTGCATCTTCGGGCTGCCTTGGGGGGAAAGAAAAGCTTGCGGCCCGTTTGTCTATCTTCGCCAGCTTCGACTTGGCTTCGATCCGGTAAAGGTCACGGTGTATGTCGCCGCCTTGAAGTAAGAGGGAGGACTGCGGCTCCGGGGTGTCCTCCGCACCTCCGCTAGCCGTTTCTGACGGAGCAAAGCTCTCCTCCTGCAGTGAGGCTGTGAACTGGGGGTTGAGATGCTGGGCCAGGATAGCCTCGCGGCCCTCGGAGTCCTGGTCTCGAGGCGTGGAGCTAAGGTACTGGTCGGACATGATGCAGCTGGGTGGTTACACGGTTTGTAGAATGAGCGACGGATCGCGGAATTTCCAGGAACCGACGCAGGGAAGACTAGTCACATTCTGCTGAATGCGAACAGAGGAAGAAAACCTTTCTTTTCGGGTCGACCAAGAAGAATATAGAACAAAAAGGACGTCAGAAGACGACGTCACTCTGCAGTCTCTACGGAATCATGGCGGTCACATGACGGGGCTATCCCGAACAAACAACAAAAACAGCCTTTGAGACTCCATCTGGCTAGACCGCTTCGAGTCTAGGACATCACACCGCCCCGTCCGGGGGTGTCATTGGTTGCAACCAGTTTGCATCCATTGCACCCTTGCATCACGAGTGGTTCCAATGGGACAAACAATTGGGATCAAGTTACAGTCAGTCTTGACGAACAACCCGAAGGAGTTCCTCTTCTTTTCGACGCATTTTCTTTGTTCATTTAAGTTGTCTGGCTTATTTATTAACTTACGAGATGTGGGGCAATAGTCCATATATTTCCAGCTGCACTGATCCGCAACGGATAAGATATAAGAGATATATATCCCACAAGTACTCCGTAGTGATGTGATCATAGACATTCGGTTAACCATGAAATCCTCATTCGATCACCCCTACCCGGCCTTTTATACACCTTCCGCGCCTAAGCGAGGTAGTACTCCATGGAAAAGAGAGTCACGCCACTGAATATGACGATATCCCAGTTCATTGACTGTGCAGTGACATACCAATTGACTGGGGGAAGAACGAAGCACGAAAATGACGATGAAGACCAATTTGGAAATGCTGTCCACAACCGGCGTGCACTTGCCCATGCTCCAGCGTGCTGGAGGCAAGGATTGGTTTCTCCATCGACGGAGACGGACACAGCTAATCGAAATGATCGACGACGACAGGCGAGCCGTACTTCCCAGGGACATGATAGCATTGAAGGCTACGGCTGAACCGATGATAATCCGTGAGAGGGAGGCTAAGAAATAAGACGTTGGGTGGAATGGTGAAGGAAGGGCTTTTTTATGATAGATCCAAATATAAACAACACGAAATTATCTCGTTCACCTCTCCTATAGTCCTTGGTTCATTTAGAAAATACCAACCTGACACAAAGTCACTAAAATAGCAGACTTTGGTCACGGTCGAAGACATAAATCTGCCGCGATGTCGTCGCAACGTTGCTGATGGCCGCGTAGACTACCTGGTCATGTGTAGCGTACGATACAGGGGAATGAGTACACGAACAGTAATCCTCCAACACCAAGATACATAACCCGATGAGTAAAGAAGCACAGGCTGTATTCTTTTAATTTACCAACCTCGGCTTTTTGACCATGGGATTGGTTCCTTCAGGAGTATCGTCACGGCCTTCCAGCAGTTGGAATCCAAATTTCCGATACAGTCCAACTCCTTGGTCACTGGAGGCTATGAAAATTGCGGCCCCGTTGCGGTCAGCTAGATCACATCCCCACTGCACCACCATGGACGCGGCACCTCTCCGTTGATGTTCAGGATTCGTGGCCAACATATCTAAGTCTATACAGCGTGGTTAGAACGGACATGCGCCACTCGAAGGGGGATTAACTACAGTAATGCTTGCGTCCTTGCATCACGTTCCTACGCTGATTCTCGATTCCTCCGAATAACTGAGTGCAGAGCTCGGCATTTGACTCTGGATGCCATGGTGGATATCGCTCGCCACATTCATCCGGCTGCAGGTCCCACTTTCCGTAAGCGACGATATCGCTGGGGTGAGCGGCATCGACTACCTTGATATACTTTTGATATGGTCTGTTCGCAAGGTCATAGTAAATGGTTTCATTCCACCACGTGCGCACGGCGGGGGTATCGGGAAATAATTCCAGATTGTGTGGCGTACTGAATGCGCTGTACCAAACATCGGTGATCTTGGGGATATCGTCTGGACGAACCTCACTGACTCGGAGAGTCGACTGATTCGCCATTTTCTCGAAGACTTTCTGAGCCTTGCAGAGGTAGAGAAGCTGCAGCAACCGCTACGCAGGTCTAGTCCTTATATTGGCACGATCGTGCAATTCTCCCACCATCTTCCGTCCATTCACAAAGACAGCAGGGAATCCCTGGCCGATCCACGGATGGGATGTCCCTTTCACCGCTCATTGTCGTTGCCAAAAGTCAATGATGTCAGGAACGACGTTTAAAGTTACGAGGCCAGCTGGTAGAGGCTTGAAACCATGCTCGTCGTGTGGTTGAGCCTCCCGAGAGGTCGCTTCTGAACACTATTTCGCGTTGTTCCTATCTGGCGATCTTGAATCAGTGACGTGGCGATCAGTACTCGTACTGGTTTCTACGCCCCTTTACAGTGTATCATCACTAGTGGGAACGGAATCCTAATGGCAAGTTGATTTGTCATTGTGAAGCGTCCCCTAATTGCCTAAGCGGGGTGACTACAGCTCCGTTCCTTTGTTGTGATGATTTTCTTTATGTTGTGCTTTGCATAGGGTTCCCTCTAGTGACGAGGCGTTCAATAGCCCGAATTAGCAAATGCCGGTAGCTTGTCAGTGGAGTTGATTGTTGCCATCTGTTTAGTCGTCTTAGCTTTGGTAAATAGATTTACTTTGAATACCACCCAAAAGATCGCCCTACACGAGCAAGGCCGTGGAAGGAGTGGGCCAAGCTTAAACACTGAGGCCAAGCTTTCAGAAGCTTTAATTTGTGGGTTCTACGTAGAGCAAGCTTGGGGAAATAAGAGCTTGGAAATAGCCAGCTAGACTTGCGTGGTACACGTCTTGATTAACCTCCGATCAAGGCCTAGAGAGGTAAGAGTCTATCCAAGCATACTGGTTTGAGTAAGAGACTGTCATGAGGACCATGCGTTACCTGATCGAGATATGGTGATTGATCATCCTGGCCAACCGCCTAGGACGCTGATAGCAATTTGCCCAATTTGCCCTGGATTGGTTCTGATATCAACACGTTTACTAGTTTTCAAACTTATCTCCCACAGCCTTGCATAACCACATTCGTATTGGAGGACCTATCGTATCACCAGATAGATTTGGCAATTTTTGGCGAGTCTCGCAGCGGAGATGACCATCGCACAGGCTGTGGCGGCTTACAACACACGCAGCCAAGACAAACACAAAGAGGTTTGAGGGATATCACTGCCTGGCCCTGTGCTATTTAAATACCATGGGGTGTGTTAGAATTCAGAGAATAGTTTGTAGTATCTTTCCGGTTGCACTTGATAGACCCTTTGAATCATAAGAAGCTCAACGAGGCAGAAGGACGCATTTTCATACGCGAAAAACCTCCTGGCAACAAATCTTCGGTATGGCCGACGGAAGCAAGCCTGTGAAAGTTGTGTATAATTGGTGGGCGATTCTGTGGATGTGCGCAATGCAACTGTATGCTATATTCATCAGCCACTATCATGCATTATAGCTAAGAGAAAGGGGAAAGATACTTTGTATTTTACATCAACACGCTGCGATGGATGGTATCTCTCCTGCTCGTTCTCACACCCACGCTATGGGGTCCACGAATGTGGTTTGCGCTCCTAGGCAGCAGCATGACCGAGCAGCCGATTTATCTCGGTGACACTATTATGAATGCAATGTCTCAACAGGATTCTGATGGCCGCTGCAAAACGTGGACCGAAAAACGAGATGCAATCTCCGACTCGGCGTCAAGTGCCTCGGGCTGGTACGGTCCTGGCGCCTATCTGGCCTGGTTGATCACCGCTTATGCCACGGCTCTGTCCACCATATGGCATTCGAAATGTTCAGCACGACATCCGGATGTGAATAAGCTCGACGGAGAAGTCATCCTCGCCATTGGCTATCCGCTAGTCGCCCTCGGCGATGTTTTGCTTCGTCTGATACGATGTCAGATTGATCCCGGGATGACCGCCGCCGTGTTTGTACTTGTATCGACATTGACCATTATCGGACCCCTGACTCGACTGTCGTGGCAGGAAGACGGCGTGGAGATGGAGATGGATCCACCCCATTTACCCAACACAGTGAAAGAGTGGACATGGAAGACGATTCGCTTCTTCTGTCATACTGTGGTTTACGCCATCATTTCTGAGCCATACCTTGAGCATCGGGTCTTGCTATCCGTTTATTTACTACTCTTTGTGACGTTGTTGTACTCTGGAATTCACGGAGAGGCGCTGTTCGACAAGTATCCGTACCGACAGATTGTATATCGGCCTCGGGGAGAGCGCGTGGCGGCCTTCTGCATCGTACAGCTTGTTTTTCATATCGTGTTGTTCTCGATCTCCCATTCCATCTGGCCCAAGACGGACGCTAGTCTTCTGGACCTAGATCAGATCGCTGGTATATTCCTCACCATGACCACGTTGATGTATTCACGGCGGGAGGACATCGTGACACTTGCGAAAAAGTTGAAACTCAAACAGTCCACTGCTGAAGTACCGACAGACGCTTAATCTGTAGGCTGTATGAGAAGGCAAGGATGATGCACATCATTGATGTGCGCTGCATAGGGTGAAGGTTAGAAGGGTCGGGTCATCCGGGCTTCTGATATGTTAAAACGGTGTCCATCATGTGGGTCAATTGGAAGCGAGAAACGTCGGGGACTGTAGACAAGAATACGACAGAAAGGATTCGTACCTTGTTGTTTACTTGAGTTTGCTGCCAACCATGTATATGTTCAAAGTCACTCTGCGTCTTCAAGTCTTGCTGGTCAAGTCATGACATCATCCGCCGCTGTATGAGGAAAATGCAACGCCGAGCTTAACCGCCATGTGTTTCTTACATTTTTCACATTCTGTTTCTGAATTTACTCTTGAGATGACCATCCAGGCGCATCTGCCTGACTGCCAAAGCTTTTAACCGTCAAAATGGGCGGCGGTGTTCAATTCCCTCCTTACCAGCCTGAACAACCAACGGACAACAAAGGCTCGCGATGGCAAGAACCGGGAGAAAAGCGATATCTTCACGGGATTGTGGACATGGGCAGGCAAGAAACAAGTCACTCTGCAGATCACGAATCAATCTAACTTCCACCTGGTAGTAATGGAATCCGATGCTCGATTACGGACCTGTCCCCGCCAACCACGCGCATCCTGCCCACGGTTTATTCGCAACGGTTCAATATCTCACTCTACGATGCGCAGTATGACTCGGAGACTGGAAAGCAGATCCCAATACCGAAGAAGGTGATCAATTCGGTCGTAGCAGCTATACTTCGCTTCCAGATTGTCTGTCTGGAAGTGGGGGTACCAGCGAGCCAGATACGAGTTATTGCGACGGAAGCTACGCGGAAGGCGATTAACTCGGAGGAGTTTGTGAAGGCCATCCAGGACAGGACCCACGTCAGCGTGCGAATGCTGCCAAAGGATGAGGAGGGTGTCGTGGGTGCGTGGGGGATTGCGAGCGGCTATTCGGACATCGAGGGACTGGCGATTGACCTCGGGGGTGGAAGTATGCAGATGACTTGGATTGTTTCGCATGGTGGAAACGTGCATATCAGCCCCAAGGGATCTATCAGTTTTCCGTATGGTGCGGCGGCTCTGACGCAGAAATTGGAAGCTCTGACGAAGGGTAAAGACGAGGATGAGGCATGCAAGGCCAAGGCGCAATTCCGTGAGGAGATGACTAGTCAGTTTCGTCGCGCGTGGGAGGATTTAGAGATCCCCGAGGAACTCGTCAATAAGGCGAAGAAAGACGGAGGCTTTCAGCTTTACCTCTCTGGAGGAGGATTCCGGGGGTGGGGATATCTTCTTCTCTATCTTCATCAGGTCCGAGGCGAGTATTACCCGATTTCAATCATCAATGGATATTCGGCGGGCAAGAAAGACTTCGAGAACACAGAGGCACTGAAGAAGGTTGCTAAGACTGCCAACGATATCTTCCGTGTCTCTGATCGACGCCGAAAGCAAGTCCCCTCGGTCGCATTTCTCGTGAACGTGCTCGCGAAGGCTATTCCCCACGGCATTAAAGAGGCTCATTTCTGCCAGGGAGGCGTTCGAGAAGGTGCTCTGTATCGCCAGATCCTACCTGTTATCCGTCAACAGGACCCATTGCAAGTTGCAACCACGGGTTTCGCCCGCAGGTCCGCCCAGGCGATGACTTTTATGGCCTTCTCGTCCATTCCTCGTCCAACAAAGGAGAGGTCTTTCCCCCATTCTATCAGTCCACATGTCATTCAGGCCTTTGCCAATATCCTTTATGCGCATTCTACGATGTCTAAAGAAACAGCGGCCACAGCGGCCCTATACAGCACCAGCACCGGCGTCCTGGCAGAAGCGCATGGGATACCACATGCCGATCGCGCTCGCCTGGCGTTGATGCTGCAGGAGAGGTACGGTGGCGAATTGCCACCTCGCGAGATGGACTTTAAGAAAAGCCTACGCTCGCTGCTGACACCGGAGGAAATCTGGTGGACGCGGTATCTAGGGAAGCTTGGTCTCATCATCAGCCGTGTGTACCCCACAGGGGTCATTGACCCGTCCAGACCGCGCGCTCTACCAAAAGCCCTCTGGGCAAACGATTTGGGAAAGAAGAAGAATAAGGAAGGCATTGAGTTAAGGGTCTCGCTGCAGAAGGTAGGGTTTGATCCCACCAGGTTGAAGCAAGAGTTAGAGGCAGACTTGAAGAAACTGCGGAAGGTTGGGAAAAGAAAGCACTGGATTGGGGGTAGGGACGGATGGGGGATGAAAGTCGAAGTGGTTCTGCTGGAGGAGGACCTGTTCTAGCGGCGTTCTTACGAGGAAAAGGAATATCTTCAATGAAACGGTTTTATTAGTGCACACTTTGGCGTATTTACGGTGCTCCAGATGCAATTCCTGGCTCATTATTGTTTTGTCGTCAACCGTGTCACCCTCTTCTTCTCTCCGCCAGCTACACCAACGAGGTTCCCGTACTTCAGTGTGTTCAGAGTGGCAGCAAATTGCTCTGATGATGGCGACACCGTGAGAATCATTGCCGAATAACTATCAGTCGTATTCGTACCCAGGAAGTGGTCCCGCAGCACCATTGTCAGGGGCGATGACCGGAACGGTATGCGAGTCAGCTTGGAGGCTCGAGCCCGGATAACCTCTTTCAATGCCAGAAGGTCTGTGTTAATCTGCCGTCCTTCTTGTTGCTCCTGGAGGGTCTGCTTTGGTCGCGCCACGGTCGAGGTCGTCTTGTCATAATAATACTCGGAACCAGCCAGATCGACAAAAACCAGTTTCCCCCCAAGACATGACTGACCGGATGATTGCAAAATACGATTAACTTTGTCCTCGGCCTGTTGCACATATGATTCAAACTCGGCCTTCTTTGCTTCGGCAGCATCGATCCGTGCCTGGTCGGTTTGATAGTCCGGGTTCGGGACATATTTGCCGTCTGCATTCTGAATAACCCCCTTCATGGTCTCTTCGATGTAGATATCGGTCGCACGTTTTCCTACCGGTACTAATTCTGATTGTCGCTGGACCACCGCATCGCGAGCCTCCAAGAGCGCCCTCGTCACAATCTCTAGTTCCAAAACGGCGTGTGTGCGCGAACTTTGGTCATGGACCGTGGATGTTCCCGTCGCTCTGAGCTTGAGTCCTGCCAGCAGCTCCTGGCGCAGGTCCTCGAAACTCCAACATGCTTTTGTCACGATCGGACGGACCCGAACTTTGCCCTCCTCCAGGATCTCCGTCTCGCCCCTAATGTGCGTTTTTCCGTCATGCCCCTCGCGAACGAAACATTGGCACCGTCCATTGAGCAAATCGAAAGCTATATTCTTGCGTAGCTCAAACATACGAATGCCAATGGCTAGTTCCTCAGCAGGGGTATCAATATCCCGATTGAGGACTGCCAGTGCCTCGCTGAGATGTCTGGCAGCTGCTAAACAGAATCCAAATTCATCGGGGTTCTCAAAATCGTACCCGATGATCGTATGTGACTTCCCACTTCCGGAATGTCCGTAAGCAAAGAAATTACATGATCGTCCGCTCAGAACATGCGGAAGAGTTGGTGCAACTGCGGCTTCGAAGACCAATTTGTTATTATCGGTTGCTTCGAATCCTTGCGTAAAGGCAGCCTCGCTTTTCCACGGACGTTCAGTGGCCGAACGTGAAGCAGGGGTGAGCGAGATAGATACGCGACCACTGTCGTGTTGAGTATGTGTGCGGTGAGTCTCTGGCGCTGTTTTTGATTCGCTGGGCCGCCAGCGGGTGTATACTTTGAATTGATGCATTATGGTTGAGTGTGCAATGGATATCGCAGGGTGGGAGAGCTGGCGTTCCAGAAGAGAGGGGGGACCGAGAGCTGTTTAAGTATCTCTTACTTAACAGGCGGTCCCTCACCATGTGTTCGATTGTCTCCATCCACCGCATTGTTTGTTTCCCTTTTCGACCTGGTGTTGGTTGAGTACGAGGTCGTTGGCTCTCCAAGCATCCACTCAGGAACATGATTGACGGTCGTCTTTTGACTGACCCACCGGTTGCTCCCGGCCGGGAATTGCAAATCTCCGAAAGTCCGGCTGTAAATGAGGCAGGATCGACAAGCCCTATAAGGCAGCATGGTATAGTATACTAGTACTCTAGAATCACGGTTGTTGAACACGTAGTATGAGTGCTGATTCGACACTATTCAAACTGTTCATTTCAACTAGTTTTATTGCATCACTCATTTAGCATCTTTCCTACCCTGTATCAAACCCTAACAGCCCGTGACGCATCGCTTCATAAGACACAGTACTCTGCTCCCTAGAGCGACACCGTTCACAAATCACAGCTTCTCCGGTCATGTACCCTGACTGATCACCTGGAGCAGCTCGTCTGCTGTTAAATGGTCCGATACGTTCTGCATCCGGTGAACATAAACACATTTGCCATTCTTAAAAACCCACTCGCCACCATTCTGCCCCCAGCCCCCTCCGCTCAAAGCTTGTAGTCCACTGCGAAACATTTGCTTGAAAGTCGTGCCCAGGGCACTAATAAAGGATCTCTGTGTGTAGGTCGGTGGTCTTGTAATGGCTGACACAGTTCGCTTCATATGTAACTTCTCATAGATCTTGCCCTTGGGGTCCGTATAGATCGGGAATGCCGCAGACGTTTCGGCCACGTAGGGCACGATCGCAGCGGGCTGGCCGCAACCGATGATAATGACTTGGGCTGGTCCGGCGGAGTTCGGAAGGGTAGAGAGCACCGACTCCGTCAGACGTTGAGATATGGAATGGACATAATCTTGGTCGTAGGCGCAGAAGAAATGCCGGACTTGGGTACGGAATTCAGCCATAATTCGCAGGTTGAAAGGCAAGGGCGATGGGAGTAACGACACCGCATGAAAAGGGATATTGGATGTGGAACATACTGAATATGACGATTGTCGTGATGTGGTCCCCTTTCGCTGCGATCAACTCACCGAATCGAACCGGGTGGCCGGTCTCGGATTGTAACTCGAGTTCGTAGGCTTCGCTGAGAGCCTTTCCGGTCGGAATATCATCTGGGGGTCTTATGATTGTTGTCTGTGCCATTATTATTATTGTAAAGCATAGCGGAGACTGAATGATATCAATGCTTTCATGGGCTTCTTATCTTCCGGAGACATAGTTACAGGCACAGCATTCTGCAGCTTCTCCAGGTTACTGTAGGTCAGGCCACATGCAATGCTATCAATGGTTCAGAGCGTCGACCCAGACTGTGAAATCGATGGTTGGCATTCTTATTGACTACACCTAGGGCTTCTGACGTCACGACACCCCTGGCCCTTTGTACTTTTATTGTCCTGCTGACGAGGCACCAACCGATACCAGGGCCAGACTTCGACGGACCTTAGGTGGCAATTGTGAGTTAAGAATGTCTATCAAACTAAACAGGGTCCAATGAGAGGTCTATCTGTTATCAGTTCGTCACTGGTTCCGTTTGAGAATGATTCTATATGTCGGCTTTCTTTGTCTGCGCCGCTGCATTGGCCTTCACCTTATAACGCTTCGATTTGATTTAGATTGCTGATAGGAATACTCAATGTTGCAACACGTTCTACAGGTGGCCGAAGCTTGACTCGAAGACAGTGGTCGATTGCGCTACCTTCCTACGAGCCTGTGTCTCGGTAGACATACAGCATGTAGAGTAGCAGCTTTGACGTACCCAAAAAGCACAGTTCATGGGATATTCATTCACGTTAAGAGATGCCATCCCGATATCACCAGCAAAATCCAAAGCAAGAAGATCCTATAGAGAGACAGCCCACCATTTCGTGGAGAGTGAACGCCTCTACCTTGCGTGGGGGTACTAAGTCATCTTGTCTATATGTGCTGACCCGATTAATCCTCGTCCCATTTTCGCGTCCAGATATGCAGTATAGCTCAACCTGTTCCCTGACGGACGCTCGGGATTTGAACTCCGCAGGTCTCACTTGAGCCTTGCTTAGTGAACCTACAACTAGGTCTTCCATTCTACTTCATTCGTTCCAACGACGCGGTAAAACAAGTTAAATCTCATAACTGGGATCTAGACTCTTTTCAAGGCAGCTGCAGCCTTCGTGAACTCTATTTCTCGTAGTTTGTAGTTTCTTCTTCCTGCCTCCGTTCAACCGGACTAGGGTCTCACTTGGCTGTGGATCATCACTGAATCCTGCAGGAAGCTACTGCCACCAATAACCCAGTCTGGACACTTGTTGAGCTGCATGATAAGGCCATCGGCATTTGATAAGTCTAAACGGACTAGACTGGCGAATCTGGGGTCCGGGGTTGACCTACCCCAGTTTTATGCTCAGCTTCATTCCGTTCGGCCGGATTGGACTACGTTGATCTATATAAGAACAGTATTATAGCTGAATGTTAGGCATACAGCCAGCACGTATAAATAGCGATTAGGATAGTGGAATAGTGTAGTTACTAGTTAGTTGCTAGTCATAGCTCTACTTTAATCGTTTCTCTCGTTTGTTCACTTCAGTCTTCTACTTATAAAACATGGCCGAGCATAAAGCGAGCAGCGAACTCGATCTCAATCACAGCAAAACATCTCCATCCCAAGAAAAAGCAGCAATGCCATCATTAACGACGGTTCCTACCTCCATCACTCTATCCACTGAACAGTTCGAGAAACTTTACCTCACCCCATTGAGGCATCGCCAGCCAGCCTTAACCAAGACATTCGGAAACCCTACTCCACTGTGCGTAGCAAATCTGCTGTTGTCCGCTCCTCATCTCGAATACTCATGTGAGATTACAGCGCCCTGGGTGGCTTCGTGGTCACTACAACACCACTGTCCTGCTGCTTGATGGCCTGGAGAGGTGCTGGTGGGAATGGCATCGCATTCACGTAGGGCTAGTTTTCTGAATTCTGGCACACTAACACGCTGACACGCCTCAAGAGGACCCATCATCTTCCTCGGTGGAATGTTACTGGTTATTACTAGTATTCTGGAGTTCCTCCTGGGGAACACCTTTCCCTGCGTCGTCTTTGGCACTATCGGTATTTCTCTTCGAGCCTGTGAGAATACCTGAAACCCTTATTAATCTACCTCATTCACACAGGAGGATTCTGGTTCGCCTTCGGCGCAACCCAAACCTCAGCGTTCAATGCCGCAGGTACATACTTCTTCCCCCCTCAATATCCAGAACAAGATAGGTAACCTTGAACAGCCCCATATTCCACCTCAACAACCAACACAATCGAGGCCTCCATAGCCCCGAATTCCTCAATACATACGGTACGGTGCTCTCTCCCCTCCTCTCCACACACACACATACACACCACCTAACAAGATACTCAATTCACCAGCATTCCTCTTCATCGCCATGGCCGTCCTAGTAACAATCTACATGATCTACGCCACCCGCACAAACGCAGTTTACGTCCTCATTTTCGCCGCCCTCATCCTCGTCTTCGTCTGTCTCGCCGCCGCATACTGGCGTCTAGCGGACGGGGATACCGTCGTTGGGAATCGTCTCATCGTGGTATGTTAATTCTGTGCCTCCTTTGTGTGGATGGATGTGAGCTGAGTATCTATGAATGATAGGGAGCCGGCGCTGCGCTGTTCGTGGCTAGCCTCTTGGGGTTTTATTTGCTCGTTGTGCAGCTGTTTGAGGCTTTGGGCTTTCCAGTTAATTTGCCTGTAGGGGATTTGAGTCGGTTTTGGGTGAGGTTTGAGGGGAGGGCCAGGTATGTGATTTTATTTCCTAGTCCTTGTGTTGGAAGGTATTGGGCTCGGTGGGTGTGTGCTGATGGTGCTCGTGTTGTTCATCTTGTAGGGACAGTGCACGAGATGTGGAGATGGTCGGTGATCTTGGGGAGAAGTCGTGATGAAGTCGATTGGGAGCTATGTTTGCCATGCGGAATTATATATGCTGGGTATAGTAGGGAAAGGGACTTGTCATGTGCAGTACGTTATATGTTGGTCACCAGCGAACATGTAGTGAAAAGTGCATGGTCTAATGTTGTATTGTCGAGTAGATAATTAATGCATTAAACAAAACTAGGGACATTCTATACACGTGAAAAAGGAAGAAATATTAACAGCATAAAGTCCCCCCGTAATTTTAAGCCGTGGGTATCGTCTTTGCGCGGCAAATCCTGCTCTTGCTTCAATGTATGTACAATTGAACTGTGGACTCTGCACCGCCTCACTGTCTTTCTAACTTGGCGCGGAATGCTGGAGGAGTTACTGCTGTAGCCTGTCCATGCTCATCGATGTCAAACACAATCAGTGACAGACTCTGGCCACCGTAGGTGCTCCCATCGAGGAGATACAGGTCGTTGACATCGTAAAGCCGTGATACGAGTCTCTGCGGCGACCCCACTGCCTCTACCACCGTCGGGGTGTAAGGGCGGAACGCGACCTTTCCAGCGGTGGGAATTGTAGGTACGAGTCGCGTGTCTTTACCACCGAGGATTGCTGCGAGGTATGGTGTGATGTCTGTGCCGTTGCTGATCCAGGAGGAGACAACCAGACCGGGCGAGGGGCGCGTCGGCGGACTCAACGCCAGAGTCAAAGACGAGTTGAGCCCAGCGCTGGAGGAACGGTACGTTCCTACATAGTTGCGCTGGGCTTCGAGAGCGGCTTGTTCGATCAAGGCGGGCACAACAGCGTCAATGACCAAGTCCATCAGGTATGCAGCCGATGCGGACCGGGTCGTAAGGGAACTCGCGTCGAGGACGCTGAATCCCGCATCAAAGTCCGGCAAGATTGCCAGCTGGCCTCCATAGTTGCCTGAGTCGCCCATCTTCGTGTAGATATCCGTGACAATTCCTGAGGCCGGGTGGACGTAGCGGTAGATCTCCCAGGGCTTCCCCACCGAGTATCGCAGGTCTGCGCTATGGGTGACAGGCTTGATCCATTTGCGCGTCTGGTCCGCGGGAAGGAGAGTGGAATTCAGGATGGCCACGCCGAGCTTGCTGAGATCGTTGCTGGTCGATAGCAACCCACCGGAGGCTTTGGTAACGCCGGCATCAATCGCAAATCCTTCGATCGGTCCTGCAATGACCGAACGCGCACGGTTCGGGTCGTTCTCAGCCGGAGGGTCGCTGAGAGAAGAGGTCATCCCCAGAGGCTCGAAGACGCTGTCCTGATAGACCTGTTCGAGGGGCTTCCCGGTGAGGTTCGCGATTGCCATGCCCAGAAACATATATCCATTGTTGGCGTATTGCGGGCTGCTCCAGGGGAGGAAGACGGGAGAGTTATCAGCCTCCGCTTCCGCGTAGGGAACCTCAGCACAGAAAGGTCGATTGCTCCCCCAGCAAGCTTGCCAGAGGGAGGGGTCGCTTTCGTTTAGAGGGGGGAGACCCAAAAAGGTAGGATCCGTTTCAGACGGGTCAGTGCTGTTCAGCGCTCTGGCGATAACGTAGCTGGCTAGTAACTCCGAATTTCCCCCACGAGGGATGCCTCCCATCTGTGACGCAATTGCGTTGAGGGTGATCTTATCCCACTGAGCGTCATACACAGGTTGAAAGTCACTGGACTTCTCGCGGACGAAATCCGCCATCTCGGGGAAGATGTCAGTGAGGGGTCGGTCCCAGTCAGTGCTCTCAAGCTCCAGCAGACCCGCAAAGACGGTGATAAGCTTCGAGACACTAGCCATCCGATAGATGCTATCTCCATCTACTTTCTTTATCCCGACTGAGGAATTCGCGACTTCGGCGCTCGTATGGTGAATTTGGAGCTGCTGGGCTGCCGGGTCATGGGTCGAGAACATGCCAACGGAGAAGGTCAGATCTCTCAGTTGAGATATCTCGCTGTTCTCACTCGCATTGCGACGACTCAGACTCGCTTTTAGGGTTGAGTCTAGCTTCTTCCAACTGGCGGCGACGCGGCTGGAATCACTGGTGAGGTCTCGGGGGGCTGGGTAGGTTGGACCCAAATATTGGGCCAGTACGCCGGGAGTCCAGAGAGGAGCGAAGGGAAGAGCATAATGTAGCAGACGCATGTTGATCTCTAATCTGTCGGTGTCAGTCCCGATCAAGACGATATTTGTTAATCTGGCTGCATATCCGATAACAGTCTCCAGCCCTGTACTTATAATCCGGGACCAATGAGTCTCGTATCCACATGACGTTTGTAAACTCCCGGCATTACCTCGTTCGCGGAGGAGTTTAATTGCATTGTCAGATTGTCTGTGTCATGGGTAAGTATCTATGGCTGTGCCCGACGACTGGATGTAGATCGGAGGAGTCAACGAGAATGGGGGCTCCTGATTGGTTCCCAGGGGCACGCTGGAAAGGGAACGATCTCGCATCACGTGCAGGGCTAGTCCCGAAGCAGACGGATCAGTCGCTGGGCGGGTGGCCTGACAGACCTGAGGCAGCAACACTAACCTGACGTGGCCGAACGCAGCGCTCGTGGTTTCGCTTGGATTATGTTGAAAAATGAGGATCTTGGCTGGCGAGCCTGATAAACGTGGCTGTGAGCACCGCCAAGTCATATCAATGTCCCCTTGGCAGCGATCGTTGCGTAAGCCTGTCCGTGCGGTAAGGCCTTGGGAATGACATGTCAAATCTAATCTGATCCAAGTGTATCGGGTCCCTGACCAGGCTTCTTCTGTACAAGACGCGTAGTAACAGTCAGAGGCCTCTGGAGAAGCCGAAGGGTGCTTGATGAACAAGAGTAGCAATGTGCTGGAGGGATATGCAAGTCTAAGTTGGGAGGGATGAAAAGGAATAGCATTGTCCGCGGTTCTCCTATGACTGTCTTCTCGGCCGTATTGGTCTACTCTTAGTATTTGCCAACAATTGCTCCTTATGCCATCAAAAAGTCTTCATGATTAGTACGTCCCATTGGACTGTTTGGTCTCCTCATTCGATGATTCTTCGTCCGACTCACTCTCCGCACTAGAGGATGCCTCCTCCTCTTCGTCTGTCTCATCCTTGCTCTCCGTTCCTTTCTTGCCCTTCTTCCCTTTCTTTCCCTTCTTATCCTTTTTCGCCTTGTCGTTCTCCTGCGACTCTCTTTCGGCATCCTTCTTTTTCTTCTCTTCCAGCGTCTTCTCCCCCCATGATTCTACATGTGTGATGGCATCCAAGGGAGAGCTTTTGTGACACAGCAGATAGCCTTGGATCTCCGCCGGCGAGAACGTGAGTTCGGGAATCTTGTCGGCAAAGGTGGTCGCCAACTGCTCCATGTCCACTTCTGTACTTTCAGGACGGATCAGGGCGTGGTCAGCGGCTGGGAGCAGAGGGACCTTTTCGGCTGTCGCAGTTAGCAGCAACGCCTCAGTCACGCTGTCCTCCAGATGGGAGTCAATGCTCGGCAGGGCGTCTCGGAACAGGTTCTGAAACATCTGCATCATCAGGTTGCGATTGGCCAGCTTGAACTCGATCTGGTAATCCACCCGGCCCGGCCGAATGAGGGCAGGATCCAGATTCTCTTGGTGATTGGTGGTCATGACGAGCACGCGGCCTTCCTGCGCTGCCACGCCATCGATCGTATTGAGCAAGGCCGAGAGCGAGATCTTGTTGTTCCCCTTTCGCTTCTTTTTGGATTCGTCGCTGCGACGACTGGTCACTTCGTTCGTGTCGATGTCTTCCAGGAGCACCAGGCATCGGCGGGGCAACGCTTGGAAGAGCTGTGCCAAGGCGTCTTCGGTGAGCTGGGTGGCATTCAGGTCCAGGATATACACGTTCAATCCGAGAAACCCTGCCGCCGCGAAGGCGAGACTCGACTTGCCCGTGCCGGGGGGGCCGTAAAACAGGTAACCTCGACGGTAAGGGATGCCCCGATCGCTGTACCATCGCATCGTGCTGGGGTGGAGATACTGCTGAACATCTTGGATAAAGGCGGTCTTCTCTTCATGGTCCAGGATGACGGTAGACAAAGGTCTTGCGGGACGCGCTGTCGAACGGGCCCAATAGAAGTCGTTGTCGTACGCTCTCTTGGCCCCGCGATAAATCACCGTCTTGCCCTTTTCCTTCTGTGAGTATTCCACGCGCGCTTCCAGCAGCAACTGCTTCAAAATGGACGCATCCCACCCGAGACACGAGATGCGGAGTTTGTCGGTGCGCGTGTAGAGCATTTGCCCGCGTTCCTCGGTCTGCCGGGTGAGTGCCAGGCATCGACCGCCATACTTGAAATAGTGGGTGCCTTCGGAGGGCGACCACAGCAGCTGACGCGTATTCGACAACGAGGCCTTCCATTCCGTGTCGGTGGAGGCCTCCGCGTCCAACATGTCGTCAAACTCGCCGTCGTCGGAGTCCTCACTGAAGTAATTTAGGCCGCTACTGAGGGAGGTGCTTGCGATGAGGCGATTTTTGGTTTCATTGAACCGTTGCTTCGTTAACCAAAATAGGAGATAGTTGTAGGCATCGTCGTGTGATTGTACCTCGACGGTGGAATACAAGAGATGTAGCGGTAAGCTGCCCACCTGGTCCAGAAGACTTTTCGCAAGATATGATCCGACGGCAAAATATGAGAAGTAGAAGAATCTCCCGAACGACGAAGAAGGCTCCATGGTGGGGGAGACGAGGGGGAGGGAGATTTCCCACGGCCACCCACAGCGTGTAGTAACCGAGACAGAAGCTGGTACAAGAACGCGGCAAGGAGAGTGGTGACAATGAAGTCGTATTTATACATGTCCAGCCTCATGCGACACCTCAGGCCAGCCTGAGTCATGTCTGAGGCTGAGGTTTTCGTGCCTTTGGCTGCCTAGGCTCACATGACGTTTTGTGTCACTTTTCTCTTGTCTTTTAGTGTGATTTCTTATGCAATCAGGGGGGCATTCAGAGGACTTCATTGGAAGTTGCAGTGTTGATCTCACCAGTTCAGGTGTCCGACCGGTTTCTTACGTGATAGTCCTCATCCTCGACTATACTCGAATAGTACAGGACTGAATCTGGCCAAACCGACGCGGAGCCACGTGAGATGTCTGGCCCAAATAGTGCTTCACCACACGGAGGGTCGCCCGATAAGCAATCAAAGGACCCACAGAAGCGATCTTCGAGTCTTTATTTGTTTCGTGGCGTTACTTGGCTGCCTACGATATACTACCGTGACGTCATGCCCTAGACAACCCGTCCTTTGTTCTACTACGTAGTCAGCTGGAGTTAGGTAGGTAGCAGCTATGTGAAGCCAATATGAGGAGGTGGAACTCAGGATTAAGCTTATCTGTTAGAACAGCAAATCACGGGTATATATATCAAGGGTTGATATATATATATATACTTCATACTTCACATCTAGCCCGAAAGACATACTGGTAGTCTCCTGTATTTTGTGGCTCTTTAATATTGCGAGACCAAGGCCAGTCACTGTAAGGTATTGATATATTCTGTATCAGGTCACAGATTCCTACCACCCATTTCTATCTAGAGGTGGAATGGTTCATATATGGTGCCTGAGGCAATAAACACGTGCCAAGCCTGACCGAAAAGGGGATAGTCTGGGGATCTGCAGCCTGACGCAATCACGCAATCGGCCATTCACTTCAATAGCCCCAACCAGTTCAAGCCCGTCTTTTCAACTTCAACCCCAATTGACCCTCTCGACTCCAAATTCCACCCTTCATAACCTCACAATGGCTTCCATCCTTCCTCGTGCCGGCTTCCGAGCATTTACGGCCCTTCCCCGGGCTGCTGCCCTCCCCAGGGTCTCCCTCGCCGCCAAGCTTCCCCGCGCACAGCCTCTGGCGCAGCCCATCGCTCGCCGGTTTGTCTCCAACATTCCCCAAGAGCAGCCCCGACTGCGTCTCGGATCCACCGGTATGGATGGCTTGATTCGATGAAGTTTTATAGTTGACCATTGGCATAGCTCCGAACTTCAAGGCCCAGACCACCCATGGCGAGATCGATTTCCACGAGTTCGTCGGCGACAGCTGGGCTATCCTCTTCTCCCATCCCGCCGACTTCACCCCCGTCTGCACCACTGAGCTGGGCGCCTTTGCCAGGTTGAAGGGGGAATTTGACCAGCGTGGTGTCAAGATGATTGGACTGGTGAGCTAGACGTGAATACTATGTGATGCTCAAGGTCATGCTGACCAATGCGACCTTTTGCCTGCAGAGTGCCGACAAGCTTGACTCCCACGGCGAATGGGTGAAAGACATCAACGAGGTCGGCAACACCACCGTTCAATTCCCCATCATCGCCGACCCCGACCGTAAAGTCGCTTTCCTCTATGATATGATCGACCAGCGGGACCTTGACAATATCGCCGAGAAGGGCATCCCCTTTACCATCCGCGCCGTTTTCATCATCGACCCCGCTAAGAAAATCCGTCTGACTATGCTCTACCCGGCCTCGACGGGCAGAAACTCCGCCGAGGTGCTGCGTGTCATTGACGCTCTGCAGACTGCGGATAAGAAGGGCATCGCGACCCCCATCGACTGGACGGTCGGAGAGGATGTGATCGTGCCCCCCTCCGTGTCGACCGAGGACGCGAAGAAGAAGTTCGGCGAGGTCCGGGAGCTGAAGCCTTACCTGCGCTACACCAAGGCCTAGATGGGCTGGCCCTGTATCAAAAGTTGTATGATAAAAATTATAATAGAATGAAATGGCCCAGCGTCATGGTTTGGTGGCACTCCATTGCGCCTTTGAGAACATTGGCTAGTACGATGCTGTCCGACGTCGATGTCGACAAGCAACATCGAGGAACATCAGCTCGCTCGTTCAAATAAAGAGGTAGAGTTAGCGCTGCCGAGGCGAATAGTCGGTAATCCGAGTCTGAAGTTGAACGCTTGCTTTGCCTCATCGGGCCGAGAGGGTCCCATTCTACGCAGTATGCGCAACGAAAGCCAAACAGGCATACACCAACCAAGTAAAGAATCAGCGGGGGGAATTGGAGCTCAAAAATAAAGCGCACACTATGTTACGTTCTCCATTTCCCCACAACCCCGCAAGTACCAAGCTGGAGTGTCTAAGACCGGAACCGAAGTGATTGAAGGCGTGGATGTTCCGCCGGAACCGTGATCAAGCCGAAGTGCATCCTACTTATTTCAAGCAGCTCCTTCAGCGATTAAAAGTCACGCAATTCAAATCTTGATTTCTCATCCTCCCAGATTCATTTCCGAATACCGTATTTGGAGGTTAAAGAGCAAGATGTCTACAGGTCCCCATCCCGTATGTTGCCGATCAATCTTGATCGTCTTCCATCCGCTGACCAATCGCACAGACAGTCAACAAGGCATCCGTACTTCGCCCTGGCGGTTCCTTTTACTATGAAGATAGGGAGATCCCTTCCTTACAATCTGATCGAGATGTGATAGTGCGAGTGGTCGCTACCGGTCTCTGTGGCTCCGATGTAAGCAGTGCCCATATCGAACCCTCAACCCCAACAACAACTGACTGAGGAACAGGTCCACTACTGGCAACACGGTCGCATCGGTCGCTATGTTGTTGAGAACCCTATAATTCTCGGCCACGAGTCATCGGGCATCGTGGTCTCCCGCGGCGCCAAAGCATCCGGCATTGAAGTTGGCGACCGCGTCGCGATCGAGCCGGGAATCGCTTGCAACACCTGCAGCCCATGTCGCAGTGGTCGGTATAACCTGTGTAAGGATATGCGGTTTGCCGCGACCCCTCCTTATGACGGAACACTGTCTACATACTACCGCGTACCGGTTGAATGCTGCTACAAGTTGCCGGCACATATCTCGCTGCGCGAAGGCGCGCTGGTCGAACCGCTCGGGGTCGCAGTGCACGGATGCCGACTGGCGGGCGATCTGCAGGATAAGTCGGTCATTGTGTTCGGCGCCGGGCCGGTCGGACTGCTTTGCTGCGCGGTTGCCAGTGCGTTCGGTGCGTCGACGGTCGTTGCCGTGGATATTGTGGCTGCTCGACTGGAGTCGGCAAGACAGTACGGGGCTACACACACCTACCAGATGAGTGCGGAGAAGTCTCCGGAGTTAAACGCCGATGCCCTGGCAGCTACAGCTGGACTCCACGATGGTGCCAATGTTGTCCTTGATGCTTCGGGTGCTGAGCCGTGTATCAACTGTGGTGTCCATGCGCTGGCGCATGGTGGAACATTCGTGCAAGTCGGACTTGGTAGACCGAATCTGTCCTTACCCGTTGGACAAATCTGTGACAAAGAGGCCACGTTCAAGGGGAGCTTCCGGTACGGTCCCGGGGATTTCAAACTGGCCGTTGGCTTGCTGAACTCGCGGCGGGTCCGGGTCGATGGGCTGGTCACCCATGAATTCTCTTTCTCGCAGGTCGAGGAGGCGTTCAAGCATGTTGCTGGCAAGGGCGGGATCAAGAGTGTGATTTACGGACCGGATGTCGACCCCGAGGTAGCCAAGCAAGTATAGTATCTTTCTGTTGGTGTTTGAGGGATATACAGTGGATATAGATCTTTAGAACTGTACACTAAAAAGTAAATAAATAAATCAAAAGAACTGCTCATGCCTTAAACGCCCATCCCGTCCCATGTCATATCCCATAACCAATACATGCCGCTTTCACCATTGCCTAGATAAGGGTCTTCCACCCCCATTGGGACGGCGCCAGCACCGTCCCAGCCATAGTCCATGGGGACCTGTAGGGCGAATTGCGATTCGGCGTTTTCATCAGGTGGCGGATGCGTCTGAGAGCTTTCACCGGAGAGAGTATGGACAGAACGGTCATTCCCAGGTGGTAGAACTAACCAAGGCTTAAGGTTAGCATGAGACTATGCAATCGCGACAGAAGATAATTACCATGATGGACAGTGGTCAAGCTCTCGTTCAGCCGAACCGCCCGACCCGGATCAGGCCGGATATGATTGCCCACTATTGGATCGGATAGACCTATGGTGCCATCTAGGGGTAGTCGCAGCGTATCCTCAACGGACATGCGGCCGAGGCTGGTCGGATCCTGCGTGACATGATGCCCAAGCCTCTGGGGGAACCCGGTGATGGGCCCGAATATGACCTCCGACTCGCGCCGGAGGAGCATGGTAACCACGTTCTTGAGCACCGTGGTACTTTGTTTGGACAAGGCGGATCGGGTCCCGATGAGGTCCTGCAGACGCAGGATCCGTGTGATGGTCCGTTTGACGACCTGCGCTGTATCGGACAGGGGTTCGGAGAGCGCCATCACGACCAGCACGATGGCAGCGTTGAAGAGGTTGATTGCGAGGAAGGCGACCAGGTGACTGTCCGTTGCCAGCTGGGCGAGCACGGGCATTTCGGTTACGCGGGCTGTTCGCACGGCTGCGTTCATCCATAGGTCTGAACTGGCTGCTTGTGCGGGTGGGAATGGTGCTTCGAACGAGAGGCCTGGGGTGGAGTGGCCGGACGATGCAGCCGCCGGATGGGATGCGGGTGAACCGCCGTCGCTGCTGCCGTGCGGTGGCCGTGTGGCTGAGGTGAGATGGTCGACTTGTCGTGCGAGTAGAGGCCGATGGAGAACGATGAGACGTTGTCATATGTGAGTTGCAGTGATAGCGACTGTAACGCGTGCGCCCTCGACCCGGGTTCTCCGTCCGGATGATAGTCTCGCTCGAGATCTAATGCGAGATGAGCTGGGAGGCAGGCTCGCCATCTTTGCAGCTCCTGGGTGGCATGCTTGACCAGAGAAGCATATGGATTCCCGGTCAGCTGTTGCGATGTACGAAAGGTCCGTGAACCGAATACCGCTTCCAGCGCCGGGGATGCGATCAGGTACAGACGGTTCAACTCACGCTGGTACGCAGAATAGCATATCATGTTGTTGTTGTCGCCGGGCCCTGGTGTGGTGAAGGATGGGTTCTCTAGCATATCAGCGGGCATGCTCAGATTGCAGTCTTTGTCGTTGATCCCCAGAGGCCGACCGTAGGTAATGGACGCAAACCGGTCCCATGTGTAGATCGTCCACCAGACTCGCTTTCTTTCTTCGATGTCTCCGAATTCACCCTGGACGGGCTCCCGGTGCATGCCCAGCGCTTGAGACATTTTGATCGTGGCGCCTAAGAGCGCGAAGGAGAGGTTCGGTCGACCATGGTAGACATGGTGCGAGCCGAGGAGGATACAGGTCTGCACGGCTGTCACTGAAGGCTGGTCCATCAATTCCACCAGGTCCGCTTCGACGATCTTTATGAGGTCGGCACTCCATTGTCGCCAATGATCCCTCGTGTCTTCGGCGTCGCGATTCCGTTGTGATCGGTACCAAGCTGCCATTCCGAGCATGACTGCCAACAGCAAGAGAAACGGCTTCTGGGATGGGTAGGCCGAGCCATCTTCGATTGAGCGCAGTCGTCTACGAAATTTCGGTTCGTACACCACCAGCGAGAACCAATGGATGGCATCGAAATACTCCTCCAACAACTCATTCATCAACTCCCCAATGGGTAATGGCTGGCCCAAGATCGAGGCAATGGGGAGCCGTTGGCCAGCGACGGCCGACTGCGCGACGGGCGCACTGGTACTTGCTCGGTATCCTGGGATAGCAAATGTCGTTCGCTCGTCGATGTGCTGACTGCCCAGTTCACAGATCTTGCGCGCCAGCCCCATGGCCGACTCCGCCTCGCCACAGTCGATGGCTGCGCGGGCGCTGTGCTCATCCGCCGGAAGAAAGTCAGCGCCGGGCGCATTAGCGTCCGGCCCTTCCACCTCATGGCGAGGACTGTCCTCACGGTCCGGCGGCTGCTCGGCCGGGCCCATGCGTGGGGGTTTCGACTGACGCCTAGAATTCCTCAGGGTACGTCGGGATGCCACTCGGCTGCACCCGCATATCAGCCACCTTGAAGCCGAGAAAGGGTATGCTACCAACTTACTTGCGAACAGCATCCTTCTGCTGCGCCGGCAGAGCCTGGCAATCCACATTGGCTCTGACACAGAGCGTGCACGGTCGGAAAGGATCGCACTGCCATAAGATCCCCAATCGTCTTTAGCAGGACCCTCCAATGCCGAGGACGCGCAGGAAAATCGGCTTACCCGAGATTTATGGAGACGGCATCGTTCGCAGGCACTGCTCACCCGAGTCGGTAACGACGACCGTAGATGTCTTTTGCTTCTTGTTGTCCGCGGACTGTCGCTTGATATTTGTCTTGGCCGACGATCACTTAGATCCTCGACTGAAGGGGGATCGGAGGCCATGGCGGGTTTATGCACGAGTCGGATGATGTTTGGAGATTGAGCGATTTTTGTCCGATTTTTGGGTTGATTTATTCCCCACACTTTTCCATCCTCCACGGCCGAGACGCTGACCGATGGGTCGAATTACGAGATGCCGGGTTTTCGAACTAACTTTCTCGTATTTCTGTGATCTGGTAGTCTTTTTGCCTTTTTTTTTTCTCTGCTTCTATCATTTTAATCTTTATTATTATTATTATTTTTCCATTCTTAATTCGATTCCATGCTACGGAGTAGCCAAGACGAGCTTGGTTTCGTCTCTCTTGCGCGCCTGCTTGCACTAACCCTAAGCAAGTCAGGTTTGTTGTAATAGGATAGGTTGACAGCAATGGTACTTCTTTTCGGGATAATTCTCGTAATAATACTATTAGTTCAAATTATATTGAGCCATCCTTAGAGGGTAAGGGGACTGCCAGTGAGTCCTCCGTATCTAAGCAAGACCGGCTTCATATCTAAAGGGGGTATAATTTGCCCTAAGCAGCTACCCTTGCCTCCCCAGAGACTATATGCGCATAAAGCATAAGGAAGAGATAGAGCTTCACAAATATTGGCGCCACTAGAGGTATGGTATGGAAGGTTACCTCAGACGTAATCCTGGAGCTATGAATGCACATCCCATCGCAGCAAGTATGGTATTCCGCCGCAGCAATGTTTGTAGAACCAGAACAGACTCAACCGATAGACAATCTTTCCCCGCGCCAAGATTAATCCACCTTGGGTCGTACAATATATCTGAGATCTAGTAGACTTACGCTACGAAACAGTCCCTCACGTCGACTTTGGTCTCGCCAGTCGCTAGCGGCTATGTTCAGTAAACAATCATTGTCCATAGCACCTCTCATCTCCTGATAACAGCCAACTCGAAGTCTACACCCTACACAAACGACACTTCAACTACGCCTAACGGGTATAGGGCCCTTATCTTTGAGAGAGGATACTACTGTCATCCCGCCCTATTGAGTGCTGCTCCAATCAAGCAATATAGCCTAGCCGTGCCGATCGTCTGAAACTGGCGATTATGTCTTTTGCCACAACGATATTTCCCAGCAGAATGACATTGTGGATCCTCAGACGCTAAAGATAAAGGAGATCGTCAACTAGGAGTAGGTGGGGGTTCTTCCCGTTTACCTTGCCCTCCCTTTTTTATCAGAGTCTGGGCTCTCTATGGCATTGTAAGGGGATGTGTGTGTGTGAATATCACCTTCTAGACAACACTGTTCGCTACAACAATGAGGTTTATACTTCCTAGCGTACTCGGAAGAAGTGACTTGAGTAATCGTGAACTGCATAAATTCGTGGACTAATTCTGTAACTGGGCTAAGCTTTAAAAACACAGGTGCATGGCGAAACATGCAACAGTACAATTTTACACCGTGATAAAAACCACCTAAACAGTCTCGTGATACTCAATCTGTCCCTCATCATGACTTAGCATCTGCTTCGCCTTCGAAATGGAGGTACTCTGGTCTGTGAGAGCTTGTTCCATCTCGATATACCTTTGCGGTCGAGCGACGCTGATAGCCTCCGGGTTCCCGTTGACGAAGATACTGTGATTCTCACGGAAGAAAACATCAATGTCTTCTAGCGCGCGGTTGGCGGTCTCAGGATAGAAGAAGTAGACAATAGGAATGAAAGAAAAGTTGAAGACAGTCCAGATGATATAGAACTTCCATCCCAGATTCTGGATCCCGACCGGAGTAACCTCCACGACCATGAAATTCATCGCCCAGTTGGTCGCCGTACCAAGCGCAGCTCCCTTCGTCCGCATGCTAAGCGAGTTGAGTTCCACTGGGAGAAGCCATCCAATACCCTGATAACTGCACCCGAAGAACAGGTAGTAGCAGAAGAAGAAGGCAACCGCAGCAGCCGCCACTTCAGTCTGGTTGGGATAGTCCGGCTTCTCGCTAAATCGGAGCAGCACAGTGATCATCAGGTAGCAGACGCCCTGACCTAAAGCACACCAGATCATGAGTTTGCGTCGACCCCAGCCGTCGATCTTGGGGATGGCTAGTGTGCTAGCAATCAGGTATGAGACGGAATTGCACGCTGCAAGCAGTCGTGATAGTGTCTCGGATAGCTTGACGGATTCCATCAAGACCGTGGGCAGGTAGTATGACGTGACGTTGATACCAGCCAGCTGCTGCATAGCTTGTGCGCCGGCTCCCAGTATCAGACGGCGGATCACGCAGGTGCCGCCCTGGTCTCCGGTCTTGCCGCGCAGGAGCTGACTCCAGGAGATGGCGTGTTCGCGTTCATATTGTACCGCGGTGATGATCTCGGTGTAGGCTGCAATGACATGGGGATCGTGGACATCTTTGTCCTCCAGATCAGCGATGATCTGCTGAGCATTCTCCGTTTTGTCGTGGCCAATCAGCCAGCGAGGGGACTCTGGCAGCCATGGGACGGTGGCATAGAGGACGAAAATGAAGACAAATTGAAAGGCAAGTGGGAATCGCCATGACGCCGGCCCAGGCACAAAGGAAAACCCAAAGGTCATCCAGTTGGAGAGTGAATAGCCGGCAACGTTAAGGATCATTTCAATGATAACGAGCTTGCCTCTCCACTTGATCTGTGAAGTCTCTCCCTGCCACACAGGGGCCGTGGCAGTGTTAATACCGTTTCCAATACCGGCTATCACTCGACCGACGATCATCTGAGGGACACCATAAGCGGCAGTCTGTAGAACAGCGCCGATGGACATGATCGTCGTTCCACATAGGATGGTCTTTTTGCGACCCCATTTTTCTCCGACATACATGGCAGCTATGGCCCCAACCAGACAGCCGACATCATAGATGGCCGTGACTGTTCCCACCAGACTGGCGTTGTTGTGAAGATGCAGTACATCAAGAAAGTCTTTTGTTACGATGACACCACCTGAACCCAGAAAGAGACGCTAGTTAAGCACTAGATGCAATAAAAGAGAAGAGAGAAGAGACATACCGAAAACACCCTGATCATAACCGAACAACATCATATCCGTTGCACATGCAACGGTTACCCAGAATGTCAACCATCCTCCCTTCAAGCCAAAGTACGGCTGACTGAATCGACCCTTCGCCATTTCGGTGCATGAATGATATGATACAAGTGAACGATATTGACACACAGAAATACCTGTCTTACACGTGGGAATCTGGGGGTGGTTTTATACTAATCGTACAATACCCCAGGATATCCATCTCCACTCTCCAAGGAAGTGTAACCCAAGAATACATAGTCACTGTAGACCCACAATCGAGACCCTTTAAGTGGACTGTTACCAAGCACTAGTCCAAAATAAAGGTCATAATCCGGAGTCGAAACGTGGAGAAGTCTGCCCATGGGGTTGAGTGTGTTCGGTTCCGCCGGAACTTGACGCTTCAACGATCGGTTCCGGTCAAGATACACTTCCGCCGGCATTCAGGCAACAGGAACAGGGGCAAAATAAACGTAATGATCGGCCGGTCCGGTGGTGAGGCAATCGTTCTATCTATGAGCGATTTTATTTTAGCTCACGTGCGCGTCCTAGTCACCGTCGTAGAAGATGACGTTCGTAGATGGACGGCACGGCTTGATCGGAACGAGACGATCCTAAGTTTATATCCATGATGTTTACCGTCGGGTACCAAAGCTGGTCATGGATAGGAAGCTTTCTTTAGTAAAGTATACGATTGGTGTCTGAGCACACTTTTTTTTTACACGGTATCCAGGCTTCGGCCGAAAGGTGAGAGGGGGTTTGTCGGCTCGCCTGTTCTCGGCTTCCCGAGCCTATCGGCGGCCTGCAAGTCCGAACGCTGGTGGTATAGCAATGACATGCAGTTCGGAAGGATATGCCAAATGTTCTGCCAGATCAAGTACGAGGAACTGACTAGGTGATATAATTATTAACTCAGCTGCAGATTTGCCTTCATGACATCTAATTCATATATACAACAAAGCCTTCTCCCCTAGCACATCCCATCACATTATTGCCTTACGTTAAACACGCTCCGGCCAGGCTTCAAACAGGCCCTCGGAGACAGTGACATCGCTGAATGTCACTTCACCCGCACCGTTGTGGAAGAACTTGATGTCAGTCGAGTTCTTGTACCAGGAACTGCGGGAAACTATTAGCCAATGCCTTGTTGCCGACCATCGGAGAATACATACCGAGCCCAGGTACTCAGAGCAAAGCGTCCATTGGCGTAGACCTCAAGGACGGCGTTGTCCACAACAACCGTAAGGTCCAGAGTCTCCATCTCCTGAGCATCCCCCTGAAGATCGAACAACCGGAGGCGTCCGGACTCGTTGGTGCTGACGATTCCATTTGTGGTTTTGGCTGCAGCACTGGTGTTGCTGCGGTCGACGATGATCGATTCGTTGGAGAACTGATAGTAAATAGTGGTACTCTCGAGGTCAGAGGACAACACTTGGAATCCGGCCTGGAGATCGGAGTTACGGGCAGAGCGAGGGAAGGACAGCTTGGCAGTCAGGACATAGAACTTGGTAGTCGGGGAGACCTGGAAGGGCACGAGGCCAGCCTCCTTCGATGTACGCTCAGGCTCAGTGATCTTCGGTCCAGACATGAGAGCTTCACGCGTCTCCCGAGCAATTTCAATTCCCAGGGTCTTCAGCTCAATGCCAGACGGGCCACGCTCCACACGCCAAGATGATCCACTTTCCCGCACAAGCTCATTGTCCACCACGTTGGAAATGGTCTTGATATGGAGCTCACGAGGAAGCAGAAGGGTGCCCACCCAGTCTTGTTGTGAAAGTGGGAACCCCTTGGCCTGCTCAAATAGGTCTCCGGTCAGCCAGACAAACGAAATGTAACGATCGGGAGCGCCACTCTTTGTGGACACCTGGGAGGTGGCGGGCAGAATCTGACCAGCGGCAGCATAGCCGGAAGCACCCCAGTCGAAGACACCGGCCATGGTTGGTGTGAAAGTGACATTTCCGTTGTTAGAGACGTTGCCGGTAGCCCACAGCATATCGTGAATGGATGACACCTGGGGCACAATAGGAGCTCCAGAGCCCTCAGTACCCAAGGTTATGAAGATCTCGCCATCAACGCTGTAACCTTCGTCGTCCAGGCCGAAGACATTACCAGTCTCGAAGTTGAAACCCCATCCTCCAGCCCAATCACCGTTACCCCAAGTGGAGTTGACCTTCTCCTGCCACCACAAGCCAAGGTACTCCCAGTTTTCGAGGCTCATTTCCTTCTGGTTTTGACGATAGAGGAACTGGCCAGGGCCTTCTTCGTGTACACCGCCAGAGACGGTTGTGTACCAGGTACCCGAGGCACTGTCCACGGCAGCGTCCAACTCCGAGCTTTGGAAAGCGAAGGGGTCACGGAAAGCGGTCACATTGCTGTCCGAAGGAGGGAGCGGAATGACCGGTGGGCGATCGAGTTTGGTAAAATTGCGACCACCGTTGGAGGTGACCGCTAAGGACTGAGATTCGGCTCCAGGATTGTAGGGGATCGACCAATGGATAGGAAGCGACGAGACGGAGGTATAGAAAAGGGTGGGCTTGTCGTCAATTCCCTTCGGGAACACGAAGCCATCAAAGACCGCTACAGGGTCATTCTTGCCACCGGGCATGATAATTTGACCTCCATTGGCATTCAGATCACGGTATTTGACCAGATCATCGGTCGTGGCACCTGAGATACCACTGCCATTGTGCAGCCAGCCAACGTGGAATAGACCGGTGTCGGGATCCGTGTAATGAGCACACGGGTCGCCGATTCGGCCGGCTGGTGGGAGAATATGAGCTCTGGGCCTCCATGTGTCATACAGCGATCCATTGGCCTGGGTTGAAAGGTTTGGGGGAGCTGCGTTGTAATCGATGGCGGAGGCAGCGTAGGCCACCTGGGTGGTGACCAGGGCACCCGCAGTTGAGGAGAGCTTCATGGCGACGCGCTAGGAGAGTGGATGGATGGCAAAGCTCCAAAAGCGCTGTCGGCCAGGAGATGTAGCATTTAAGTAATATTTTCAATTCATACTACATCTCGGTTGCTGTCGGTCGTTGGCCGAGGTAGTAAAATGAGATATGGGCCGCATGCGGAATGGTGCCCCTGGAGAAAGTACATAATGTCGGCGAAACACCCCATTCCACCATATCCACGGGGTAGACTATGCCCTGTGTCTTGTTTCCTCCGCACACCGTTCCTCAATGAAAAGCGCACGTTGGACGCACTGCGCGCAATTCTCCGAGGATCCCCCATTTCCCCGAGAGTTGGAGATCCAAGCAAACAACTTTTCCCATCGTAGTAACTGAGGAGGGGCGCAAACTACATCATGGGGCCGCCAAGTGGTTTTCTTCCTTCCTGTTCCTGAGGAATGGTGGATCATAGATCTTGGTAAGCTCCTCAACAAATTTTGGGGTGCACCAGCCTACCCGGATCCCATCTGACGGTTTCTCCAAGAGGAAAGCTTCTCGTCGTCAGGACGAGAACCGCGCGATTGTCTCATTGTTGCGGGGGAGCTGATGGGCAGATGTCGTGGGGTTGTCTGATCAAGAATGATCGATCCGATTGATTACTGTGGCGTTGATAGTATATGTATCAAACCACATCTGCATGTCATCCATAGGGATACATGCAACTAAATGCCTTCGGATGATCGCGTTCAGGGCATCTGCCGAAAACCCCGGCACGTGAGGCGCGGTTTGCACGGTTTGATCTGCCTGCCCCGTTTAGGAACGTCGGGCATCAACTCCGTCTTCCACACTTGGAAAGCATGCTTGATATCCACTGCGTGGCTCTACGTCTGAGGGCCGAAAAATATTCATTCATTGTGCAGCTCTTCTAATTTTTAATCTGATAATGTCATATATACTATGGTCATATCCCTTGTTGTATAGCCGTTGACCCGTAGTAATCATACACAGTACAACAGATCTCATCCTCTCTATAGGCATACATTCTGATGATCCCTTCCTTTCCTAGGGCCCGTAAGGGTAGTTTGAAGATCGTCATTTGATTGATACACAATGAGACGCACTCGGAGAAACTAGCCCTATGTCTGGGTCTCCACAATTTGCCCGACTGTGGGGGCCCTGAGGGTATCAATTTTGAGCTCACCTTCTTTTTAATGCCAAGGGGAGGCCACGCAAACGATCAAAAGCCCATATAACTGTGTCATAAAGAAGACCATTTCATATTTCCATGTCTGGAAGGATAAAACAAGATGTATAGTTGCGAGACACCATGGAACTTATGGAAGCATTTCTACGCCTAGAAGATTAACTAGACAATGAACATTAATTGGTTTTCCCGAGCTTTGGGAAGACAGAAGTCCTTGTCTTCCTTTATTATGGTTACTACACATCTTTCATACAGTACGAGGCTTGATCACGCTGTATAAGTAGCCAACTAGTTTATGTAAAACAGTTATTGCTTCGCCGTCCCATGAACGAGAGCTACAGAAATAAAATCTCGAGTGGACCAATGATTGTATGTTAAGTGCGCAGGAGGATTCATGACCCTAACTTTAGAGTTTCCTTTACGTATATCGACCGATAATACCTCAAATGCTTGCACTCTCACGACCAGCTGTCGATCAATATCTTGAAACCAGATTGCACTTCTTCTGCTAGCTGCAATTGCAATTAGCTGGCACCCATCTGATCCCTCGTAGCGATGTATCCGCTTCTAATAACGGACTTCGACTTGACGTGGTTTTACCCTCCGAGCTAGTGCGCTTTATAAGTTCAAACTTGACCATGTACCACTACTTGTGCCGTAAACCTTGTCCTTTGCTGACTTGAGTGAGCCGAACACATGAGGAGCTTCGCCAGACATCCAACCTAGGTCCTCGATACTTTTCTCCCCTCGCGAAGGTGTAAACAGCAAACACAATGTCCGTCACGCCGGCCGAAATGACGACAGAGCCAGTTCATATTCTCTTTCGTGGCACGCATCACTGAAGGCAGGAAAATAACAATATCGAGTAAGGCGATCCTGCTACCCAGATAGAATTTAAGAGATATCATGGAACCTCAGCTCGTGCACCTGTCTACCCTAGTTTACCTAATCGGGTATGGGTCGGGTGTTGCCTAATCCGAGTATAAGGGGGTCTTTGCCCTAGTTGCTCATAAACTGTTATGTGTGAGTGCCGCAAGGAATGGCATCACTCCTGGAAGGTATCCAGTGACAGTTTTACCACCTCAGACTCTTCTTTAGTAGCTGCATCATGGCAATGATCTTAAATTTTCGAGCCCATATGGATCGTTGATCAGAACGTTGGGACGCACACGTGACACTGGGGGTGGAGTTACCACGAGGACCAAAGCTCAAAGAAACGGCACTGCTTTAGTGGGACACCGGGGATAAGGTGCTATTTTCAAAGGGATTCTGTTCCCGGTTCAAGCTGAAAGAGACGCCGTTTCAAGCTAAAGCCATTAGACTTGGCAATAAAGTTTGGGGCGAACAGCACTGCCGCCACAAGTGTCACCGATTCTGGCCATGGAATGAGTCAAAAAAAAAGGAACTAAGAGGCTCTAGAACACGTTGGGTTACGAAATAACCGCCAATAAACTCTTGTCTCCGATCATTTTCAGCCTCTTTACGGCGTTGAGAGATCCAATTGTGCTACATTCATATGGGAACCGAGGACAAGGAAAGAGCACGATACGAAGGCAACGAGATTGTCTAGACCCACTCATTGCCATGGCCTTTACCGGTTGGGTTCCACCGGATAGAGGCGAGACCCTGTCAAGTTAAGGGTCCTCGTCAAGCCACAGGAAAATCTCACCTGCGAAGCTGAATGTCCTATGTATCATCCTTCGTTTCTACCCCTTTTACTCCGCCCGACAATGCCTTGAGGCTGGTCAACACTGCTACCCTTCTGGTCGAGAAATAATTCAGCGATTAGGGAGCACTGGAAACGTGTCACAAACTATTCTGGAAACGCAACCTTGCCCCCCCCACGGTCCATGATAGACTTTCGCTGGCGATGTTCCCTATATCGAAGGCGTTCTGCTGCGATTCATTCGGCTGTCTCCGACAACATCCATAATGCGATTCATTAATTGATCAATCAAGGATATAACAAAACCAATGCGACAATGGAAGAGTCTTTTCGGGATGCCACACAAGGATCGAGTGCCGGGATGGCGTCCTGCCACGCTTCGCAGCATTTACTTGGGCTCGCTGGCTGGGCTCATGCTAACGATGTTGATCACGATAGCAGGAATTTACCTGGGTAGTGCTGCGAGAGGCGGACTCGCGATCTTTAGCTCGACCGATGACATCGCTACGGCGCAACAAGTGGCATACACCTATGTGCCCATGGTGATGGGTGTCATAATAGGTGTCATGTGGTCCTTCACCGAGTACGATGCTCTTCGACTTGAGCCGTACTTCCTATTATCAAATCCCAAAGGCACTTCAGCTGACGTACTCCTTCTCAACTATGTTTTCGGTCATTTCACGACGACTCCCTTTAAGGCCGCCCGCAACCGACATTGGGTGGCTCTTTGCGTGTCAATCCTGAGTATCTCATTGCAGTTGATACTCCCAGCAGTCCTCGGTGGCCTTGTCAGCGCAGAGGTAGTCTCGATGCATCTCCCGCAAACACTAAAAACGTGGCCCATGTTTATCAACCTAGACACGCATGCATACTGGACGTTTCACAATGCGGTGAATCAGTCCCTTGCGATCAACCGTGTCCATTCGGCAAGCGATATAATTGGATCCAGACGATATGCGATGCCTCCGGTTCAGACATATTGGAATAGCAGATCCGAGGATGACATGTGGAGGCTGAACCAATCGGTCTATTGGGCCGATGTATCGTGCGCCTACGTCGATGGCGATGGTTTATTGGCGAGTCTGTCACGTCTGGAGGGGGATCAGGAAGCGCTGCCTCTATCTGAGCTTCTCCTCTCCGATCAAAGCGGTAGTCAACTGGCAGATGTCGCCGGGCCTTTCGACACTTGTATCGCGCGGTCCGATCAAGATGAAGATATAGACACTCCCCAGATACAATATTGGAAGCTACTACAATGGAACGAGAATCCAAAGCTCTGTAGGCAATTCAACCTAGTCGGCGTGGCGGTACATGCGAACCAAGCGGTATTCAACGCACAACATGGTTCCAACAAGTCCTCAGACTGGTTCAGTCCATTTGGGTGCAGCGTCAATTATATGACGGCCGACGCAGAGATCACATTATATGCGAATGGCTCAGTCGCTTTGGTCGATGTACAATCAGATACCACCAAGGATCTGTCGGAGACTGGCTTTGATACAGCAAAGTTTAGCAGCTCACTACTACGCATGGCAGTCGCTTCCAACAATATAAACGATCAGTACGGGATGCTGTCCCAAGGCGATGTATGGTCCGAAGTTGACGCAGCCATCAGCCAGTCCTTTGTCCCTTTGATGAGCCGTACCTTTGACCTTCGACAAACTGTTCATGTCGAGGGCATCCGTATTGTTCAGCGAGTCGCATTACTGGTCCAACCGAGCAGTGTCCGCATATCGGCAGCGATTCTAACGTTCGGAGTGGTGCTTGTTGCGAGTCTCCTCTATCTGTACCCACGACGTCCAAACTTTTTGAGTGACAACCCTGCTTCGATCGCATCGATGTGTTGCATAGCTACCGATGTCATTGATGCTACAAGCCTGGAGAAGCTGTCCCAGATGGAATTGGAAGTGTTAACGACCCGGCAGCTCCGGTCCCTTCTACGCACAGGCCGCTGTAGCTGGAGGGAAACTAGTCAAGGACAGCGTCTGGTAATCTCTTTTCCTGGTGGTAAGTCGAGCTGAGCTGGGGTACCTGCGAAGCCATGGTGTTGATATTGACGTACTGCAGACTCCACTCCTCGAAGCCAACAGAAATCTCGACGAAGGGCCGACCCTCCACCCCCTTTCCTCATGATCCCTATCTTCATTTTAGAAATGTCCGCATTCCTTGCCGCACTGGGAGGCATGCTCGTTATCATGTCGAAGTCCTGGCAGTACGGGTATTTCCCACCTTTGACTGATATCAAAGTAGACGACCTGAGGAGTTTGTGGATGTTGCTCCCTCCCGCAAGTGCTGCTCTCATACGCGGGTTGTATATCTCCGTATACCAAAATTTTACGATTTTGGAGCCTTGGTTCATACTTCAAAAGGGCAACGCAACTGCTCGGTCCTCCCTTTTGCTAGACTATGGGTCTCAGAGCCCGTTTGCCGTGGCACTAAAAGGTTTCAATCGTCGTTATCTACTGCTTGGTCTTGTCTCCTTGACGTGTATTCTCAACACGATTCTGACTATTCTTGCAAGCGCTCTCTTCGCGCTGGAATACACCCCGATGGCTACCGGGAACATTGTCGAATCGGAATATGACTATCGATCCTACACTGTCGGCCATCACACTTGGATCTTGGCCGAGGCCGATCTTTTCCAGAGCAGCATCTACACCGGCATACCTATACTTCCTTGGACCACTACAGCTCACTCTCTGCTTCCCGTGCAGTCGAACATGACAGAAGACCAATGGGCTACCGGTCCGTTAGTCGGCATCGGTGCCAACCTAACGTGCCAAGCCCTTTCTGTGGCAAACGGGCATGCTGAAGACATTCTCTCCGGTCCGACCTACTGGCAATATTCTCCATCCGGGCATCCGAACACAACCTGTCGAGTCCGTGCGCAAGAATCAGCCCTCGGTGGCTCGAAAGCGCCGTTCAGCGTTGACTTCATCGCCCCGACCGAATCAGACCAGACGCACCCCCTATGCCGAAGGCCTGGCATTCTGGTCGTTGCCCAGTTGAACGAGGCGGGCCTTGATGAAGTCCCACCAGGCAACATTGCCACCCTGTACTGCGAGTCTCGCGCTACGATCCAAACCTTTCTTGCCACCTTCGACCTTCGCGGATATGTAGAGCACTATGATACTATGAACGGAACCGCCATCACGGAGGGCCCCATGCTGGCGAATATCACTGCAAGCCTGGCTAATTACAATAGAGCATTTGCGAATCCACTTCAGTCGAATCTCACCCACTATCCCCCAAAGGACCGTCATAAAATACTGCAGAATTGGTTCGGACTCTTGGCAGCCCATGTGTACAAGCAGAAGAACACAAACAATCTCACTGCCATCGATCTTGACATCTTGATCGAGGCGGCCACCCTAGTCTACCGGACAGTATTTGCAACCGATGTCTCGCTCCACCGTGACTTTCATTTCAATCGCCTGCCACAGCCCGTACGGATTCCCGACGCTACTATTTACGACACCTTCATGTCCTTTATTCCGGTTCGACCGGCTTTTGTCATTGTCTTCCTCATTATTGCCTTCGACACATTTGTCCTCATGTATGTATTTGTCACCAGAAAGAGGAGGTTTGATTTCCCCCGGAGTCCCCGATCAATTGGTTCAATGATTCCCTGGATTGCCAAGAGTAAGATGCTGGGCGACTTCCGAGACACTGCTTCGTGGAGCACATCTGAACGGGCGACACATCTGATGAAGCTAGATAAGAGGTACGCGCTGATCAGGACGGACATGGACAATGGGAAGCGGACGTATGCACTGGATGAGGAGCCTCGTGTTACAGGAGAGTACGGCGTCCATACCCCCTCCAAAGGACCTGTTGTACAGAATGCGCCCGTCCATAGCGATATTTAACAATGTATCAGTATATAGAGTTTCAAATCTCACTTGATACCACGTTGCAGGCTAGTTAATTCTGCTCATCTAGCGCCAACTCGTTGATAGAGTTGTATCATATCTAGGGCATTAGGCCGCTGGGGAGCAGCTAGCAGGGAGAGCAAAGCATCTGTGAACTAGAGGGCAGCGGTCATCAACCAAGGGAGGCAACCCTTTGAGCTACTTTTCCAACCGTGGAAACATGTATCCCTCTTGTTCTCTGTCCCGTGGCTGAGTCCACCTACTACGAGTGTATTGGAGTGGAAGACAACATTCCTTGCGTATGATGCAGCGCTCTGTTATATGATACCCAACCAAATGCCTGTCCAATGGCATACAATTATATGTGAAATGTCGAGGCGTTATAGTTTCCTGCGTACAGAACGTAGCCACGTTGCTCACTTGAATCTGATAGCCGTCTTTGAAGCATATGGTTTTGGAATATAAAGCCAAATAAGTCAGTATTCTTCCATCAAGAGCCGATAGCTCAGCAGCATCATTGGTCTAGTGGTAGAATTCATCGTTGCCATCGATGAGGCCCGTGTTCGATTCACGGATGATGCACTAATCTTTTGCCTTTTTCATTTTACGTTCGACATTTTTTATTACCGTTGTCCTGCTCTTTTTCATTTTCATATTTTTTTTTCTTTATTCTTGTTAGAGGATATACAAGGAAAGCGTTGGAACATCTCATTTATCCTGGATGTTTGTTATCGCGGTAAACCTGAGTGATCAGTCCAACAATATATTCATTGGATGCTTATCTGCCACATTATATATAGCACGATGGATCCCATGTACAGGCCATTGAGTCTGTGTTACTGTATTCTTTATCATAATATAATGTTGGATCGTAGTAGACAAGTACTACTAAGGCAGATTCCCATCTACAAACCGGTACCCTAAATATATATTTACTTTAGCTGATAAAAGCACCCATAAAATAGACGTTATCATTATGTTTCATTTTCCCCTGCCTAGCCAAGATTCAAAAACAATTAGAAATTAGCTGACTTCACTCCAAGCTCTCCTGGAAGTATAGAATGACCGTTTGTAAGTATTAATCTAAGCCCTCGGACCTTTGGTGATATCTTGGCAGGTGACGGGCAGATCGCCGTTGTATGCTGCAACACCAGTGTTGCCAACGCCGCATTGCGCTTTGTGATCTTTTGATTCAATGTGTACTGAGCTGCTAGTGTCGCGCGACCTCCATTTTGCTGGTGAACCTATGGCTCACTGTGCCAGGGCCTGGTCGACCAACGCCCGGTACTCTCTCTGTTTTTGACATTGATCGAGGAAGACCTGGTATTTCGCCCGCAGCAAACTCTTCTCACTCTCATCCTCAGTCGGAAGGAAACATCTGCCTGGCTTGCTCATCTTCTCCATAATCTCTTGCAGATCAGCCGTGTTTCCTTTCGCATCCGCGGTAGCAGCCTTAGCACCCAGCATCGCGGCGCCGTGGCACACGGCTGCATTCACATAAAACGGAACTACCACAGTCATGTCACAGGCAGAGGCAATCAAGTTGACTAGGATGTCATTCTGGCATTGAGACCCCGACATAAAAATGGAGGTAATGTGGTGACCGGACTGATTCATACTCTCAATGATTTGTCGGGTCTGCAACGCGATGAATTCCAGCGTGCTGTAGTAGAGGATGGAGAGACTGTTGATTGATGTATCGCTTGTCAAGCCGATGATAGAACCTGTCATCTTTGGATCAGCCATGGGCGATCGATTGCCCCAAAGGTCGCCGTAATAGAAGAAATGGCGTGCGAGGTATGCAACACAGGGGGCGTTGTTTTTCTCAGCCATCTCCCTGAGATGCTCGTTCAGAAACGTGAAAATGTTGGTCTTCTTCACTTCGGCCAAGTCCTTCGCCTGATTATATGCTGGGTGAGTTTCAATGACATGTTTCAGCAGCTGGCCCGTTGCAGATTGCCCTCCTTCGGCCATCCAGCAATCGGGCAGTAAAACATCTCGATACGGTCCCCAAACTCCAGGCACGAACACAGGGTTCGGCGACATGACGAGGTGGCAGGTGGAGGTTCCTGCTACCGCAGCGAGTCTGGTAAAGAGCTCTTGTCTCTTGTCACTGGGATTGCTGGGGAGATCAACCTTGGCCCCGACCGTGCCTATCCAGCCGGCATAGGCGTCGATAACACCACTGCCAATGGGAATGCCGACTGGCAGACCTAGTTCCTTCGCTGCTTTCTCCGATAGATAGCCGGCGAGCTCTCCTGCATGAAGATGTTGACCATTCTGTTCAACCGTTGATCAGCTACTTGGGGACACCGCTGGAAAAAACCGACCCAACATTGGACATGTTTCTGAAAGATGCAACTCACCAGGCCATGTTTCCCTCCGATTGTAGTGAAACTGTTCTCTTTGAAATCACCCAGTCCAATGGCCTCGAAGAAGTCCTCCGCCCATCCACCGGCCGCGCTGTTCTCAGGATCTTTCGGCAGATAGCCCTGCTTGCAGACGAGGCTGCATAAGCTCCTCGTCTCACTGCCAGTCGCAATATGAGTGAGAGCATCCGCCAAGTCATAGAACTTGTACTTTGCGAATGTCTCGGCCGGCATATTATTTTTCAGCCACAGGATCTTGGGGATCTCCATCTCAATCGACATTTTCCCTCCCACATAGCTCAATACCTTGTGTCCAGTTGCATTGATCTTGTCTGTTTCGCTTTCTGCTCTGTGATCCAGCCACAAGATTACATTTCGCTCACTATGAAACTCGGGTCCAGTAACAGACACTGGCTCATTGGTATCGGTGGAGAAGGCAGCGAGAGAGCAAGTCGCATCAAAGCCAATGCCACGGACGTGCGATGGGTCGATTTTCTTCTCGGCGAGCGCACGACGTACTGCTAAGCCAATGCAGCGCCAGATGTCCGTGGTGGATTGTTCCTGTTCCCAGATCCCCCCAGGTTAGTAATCGTTTTTGGCCGTCACCAGGCCCATGGACGTTGGGGGCACCACTCACATAGTACACCTGTCCATAATGCCAGAGAGCAATGTCTTCGGACGCCAATCCGACGATCTCTCCAGTGTGGTCGATGACACAAGCGCGTGCACTGCCCGTGCCCACGTCCACGCCGATGTAGTAGCTCTGTTGGAGTTGCATGGGGGATGATTGCGTGGTAGGAAATGGCTACTCGAGAATTCTACGGGCGCTACCATGGGTACTTTTAATACTTGAGCCCCGAGTCGGGCCCGTTTAGAATGCTGGCGGTGATAATGCGCTGTGCGATGGAACTGGACCCCAGAAACTAACCGGTGAACATACCAGACGGAGCACACGGCGTGTTTTGCCGCTGGATTTCCAACCCGCTGCAAGACTTCCGGTGGCCGGATGCATCGGGGGCTCCACATTCTCTCCCCAGAGATCCACACGCATCCACTTCCCCGGCGGCCAAAACGCCGTCCATGCCCGATCACAGCCCTTCTCTTATACGGTCCGCTGCACGGAGAGTATGAGATTCCCTCGCTCCACAGCTCAACAATCACGATCTAGACCAATGGATCATGCTCAATTGCTAAGAGATTTCGCCCCGGGATGAGGGCTTTAAAAGGGAGAGACGTCCCCTTGTGTGACAGGTCGAAGGGTTGTGTCTGTCTTTGTTTTCTTTTTCTGGAGCACCGAAAGCCGCATATTTCAAACCAGGTAGACCAGGCAATATGATCAACCAAGAGAATGTGAGATCCTTAAGAGCTCGACTGTGACGCCAAGTCCTTACCTGACATGACCGTCCCAGAACCCATCGCTGGTGCTTAAAGCCGTGCAAGAGCTCGAGTTCGAGGATCGCCCGGTACCAGACTTGTTGGAGCCCTACGATGTTTCCGTGAGGATTGAATACACAGGGATATGCGGCAGTGATGTAAGTTCCTTATAGTTTTTGTGTTTGGAAAAAAAAAAAAAAAAACGCAACGGAAAGGAGTTCAGGCTGAACTCCTGTTTAGGTCCATTACTGGCAGCGAGGCCGAATTGGCCAATTTATCCTCGAAAAACCGATGGTGCTGGGCCATGAGTCGGCCGGAGTAGTCGAGAAGGTTGGCTCCAAGGTGCAAACACTGGCGGTGGGCGATCGTGTAGCCCTAGAACCAGGAGTGCCCTGCCGGCGATGCACGTTTTGCAAAGCAGGCAAGTACAACCTGTGCAGCGAGATGGCATTTGCTGCTACTCCTCCCTTTGACGGCACCTTGGCCAAGTACTATGTTTTGCCAGAGGACTTTTGCTACCGGCTTCCTCCGAGTGTCAGTCTACAGGAGGGCGCGGTTGTGGAGCCTCTCAGTGTCGCGGTGCATCTCGTTCGACAGGCCGCGCTGCAGCCAGGGCAGTCCGTGGTGGTCTTTGGTGCAGGGCCCGTTGGCCTCTTGTGCTGTGCGGTGGCACGAGCCTTTGGGGCCTCCAAGGTGATTGTGGTTGATGTGCAGCCGAAACGATTGGAATTCGCCCGTGCCTACGCGGCTACTGCTCATTTTCTCCCGGGCATGGACTCCTCGCCGGCTGATAACGCCGTTCGGCTTCGAGAAGAAAATGAACTCGGGGTCGGCGCGGATGTTGTGATCGAGGCCTCGGGTGCGGAGCCCTCGGTCTACACTGGTATCCATATCTTGAAACCTGGTGGAACGTATGTGCAAGGCGGGATGGGCAAAGAGGAAGTCAAGTTTCCAATCACGACGGCATGCACCAAGGAGCTCGTTATTCGGGGAAGCTTCCGATATTCGAGTGGCGACTACAAGCTCGCCATTGAGCTGATAGCTGCTGGGAAAATCAATGTTAAGGCGCTGATTACACAAGTTTTCAAGTTTGAGGATGCGCCACAGGCGTTCGAGGAGGTGAAATCGGGGAACGGGATTAAGACTCTCATTGCGGGCCCAGGAGTGTGATTAAATCACGACCATTCTTCTTTGTACAGTTGCTATTGATGGTGGTATCCTCTCCTAGCCAGTGATGAGCGATCGAGTTTGAGACGAGTATATAGAGTTCTAGATTTAATGCTGGCACGATACCAATTGAAAGCGCTTTGTATTATTGCTTGACTATATAATGTAAGCCCTAGTATACCGCACATGACAGCTACATACCGGCGAGGCTATTTATCAATATACCTTAACAGAGTGAGCTATCAGTATCGATGGACGCCTCTTCTCTTTCATTAGGCTAAACTGGCACCGTTACTACACACAAGATACAGTGGAGCAAGGAGACAAGATACAGTGGAGCAAGGAGACAAGCTACAATACTGAGTAATGTCGCACGTTTGTGCGTCTTTCCCTAGGTTATGCACTAGATAACATGGTGACTACGCCAAATCATAACCATGCTTATTTATGCAGACCGTCAAATGAAAAGAATGCCGCTAGTGCGGTATACCGTATGAAAAATAGCCCACAGCCAAGAATGCCAATCATGTAAGTTAGACTTTCTAGACAGCGAAAGCACAGTAGTAGAACCGGATTCTAGATCGCCAGGATAATCTCCTCGTACCTGTCCAACTTCGCTATCTAGCATGACGTGTTTCCAGGAAACGTCACCCTGCAGCCAAGCAAGCAATCGGACTCGTCGCATGCACGTTGGACGTCATTATGTTACACCGCAACTGCAAACGAGCCCGGGAAGCAGCCGCCATCGTGCGCTCGAATATTTATCTCGTTTATCCAGGATGGCTGGTAGCGGGCAGTAAGTCTGCCATTTGGGTTTTGGGCGCCTCTTCGGAGGAAACCTAGTGAGTAGGTTGGGGTTCTTTGGGTCAGTGCAAAGAAGTGATGTCTCCTGGCGCAATCCTTGTGATCATGCAGTGAACAATGCAAGTCTCACCGCTGCGAGGGCGTTTATATATGACAGGATAGAGCTGCAATTCGTGAGATGGATGGAGGGACGAGCATCGCTCGATCCTGCCTCTGCGATCCGACCGCGCGCAGCCTGACATTAGCGCAATGGCGATTACTCTAGATGTATTATTCCCCAACACTACGCCATGGACCTCGAGCCATCGCAAACACAGGCAACTTCCCATCTTCGAGAGCGGCCAAGGTGTCAAAGGGACAGTTGTTCTGTCGTCGAAAGACCAGAGAGCTCCGGTATCTGGCATCGTGAAAATCGCCTTAGAAGGTAATAAATAACTCTAGCAGCCGACAAAAGCGCGACAGCACTATGTATGCCTCTGAATCTGACTGGCTTCATTACAGGAACACTGTTTAATCATGTCGACCTCGTGGGGGAATCCCCGGCAATGCTCTATCATACATACGTTTATCAAAAGGTATGGCGTCTATCGAATATGGGATTGAAGGAGATCCATGACTGACCAGCGCCGAGGACACTCGGCAAACTAGATTATCAATTTGAACGCGATCTATCCAGAGCAACAGATGATCAGCGACGTAGATCAATGCTACCACTTCCGATTTCTGGTGCCGGATAGTCTAACAGGCCCCGTGTCGAACAAATACGGCCAGCAAATCCCCTCATCGCTGCATATCAACTTCTCACCAGCGAGTCATCGAGCAGCGGTCTCATGTTCTAAGGGAACCTGCAAGATTGACTACCGAATACGTGCGCAGTTCCTAGTGGAAGGGCGCTGTGTGGTGGAAACGACTCGGCCGTTCACATTGTGGGCTTCGCAGGGACGGCAACCACCAGTCTGCACCGAAGACTTCCCCGGAGAATACAGACTTTCTGCCTTGAAGACTCTCCGCCGTCCGTTACTCCAACCGGCTGGGAAACTACACGTCTATAGCCACGAGCCACTGCCTCTTGAATTTTCGCCGGAGAAAGAGGGCGCCGCGACATCAGTACGACTGCGGCTCCGATATGGACCGCTGAAGAACGGCGGCGCCATGCGAATACCTCCGCCACGGTTCTATGGGATCGTTCGCTCGAATCTCACGGCCAGCACATTCATCTCTATTCAACCGCAACGGCGATCACCAGCAACGTGTGATGCTGCCGCGTTTCCGTTCACCTTCGAAACGCGCAAGTCCTACCCCAGCCAGCTCAGGAAGATTTGCTTTCCCCGCTGGACACGATCAGAAACGGGTTAGTATATCCCTTGAAAGCAGTTTTTTTTTTTGGAATTTCGGGTAGTTTATAGCCTTCTCATATATGGAGCTGCTAATCAGCTACATAGGTGCTGAGAGTATCTGGGAAACCGAGGCAGAGATGACATTCAAGTGCCACCATCCTGCATATCTAACACCGTCATTTTCTTCCATGCTTGTCTCCAGAAGATACAGTTTGAAAATGTATATGGTCATTTCCGGCCACGGCCACGCTGCGGTGAAGCTGGAGCTCCCCATCCAGGTCGTCTACACAGGCAGGAGGTTCCTACCGTCGGAAGAAATCATGTATCTGAGTGACCCTGTAGAGGATATGCCGCCAGCATATAGCCCATAGTGTTTGAGTGGACACTCTGCTCACTTCTTGGTATCCGCTTTCCCTGTACGATTACCGATGTTAGTGCCGGGTTTAATGGCATTCATGTATACCAGACGGGCCAAATGTCACTGGTTGATTCGTTACACATGCTCGACGGGCATGATGTTGAGTCACCCTCCTGTATGCGCTGTCGTTCCATTGTAGATAGAGAGGTTTAGTTTTTTTCTTTTCTTTTCTCTTTTCTTCCATCTGGCGGGTATCTATGGACGATATATAAGTAGCTCAATCATTGTGAATCGATCATTTCACTTCACTCAGCCGCTTAGTGGTCCAGGAAGCAAAGAGCTACAGATACGCGATGGTCTAACAATGCCACCAGCGAAGCCTACAGCAACTCCATCGTAATCAACCAAGTTTCTGCCCGGGCAGCATTCTGACTGACCCACCAGGCCAATGAAGGCAGAGATTGCGGTCAGTTTTGCTTGGCGTCATCCCCACCTCGGGAGGCAAGAAATGAAAATGCGGGTCCGTGAAGATATCATTTGGCTCCCAAGCTGGGAGGTGTTTTTGCGAAGCTCCCTGGATATGGTTTAGATAGCCTTGTTCTTCTGCCTGAGCCTTCTGCGACATGAGCTTGACAGCTGGTTGGTGCTACGACGAATACTGCTTGCATCGGTCGCCGTGCTCTTGAGGGTTGCGAGAGGCACGGGATTCCGCGAAAACTTTTCCGACCTCATACATTCTGAAATCTTTTTTATTTACCGCGACGCCAGGACCCCAGGCACGTCGAGGTCAGACTCTGGCCACCAATAGTTCTCTTGCCTTTCAGATGATCCGGGTTTTAGTTCGACATGCGGGTTGGCCAGTGACCAACTAAGGCGCGCCTCCACCAGTCTTTATTCTGTCTGGCTCATGCGGCAGAAGAAAAAGCTGCGTTTTCCCGAGGGTTAAAAAAGGGAAAGAAACCTCCTACTAGTCAATAGAAAACAGTCTTAGACCTTGCCATCTGCCTGTTTCTTCCCCTTCTTCTTTTTCTATTTTATTATAGTAATCCTTGTTGATTTGCCTTGACCATTCGCTGCCCCAACCGGAACTCCCCCCTCTCCGACTATAAATCTCCAGTTTTTCTAATTCCGAGTGGAGTCCCTACTATAAGAACATCGCTATTGTTCACTTATCCAGCCCGGAGGCGTCATCTTCAACGCCGCACTACAGGCTCGGTGGCCGGAGCAAAATGGGCGATCCCAGCGCTTCACAGGACGCCGAACGCTTGTCGCGACTCGCCACTCGTCGGTCTGCCGCGACGTCGGCGAGGAAATCACGATGGTGGCGTATCCATTTCTTCCGCGGCATGGTCCACGACATTAAGAGGAGGGCTCCGTTCTTCATGAGCGATTGGACCGACGCATGGGACTATCGAGTGGTTCCGGCGACGGTGTATATGTTCTTTGCCAAGTAGGTACACTGACGACGAAACCGTCTGAAGAATCCCTCCGTGCGCCAACAGTTTCATGGGACTGTAGATTGGGTACAATGCTGATCCTGTCATAGCATCCTGCCGGCCCTGGCCTTCTCGTTGGATATGTTTGAGAAAACCCACCAGAACTATGGTGTGAACGAAGTCCTCCTCGCATCAGTGCTGGGCGCAGTGGTGTTTTCCTTGTTCGCTGCACAGCCGCTTGTCATTGTCGGTGTCACTGGTCAGTGTTCGATTCCACAACTGCTCTCGAATATCGGGAACTTGGTCGTTAACCATGCACATAGGTCCGATCACGGTCTTCAACTACACGGTTTACGATATCATCGCACCGCGAGGCACCAATTACTTGGGCTTCATGGCATGGATAGGCATGTAAGTGCAGTCCCCAGCCCTCAAGGGGAGTGTATGACGCGCTGACACGAGATTGATTTTTCGTCGCGCTGCAGCTGGTCACTGATTATGCACTGGATCATCGCCATCACCAACATGTGCAATGGATTGACATATGTCACCCGTTTCTCATGCGACATCTTCGGGTTCTATGTCGCGTTCGTCTATCTCCAGAAGGGAATCCAGGTCCTTACCCGGCAGTGGGGATCAGACGGGGAGACATCCGCGTATCTCAGCATCATGGTCGCATTGCTAGTTCTCATGAGCGGTTGGGTCTGCGGTGAAATCGGCAAAAGCAGCCTCTTCCATCGCTGGGTTCGCAAGTTCATCGAAGACTACGGCACCGTACTGACCATCGTCTTCTTCACGGGCTTTGTTCACTTCGGACACATGCGTGATGTGAGCGTCTCGACTCTTCCGATCAGCAAATCCTTCTTTCCCACCGCGGACCGTGGCTGGCTGGTGCGCTTCTGGGATCTCAGCGTCGGCGATATCTTCCTGGCTATCCCGTTCGCATTGCTGTTGACGATCCTATTTTACTTTGACCACAACGGTACGAGTCTCCCACTTCATGTTTCCCTTCCATCCCTTGCAACCCTCGTGCTGACCCCTGGATCCCAGTCTCCTCGCTCATCGCACAAGGCAGCGAATTTCCCCTGCGGAAGCCCGCCGGATTCCACTGGGACATGTTCCTCCTGGGGATCACGACAGGAGTGGCAGGCATCCTGGGCCTCCCCGCGCCGAACGGACTGATCCCGCAAGCGCCCTTCCACACCGCGGCGCTATGCGTGACCCGGCACGTCGCGGACGAGAACGACGAAAACAAGGGCAAAGTGGTGCGAGTGATAGACCACGTCGTCGAGCAGCGGTTCAGCAATCTAGCGCAGGGAATCATGACGCTCGGCACCATGTCCGGGCCCCTGCTCATTGTCATCCATCTGATCCCGCAGGGCGTCCTAGCCGGCCTCTTCTTCGTCATGGGCGTCCAAGCCCTGGAGGGCAACGGCATTACCCAGAAGCTGATTTTCCTGGCCCAAGAACACGGGTTCACCGCTTCGTCGCACCCCCTGAAGCGTTTGGACCGTCGCTGGTCCATCTGGCTGTTTGTCATTATTGAGCTGATCGGCTTCGGTGGCACCTTTGCCATCACCCAGACTATCGCTGCGATTGGCTTCCCGGTCATTATCTTGTTGCTTATTCCCGTCCGCGCGTTCTTGTTTCCGTGGCTTTTCACCCCGGAGGAACTGAACGCGCTGGACGCTCCCACGGCTAGTCCGTTTACCATGGAGAGTGTGGGTGGCGTGCATGGCTACGACGAGGATTTATCGACCGCGTATGATCGTCCGGCCATGACGGATGAGATGGGTCCCACCGGGGGCACCGACAACCGCAGCAGTGGGAGACCGGGAAATTCGCAGGGCGAGAACGACCTCGAACGAGGCGAGTTCCTCGAGCCCCAGGACGAGTCGGCTGCTCGGAGACGGAAGAATGATTCGTCTGTGTAAGAGCCATCGATTGAAAAACAAGAACTACCGCGGAATACTCTAGATATGGTCCCCGGGCGTGGCATATAGAAACTCCTACAGGATCTCGAATGATCGTCACCTGGTTTAGATAATGCATAGTACCTAATAGACTCGTCCCAATTGTTTGTCAACCTCGGTTCAAATGATCTTCTCCGCAGCCCCTTTTTTGGGTCAGCGCTAGGTCCAATGGCATGCTCCACTACGACTGGCAATCATGCTAGTCACATAGACTAGTAAGCACGCGGACGTTGTGCCTAATAGAGAAGCGTTCATGCATGGCAGCGCCGTAGTTTAACCTTATCCCACACGTGGCGTCGACGCCAGGCGGCAATCACAGCCGCTCGAGTCGGTCAGCACTTTGTTCTCATATTTGGGATGGTCCAGGATGCCAGAGACCTGCGGCGAAAAGACATGCCTGTCCAGCAGTGTTGTCGTCTCCACGTTCACTCGGAAGTCTACTCTGTAGTTTATAGACACAGATTTGAAGACATGCTGAAGTACGGTAAGATATGTCCATTAATTCTCATAGTGTATTAGAAACTTGTCGTTTTTTTTTATCATGAGGTATCAAAGAAAGATCATAACCATCTATCAGTCTATGTAATTTACAGGGAGAAAAAAAACGCCGGAAAGCAAATTACTGAGCCCGGCACATACGGCCCGACTCGGAAACCGTCCAGGCATCACTGCCGACACCCTTGAGGACGTAGAAGAAGTTGGTGGGATCCCACTTCGACTTGACGGTGAGCAGAGGAGAGTAGTTGCTGCCGAAGAAAGTCTCCTTCCAGTTGGGCTGGCGGAAGTTGCCCTCGTTCTGGTAGCAGCCGCTGCCCGGGGTCACAGCCTCAAGCTGGGGCACGTACTCGTTGGTGATCTTGTACTGGTCGGCGACCATCTGGGACCACGGCGCGGTCTCGTTCCAGTTGGTGCCGATCTGCATGGTCACGGCGCGTTGCGCAGCGCCGGGAAGATGGCGTTGGAGACGTTGCCCGGCTGCGAGACGTTCATGCCTACGCCGACGGCGACGACGCCGTGGCTGGTCAGGTTGCGCAGCACGGAGGCCATGCCGCTGGGGTTGCTCTCGAGCACGTCGCGGGGGATCAGACGGCCGCCGTATTGGTAGGTGGCGACCGCGAGATTGCCGTAGGGCAGAGGGCCCATGTACTTGTTGTAGTGGTCGTAGTAGGTGTCGTACTCGGTGTAGGAGACCTTGTAGGCGATGCCGAGGTCCGTGAGGGCCGTGGTGAAGGGCGCCAGGATGGACTTGACGTCGTCGGCGGTCTTGTTGTACGCGGTCAGGGGGTTGATGGCAAAGACGCCCGACACCATCTGGTAGATCACCGTCACGCCCTGGTCGGTCATCTCGGGCAGCAGGGTGTGGAACTTGGCGACAGCCTGCCAGAAGGCCTCAGTGGTGTTGGCCGTGGCCGCGAACTGGAGACCAGCGCCAGAGATCTTGGCGTCCGGGTGAGCCTTGACGGTGACGGATATGACCACACCGTAGTTGCCAGCACCACCGCCGCTCAGAGCCCAGTAAAGATCGGAGTTCTGGGTGCGAGAGGCCGTGACCAACTGGCCGTCGGCGGTGACCACCTCGAAGGCCAGCGTGTTGTCTGCGCCCAGGCCGAAGTTGGTGCTCAGGGCCGAGTGACCACCACCCTGAATGTAGCCACCTGCGAGGCCGACGGTCGGGCACTCGCCGGTCACAACGGCCAGCCCTTTCGCATGGGCGGCGTTGAGGATCTGGTATCCCATCACACCGGCGGACACCTGGAATGCGGGACCCTGGTAGTACGAATCCGACCAATCCTTGTAGTCAATGTCATTCAGATGGTGCGTCCACACGGAGAGGGCGCCAGCGCCGGTGGAGCGGCCCATATAGCTGGAAGGAATCTGGGGTCAGCCCGGTCCCGATGCAGGGCAATTCGGCAGGAAACTCACTCATGACCAGTGTTCTTGATAACGAAACGGATGTTGTTCGCCTTGGCAAAGTTAACGGCGGCAATGACATCGTCGCTGGACGAGACGTTGACTGCGTAGCTGACAAAGTTGCCCAAGAGACAAGGCCGGGACTCCGCAGTGAAGGGGTCGCAGCTCTGATTGGCAAAGTAGGTCTGCATGATCGAGGAAGACGACTCGAGACTGTTCGGGGACTACCGTTAGTAGCTTCTCATGGCCCAGGGTCGCAGGCGATCGTTGCCCATCGCTCAGCAAGAAGAACTCGTAGCACCTACTGAGGCAGTGGGGTCGTCCAGTCGGACTTCAACGCCGCACAAGCAGCGGCATCGTAGTTGGGATCATGGCAGGGGCTTCCAATGGGCACGGTTGCGACCAACCGACCACCGACCGTGGTGTTGAGCGATGCCCAGGACGAGGTGGAGGGCCAGCAGCTGTCGCCAGGGAGGCAGTAGCAGTTGGAATCGTCCGCGAATGCTGTTGAAGTGAGAGCCGCAGTGGCAGCGGCCAACATCCAGGAGCCCTTCATGGTTGCGCGGGGAGAGAATGCGGAAGCAAGGGAAGGCTTTACGACGAATACAAAAATCTTACGGTCGCAACGGCTCGGACAAGGGTGAATTTATATCGCACATTAATTCCGCGCTTCTACACTACACCGAGGCGCCAGGGGGAGGCATCTTCATCTATTGTCTGTGGCGGAGACATCTTCGACAGGAACCTCATGAGCAGCGTCCGGAGATGTTTCCCCAAGCGCGTCTAGTCTGGGCGGAGGAACCGAAGAGTCGAGAACGGGGTGGATATCAATTCACGATTTCCCGGCGACATCCGGGTAATGAATCTGATATATCGTTCGGAGCATTGTCCGTCCTCAGTTACGTCCGCCCCCAGATCGATCCGCCCTTTGATCAGGCCAGGCACGACATCTGATACCCAGGGGAACTGATATACCTACCTTCGGATCGCCGGCCATGTTGCGAAAGTGCTCCGAGGCTGGTCTCTGGCCAACATTCCATCTCTTCATCCCTTTTTCCAGGCTTGAAGCCCTAAGGTTTTTCCGAATCTGGCCCGAAAAACTCTGTTTCTGCCTAGAAGCGGTGTGGGTCCGCTTTGCTGGTCTGTGAGTCTGCCACAAAAGTCCAGTCTTCGAATTATTGGCACGACGCCGACCCAGTGGGAGCGCAGCCCATGGAGAACAAGCCTTGCCTCGTGTATTTGCCGAACTGGGCATAGATTCAGTGGTCCCCGTTCCCCGGTGTCTTGCTTTTCCTTCAGTAGTGCAAGTAAGGGCGAATGTAACCCACTCTATCTGAAAACTCGTATACGCCGGATGGCGCAAGGGTTTGGAACAACCGGCGGATCCTGGAAGGAATGGGTCATCTCCGTGTATCCGGTGGCAAGGCTCTGTCCGGTAGTCCAAAAAATGAGTGTTGTCACCAGTCTGATCTACAATCTCTCGTCCTCGCAGTGACAAGATTAACATTGACATGAAACTGTGCCCGGCGCTTGTCGATTCCACTGTTGCTGAATTCGTATAAAACGGCTGCAGCTCACGGCGCAACGGCCAGGGCGTGCATCATGCACAGTGGATCCTCTCTCGAGAATTCCCAGATGGCATTGAGGCCCGGCTGATGGTTGGCAGTCGGGATCTTTAAAGTTCAATAAAGACCCACGCCAATATTTGGTTCCCAAGAGACACGCTCAAATCTCCGCTGCGCAATGCCGAATCCTATGGCCGCCAGTCGGCCAAAGAGAGCGTCCAATTTCGTTTAAATCAGCCACAACCGGGTACCTGGTTGCTATGTAGCCGACCCAAGAGCACGATTTGTCAAAGAATCCTCCTTCGGGATCACAAGCAATACCGGATCCTAAGAAGATTCAGCCACAACCTTGGTTTCCTGCTCGCTTATCCTTCGATCCAGCCGGAAAGTCTGGACAGCTCGTGCCCGGATTGAGATCTCTTCTTCAAACTCTAAAAAAGTCATGACTAGTTATATGTGCCACTCCAGCTAGTTGGCAGGGCCGGGGTCCAGTATGACTGACACTGCGGTGCCTCCACCATGTCTGGCTTGAAGAGGCCCTGTCCATCAGTCCACCACCTGTAACTCTCCTTCACCACCCAGGTCCTGCTCGGGGTGCAAGAGTCATGGGCACGAGTGAACCCAATGGCGGCCCAGCCCTGCAGAAGGGAATCTGGGTCGCCGTGGCCCTTGCGGCGGTGATTGTCATTCTCAGGGTCTTCGCGAAGCTGAAGATCGGCCAATTCCGCGTGGATGACATCTTGATGATCCTTGCATGGTATGTGCCCCTGCCCACCCCTATACCACTTTATCTCTGTTGGCCTTTCCCATCGCTGAAGGTTTATGTGAACTGACTCGTCTAGATTCTGATGATCGTAGCAACGGCCTTTTTGACCTTGTCAGTTAGTCATGGCTTTGGCAAGAACCTGGAGACGCTGCCGCTCAAGGACATGGAGGCCGTCTTGAAAGCCATCGCTATCGAGGTTCCGATTGTGACGATGAGCACTACAATTGCCCGCTGCTCCTTTATCATATACCTCCTCGCTATCCTCGGCTCCAACCGAACGTACCGATTCGCCTTATGGTTTATCATGATCTGGCAGCTCTCCGGCAACATCGTCTCCGCCGTCCTCCCTCTTAGCATCTGTCGCGATGTCAGGATTCTCTGGGATCCGACCGTGAAGACGACTTGCGGTGACAGCAACGCCGTGATCAAATTTGCCTACTACTCCAACAGTACGTCCGTCTCCTCGCCATCGCTCTCTCACAAAACCGCGTAACTAATCTGCCTCCCAGCCGTCAACTCAGCCACGGACTTGTTTCTGGCCGTGTTCCCCATCCCTGTCTTTTGGAATCTCAACCTGAAAACGCGGGTCAAGCTCGGCTTGATTGTTCTGCTCAGCCTGGGTCTTGTGTAGGTTCTCCAATTCGCTACGCGCAGGAAACGCGCAGCTGCTAACGATTGCCCCAGGGCCATGGTGGCATCGATCGTGAAAACAACGAAACTCGACCAATTGCCCAGCGTTACAAACCTCGGTGCCTCCGGCGGCATTGAGCTCATCCGCTGGGGGTATGTGGAAAACGCCGTGATCATCATCACCTCGTCGATCCCTTGCATCCGGCCGCTGGTCATGTCCTCCGTCAAGAAATTCTCCAGCCACAGCTTCTCCCGCTCGTATGAGCTGCGCAGCCCCTTTACTGGGAATCGTCGCACAGGTGAGAATGCAACCACTCAGTCGCGCCGTAAATTAGCGACGAATAACGATGCCGAAACGTGTAGTATTGAGCGTATTCTAAACCCCTATTCGCACAACACCGTCATCGGTAGCCATCAGACGTCGTCGAATCGGTCGGATCGAGGCATTACGAAACAGGTCGAGATGTCGGTTTATTCTAGTGACGACCCTGCGAGGAGCGTGTGAGATTTGGAATCTACCTCGCGGTCTTGTTCATACTTGTAGAGCCAGTCATGGTTATACGATGTACGTCTTGATGTGAACTAGATTAATAGAACGATTCAATAATGGACGAAACCACCGTGCGTATGATAAACTATTGGGTGTGCACTCTCTTCAGGGTCGCTTTGGTATGGTTTTGGCCGACTGTTGGAAGTTGTAGAAGGCATTGAATACGTATGATAGAGAGGTGAGATTTGAACCTGATAGGAAAACCAAGAAGTACAGAGATTGCACAGTCGAATGGTGCTCAAGGAATGGCTCTTAAGATTCATTGCACTTCCAAAGAGTATTAGGCTGGTTACTAGATGGGAGGCGCATGTTTAATGGAGATATCTGAGTAGCCTCGAGTACCACAACATATAAATCACTAGTACAGGGACAGCAAGAGAGTAGCCAGAACAACAAGACGGATGTGAAGTCATAACTAATATGAAATACAAGCAGTATTTTTTATCGTTTTCTTATCTTTCGTTAATAAAAAGTCAAACAAAGGAGGTTGGGCGATTCCCATCAATAGTCATTGCATACTCGATATGTTGAATACCAAGCAGGAGTACAGATACTGCGCACCACTCCATTCAAATCCTGTGAAGAGAATCTTGTTTATGCGGTGGATGATCGAATGTATCTCATGGCCTCACTGCAGGTGAGCACTGCTATAACCCGTCTTCTTCGTGGGAACAGGACCAGCCCGCACCGTGTAGTCTCTCAGCCAACAGCTCCCCTTTTTGTTTGAGGGTTGCGCGGTTACCCAGATGGCGCGCTTGCACTTCGGGGTATCAGTACAGGCCTGAACACATTCTTTCGGGGTCTTGTCGCCGAAACTGGCGAGATCGTCTGAAGTCCAGCCGGCGTCGTCGACTAGATGATACCCCCATTAGAAGACAAGACTCTAGATGCGCATGAACGAATCGAGCTACTTACGCATGCCACAGTAAACCTTGTAATCGTTTCCTCGGTCATAGATATGATCCTGGTCGTATTCCGGGCACTCGAAGCACCCCTTTTCGCATTTCCCATTGCAAGTCTCCAATTGGCGCTTCAGATCGTCGACTTGGACTTGCAAATGTCCAATTCGAACCTTGTCATCCTTGCACTCGTCATCATCATTCGGGAAAAGGGGGTCCTCCTTGGTTCGGTGCGTCATGTAAACGACGTGCGATTCAGGGATGAGGGAACCTCCCAGGCTGTGGTAAAGAACGCAGGATTTGGCCGTGTTCGCCTGTCGACCAGCCGTGGTTTCTTTCCCTGCCCACAAGCTGGCTTCGCAGCTAGGGCTCTTGCTGCATATCGTAGCGCATTCATCCGGACTCCCAGCGGATATGACCGTTCTGTCTTTACTGATTGGCCGCTGGTCGCAGTGGTACGTGACCAAGAGATGGGACTTGATTGCTTTCTCCTGTCCGTCGTTTACAGGACAGACTTTGTTGTAAAGTTCTCTCGCTGTGCTAAATGATTGACCAACGGTAAGACTGGCAAAGAGGGGGACTAGGGGAACCAGGGCTTGCAAATGCATGTTGAAGGTTTGAATTTCAGACAAGGACGGGTTTTCAATAGATGGGCAGGCTTGATTGAAAAGGGAGTAGAAGATGTTCAAGTGTTGATGAACTGACGTTATGGATGGAAGGTGAGAGCGCGTATTTATAACATTTGGCGATCTCATTGAATGTTGCTTCCAAGGACAGTTATCCTAGATGGACTGAGAAGATCATTAATTCCAAATGCCATGGGCTTCCATGGCCCACTACCCCCGAGGCGTATAGCCCTCCAAGTAACCCCTGGGGTGTTCAGCCAGCCCAGTCTTCCACGGCGTTCCAGCTGAACCCTTCCAGGACGGTATTTGACCAGGTCCCGTCGAGTCTTTCGTGAAGCTACGAATTGGAATGCTTGGTATACGCCTCAACGAGTATATTGATGACGTAAATCTGGGACACAGAGAGAGCCCTTTAATGCGGATTTGTCAAGGGCAATTATCTTTCAGGTGGAGTGAAGCCCAATGCAACATTGGGTGAATGTTTTTCGTAACCTTGGTGCAGCGGAAGCCCCAAGACAGCGTCTATTCAGGATGCATGTTAGTCAATACTGACGATGAATGCAACATAGGACCACAAACGAACTGCTCTGTTCAAAAGGCTTCGGTGGTGCGGCTGATGCATCCGGACACCCTGCTGGGAGATGTGCCATGTCGGGTATTCCGATTGGCCCTAAACCAGTAGAGATATTCCAATGAAAGAAGGATCTTGCATTTAGGGCTGATGGTCTAGGTCATGTCTACCATTTGTGGATCTATAGGATAGACGCATGAGCAAAGTACTCGTTCCAGCCCCAAGACTATATGGTCAAGCCTTCAGCATGGCACAATTAAAGACTAGAATAATACATACGGAAGGGATCTTAGATCCTGGATGACTACGAAGAAGAAAAAAGGTAAGACAAAATAACAAAGGCAATGAAGTCATGTTCGCTTCAGGCTTGAAATAGATCCATGTATGCCGAGCTTGTGGCTCAATGCGTGAGAATCTTCATTGGCTCCTTTAGCGCTTCAGCCCGGAGTAGGAAATGGCTATTGCAGAAGCTGGATCTGCATCAAACATGATGGCTAGCTGAAAAGCGTTCGCTACGTGGTGGGCAGTTCGTCTTTCCTCAGCATTCTAAGATAGGTTGTTTCGATTAATCCTGTCGTAGCTGCCCGCTTGAAGGTGGTGAATTCCCGGATATGACACAGCAGCCTGGGGAACATTGGCAATTCCCAGTAAGAAAGGGGTCTGGTCCAGTTTTTTAATGATCGCTTGGCATTCAGCCAGTACTGTAGGGAGTGGCGCCTTCTTCCAAAGCTGATAGTCTCATCGATGTTTGTCGGTGTCTAGACGTACTGTCGCGGGAGCTATGCAAAGGAATCTTTGCGGACGATCAAGTAATCCAGCCCACAGTCGGTGCACCATAGATACCATTACATGGCCCTGTGGTAGTCGGCACTTGAAAGGTTTCCACTTATCAGACTCTGGCGATGGCAGACCAAGTCCAAGCACTTCCAGAACATTAAGCGACGACAGATCACACCACCGATGATAGAAATCACCCTGTTTCCACTGTTTCCGCATGGCCACGCTAGGCCATTGGGGAAAGAGGTCAAGGAACAGGGATGCGCGGTGTGCCAAGAGAGGATGGACACGCTCTAGACTAGCATACAGGGTTCTGAGGTTCCTCGATATCCGGCTGGTGAAGAAGCATGCCCTAATGCATGACTCGCACGATGTGAATACTAATGATGGGCGAATGAACTCCTAACGAGGCGCTGATGATCGCTTCAGCTCTTGGCATGCATAACACGTAGAATAATCGCGTCATAGACCAACGTGGGGCATATGCTCTGAAAACACTGCATTTGTGGATGTATTTTCTGACTAGCCTCCAATTTTCCTCTGCTCTAAAAGGGGAGGGCATGGAATGTAAAAGGGAAGTATGATATAGGAGCCTCTTAGCATCGTTGACGGGAGAATGTCCATCTTGCAGTTTGCAAGGCATATGCAACGAGCTGAATGCCTTGTGCGCCGTACAGTTTTGATTTATAATAGTAATGCACCTCGCAATATTCGTTGCAGTCCGTGACGTAAAGAAGCATGAATGGGATGCCATTGGACTCTGGAGTATCCAGTTGAGCTTCCTACCTCACACAGATCAGCCAGCCATGCAAGTTCTGGCCATCACACCTAGCAAATGATGATGCCTCCACATGTACGTTTCACCACTCTACTGATTGACCAGGCCTCGGAGATGTGTGCAACACACAAGTGCATGGGTAATACAGTGGTGTGCCGCACCGCCTCCAAGCCTATGTAGCGCATTGCCGTTCGGCCTCTTGCTCCTCTTGAGGTCTCGGGCATCTATCAGGATGGCATCATCTTTCATCAGAGACTTGACATCCCCGCACCCAGGAAATCCCTCAAGCACACCATGCTGGCTGCGATTGGCCCCAGTATGGCGCCCCTGCTCTCTTTGTAGTCAAGTGTCACCTCGCAAACTCGCTCCCTCCAAGATATAAAGCCCAGTCTGCTCTTCTGTTCAACCTCAGCAAAACATCCGTTTCTGTTCTACCACAAATCATCCTACCATCACACGATCATTTTCTGTCTTACAAGATGAGCTCCCTTGTCAACACCGCACTGGCTGCGGTCACAACCAATGGCAAAGACAGCTTCTTATATTATCAAAACGGGAAAGACATCCTCGAAGCCCACTCTGAGTCGGGCTCCAGCTGGACAACCAAGGCTTCCACGGTTACCAGCAACGCTGCCCTCGGTGGCTCAGCTCTGACCGCATACTATGTTGAGCACGATGGGGATTTCGAAAAGAAGTCAACCGTACGTATAAGCCTTGCAATACAAGGGATACCCAGGAGCGGTGTTGTCGGCTGATTATGCGTGTAGATTCATGTCGTCTACCTTGATTCCAGCGCTAAAGTTGCCGACAGAGTCAAGGTCCTTTCTAACGGGACCTGGACAGATGGGAAGGTTGATGGAATTTCAGTAAACCCTACCTCGACCTCCCGGATTACTGGTGGTTCATTTAATGGCTCCGACTGGAATCCGGATGGATCCCAATGGGTCTACTTCAATACGTAAGACCTCCCATTTATTGCACTTCTTCGAATGCTGTTGACATGCAACAGGCAGAGCGGCAATAAGCTACAAACCACCGAGATTCGCCGTGTCCCGAAGACTCCGTGGTATACCGAAACAGTGTTGCCGGAGAGCGTTCTGGCACTCCCCGGCACCGACCTGGCAAGCAGTATCGTGAAGGGGACCATTGACCTGTACTACCAGGACCATGAAGGAAATATCAATCACTGGGTCAGTCAGGATAACACATGGCATGGTAAGCCTACCTGTGACGAAGCATGTCTCAATCACAGATATCTGACTAGCTTTTCCTATCCAGACAAGAAGACCCTTGTCCCAGCAAGTGAAGTGGGAAATAGTACTCCCCTTGCTGCAGTGAATGATGGCAAGAAACATGTCTTCTTTGCAGACAGGAGCAGCCCCTCCAAAATCAAACACCGTGTGGACGACAAGACCGTTGAGGTTGCACCCTTTTACCCCGGAACACGCTTCAGTGCTGTTTCTGTCAATGGCAAATTGACTCTGTTTTACAAGAAATTGAACCCCGTCGGCGCCATTGCAGCCCAGGTTTATGATGGCAGCTCGTGGAAGGATGGAGGCATTGTCGTCCCTGCTTGATGCAACCCAGAGGGCAAGATGGAACGTCAAAGTGGCCCATCGGAATGTTACAACGCCCGACTATAGTGTTGAAGAATCATTTGAATTTTAAGCAAAAGCAAATTGCCACGAAATCTATGTTGAAATACCTTGTCTTCCTCGCCTAGGTTCCAGCCTGTGCCATCGGAGGGTACTGATCCTAGCCCCATTAAACGCGTAGTTGCTGTAGTGTGACATTTCTGGACTGCGCAGCCACAGATATCCTGGAGGAAAGGATATATTACATTGAAGATGTCATCTGATTTGTATGTCTGTGCCGTGACACTCCAGAGCAGACCTTGAATCTTTAGCCTAGTAGAGATTTCTCTTCTGTTAGGAGTGGCCGGCAGGGGTGCCTCAAGCAAGTGCTGTTTATGACTCTGGCGCATGCTGCAACTGCCCCAAGTGTGTAGGTATTTATCCTCTGTGGCAATGGTTATGAGTATAGTCTAACAACAAGCGCCACTACTAGGGTAAGGATCATGCCCTGAAAGCCAGCAACACATGCATGACCAGCTGATTATAAGTGGATTGATCATGTTGTACGGAAGAGGTGACAGAGAATTACCACGGAAGGGAGAAAGGGATATATAAGGACGCTTGTTCATGTACGTAATCTGAGTGATCCACGATCAACTCAAATGGTTACTGTGATGGTACCTTTGTTACCCGCTCAGATCGTTCGCGCCATGCAAACTATTGAGGTTGCGCAATCAATGGGCTGCATATACGCCGACCGACCGAAGACCGAGTCGAGAGCAGTCTCTGGGCCAATGAAGTTGAGTAAAAGCGCCGATCTTGAACGATAGTTCGGTAGCAGTCTCCACTCCTCGGCATAACCGCCGCAGCCCACCTCGTGCCTCTCTGTTCCAACCCGTCAGCCGCGCAATGAACCTGCACAAGCGAGATCTAGAAGAGGCCCAAGAACATTTAAGAATGGACCCTCTGCACACACCACCGAAGGAGCGACGGTCTCGGACGAGCCGTCCCAAGGTGCGCACTGGCTGTGTGACCTGCAAGTAAGATCGCCCAACGACGCGCGATAATCCGACTCAGGATATTGCTCCGGCTGCCCCTGACCGAGGAGCGTGACGGCAGCGATTGTTTGGATAGGCAGTTCAGTACTAATTCCCCGCTTGATAGGGCTCGGCGTAAGAAATGTGACGAGGCTCGCCCATGTTGTCGCACTTGTGTCAGCGCAGGGCGCGAGTGTGGCGGCTATCAGGACACCATCGATCGAAGAACTCGAGCCTGGAAAACTACCAAAGACACCGTTGACGTACCTTGCAAGACAACAATTGAAGTTCGGCAGAACCAACTTACTGTGACGAAGGACTACGGTGCCTGGATTTCCCGCCTTTTAGTAGATCCGAGCCAAGCCGATCTGTCGCTGTCCGAACGCTGGTACCTGGGTTTCTTTCGCAGCAGCACGGCTTGGCAATGCTCGGGCTACTTTCCGCTGGAATTTTGGCATCAAATGGTTCATCAGGTCAGTGAGGAGGAGCCGGCTGTCCGTCATGCGATCATTGCCATCAGTGCCCTCCATCGAAGTTTCGACACCATACAGTCTTCACAGAACCTGGGAAATCAAAACGATCCTCAATTGTTTCCTCTGCGACAGTGCAATAAGGCCATTACTTGTTTGCAGCAAAGATTGCAGAGTGCAAGCTGTGGGCAAGATTCCCACATGCTTATCACGTTGGTCACTTGCGTTCTTTTCGTCTCGTTTGCATTCCTCCAAGGAGACACCAACGCAGCCAGTTGTCATCTACGGCATGGCACCCGTCTCCTCCAGGAGTCATACCTGAGCAATAAGAAGAAGAGGGTGGAATATAAACGAGCGTTGACGGATGTATTCTACCATTTAGAGCTGCACTGGGCGAGTCTCCGGGAGCCCGAGGCGGTTACCTTAGAGCACGAGTACTCCATCGTTCATTCTATGGCTCTCCATAACCCGGTGTGGCGCAAGCCTGTAAATTCCGTCGGGGACGCATGTAACCTCTTGATTGGTCTTGCGTGGCTCGTCTGTGAGAACGATCCGGAGAATAGTAAGATGTTCATGGCTAGGGAGATCCTTGATAAACACCAGGACGCGATTTTGCAAAAGCTCCAGCTTTGGAAGACAGAATTAACCACAGCACTCACTCGCAAGAAAGTGATGTTATCAGCAAGAGATCGTCATACACTAGCTGCCCTTGATTTATGGACTGAGATCATCATCATCCGAGTGTCGACAGATTGTCGGCAAGATGAGGGAGAAAGCAGGTTTGACTCTTTCACATCAAACTTCCAGCGTGTGGTCCACCTCGCCCAGTCTGTTCTTTCTTCCGACTTTAGTCAGTCTCCCGTGCCAACATTCTCCGTCGGAATGGGTATGATCCCGCCTCTCTACCTCTGTGCTTTCCGATGCCGTGAGTGGTATATCCGAAGAGAGGCGGTACGGCTATTGCAGACATGGCACCTTCAAGAAGGGGCCTGGACAAGCTCCGGGACAGCCTTTGTTGTGAATCGGATGATTGATATCGAGTCGGAGGGTCTTACACAGGGCGACCTTGTTCCTGAGCGTGCGCGTATTTGTGCGATGCGTGCAGGTGCCCTGTCTGACGGATCCGGAATCCGACTGTGGTACCGTCGGTCCCAGGGTGGCAGCTCAACCCAAAGTGACGGTAACTCCAATCCCTGGGAGTCGGAAATACTACCATTTTGATAAAATAGGTGGATCAGATCACAGTATCGAAAGACAGGATTGGGGGTTTTGTTGATGATGCAATGAAGATAACAACGAGCGACACACACACACACACACACACACACACACACACACACACACACACAAATAGATCTGACTTGAAATCCATCGTCGACGACTCTCATGAGAGCCTTGAGGCCATGAGAGTATTATTTCGCCATAGCTCGCTGTGTCTCTCCTGCCAACCTTCAGGTGACCTTTTGCTATGGATAACGGCACTACATATCCACCTTGGGCTGGTATCTGACTTCTTGGTGGGTCTATGGCATCCATTGAAGTCAATCTCTCCTGACGCCCTTTGAGATAAAGGGTGAATGGGGAAATCGTGACGAGTTTATCCACAATGAGATTGTCTTGACAATGGTCTCGGTGGAGCTGGCACGAGGGCGAGAGCGCGGGCGAGAACGGCGTCTCTGCCGGCACGTGCCATAGAAGACTGGAACTTCGTGTTCAAAGACAGACTAGGATTAGCGGTTCGGGTCCAAGTGGGGAACACTTGCGAACTAACGGAGAAAACGGCGTGGAATCCGTCGGTAGTGATCAAGGAATCGTGACTGTAAAGCTGTATGTAGGCGTGTCTCCCCGGATTCTCCACGTTGGGGTTCAACAACCGGGATCTGGGGTACAGCCGTCAGGAATGTATAAAAGTTTCAATACCCCCCAGAATACAATGGATCATATCTTGTCCCTCTGCAGTCTGCAGACCTTCCTATCTTCCTAGCTATCTTGTTCATCTGGGACTCCTATCCTAGTCATCTATCTGCCTAATCATCATGACGAACCAGATCCATAGGTGGAATGTAGTCCACAAGTTGGAGAAGCGGAAACTACTAGTCGCCATCAATTGCGTGGCTGCCTTGGCTATATTCTTCTTTGGCTACGACCAAGGGATGATGGGAGGAGTGAACAACTCCAGCGATTATCTCGAGCTCATGGGAATAGGCTACGGGGCGAATATAAACGGCGACACCAATGTCCCGGTTGTCACCGACAGCCTGCTTCAGGGTGGCATTGTCTCCGTCTATTATTTAGGGACCCTGGTCGGTGCTCTATTCGGGGGTTGGATTGGTGAAAGAATAGGACGGTTGAAGAGTATTGCAGTTGGATCAGTGTGGGCCATTATCGGTGCCGCACTGCAGTGCTCGGCTATGAATCATCAATGGATCATCTGCGGTATGCCCTGCCCACGCCTATGGCAACCCTGCACATATCCTTCTTGCTTGACAGAACTGATGGATCACGACCACGGCTAGCTCGGTTGATTAACGGCATTGGCACTGGAATTCTAAACGCAATTGTTCCCGTGTGGGCAACGGAAACGGCCGAGCACACGTCTCGCGGTCAATTCATCGCAATTGAATTCACATTGAACATCTTCGGTGTCGTGGTGGCATATTGGTTAGAATTGTAAGTCATCCAGCTATGGACTCTTACACCACATCGGACCGCTTTCGTGCTAATACCATACTCCAGCGGCCTTTCGTTCATCGATGAAGGACGTTCAGCCTTACGTTGGCGGTTTCCCATTGCATTCCAAATCATTCTCTTATTCCTATTGCTGGGCCTCGTCTGGTTCTTCCCCGAGTCTCCGAGATGGCTGGTCAAGGTTGGTCGCGAGGAGGAAGCACGCTATATCCTCGGTCGGTTACGTGGAACAGGCCCTGAGGATGGGAACAAGGCAGAAGCTGAATTCCGGGATATTTGCAACGTGGCTGAGCTCGAGAGATCTCAGAAGTACAGCACCTCATACTTCTCCATGATCACTGGGAGAGGTTCAGGCAATCTTCACATCGGTCGCCGGGTACAGCTGGTTGTATGGCTGCAAATCATGCAGGAATGGGTGGGAATTGCGGGCGTAACAGTTTGTAAGTGACACCATTTGCTGCCAAACATTTCTACGACCGGATGCCTGTAAAGCAACCAGGAATGAAGAGAGATTAACCGGGAGCAGATGCCCCTGTCATCTTCCGAATGGCTGGCTTTGATACCGAGAAAAGCCAGTGGGTGAGCGGTCTGAATAATGTCTTCTATATGGTAAGACTAATTGAGAAAGCGTTGTCGAGAGACATGGCTAATGACACTCACAGTTCTCAACCTTAATCTGTGTCTTCACCTTGGACCGTATTGGCCGTCGCCGGACCTTGTACTGGGGCTCCGTCGGACAGGGAATCGCAATGTTCCTTGCTGGAGGCTTCTCGTATCTCTGTAAACAGGCAAACGCTGCAGGAGATACCAGCAAGGCTTCATCTTATGGTGCTGCTGCCGCCTCTATGGTCTTTATTTTTACTTCCGTCTTTGGAGCGACTTGGCTCAGTAAGTCAACACGCTCGTTCGCCGTTTCGTATGGCAGGCGTCACAAGATACTAACCACATTGTCGCAGCGGTTCCATGGCTGTATCCTGCAGAAATCTTCCCCCTCGCAGTTCGTGCCAAAGGAAATGCATGGGGTGTGGTGGGATGGAGTATTGGAAATGGCTGGCTGGTATGTGCTAATCAATACTTGACGCCTGTTTGGACGCTAATTCTGCAACCTCTCTAGACTCTCCTCTGCCCCATCATGTTCTCTTCCATTGGAGAGAAGACCCTTTATATTTTCGGGATCGCCAACGTTATCACGATCCCGATGGTGTGGGCTTTGTACCCCGAGTCAAACCAGCGCACTTTGGAGCAAATAGATCTGCTGTTCGCAGCCAACAGCCTTTGGGTGTGGGATGCCGAGCGAAACTTCCAGACTCTGGTGGAAAATAATCCTGAGCTGACGCAAGCAACCCGAGCCCATAGTCTCTCAGACACGGAGAAGGCCAAGGCGATTGAGGACTAGGATAAACCTACAACCCACCGTTTTTTGAGAGATCTGGCGATATGACAGATAGCAGCCACGATCAGCTATTTGATGAGCTCATGCGAATAATGTATACACTCCATACCATAAGGTGAAAATCTAAACGTTATCGGGCATCGATGATATGCATGAAAATAGCGTAATTGGCTGTATAGTCACCGTAATGATGATTAACCCACTTCCATAAGCAGGCCTTCCAAGATACCACGGGACTTCTTGATATCCGGGGCCTCGTCTTCCCAGTAGCTAAGCGCTTGTAGTGTGCCCTCGAAATGAGTTTTCAAATCCATAGGGCGGTCGATCCCCGGCACGTCAAGGTTGCCGCTCTTGATGGCAGCAATCACAATTAGAGAGCTAGTCACAAGGGCTCGAAGGTCGAACCAAATCCCATGATGGCGGTGGCGAAGACATCTGGCTTCCAAAATCTTCAGGGCACAGTGCATCCCGGACTGAACTAGGACAGCGATAGTTGATAACTCCTCGCCGGTAAATGATGAACTTCGCGTTCTTCGAGCCTCCTGTCCAGTGTTGACAGGATGATGGATGACGAAATACAAAAATGGTTGATACAGCCATAGGCGAATCTCTAACAATCGGTTGGCGATTGCCCAACTGAGCTCGAGCGATATTGAGTCCTGCATCTCAGAGAAGCGGTTTCTACTTTGACCACTGCTTTCGTTGTCCTTGTAGTGTCGCAACCCTGGGGGAAGATTAGCAGACCATGCATTAATCTGTGTTTCAAACTCTAGTGCCAGAGGAATGAACGGCCTGATGTCCGACCACATAGACTGTCCCTTTTGGTAGAAGGCATTGAGCACCCGGTTCCCAATCCGTCTGAGCGCCACTTCAGTCAGGTAGTAGTACCAGCTTTGTTCTTCATCGAAGAGTTGCATTATGTGATTTCGTACGCCAAATGATGTTTGGGCTCGATTACTGTTGTAACTACTTGTCGGTCTGGAAGTATTCCAAGATGTTGACCATCCAGCTCCGTGCGATCCGCCTTCCGGGTAGTCCTCTGAGAGATTTGGCGGGGTTGGGAACAACGCTGGGTATTCGTACTCGGCAATCGCCGACTGTGGCAATGGGAGCTCGACTCGTATCTCTACCTCAGATTTGAAACACGACCAATACAAGCTCTGTTCCATGTGTCGCGATACTGAAGTGCCTCGCTGAGCCGCTTCATCCGCCGAAAGGTCGTCGTCAATATTCAACCCATCAATCATTCTCAACCGTAGTCGGTAAAAGGTTGAGGCTTGGTAGAAATGATTCCAAGCCGCCAGCGGACGAAACGTATACATCAGGTAAACTAGACAACGATCAACATCCGTCATTACAGAAAGCTTAGTCCCGTGGATTTACAAACCTCCTGCAAAGAAGTGGCACTGGGCCCCAAGCACGGAGTACCGCAGAAGGCCAATCCTTCGGCAAGCCATCACGAAGAATGTTTCACCTTCCTTTAACCCCGATGCCAAGGAGGATTTTTCATCGGAGGCGTGCGTTGCTCTTTCGCCTTGAAAAGGTACTTTCGTGGACAGCGTGAAGGCCTGAGAAACACACCCAAGTGCACACGCTAGCAGGACAAGACAGGACTGGGCATCCCATCGGAGTCCAAACTCCGCAGCATGCCGGCCCCAGCGAATCAGGGCTTCCAGATCCAAGATTGGATTCTTCGTGTGCACGTTCTGAATGAATTGATCCACCAGGGCTGGGATGCGTTCCTCATTCGTTGGTTGGAACCCATCGGGTACAACCCATGTCTCGATGGCAGAGCTCTCCGCCCCGTGTGACGACTGGAATAAGGTCGTGATTAGAGCATTTTCGCGAAATCGTCCGCGGAAAATCGGCCATGTAAGGACCGTGTCCGCGCTACCGCGACTAGAAGGAATTTGTAGATAGTCCTTGTATGGCTCTGTGTCTTCCACTGGGAGGTCCAACTGTCCTCCCATTTGCTGCGGTGCGGCGGACCGCCCACTGGACGTTGGGGTTCCTAAGCTCCGGTCAGCACACCATGCATGTGCAGGAGCAAATAATTTAAAAACAACTCACCGGTGGAGGAGAGATATGAGTGAATGTTCTCGACTGCATAGGTCAGATTATCCAGTCGCTCGATCACCTCTCCCAAATCCCGATCTCTGTTTTCATTAGTAATGCCGTCGCAGTCGGTTTAGATTCAAGAAAGGAAGTGCTACATACTCCTTTGTTGGTTCACCACGCTCGATGTAGACGCAATTCATACCGTTGTGTTGGCAAAAGCCACAGGCTGGCCTAGCATTGTTACAGCGGACCTTTCTCTTCCTGCAGGTCTGGCAGGCTGCCCGTCGACGACTCCCGGGTTGTCTAGGGGCGATAGCGCTTGCCGTTGCCCTTGGAGCTGGCTCATCATGACTCTGCGACCTTGACCGTGTCTGGGATAAATCTCTTGCAGCATCTATGTCCATGACGCGCTCTAAATGGAGAGGTTTTCGTGATGTAAGAGTACTGGTCATGGGAAGTATGTATGAAACTAGTATTTCGTACGGATACAACAAGGGCGGATTCTGCCATATCTCTCCGCCAATTATCGTCACGTGTCGTTCTGCGTCGGAGATGCTCCGGGATCTAATCCGAGGATGGATTAGCGTGAAAATCCGACAAGTACTTGCGTCTGGATGTAGTTAGCGTCACCTTCCAGCAAGGCCTGAGGCCCGGTAAAGACCTGATCTGGCCAAGAAGACAAGACACATGGTTGGTTTGCAACAATCAACACCTAACTGTGAGTAGTACTGATATGTGGCTATGCTAAATTTACTCTATCACTAATTGCACGGTCTATCCCTACCTTGTATTGTTTCAGTATAACGGTGCCTTACTTTCCGGTGTAGAGAAAGAAATATATATATACTGCTCTGATTGATAGGCATCCTTCTGTGGGACAATTTAACATGCATTTCTGCCCGACAGGTCCATGGCACCACTCAGTGAAAGCATTGCGACACTATCACACATAAGGGCACCCAAGTATCATCCATTATGGGCCGTTCTACATCCATCTCCAAATTTCCGAACCCCAAAGATCAAGGCAGGTGGAGCCCATTCAGCATCACGTGTGGCTGACGAACCCTTCTCTGTCAAATTCTGTCTCCACTAGAGATTGATAATTTGGGGCTGCCAAGCGTCTCACATCTGCTTTGTTCTTAACTAAAGGCCTTTAAATCTACAAGTGGCTCCGTGTTGCGATCTGGGCTCTGACCCGGTTATTTCGCCTCGCCTTTCGCTTTGTATTAGACTGTCAAAGTGCCGTTTATTGCATACTACTAGGTGGCCAATGGCAGACGCCGAGTTAAATGTCTGCCAGCATGTCAGTGACGGATATGCCACTGAGAATGTAACGGAGCGCAAGCCCCAGAAAACACTCCGTAGTGCGATTTCAACTATCGTGGAAAAGACGAGGCCAGATCCTGGTGAATACTATCAAGATGCAAAATATCCCGAAGGCGGCCTCCGTGCATGGCTTGTTGTACTGGGTTCCTGGTGTGCCATGGTGCCCTCTATGGGTCTCTTGAATACCATCGGAGTCCTTCATGCTTGGACAGCGGATCATCAACTGGCACAGTATTCGTCTTCCAGTTTGGGATGGATCTTTGGTGCTTTTAGCTTTTTCCTCTATTTCGGGGGTGCTCAAGTTGGTATGAACCATGCATGTGTATTGATCGTGAGGGTGTCATGGAGAGTGCTAAATGGGGTAATTCACAGGGCCCATCTTTGACAGCCGTGGAGTGCTACCAGTGGTCGTACCAGGATCCATTGGCATAGTTCTATCCATCTTTTTCTTCAGTGCAAGCACCGGTAGGTGTCAGGTCCTGCCAAGCGCCAGGGAAACCTCGCTAATATACCAGCAGAATACTACCAAATATTCTTATCCTTCAGCGTTCTTGGTGGCATCTCCTCTTGCTGCCTGTTTACCCCAGCCATCTCCGCCGTCGGCCACTGGTTTGACGTACGTCGCGGCCTTGCAACCGGTATTGCTTGCACGGCTGGCGGTCTCGGTGGCGTCTTCTTCCCTTTAATCATTCTATACGTTGGCCCGACACTCGGCTTCGCCTGGGCAATGCGAATCATCGGGGTCATCTGCTTCGTCTTGTGTGCTCTGGCTTGCTTATTACTCAAGACGCGGTTACCACCCAACCAGCAGGCTGGCATGGCAATTGATCTCAAAGCCCTCTTGGAACCGAAATATGCCTTGACCACACTGGCCGTCTGGCTCGTCGAGTTTGCCGTCTTCATCCCGTACACGTACATTGTGTCTTATGGGTTGTACGCCGGCTTGGAAACATCCATGGCATACAAACTGTCCGTCTTCCTGAACGCGGGGGCTATCCCAGGACGAGCGTTCCCGGGAATCCTGGCCGACCGAATGGGCCGATTCAACGTGATGACCATGACAGCCGTTATTTGTGCGATCTGTACGCTAGCGCTATGGTATAAGGCGGGCACTAATGAAGGTGCGATTATTGCATACGCCGTGCTATTCGGGTTCTGGAGTGGGGCAGCGATCAGCTTGACGCCGGTGTGTATCTCGCAAGTCTGCCGGACCGAGGATTATGGAAAGCGCAATGGGACCACCTTCACACTAGTCAGTGTCGGCACATTGATTGGCATTCCACTTGCGGGGGCAATTCAGGAAAGCAATGGAGGGGAGTACTGGGGACTCATCCTCTTCGGCGGAGTTTTATATCTGGCGTCGGGTGTTGCGTTCGCGGTCGCCGGGGGGTTGCGGGTGGTTGGGGATGGAAGGTGAGGTTCTGAATATAAATACAGATGATAGAAGTACCTTGGATTCGGTTGCGGTAGTAGCATCCGGGTATCTGTAAATGTGTGGGTTGGCTCTTTTACTCGTCGCCTAGGATGGTCTAAAGATCTCGCCGCTAAGAATCTATTTTAGTCTTAAAATCTCATAGACGTGGTACAACTTTGGCATGTTTGTCTTGTTTATTGACAATCCCAGACTGGCCGTTTTTGACGAGGGTCTTTTACTTATGCGTGCCACGTGCCCCTCATTTAAGTTCTTTCATCTCTTGGTCTTCAACCATCCTTCGATTTGCATCTTCTGCCCCACCTCCACTTGATTAATCGAAAATGGCATCCCAAATCTTCCTGCTCAGTTTGGCTATGCAGCCATGGTTCGATGAGACGTACGGCTCCCTCATAGATAAATTGTCGGCCTCAGCCCCACTCCAACGAGCCAAATCCGCCGATGCTGCTCTGCGCTATCTCGACAATAACAATCCTCAAATCATCATCATTACCGATGAAGGTTTGACCAAGCGGAGTAATCAACCAGTCCTGGACCGAGTGATCGCCTACGTTCGGAATGGTGGCAAGGTCATTGTCGGTCTACACTTCACCAGCTTCACCCAGATGGATGCCTTCGATCGTTTTTTCAACGCATTTGGTCTGCCCTGGAAACATGGGGATTACCACCGCACCGATTTTGCGTTCAACCCGGCCTGTTCCTTGCCCCCGGGCACCGTGCCGACCTCATTCCCGGGACCGTTTAGCATGAAGGTGTTGCATGTTCAGAATGCGCGACCCCATGAGAAGATCTTCATCCCTCTGGCTGGTGGACAGACTCAGTCACATGTGTTTCTACCCGAAGAGGTCGACCAGTCACAGGCAGCTGTGGTAGGAGCACAACTGGGCAATGGGCATCTGATTTACTGCGGAGATGTCAATCACGAGGAGGGATCAAGCAAAGTGATTCAGGCTCTCTGCGGTCTGTGAGGTTGACCAGGATTAGTTTATAGTAGGAGGCCTTTCCTTCTAATTTCGGGTGCGGGTGTAGAAGGCAGAAGCAGCAAGGCCCGTGAAGTTGACCAGTTTTATTTTCAGAGAGATCGATCGATAATATTGAGGGATAAATTTGACTATGCGCATCCACAGACCGTACGAGGGCAACACCGGGCATAAATATATCTCTTTATATAACCACACCACTGCCTAATCCTGCTTCCTCGACCTGCTTGCCCAGATATCGCTGTAGCGGATCTGGTAGTAATCTATGTGGGAGAATAGTTCCATGCTATGTAGTGACATTCGTCGGCTTGGGCTTCTTTTACTAATCGCTTTGCATCGTAACTAGTTATCATATCATTCCTTGGATATCATGGACATACCGTAGAGCCCCGAAGATTGAAAGATGCATACGCCCCTCGAACCTTGCGATCGCAGGCATAATTCACACCCTTCTGTCGCGCTCGAAGAGTTGCCACTGCCAGAATCTGACTTGATTGCCGAAATGCCACTGATATTCAGCCAATAATGTCAGTTCTGACACTAGGGCATTGCTATTCGGCTCCCTTTAATACTTGCTCAGTAGTCCTTCAGGCCCTAACTTCAACTAAATAGAACGAATTCGCAATCAATTCCAACGCAATACAAGCAATTCAGTAAATAGACATGAAGGTCGCATCTCCGCTAGAGCTTTTGGCCGCAATTCAACAGGTTGCTTCAGAATCTCAGTAGTACATATACGTCTAAGGGTGTCTCGACCATTGTTTCAAAGTCAGGCAGACCTCGTATCCACAGCATTCGCCTGCGTCTGTTCGTTCGCCGCAGGTTTGCTATCCTTCTCGGCAACCCCGTTATCCTGGATCAAAATGGCACAGAGAAAGCACACGCCAATAACCGGTGCATACATGATGAAGTTTGCATGCATGCCTGCCATGTAAGCATCTAGGACCTTTTCCTTTTGCTGGGGGGTAAGGTCGAGTGTCGACAGGGTGTGAACAGACGAGGTGATTTTTGCGATATTCTCCGCAGGAATAACGCCTTCTAACCGGTTGCGTAATACGTTGTTTACGATGGTTCCTGATACTATACAGTCTGTCAGTTACAGCTATGCAGCTGTCGAAGTGAAGTGTCATGTCTGTCTGTGCACGTACCCGTCAGCCCAACTGAACCACCCATGATGCGAAGGAAGTTCCGCAAGGAATTTGCTACGGCACGGTCCGCTTTCCGTGAGTGGGCCAGTAACGCTACAAGCCCCGCTATCATCGTCACATAGGTTAGTTTGGTTTGTACTAACCTATAGCCCCTCAGGCACGACTGAGGAACTTACGCTGAAATGCACACCCGATCCCGATCCCTTGGAGGAACCCAATCACACAGATTGCCCAGACAGGACTCGTTCGAGTATAGAGGGTTTGTAAGGCCACACCGACCAACCAGACGAAGTTGGCAACACTAATGGTCCACTTGTAGTGACCAGCCCATGAGATGATTTGCCCCGAGATCAGGGATCCAACTCCATGGGAGGCCACCATGGGCAGGATGATCACGCCGGACATTACCGGGTTATATCCCCGGACGTTCTGAAGGTACACCGGGACATAGAATAGATTTGCCCAATACACAAAACCATGGAGGGTTCCCTGGAGGAGGACAAGATTTGCCGACGCATCGCTTTGGAACAGACGTACTAGAACACAGATTGTTAGCTCGGACGACAAGTGTATGGCAGCAGCGAACACTGACTGGGCATGATTGGGAGTCGTGCCACCTTCCATTCCACCAGCACAAAGGCTATTATCAGCACACCTCCCACCACCAGCATGGCAATGACGAGGGGGCTGTTCCAGGCATACGCGGCACCACCTTGAGAGAGGGGTATCTGGGAAACGGTAAGAAGAAAACCCAGTATGATGCAGGATTCATGCATACCAATGTCAGAAGAACAGCAGCAATGCTGACAAATAAGCCTAACCAGTCGATCATCTGCAACTTCGATGCCATCCCCCCTGTGACATTGGACGGTGGGATGGCAAGGGCAAGTACAATCATAACGGTGACAATAATGGGAACAATAAACCAGAAACACCATCTCCATGAGGCCCGCAGCGTCAATGCGCCACCGATCAGAGGTCCTAGTCCGTTCCCCAAACCGACCATGGCACCGATGAAACCGTTGTATTTTCCTCTTTGTTCTAGAGTTGTGATGTCGCTAGCAACGATCATTACCAGTGCTGTTCTACATGCCGCGTCAGTCTTGATATGCTACTAGAGGATGGGTAGCGGAGTCCTAACTTACATGGCACCTCCTCCAAGTCCAGCTATTGCTCTGAAAGCAAATAACATGGCTGGAGACGTGGAAAACCCAGCACACAAATCTGCAACCGCTAGTATCCCTAAGCATGTTAGAAGAAGGGGCTTTCGCCCAAATATATCACTAAGACGCCCATTAACCAGTTGGATACTAGTACTGGCGACGAGGAAGCTGGTGGCAACCCAAGAAACCGAGGTACCCATATCAAGTCCAGCTCCTATGGCCGGCAATGCCGTTGACACCGAGGTTTGATCCAAGTACGCAATCATCTGGGCCAGGGCAATGATGGGAAACACCACCATTAACTTTTTATGAGGCAAAATCTTTGACTGTTGGTCTTGGAAGGTGGCTAAAGTTGCCGAACCTCTGGCCCCAATGTCTCTAGTCTCCGTATCCTCATTCTTTTCGGCTGTATCACGAACAATACGCCGTGAAAGTTGTGAGATTCCCATGGTTCAGGTGGGTGAGGGACAATAGAATCGAATTGGTGTCTGAAAAAGAGGATTGTGACTGAGGGGGGGGGCTCATAGGTACTCAAAGAGACAGCCCTTAGATACCCTTCGGAGTCAATCGGACAAAGGTGTATCCAATTCGTATACTGTGAGCAGATCAGCTGCATTGTTGACTTGGCAAGGCCCACGACGGGATATTGCCAAGAAAGCTGCAGGATTTGCTTATCGCCCCCCTGGCTGGCGCATTTTTAGGCGCAGCTAGTGGCCGGTAGGGAGTTATTGGCTAGATACTAGCATGCTAGTCGGTACGGTCCGATTTTACCTGTTTTATCCTCGGCAATGGTGTGCTTGCCGGATGATAGCCACGGAGTCCGACCTGCAGTGCCGGGGTTGCCATCTGGCACTCTCTGGTATAGTTTGCATTATCTGGACATGCCCTACGACGATTAGGTTACGGGTGTACGTCAATCCCGCATCGGCGCTAGAGAGCAAAGAGAACCTTGGCGGGAGGCTTGCTGCATCACCAGCTGTCGTTGCCTTGGAGGCCCGGAAATGTCCAGTAGCCTATAATAGGTAATCTAGAGACCCAGAAAAGAAGAACAGAAGATCTTCGAAATAGGTCTTGGTGTTGACAAGTGAAGAGGCAGTCCTGCACACACGGTACAACGTTTTACTTTCTAGTTATGCAGCCCCAAGGCCATAGCGCTCATGCATGCATACATACATACAGCAATGCGCCGCTGAGCAAAGAGGACCCTGGAACAACGTGATAAGGCAGACGCGCATGAATGGCTCATGCTGGGGTCCCTGCAGAACGATAAGGGTCACCTTCAGCCTAAATAATTACATCGTGAACGACCAACATTGCACAATGTCTTGGCAAGGTCGATCAATTCAATTCCCATGTGATTCAGAGCCTTGAATACGGCTGATCATACAGTATTCGTTCTCAAGAATCCGCCCTACACGCTGATTGCCACGGAATTAGGTTCCATTCCCCTTCCATTATGGGTGCGGGTCTTGATAATGCCACGGTATATTGAGGGTGTGGAAGCCATGCTCAATGATAGGTGGAATACAGATAAACTAGATTGGGAGAAAGGCAACAGGAGGTGTCAATCATCGAATACGCTGGGATTGTAGGTACGATTATGACGGCCGACAAATGCCTTAGATTTACTTGAAGTGTATCGCAACATCCAAAACCCAAACGCACACGTAACGAGCACAATTTGCAAAACAAATACTTCTCTGCCTCGAACTAATAGATACCAATATGTGCCAAGATCAACTTGGCATGGCTTGGCAACGAACAGGGTGGCAGCCACTATCGACGTATCCGATGATCTACATTCCCATTCAGTCCCAAACCTCGGACTCAGCCGTGAGTAAAACGTCCCAGTATGGTCAGGGAGCGCTGATCAGTGTTACATCGCTTCCACTCTTGCGAGCCAACTCGTTCAAGCCATCCACCTCAGCAATGGTAAAGGGGATCCCTTCCTGGCGCCTGCGGATCTCTGTATCACTACCCTTCTCACCAGGGGTGAAGATCCTATCCACTCCCATTGCCTTATCGCACGATCTCACCCTATCAAGCAGAATATCCATGCGGTCAGACAGCTCCTTCTGAGAGTCCAGAAACATCTCCGGCCTGAAAACCATGAACCAGTGACCGACACCCTGCGGATCATTGACATTCTTGTACTGGTCATGGACCCCACCAGCAAAGGAGGAACCGGTCAGTAACCCCCCGAAGATGTCCATCATCATCGCCAATCCCGATCCTTTGGGGCCGCCGATGGGCAGCATGACCCCCTTGAGGGCTGCCTCCGCATTGGTGGTGGGCCGTCCATCTTCATCGAGAGCGTATCCTTCCGGGATTGATTCTCCTCTTCGTGCCGCTTTTCGTATTTTGCCCCTCGCTGCAACCGTGGGACTCATGTCCAGGACAAAATCCCCCTCGGCGCCACCGGGGATGCCGACGGCCAATGGACTTGTTCCCAGCAATGACTCTTTAGCTCCCCATGGAGGCATAGCCCGGGAAGCATTGGTGAACGCTAAAGCAGCATATCCTTGTCGGATTGCGCGCAAGACGTAGGTGGCCCCCATTCCGTAGTGATTGCTGTTCTTCACGGCAATTATGGCGAGCCCGAAATTGCTAGCGATCTCAACACCCTTGTCAATCGCCATACAGCCGGCCACAAAGCCGAATGTATTCCGCGCATCCAGGCTCGCCATGACGGGGCTTTTCATGACAAAGGTGAGATCTGGATTCGGATCGAGGACCTTGTGGTGGATACGATGGATGTATCCGCCCAAACGATTGATGCCGTGAGTGTCGACTCCTCGAAGGTCCGCAAGGACCAACCCATCGGCGATCATCACGGCACGTTCCTTGGGAACGCCATATTGCTGGAGGACAGAAAGAGTAAAGGCAAAGGCCTGAGCGGCAGTGACGCGGACGGTATGTTCCACACCCATGTTGAAGGCAGTTTGTTCGCTAGTGAGGTTCGTTGGAGGCCGCAGCTTCGGGATTGCGAGTCCCTTTTAAGCCGAGATATCTCTACACTGCAAGTACGGTATCCGCGGCAAACGGCCGATCAGCTAGAGGCACGCTCTCGGATTCAAATTGGTGATAGGCGCATTCCTTCTCCCGTGGAGCCATTGGTGATAGCATCAAGATAGATTGATATTGCATGGACGGGAGGTTCCGGGCTAGATACGAGGTAGGTTGCATCCAATCTAAACTCGGCTCTCTATCTCGGAGTTACAGAATACCTGATCCAGCGGCACTCATTCTGCACGCTGAAGGAGGGGTCAGCCTGGAAATGGTGTAGAGCTCATCAGTAGAGACAGGCTGTGGTGTAACCCATATGCGAGACAATCTATTTGGCTCAAGCTAACCTATCTTTTTCGTCGTGGCCAGGTTGATCTTGTTTCACGGCATGGAGGCGCGTAAGCACACCATCCCAACAATATGCATCCGCATGTCGGACAGACGGATTATGGTTCTGACTGGTTGCGTATCTATCTCAACAATCAGACGTTATCAATTGAACATGTGAAGCACTTGGCGGGCAATGTCAGTCGGTTGAAATGAGACAAAGAATATAAATCTCGAGCTCGTAGTTCTCTTCTGTCCCATCAAGATCCCATTCTCAATCACTTCCGTCCCTTAACTTACACATCTTTCCATCTTCACCATGGCGATTGGCGCAGAGCTCAAGGTATATGTCTTGGATCCCTATCATCCAGATGCCGTCGAACTTGTTCAGAGCATCCCCGGTGTCCAAGCTATCCTCCCAGGCGACCCTCGCATGGAATCTTGGCATTCCGATGCAGACGGACTCATGGTCCGTTCCGACTCAAGGCTCACGGAAAAGGATTTTGCCAAAGCGCAGCGTCTTCGTGTGGTCGTGAAGCAAGGGGTTGGCGTTGACAATATCGACCTTACTGCCGCCAAGAAGCGCGGCATTGCAGTTCACAATACCCCAGCCCTCAACAGTGAAAGCGTTGCCGAATTATCGATGGCTCTTACGCTCACACTCACCCGCCGCGTTAGTGAGATTGATCGAGCTGTACGTGGCGGTGCCACTGTCATCCGTTCCCAGACGCTCAGCACCAGCATGTTCCGCAAGACCGTTGGCGTCGTGGGCATGGGAAACATCGGAAAGATTGTGGCCCAGAAGTGGATAGGCGCTTTCGACTGCTCTATCGTGGCATATGATCCTTTCATCTCCCTGATGCATGGCATGGCGTGGATCATACCCGGGCCCAGACGCTCGATGAGCTCTTGAGCGTTTCCGACGTCGTGACCCTGCATGTACCCCTCGTCCAAAACACGAGGGGCCTCATTGGCGAGCATGAGCTAGACATCATGAAGGATTCTGCCTTCTTAGTCAATTGTGCTCGAGGTGGCGTGGTCGACGAAAGAGCATTGCTCAAGGCTCTGGATGAGAAGCGGATCGGAGGTGCAGCGCTGGATACGACGGAAATCGAGCCTCCCACCTTGGCCGTGCACGGCGAGTTTTTGAAGCACGAGAATGTCATCATCACTCCACATATTGGCGGAAGCACGAAGGAGAACCAAAGCAGGAATGGTATGTATGTGGTTGAGACCTTAGTCAACGTGTTGCACGGAAGAGAGGCAACTGGAAAATTGGTTTGAGCGGATCTCAGTGATATGTTTTGCACGATCGTGATGATAGCATAAGTAGTTAAACTACACAACTCTTTTATCTGTGGTACTATTCGGCGACAGCAGCAACCAGTTCAAGGATGTTTAGTTATTTTGGGTAGAGTCCAACATCAAAGAAGCTCAACGTCATTAGCATTTGGATGGAGCAATCAATCATTAGATGGATATGGCATTAAGTAACGCTACAATGTGGGACATGTGGTCTCTGAACAGCTTGTGCGATCATAAAAGCAGGTAGCCGAAAGAAGAAATGAAAAGGAACCGAAAGTAAATCGAGCAAGAACCACGCTAGGGATATATACGAGCCGTGAAGAAATCTGACAGAAAATGTGGCAAGGAAAAGGGTACCTGACCCTGTAGTTTGGTTGTCGGTTGACAACAAGTATTTCAGGACATTCGTGTCACGCCTGACAAGCCGGTTTCTCAGCATTCGAATGGGAATGTGCTTGCGATACAAAACTGGCCTTTCCTGTAGCCCCATCGAAGATGTGATAGCCATAGTCGGCAGCATTGGGAGGGGTGTAGACTAAGAAGGGTCAGTGTCACAGGTAATTGGTAGGGTTTGAGCAATACGCACTGTGAAGGGAAACGGCAACTTGATTAGAACTTGGGTTATGGACCCGATGGAGACCAATATCGTCCGAGATATATGTCACTTGGTCCGTCTGGTATCGTTTTTGGTGTTTGAGCTGGAGCGGGTTTGCCTCGTCGCCTTCGCTGTTGGGAGGATGGTAGACCGTTTCAGTCAATTCGCCAGCCAAGACCTTCATGATGCAATGGGCATTGGCATGGTCGTGGATGGGCGAGCCTTTGCCTGGGTTCCATACAAGCAGCAGCTAGGACAAGTCAGTCACGGTCTCTCAGGCTTTGCGCAGTCGGGGGAAAGGGAGAGAACATACAATGTTTGCCTTGTGGTTGATGTTTTCGATAGCATTGCGGGTATAGTTCTTACTCGGGTCGTTGTAGAAGAACCGCAGCCAATCATTTGGATTTGAGACATATTTCTGCGCCAGGGCTATCAAGTGCTCATGGTCTACGTCTGCTGAATCGATACCCGAGGTATCTCCTAGGTAGGACTTGATGTCATGAACAAGATCTTGTAAATCATACGTGGGAGGTAAGAAGCGGTGATTGTATGGCGACGGGACCTGCGGTAGCGGGAGAGGCAATTGGATAGCGGAAGCCAACATGATTTTGTGTTTGAATCCTAATGGGTGATTGTAGGTAGTACTTTGAGAAACCCCAAGGAGTGGTTGAGCAAGCCCAGTATATTTATCGATTGATTGACCGCCATACCCGGCGATCATATTATGACCATGAAACGCCCCCTGATAGCGCAATCGCCGATTGACAGCTCCCACAGGGCCAGTTGAATCGCCGATTGACGGTGGATCCACGTATCTTGGCTTCTACAGAATGGTACTGATGATGCAAAGAGATCTGCTGAGCGAATAGCGGTGGACCAGGCATCCTATCAGAGAGTTCAACCTTCTGCAGCAGAATATTTCCAGTGTTTTGGGGTATCCATAGCCATAGTTCTAACAGTACATATCTGTCCTGATCCTCCTCGACGGGTAGGATCAGGACAGATCGCAATCGCCGATTGTGATAGTTTCCGCTACACAACGGCGCAGACCACCGACGGGAGCCGTGGCAAGACGCTAATACCCATGAGTGTCTACAGGGATAACGTTATAGTTCTATCTACGCCGAGTTTCACTTGTGTTTCCTGTCTTTTTCGTCTCCCTGGAGGTGATTGTAGGGTATGTGTCTCTCGCCACTAATCCCCTTTGCGTAATACTTGGGGAGACCGAACAGACCAAAAGCGCCACGGGAAATTCAACGGGAAAAAAGGAAAATCGATGGTTGGCTCCAAAGGTGCACATCTGCAACTACAACCCTAACTCTCCCGATGGCAGGATGACGAGTTAACGTCGCATAGATTGGGCTCTCCATGTAAGCCGACGGTGATCGACAATTGATTAATTTTTAATATCACCGTTATCATGATCAACATGACCCCGAGACGATCCACCCGGCAAACTGGCCTCGCCGCCCTTGCTTGCACGGAATGCCGCAAACAGCATCTCAAATGTGATGCCACTCAACCATCCTGTTCGCGTTGTACTCAGGGTGGCTTTGTCTGTCAGTACCTCCCTTCTCGCCGGGGAGGACGCCGAAAGCCACGGCATGACATTGCATATCATCATGCACAACCACATCGGCCCTCGGCTTCGAAACTGGATGATGCGTTTGGCATCAGTGCCACCCATTACTCCCCTGGGAATGGCACTGGGAGTGATATTCAAACACCTCACCGTACGGCGGGTCTGCCTCTGCCAGTAACGAGTGCACCTGGTCCGATGAATACGCCTGATAGTAGCAATATCTCGTTTCCGCGGAGTAGCCGCCCAGGCCTCGTAGGTGTCCCATGGCCGGCGATCCTATCGCCGAATGATGCCAGTTCAGATCGCTTAGAACCACCAGGGAGGTCATGGGACGAAGATGATCGCTGTGCCCGATTGTATTACGAGCACTTCCATGTGGCACATCCGATCTTGGTCCCCAGCACGTTATACAAGGATCGCAATTACCCTCCCTTTCTCCAGCTGGTGGTGGAATTCGTCGGGTCCCATTACTTGCCATCCGGCCCCCGGCAGCAGCTGAAGGACAAGGTAGATGCCACCCTAGAATCCAATCCAGACCGCTCGCCGTGTATGGTCCAGGCTTGGTTGATCTACTCCATTGCTCTGTATGCCCGCGGCGAGCGACAAAATGCGCAGCAAGCGTTCTCACAAAGTGCGGAGATCGCTTTTGAGCTTGGCATGCATCGAGGAGATTTCGCGTCGTCAGCCCATCCCGAGAGATCTGTTGAAGCCGAGAGCATGAGACGAACGTGGTGGGAGCTATACATCACGGATATATTCATGGCCGTTCCGCTCAAAACGATCACCTTTCGATGTACTACAGTCGCCCCGGAGGTCGGCTTGCCCTGCGATGAGTCCGCATACACAGGATGTGGAGAGATTCCGCCGCCGCGCAAGATGCTGGACTTCAAGCGCAGGGTATTTGCAGCCCAAGAAATCGCCTTCTCGTCCTTCAGCTACCGCATTGAGGCAGTGACCATTCTGTGTCGCGTTTTGGTCCTGAATCGCCTGCGGGATTATCACCGCGACCATCTCCAGGCCATTGAAAATGCGCTCGTCAGCTGGGTCAATCACCTACCCTCCCGCAAACTGGATATCGTGGACTCGTATGGTAATGTGGATGAGATGATCTTCCAAGCCCATCTGATCATTGCGTACGCCACCATGTTACTGCATTTACCACGCAGTGATCTTCGACCGCTCCTGACCCAGCCCGACGACTGCTTTTGGCCGTCTGCACCCTGCCACCTCTCCTCTACTTTTCCGCGCTTGGTCCATAGTATCAAGGCGACTGAAGCCTCCCGGCGTGTCTCCGACTCCATTTCCATTTGTCCCAACATCCAAAAGCACACGCCTTTTGTCATCCCCGCATTGGCTCTGTGTGGTATGATCCAGCTTGCAACTTCCATCAATCACTCCGAAGAGTGCTTTGATCACCATTGTAACCGCGTCACTCTCATTCTCGGGTGTCTGAAGAGTACGAAGCGAACCTGGGGCTCCGCTGAATGTGCGTATGATTGCGTTCGATCCACTGCAGCGGACATTCTCTCGGATTCGATCGAGAAATGGAATGCCGAACCACTGAAGTCGATTCCGACCCCTCACGATTCGAACGACATGGAGCGCACCAGCCAGAATGCACCTCCAGCGGTTACCGTCGCGGAAGGGCAGGGCTTAATGATACCTGAACTGGCTCCGGGGTTCATTGATCCGACCTGCTACAATGCCTCATTCTTCAACTGCCTGGCAGATTTTGATCTCAGCTAGATCGAATTGATTCCGGTCGAAGGGCCCCTGGTTATGTATGGTCTGGAAGGCAAAGCCTCTGCGCTACTTGAGTTCCGCCTAAGTATTCTCTGCTTGGGCTGTCAAAAGCTTTGCGTCTAGACTAGCATATCTAGGAAGGCACTCCCCGAGAAATTCCAGTTGAATTGCAGAGCCCGGGATATATGTTTACTGCTATACCTGCCATTCGCCAAACCGTGCCCAGCTCAATGCAAGTATCCAAGCCGTCCGACAAAAACAACTCGCGATGTAACAAGTTCCGCGCAAACGCAGGACACGGATGCTCATTCTCACGCTGGGAAACATACTATCTTGCATGGTGTTACCGGATACGTCTCAAGATAGCTACAGTATACTACTGTTATATGCTGGATTGCATCGCTCCGTGGGCCGGTGTAGTTTTGCCAGCCCGTCTAACTGCGCTTATCCTCATGCCTCCCCTGCGCCAAGATCACCGAACGAAATACGGGAGCAATGGCCGTTTGGGACAACATCCTCGGCGAGGTCGACGACATGGCGTGTCTGGAAGAGGAATTCAGAGCTGAGTCCAATGCCTCTTGCGATTCCGATGTATGTGCTTCATCCTTAGCGAGTTTTAACCGGGCTAGTTCTTCTTCGAGAAATCCGATTCTTTGAACGTTCCGATCATGCGCCTGCCAAAGAAACTCTTGGCCAAGCAAAATGAGACCGGGCATCAACCATAGTGGTGGTTGTTGGAGCGGCATTCTGGAAGTAGTGATAAGACAGATGTAGCAGTCTCCTAAGGCTTCAGGAGATAAGAGTGAGAGGAGGTACTTGAGGGAGAGGTACTTGAGGGAGATCAAGTCTCATTGAGATATTGTAAAACGAGTGTGGGCTGGTGGAAAATTATCGCTCAAAAGTTTGCCGGAGATGAATTTGTAGTTCGAGTCATACTCGGTGATGCCGGAACGCAGGCCAGGAAACCACCAGCGTCCCTTCCTTCGTTAATGTTCCAGGCAATCCACGTATCTCTCGATCTTTCAACCCATCTCAGTGCCATGTGATGGTTGTTGGCTGTGTTATAGTTGCAAGCCAGGTTCTATTCAAAGCCACCGAGAAGCCCGCCTTTCAGCGGATTTTCTCCCAGCCGCATATTGTGACCCTTGAGGTTGAGCTCGATTGCTCTTTGTGCCTTCCCTGTGATCTCATATATGCTGGCCTGATGTGACAAGGTCGAAGCTGCGATATCGATGGGCCTGTGCGCTATTGTCCAGAGTTTCTACGGCGAGAAGATTCACTTCACACATGTCTCCGAGATCTTTGAGGGTTGATTCCGCAGAAATGCCTGAGCGTATTTCACTATACAGCTGTCGTTGGATATAACAGGGCGCCGTTGCCTACCTCTGACAATATTTCAGAAGTTCACAGAACTTGGACGACGCCCGGAAATTCTTTATAAGTCTCCACTCTTCCTTGAAATTTTCCGATAGTGCAAGTGCAACGGCGTTATTGCATGCTTTCTATCGCTCGTCAGCAGGGAGAAAATATCGAAATTGTGTTTGAACCATGCGGTGGTGAGAGAAGACGCGAGAGTCTCTGTCTCGTTTAATCAAGGCAGGCATCAAACGAGGCTGAGTTGCCTCTGAGAAACTGCTTTCGATGTCACCTGAGCTGCTTTGGAGATAAGGCCGGCGTACACTTTACGCTTAGCAAGTGGCGCCATTGTCTAGGGAGCACATTTGCTAGTCACCCCGATCGAGCGTTGCTGTAGTATCCACCAGATATGGTTTGGCTCAGGATGTGATGGGTAGCGAGTGCAGGACATACGGTGTTTGAGGGTGAATACTCACGATGGCTGAATAGGGAGACTGGAGGGAAATAACACTGACACCATAATATATCTCGTTCTGGTCATCGCAAATCCAATAAGCGAAGGACGATTGCATACATCCTTTGTCTGCTATCCATTCCTTTCTAATTGCGTCGTCTTTTCACCGTCCAAGCTACTCTTAGATGGGATGGTGGTAATCGATACGTGCTCGAATAACAGTAGCGAACCGCGACGATGCTTGTATGGAGATACCTAACTCTGCCGAAGCCTAGCCCATGTTGTCCACTTTTTCTGCGGGCTTGCTCCACAGTCATGGCTCTGGTTATTAATGGGTCAGCAGACGATAACAGGTCAGGTCCGACGATGATGAGAAGACTGAGTAAAGGGCGAATAAACAAGCAACGCAGTTCGGCAGGCGACCCTCTATCTCAGCTCACATACCCTGAGGAGCAGGATAAAGCGAGTGTAAGCTGAGAACTTGTACGACATATCATTACAGGACTTGAAAGAAACCTCGATAATCGCAGCAAACGGGTAATTTGACCGGGTAGTTAAACTGTTCGCAATTAGGTGATAACCCTTGCTTATACAGTTCTGGCTACATATGTCGAAATGGACCTTAAGGTGGACACAATGCGATTTGCTTCCACGTGTATACAATATCTACAAACTGCTGTAGGTGCGCTATGTGCAAGATCTCCATCACATCGTCGGTAGTGACATCGCTCATATGAACTTGTGTAAGGCTCTAGTGAAAATACCGAAGCCAGACTTCCAGACCTTACGAAGCGCCGGTGTCCACGGAAACGGCTGTGCATGTTGGCTCTATGGCTCTATTCAGGACCAGGGATGCCGATACCCCGGTGGAACGGTCCACACCTAGAACTGTTATCTGGTCTGCGTGTCCATCATCCAATTCGATGGCAGTGATCTCTAAGTTGTAGGGCTGAGCAAGCGAAATCACCTGCCGGTCTACCATCTAGAAATAGTTGGTCAACAGTCTGCAAACGAGCTGGACATAATATACCTGGGGGGGTGACAGGCCTGTAGTTAGACAAGGATAGCTAGTGTAAAACGCACACTAAACTGTGATAGTAGGAGTATATCGGGAGTAATTAGATAAATCCCACGTTGCTCAGAGGGTTGAGGTATTAAAGAAGAGATACCATGCTTTACCACATGAGCCTATCACAGCATTTTCTTTGTTTTCATCTCTATAGGAGAGGGGTCTCTCCCTGGTAAGGATATAAGAGATATAATAGTGATCGTCTAAGTCAGATAGATAAGCTAAGTACACTAGATCGAGGCTTGCATAAGTAATGTGGCGATTATAGCAATCGATTGTCTGTACCACTACCGTGACAAAAGTGTGTGGTTGATAGAGAGTATCGGGCCTATCTGTCTGGTAAGTATTATGGACCCAATTTACAATAGGTCCGGTTCAATATAACATCGTTCAAGACTGGTATATATACCATCTGGTCCGTCGCAATTTAGCAACCAGTAGAACTTAATACAATATATAAATTTACGGCCTAGGCGTTCTCCCTCATAGAACCGCCCTTTGTCGGTAAACTGTCTGCGGCCTTCAGAGACTAGAAGCTTATACAAAGCATCAATTCTACTATTAAAACGATATCTGCTGTATCGATAGATATTGACTCTATAGTAGAAAACCAGCGCGTATGCACTCCGCCAAAGTATTCAGGCTGCGGTATTCTACGCTATGAAATTACCCATGGTCGTAATTGTTAGACTTTTAAATATTTTTTATAGGAATACAGATTATATGATATTTTAAATAGCTTCATTTCTAGGAGCCGTGGTTGAAATCGGATGACATGGCCACTCGCCCGTGGATTACGTTAACCCGATTCATACGACGGCCTTCCCTTTTGGGTATATGCCATATCACTGGACTTGAGGAAGCCCTAGTGACGATAACTTCTAACCACGGACCTCTTCGTTTCTCTGCTCCGGAGGAACCAGCACAATGTTCTCAGGAGCGAAACTTCGTCCGAGTGCCTCGCGACTAAGGCAGTGCTCCACTAAAACTTTCCGTTCCGGCCGTTGTGGGCCGCGTAACAGCCAGCCATTCCTGCGAACGTTTTAGCAAACGCCTTTCGATAAGCCTGGCTTATCATTGGCAATTTGGGAGTTGGGGCAATGAAGGTTACATAACGTCAAATCTGTCGTTATGATTGAGCAAATTGATTGGGTTGTCTGGAAACCATAGTTAGGGTAGCGTTAGAAGGAATGCAATCACCGCTGCCCCCTTTACTTAGCCGGGGCTGAGCATATAGCCTGAGGTGCTGCTAGCAAGGAAAAAACATCACGCTTCTGAGACTTGCTAACTATGAATAGCCGACTTGCCACCTACAGCGTGGTTACGGCGAAAAAAGTGGCCACTAACCATAGGATCGAAGATGTATGGAGTCTGGAGCGTCGGAAACGGATTCAGGGGGAATAAGCCAAGAGAGTGCAGTCACACCCCAATACGGAGTACTATCTTTAATCAACATCTGCTATATTAGAGTTCATAGCTGGCCCCCCGGCTTACTCGTTAGGGTCAACGGTCAAAGCCGTTGTTCTAACAGTACCCATGGAATGGGATTGCCACTCCATGCTGCTACCCGCAGCCCGTTCTTCGGTTGGCCAATGCACAGATTAATCCTGTGTGTTATGCGTGGCATGCCAAGTATATTTATCCCCCTGGGGTCAAGAGATGTCAATGACACGCCCCCAAACGGCTGCTTATTTCGAAGGCGAACCGAGAAATTTGGATGTCTCACTTGGTTGCATTGGAGCCCCACCAATGGCTTACCAATGATTAATATATTTGACGCGAGACAGTCCAATGAACAAGCCGCGATGCATATTAATTTCGGTCCACTAAACCTCCAAGAATCACAGGATTACAATTCAATTAACCCAGATCTGATAGCTTCTCCACATCCTTACAGGCTCACACACAGTGCAAGTGTGAGATATGCATACAATATATGCCCATGTCATTTTTAGACTCGGCGTAGCCTACCAGCATTGGGAAATGGATACGAGTAGCCGAATAGGAAAGGAGCTAAAGGTGCAAGGAAGATATCCAGAAGTCTTGTGAGTTGTTACTCTCTGTGTCAAGACATCGTTCCGGTAGTTCCATTGCTCCTGCGCTGGGTCTGGATCCTTCCTGGCCCACTGTGGTCCGATCAATCGACCCAATGGGATCGGCTCCATTTATATTGCCTGCAGCTGGAATTGTTGATTGCAGCCCGATATTCGATCGTGCACCGAACGTTGGCCCGTGCTACCCTCAAAAATCCTCGGTGATATGCGAGTCAGCGATTTGATGCCATCAATGATCTACTGAGGGTAACAGAGAGGTGTGATAACGACTGTTGAGAAAGACTAGATTGCTCCGCCGTCATCTTTTCGATGCTCGCTTGGACCAGCGGAAACTATATCCTCTACCATTCATAGGAACGGTCGCGCTACCCACTTTTCTGATCCAACGCATGGTCAGGACAATTCTTGGGATTGGATACTATACTTTCTGGGCCATTTAGACCCCTGCCTGTCTCAACACTAGTTACCGAGGCATGCCGCTGTCATCAACGGCGTGTGAATGGTGGATGGCGAGAAATCTTAGCCACAACGCCAGGGGCCAATGCCACCTGGCTAATGGCCGTCGTCTGACATGACTCGGGGAATAAATACGCTGGCCGTCCTCCTTTCCCCTCCACAGTTTTCTCGCCCCCTGGTTAAACATACCGAACCTTGTCGCAACCGAATACCAAAATGGGTGACGCACCAGCACTTCCCGATTACGTCCTTGACGCCGATGCAGTCCTAAAAGATACGGAGGCCGCTTGGCGACATGGCCGGGTGCCAAATTATTCAAAGACCCGAGAATTTTATGAGCAGAGTTCGTCGTTCGCGGCCATATTCTCAAAGCACGTAAACCGCTGACGCGATTGCTTAAGCTAAAACAATGACACACGAGGCCGGAAGCCTTCCAGACCTGGTTGAAAAACTCGTCAAAAATTGGGAAATCGAAGCCTCATTCAAGACCTCCCTCGCCGACTGGAGGACCGTCGATCAGAAGACATATACTTTTTCGTTAAACGGAGGCCCACCGCAAACAGGCGAGCATATGCTCAAGGTCGGAACGTACAATGCCCTCCTGACCCCAAGCTCGTACTATGATCCAGCACACAACGATTTCGATACAAGTCACAAGGCATTCAAGCGCATGATGCCTACATTTGCCTGGGAGGTGAAAGAAGTATACAGCGGACCGCCGACAGTGGTCTTCAAGTGGAGACATTGGGGTGTTATGGCTAATGATTATGTGGGATTTAATGAGTGAGTCCCTTTGGTCAGTCCACATCAACCAGATACTGACGAGCCCTACCCAGTCGTGGAGAGAAGGTCAGGGTCAAGGCACATGGCGGCCTGATTGATATTCAGGGTATTGTTATCGCCAAAGTGAATGAGAAGCTCGAACTGGAAAGGATTGACGTTTGGTATGATCCCTTGGACATGTTTCGCCAGATTGCCCGTGAAAACACGGAAGCTGTTGCCGACACGACCTCAGTGACTGGGGGTTGTCCGTTTTCTGGAGCTGCGAATCCCTCATCCTCTGAATGATACAGTAGCATGAATTTATATGACCTACCCCTACCCCTATACACGTCATGGAATGTATGAATAATCCGTGGACTATGTTGCTCAGAAGACATCCGTTTGTCGACGGGATGTAAGATGCCGAGTTGAGGCTATCTACCACTTCATTTAGTAGAGCCAGAATGACTAGTCATGATGAAATGTAGCCTAGTAAGTCATCGAAGGCTTCATTACTCCGCAAGTGAAAATACTTAATCTGAGGGCCAAAGTGCTAAGCAGAAGACATGCGTAAGCATACAACATTAAATTCATTAACGTCTATTATACGTATGTTCAGCGATCTAGGATAACAATAGGAGCATTACTGTTATGGATACTCATGAGTAACCTCCACCGTTCTGTGCACTGTTATGTCTTTAGACTGTTGTGGGCTTGTATCGAGGTCCCCCATGATGTCCGCTCTGTAGCCACGTTCTCGTGTTGGAGTTAACACCAGCTCGAATGCGTCGGGCATACTGCCCTCATGCGAGTGGTTGATGATCGAATGTGCCGAGTCGGTACGATATCTTGAATGTGATCGCGAATGGGAGTGCAATGGCGCCAGCCCTCGTTGCGGTCCGCTCGACTTAGGTGCCCCTGGCGGGTAGTTGGAGTGAACGGTAGAGCGCAGGCAGCGAAAGACCTGCCGAAGAAGAGGCCAGAGAAGCGGCACATTGGAGACGTAGACCGCGGTAGCTACCTCTGCGACATACCATTTCTGTCTCCTTGTTTAGCAAGTTGTTGGGATTTACACGTTGGTGAGCGGACTAACCAAGAACCGAGCGTTGGTGAGGTTGGAGAAATTGTAGTACTTATTCAGAGCTGCCATAAGTATCTAGACACTGGTCAGCGATCTAATCGCAGCAGGAGTGTATTAGGATCCACAGACAACGATCCCACCAAGACTGAACACAGCGCACACTGCAACCTTTCTGCGATTGAAGTTAGTTATGTATGTTGGTATACTCACGCGTCGGGGGTGGGTGCCCTTACTGCTTGAAAGGCAAGTGTGATCGGATGAAGAGCGGCAATGGGATACACAGCATCATCACATCTGAGGAGATATTGAAAACGGTTGTCGTGATCAGATGGTTAAAGTAGGTCCCACACTGGACTATAGGATTATCCAGCTGTCAGCTCACGTATTGAGTGCCCACATCCATTATATCATACAGTCAATAGATTCAATATCCCCTGTGATTCATTAGCTGTGTTTTGAACCATGATATACGAAATGCCATACAGTAATGGTTGATCGGCCTGCACCAGACTCCCAACAAGAGGACCTCAATGACAATGAAGGAGATCACTACATAGACTGCAACGATTTTCACAACCAAATGCTCCTTCATCATAAGCCTGCCGATGAGATGCATTAGCCTTCTAGTGCGCAAAAGCTCCGGACATTGGCGTACGTGAGACGACTGTAGATGATGAGAAGGCAGCCCTTGACCAGCCAGATTGTAACCAGAGCGAACTGTTCCAACATGAAGATCGCTTTGTTCGCCCAAACCATGAGCGCTTTGGCATGTGGTGTAGGATATTCTTCTTGAACAATCGGATCACTGCTAACCCAAGCCGTAATATTTGCCGTGATAGTAACCCCCGTGAAGGTGAGCTATGCACTACTGTCAATTCCAATCCATCTCCTGCAGCCGTCCACCCGTGCACGAACCGCAATTACACACATAAGTGCATCATCCATTTGTAGTTTGCTCCATGACTTTAACCGTATGCGTCGAGAAACTCTATCCCCGGTAAGTACTGCTCTCCAATGTAGTCAATGTACGTGGGAACGAACAGCCGACATCCGATAATTATAATCCCTATATCACCTTGATGTTAATGATCGGAACGGGCATTCCTGCCGGCGAACGATAGCTTACCGACTGCATATAAGATCCATGACTCAATAGCGAGTTCTCTGGCAAAAGGGTACATAATGCCGAGTTCACCTCGAATCCACAGGATCTCCGGTGTCTCGGATGCTACTCATATATACCGGCCTATGTGCCTTGTCCAATCTGTGCATCTTTTACCGGGGCTAGGCCGAATAAACTGTTAAATCGAGACACTATATAAAAAGATGAGACCTCCAATTGCCATGTGGAGACCGGTCTGTCGACCTATAGCGCCAGAGGACCGAAACAGTCGCGGAGCCGTTCCATAAGAAGCTCCCCTGTTATTTGGTCTCAAACTTTAATAAAGCCTATCAGTTGTAGGTCAATACCGGTCCGGCTTAGCTTTATGAGCCAATGCGTCGGTGCTAGGGCTCGGCCAACCTTTCGGGTTGATCTCAGAAGGTTAAACAGGGCCCAGGCCAAAGCGGGAAACTATACTACGAGCACATATCGCGAGCTATAACGGTCTGCGTGTCCTGAATCATGGAATGGACTGAGAAGAAGGTGACCTGACTAAGGATTTTCATATTCTTTTCTTTTTCATCTGAAGACCGAGAACCGGAGAGTACTTGATGATTAGTCGTTTCCAGGGCACCCCCCCCCAAGAAACGGTGTAAGACATGCTCATCATAAACTCCCATGCGTGGCAAAATCCTGCAGGAACGCCTCAACCTCCAATGCTTATATGATTCGGTTTTAGAATCGTATTAGGCGTCATGACTTTAACTCAGCAATAGTGCCGTGCGGGCAAGGCGACAAGCCGAGAGACATGCATCAATCGACCCCGGGAGATTGGGAGACCGTGCCAAGCCGGCGACGTTTGACAAAAGCGGTATATAAAGGCGTCATGGGCAGTGTCTATGTACAATATTAGGCTTGCGGCGAGGCAAAACATCCTGCGGGAGAGAATCCTAAACCTCAGTATGCAGTGCGCACGCCTTCCTGAGACATCAATAGACTTTCGGATGTTCGAGTTCCCAAGTTCCCGCGGCTCGGCCACGTTCATATCCTGAACTTTCCTGCCGCAGTCAATTATCGGATCGTCGGTCTTGGTGGAGGCCCTGGTGGGTCTCATATCCAACTTGGAAATGAAAGCGCAGGTCTCCCCGTCACAGTGGACACAGCACTGCCTGCCACTCCGTTCCAAACTGGTACAGCGAGACAATCAAAGTTTCAATCAAGCCCCACAGAGTAGCCTGGCAAGGAAAGGACTCATAAGAGAGTCATGGCTTCAGAAACAAGTGGTGGTCGGCATTGGTCTGATGGAGTTCCTGTCGTGGACTAAGGAATTTCCTCGGCATTATTCCAAGGCATGCGAAGGGAGGGTTTAGGCTCGAAGAATGTCTCATCAAGCAAAGGCTCAGTTGCTCTGGCGTCATGGAAATTGGTCGACACGTTATCTCGGGTGTATTTCGGAGAAATATTATTGAACCTGTTCGTACACCAAGCTACACGACCGCCACTGACCTTTTATTTATAAGCCAGCCTCCTTGAATAGATAGCTCAAGGGGGTTTGAATAGTGGCCTCTGATTAGCTCACTTCTATTGATCCAACTACGGGGCTTCAGTAGTGTAGGTTACTCTATCGGCGATATTATTATTACCTGTTTATCTCGATTATCTATCATTAATTCAGCCGCAAGGTCCGGGGGCTTATCTCCGTCCTGGAACTGTTACAGCGGCGCCCTTCTGGGTATCATCAGGCCTGGGCAGTTCTTCCGTGACGTGGATGCTGGTTTGATGCCAGATTTCGAGTGGGATTCCTTGGTGGGCTTGCTGCTCAGGGTCTTCCTTGATAATCTCTTCCACGCTCTCCGTTTTCCGTACCCCGGACATGGTGACGGATGTCCAGAGGCTCTTTTTCTGTGAGTCTGTGTGTCTTCTCGTCCTACTATGCGTTCCCGTGCCATATCCGTAGGGGGTGTAGTGGTGTGTCCTGCCTTTGCTGTGCGAACTACCGGTCCAGGAACTGAGGTTGAAGACGCGGCGGACCAGACTCCAACAGTTGGGGATGTTGGCGACGCAGACGGCGGTGCTGGCCTCGCGGACGTACCAGAAGAGCCATTGGGGGCTGAAGGGATCTTTGAAGCTGGAAACTTTGCTGAGAGTGGCGCATAGGATCTAAGGGCCATTAGTCGCGATCGGTGGGCTTGGAGAGATTGCCGGTCTTACAATGAAGGCTCCCATGCTGAATACACCCACTAGAGTGATTTTACTACAATCCTGCTGGTTAATACTGGACAGTGCCTACGTCGTTTGGAACGTACCTGCGTAGTGGCAAACTGGCCGATATGAGGAGCGGCAGCGGAATGCACATCATGAGAATGTCTGACGAAATATTGAAGACCATTGTCATGATGAGGTGATGTGTCGCGGTCGAACATTGCTCTGGGATTGCTAGTTAGATACAGGGCCTTTCAGGGAAAAGCGATTCCATACCGTTGGGTGTGGGCACAGCCCAGTAGTTGTAGAACGGCCGACACCAGACCGCGAAGTAGAGAATCTCTAAGAGAATGTACGAGCCAACCACATACCCGGCCAGGATCTTGACAGCCAGCTGTTGCTTAATCCCTTCCCTATTACCGTCTCAGCGCAGTGTTCGATACAGACGGTTATTGTAACTCACGTCAACCTGGCGTAGAGGAGAAGAAGACAACCTTTGCACCCCCAAATTGTCGCTAGCATGCATTGCTCAGTTGCCAGCACCAGTTTGCTACCATAAATGCGGTCTTGGATCGACTCTGGTGTTAGATGTGCTTCTTCGCCCGGCTTCATTAAATTCGTTTGCGCATGCTCGATCCGATTCAATGTGACCACCAGTCCTGTGTAGAAGCACTATAGACGGACGTGTAAGAAAAGGTAGGTCTGTTCGTATCTTCGTCGGTGGCGACATACCAATACTAGGAGCATCAGATAGTCCTCTACCTGCAGGCTCTTCACGCTTTTCACCAAGAGCAGTCGCGATATGCTAGAGAGTGGGCATGTCAGTATTTGGAAGATTGATAGAGCTCAGGACTAAAGATACTCACAATCGCAGAATTACGATGAATACCGTGACCCCATACCAAATCCACGATTCAACAGTGAACTGGGACATGGTTTCTCTGCATCGCCAAACCGGGTGTCTCAGCCCCCTGGGGAGTTGTGCCCCAGATGGGCGCAGGCAAGGTTACATATGATAACTGTCGGGCCACCGGGGATTAAATCTCAGCCAAGAAGTGGAAACCGAATCCTGGTCGTATAGCATGGTCGGTATACGTAGCAACCTGCTGGGTCGAAACTGCCCACGGCGCAGGCAAAGTTTATTTCGACAAAAAGCCTCAGTTTCATGGTAACTACCAGTGACAATGCGGCGACGTCAGCCGGGGGGGATGGCAGGGAGACCCTTGGTGAATTCGAGGCCCCTTCTGGAAGACGAGGTTTAGGGCAGGAATTTGACATGATTGGGGGTCTGGTCGAGTGGACCTCTGGTCTGGGGCTCCAGAGTCTCCACCGTCCGCCGTGGAAATACGAGCCTGCGCCAATCAACTCCCCTATCACGTCACCTTTCCCAAGACACCACGTTTGGTGCAAACGCTATTCGAAACCCAAATACCGCCGTGCCATTGGTTTTATGCCACCTGCCATACGTGGCATGGTACGGATATTGGTATTTTAAATGCGATGGCAGGTTGGGCTTCTCATTGGCGACTCAGCTCGGGCCCTACGCAGACCAGATTCCGAACCTTGCCACACTATCGCCATGAGCCCCTGAACGCACGAGTGGTGTCTGGTATGATGTAACGACTTGGGTAGAGTCCTTGGACCCTGACAAATTACTGGAACCAGCGACAGGCCTCGGAAGATCCCTTTGGGGAAGGACAGAGTCCGTAGTCCAAGCAAAGTGATTTTGTCGATGGTCTTGTCGACGGTCTTGTCGAACTTCCTGTCTCAATTCAGGATTCATAAAAATAAATTGAGTTTGGACAGTATATTTTAATGCCTCTTTTCAGCTATCAGTTATCTACCTACTATATTAGTGCGCGATCGGCTGAGGCGATGGATTCGGCCGGGTAGAGATCTCGCATTGGATCGAGACCGACACGCGACCAGGCCAGCTCCAGCAAGAAAAGCCAGTTTATTCTAGCGATAGGATCGTGTTAAGATAAGATTATCTCCTCTTGCTCTCCCCACTCGCTTATCGCCGGATTTCCGTGTGGAAATTGCTGGATAATACCTCGTGTCTTGTCATCCTCGATTACGAGATTGAAATAACAGGACTCATATCCGAACACATAACCATGGCTAAGGCACTCTTTCTAAATGTCTAGGTCATGGTGACCAGACCACCCTCTTAACGCCCTGATGTTGGTATGCTATAAAAAAGAATAACCGGATGGCCTTGAATACTGTCGTTTTGATCGTACGATCGGTCGCCACAATCCATGAACGGTGGACCCTAATATTGCATGCATTAAGCTGTTCATGCGCGTACCATAGCACATACCCACCGTTGGCTTACGTGGCCTCTTGGTGCTAACCAAGCATTCAGGATAGAGATCATAAGTCAAAGATTGTGTGTTCATTATACATGCTTTTAGTGCTTCTTAGTTAACGCTGTTAGGTATGGCTATACCTCACGGGCCATGGTTTACAAACATCTGCCCCAAAAATAACTCCGGCCGCACATTCCTGACAGATAGTCTAAGCCTGTTCAATGTGCTTAGACGTTCCATCGGCCGACAACTTGTCCTCCGCTCTCTCTCCTTGAATCTCCTCGCGTGATGGGTAAGCCACCTGGTAAACGGTGTACCACGGTCGCTGGAAGAGGCTATCCAACTCCTCGAGGGATCTTCCTGTAGTGTCCTAACAACAGTCAGCGGCGATATCCTTAAGTATAACTAGAAAGTGAGTGCTCACCGGCATGGCAAAGAAGACATAAACCAACGATGTCAAACAGATACAGCCAAAAAACACAAAGGCTCCCCATTTCTGTGTAGCGGCGAGAAGACTCGGCATGGCACGCGAGCATGCAAAGTAGAATGCCCAATGAAACGCCATGGAAATGGACATGTTCAACGACCGAATTCGAATGGGGAATATCTCTGAACCGACCAGGTAAGGGATACTGAACCAACCAATACTCCAGGCCACCGCGTGGAGGAAGATCGCGACGATAGCGGCAGTAGACGCACGAGAGGCGCTGGGAGTCGCACCTATCTCATCGGCTGAGAGATGGCGAGTGACCCCGAGGTATGCGCCCACAAATATCAAGGTGATCAGTTGGAGGCAAATTCCGGTGATCAAAGATCGCCGTCGTCCGATAAAGTCAACAATGAACAACGCAAAGCACACCGTGCTCACGAACTTGACCACCCCATATATTCCAGTTGCCAGAAATTTGGCTTCATCACCGTCGATACCTAGGTATCCGAAGATTGTAGGCGAATATTGCGTGATGGCGTTGGCGCCAGAAAATTGAGAGAAAAGCGTGGCCATAAAGATCAAGAAGAAGCGACGGCGGTTCTCGACGGGGACAAAAGTCTCCTTCAGTAGGTCCCATACGGTCGCATTACTGACTGCTTCTGTTTCATGCAATATCTGAGCATCCATACCAGCTAGTTCGGACAAGATCACGGAATGATCGCGAGGCAAGCGGCGAAGCTTGGACATGGTCTGTGCTGCTTGTTCTCGATGGCCCTTGTAAAGAAGCCATCGCGGGGACTCCGAGCATAAGAAAGTTCCGAGTCCCCAGACCACAGCTGGGACAATCTGAAGGAGAGTAGGGAGCATCCATTGCTCATCAACGCCCGGATACTGTTTGGTCACTCCGTAGTTGATGAAAAAGCCCAGCACTACACCGAGCTGCTGGCACGCCGCAAAGAGAACTGTAAGAAGACCGCGAATAGCCTTGGGCGAGATCTATCAAGGCTAGGTGAGCGGACGCCACTATCACAAACGCACAGTTTGGCGCGGCATACCTCAGTAATATAGACCGGAGGAACAATTGACAACGGTCCAATTCCCAAACCTGCAATGAATCTGGATGCATACAGACCGGAAAGGCTTCCACCGCAAAGCCCTTGGCCCAAAACGCCAGCAATATAGATGACTGTAGCAATGCGCAGCGTCCAGCGTCGACCATATCGATCGTTGATGGGGGAGCACTACATACGCCTTCGCATAAGTATGATTGATTCATCTGTCGAATTGTAGCAAAAGCAACTCACCCCAAGACACCCAAAAACCGCCCCAGCCGTGGCTATAGATACTAACCACCCCTTTGTATTGGCATACTCATCCTCCAACTGTGTATCGACACCAAATCGGGTCTTAAAATGGGCTTGCGTAACGATTGAGGCAATGTTTCCTGTGAGAGACTCATGAATTAATATTACTCCAAGGGCGGAACTTCTATACTTGGCCGAGATCGTTGCTTACCTTCATCAAACCCTTTCGACACGCCAGAAAGAGCGAAGAAACATGTACACATCAAGACATAAGCATTGAAAACTTCTTTGGGGGCATCTTGCATAGCCCGTTTTGCATCAGCGATAAGTCCCATGGTGTGCGGGTCCTGGGACGAAATCTATAATCCGTGATCGAGAGAAACACAAAGATGTGCTTCTACCCTCTATTTAGGGGTACAGCGATTCAAAGAATTGCAATTTTATACTAGTACGTTCAAGCTTATACGGAGGTTAGGGTTTTCAACTCCATACCGCACGGCCATCGGAAAATATCCGACGCTCCACCGGCCTCATGGCCCCATGGGGTAAACAGAGTTTTTCAGGTTCATATATAGACCCAAATATGACCCTCCGCGTATGGCCAATGGAGCGTAGATTGTCCATCGAAAATGAATTTCTATCCAGTTCCTCCAGTGATCCAAGCCGAGATCTATGCTCGCATTCCGGACTCCCTCAGATGCACTGGTCAGCCTACTGAGTGGCGTGGCGGGTCAGCGCTTCCGGCGTCTGACATTTTCCTCGAAGGTCCCACTTGCGTTGCCGATGGAAGTCTCTACATAGTAGACGTCCCGTATGGTCGAATTCTCAAAGTGGATGCGGAAAAGCAGGTGACGGAGTGCGTTCGATGGGATGGCGAGCCGAACGGGCTAGTGGTGCGAGAGGATGGCTGCATCGTGGTTGCAGATTATAAACAAGTATGTGACCTGGATGGGATATATCACTTGTAAATATCATTTAGTTAATCGACTGCAACAGGGACTTCTTCTATTCGATCCTTCTACAAATACAATATCCCCAATGCTTACTCGGCGCAACCTCGAGCGGTTCAAAGGCCCTAACGACCTGATCGTCTCCTCCACCAACGACATCTACTTTACCGATCAGGGTCAAACGGGAATGACCGACCAGACCGGCTGCGTCTATCGGCTCTCACCCACGGGCAAGCTCGACTGCCTGGTCTCCAACGGAATTTCCCCGAATGGCCTGGCCCTCTCACCCGATGAGCGGTTTTTGTACGTGGCCATGACTCGGTCCAATGCCGTATGGCGCCTTCCTCTCCATACCGATGGGTCTACCACCAAAGTCGGTCTCTTCTTCCAGTCCTTTGGATGTGCAGGTCCCGACGGACTTGCCGTGGACGAAGAGGGGAATGTATTCATCTGCCATCCCAGCCTCGGTTCGGTGTTTGTCGTGGATGCGGACGGTATCCCCAAGGCCAGGATTGTAACAGCGCCAGGCGGTGGAAAGAATCTGACGAACTGTACCTTTGGTGGCCCGGATGGGAAAACATTGTTTATCACAGATAGTCTCAAAGGCAATGTGCAATGTGTGCGGTGGCACTGTCGGGGAGTTCCAGCTTCGAGAAATGTGAAACAAGCCAAGATATAGAATATATTTAACTATCAATGAATTGGATTCCAACTTCCTTAAGATCACATTAATCACCGATTTACAGTCACAGTCTTGACAGATATTGATACAGGTTATCCACTGCTGCCGTGGCACTGGCCAGCTGTGCTCTTGAGGTGGCAGCGCCAATGTGTGGTGTGCTAATGACATTCAAATTCTTCCAAAGGGCCTCGTACTTCTCATGGCTGGGTGGCTCTTGCTCATGACAATCCAGCCCTGCGCCCCACAGATACCCTTCCGATAACGCCTTGGTGAGGTCGGCCTCGTTGACAATACCACCTCGAGCCGCATTAATGAGAATTGCATCGGGCTTCATTGCGCGAATTTGCTGATAGGAGACCATGTCCCGAGTCTCTGTGGTAAGGGGGACGTGGATGGAGAGCACGTCTGCCTGGGAAAGCACCTCATCGACACTCTTTGCCCTGGTGTGTGGGATATGGGACCATACATCCTTGGGCATGTACGCGTCGTAAGCCACAATGTTGGCGTCGAAGCCACCACGGAAGATCTCCGCCACGGTGCGTCCGATGTTCCCCATACCGATGAGGCCGATCGTCTTCTGATACAAAGTCAACCCATTACAGGTCTCCTTCGGTACGGGCTTCAGCATTTGCCGGGATGTGATGGACCGAATTCCCCTCGCAACCGACAAGGCCAGTGCAACGACCAGCTCCGCAACGTCTCGCGCATTGGCACCCGGGGTGTTGAGGATCTTGATATCCCGCTGTGCACAAGCATCCTGATTGATCTTGTCGATTCCCACGCCGTGCTTACCGATGGCAATTAAATTCGGGCAGCTGGCGATGTCATCGGCGGTAACATGTGAGCTTCGCACTAACAGCGCTCTTGCATTTTGCCGCCAGTTCTTGAATTCTTCATCCTGAGGCTGAATAATATTGAACAAGGTCTTGGCGTACTCGATGGCCTTGGGAGGGAAGGTGTCAAGAACGTAGACGGTAGGCTTGAACCCAGTAGTAGAAGGACCTGCTGAGGATGAGGGTTCTGTAATTCCGGGGGCCATGATTTCGATATACTCGATAGCTGAATATTTCCAACCGATTTGACTGTTAGGTAGAGGTGATAGCATTATCCATGGTGGTATATATGATTGATCGGACCGGAATCCGTCCGACGGGCGTCCTCCGGATCATGCACGCCATACCCGGAGGAAGTCCTGGATCAGGCCTTGCATCGGATCCGAGATGATTTCTGGTAGTTCATCTAAAGCCTATTATCGGATATATTAGTCTATGATATGCCTTAGATCATATGAGGGAAACTTACCGGGTCGTGGTATGCTCCCTGCGCAGCCACGCTCGATAGAGCTAGAAGCAGTTTCCTGAGCACCTTGAGTGACTGGAACCGCTCCCCAATGGTCGTCAATAGGGCTGTACACTTGCTAATAATGGCTGTTTCCCGTGGAGGCCCTGCAAGTGCTGACAGAGAAGGAAGGCAAATGACAAGGACACCCGCCGCGAAGAGGTCAAACCCGTCAACGAATGATGCTGCATACTTTCCTTGTTCAGAGTAATAGTATGCATCATTTATATACGCTTGGCAGCCATCGACGACGTCATGTTCAACGGCTCGAGCGTCTCCTACTATACCACCATTGGATAGTGTACCTCGGGTCAATAATGCAATCTGGGTCAACGCTCTGCAGGTGAGCTGCTTTATCGAGACGGAGAGGACACTATCGCCGGGAGCGAAGTCCTTTACGGACTTTGGTGAATCTCGCCAGTAGCTTAGGTTGCGGTAGTGATACAAACGCCCTCGGGAAGAAGAGCTCCGCACACTAGACATAAGTCGAGCATGCATGATGATATGGCAGCCAAAGTCAAACTCAGCTATTGTCTTTGAGGTAGAGCTATAGACCGGAAGCTTGACGGTGTTAGCAGCTCTCAATAAATGCCCTAGATTGTGCTCTTACCTGAACCAGTATGTCTTCGTCCTCAATACTAAATGGGCGGTCCATCACACAACTTATAGTTCTGTAGCGCCGTCAGCCATGGCTCCTCACCTCAAAATCCTCCTTTTCTATTCGACTCACCTGTCAATTACATAGAGGGCCCAGAAGATGCTGCGTCGGCTGTTCAGTTCTTCTTGACTCGTATCGGAGTCTGGGTACAACTCCCGGTGCAATCTAAACGAGATGCATTTCTTCATTGCCAATCCCACCAGGTGCCAAGTGGATCCTCCGAGAGAACTGAACATGGAATACAAAGCTAATGACCACAGACAGTGTAGAGTCTTCACACAGTCGCCCTGCTCTATAATAACGGTAAATCTCTCCGTTGCGGCTGCATGCAAACCAGTCGCCAATAGCTCGCTCCCAGGCTCCGGTGAAAGTAACATTCCAATTGCCACAGCCATGTAAACTCTGAACTCCAAGAACGCGGTTCCTGAATTGGGGCCCTTTGTAGCACCCGGCTGCCCTCTACGGGCATCAAAGTAGGAGTCGAATTCACCCTGCAACTCGTTCCGGTCGATATGAAGAAACATCACCCCGATGTGGTCGAGGAAACGGTTTAGGTAAGGTGCGGCAAACTCTTTGCTGATCCCCGTCGCAGGTCCCATCATGGTCACGAATGTTCGTCTATGGTGGCACAAATCTCGAGACTGTGATGGATCCTCGCCTGATATGACCAGGGCGGCTCTCACCATACTTCCCATGGCTAATTCTTGAGGAAATCCACGAGACTCGTCGCGTGGCTCTGCCATCGCATTGCGGGACAGGAATCCAATCTCTCCCATCGCAGCCTGTACCGACCGCTCGCTGAAACTGGTGGGAGCCGTTGACGGTGTCTGGTTCGAATCGCCAGGGCTACCTACCGAAGTGGACTCCATGTTCGGCAACGGTTGAGGTGGAACCGACGCTTCCCTTTCTCGGCGTGCCCTTTGCTGTCGAAACTGCGCATCTAGCTCATCCCTCTTTCTCTTGAGAGATTCCACATAGCTAGATTCTGTTGTTAGCTCTGCTCAGCTTTCCACACTGCGTCACACGCACTTGGGTACGGCAGCATGCGAGAGGCCACTGCCCTCCTCCATAGTGGGCCCGATAGGGACGCGTCGGGGAGCACATTGCGCATCGGCTTCCACACAGGTTGTGCATGCCGGCAATTGTCTATCACACTATGATGGGTTAGCCTCACATCGCTGGATGTACAATATTGGTCAGGACCTTCTGTTTGCGTTTCCAGCATCTCTCGCAGGCCTGGAGTCTCCGTGGATTGGCTGGGGCCGAAGCAGGGGATGTCCGATGGTCAGACTCCATGTCCGACGACAGAACAACAATAGCGGGGAAGGATGACAATCCTATCGGACCTTGTGTTGGGGTCAAGCAGCGCTAAGTAGGCGTGAAGTCGTAGAAAGTGGATATCGCCCGAGGGTTGTTGGCCGGATCTTTCCCGATTACCATACAATACCCTCAACGCTCGGCAGATTCCCTCCAATGCATTGCCGAAGCCAATATAATTTCGATCATAGACTCGAGCTTTATGGCTCCCACGCCTCATATGACCATAGCTTTCTGCTGTTCACACGTAGCTCTCATATGAAGATGTAAATGCGGGGATTCATCCACACCCAGCAAGACACTCGTGGCCAGGCACTCATCTGGATAGCGTCGCTAAGCTCTATGGCTCAGCATTGGTCTTTTGGCTGCTCTTATTTGATCTAGGCACGGCTGGTGGATTTGGGTAGACTTGGCCATTGTTCGTAGAACTTCCCAGTAGTCATATAGGGTTAGCCAGATGGTATAAAGCAGTGGCAAACCTGTCCCTTCACTCGTGACTTGCTCCTTATGGGATGGATTTCATGCCAAGTTAAACTTTTCTGTATCCATTTATACACTAGTGGTACCAAATATTGCCGGGGCTCCGCATTCTTTCCCCGCGAGTGGCCATGCGCCATGCATGAAGTCGTCGACTCGCCAGAGGGAAGTGTTTCCATGTACCTCGCTGCCTGTACCTACTCAGCCAGTTGAAAGCACACGCGCCGACAGGTATGATAGAAGTAGATCTTGTATAAGCCCACCTCGTGGTAAGCATGATGCACGATAATGGGGGGAAACATGTCCCTCGACTTCCGGCCTGTCAGTCGTGTTATACAAAAAAAATCAAGGTATTCTCATTGATCTACACTGATGTCCGACTTGGCAGAACGGGGTTACTGACTACAGATAGTGCGATAATGCTCGACCAAAATGTATGCCTTGTGTAAAGAGCGGCCATGCATGTTTCATCGTTAGCCTCGGTGGGACTGTTCCGGTTTCAAGAGAGTAAGCCTGACCTTGTGCTAAGCACGTCTGCCCAAGGGCCCCTATGCTTATGCTCTCAATAGGTATATTTATGAACTAGAGCGGCATGTGCAAGGTCTCCAGACAGAGATGACCGTTGTGGAAGGTCGAGAGGTGGACCTGGGACATTCTCACTCCACAGCACCAGTGACGGAGAGCCCAACACCGACACGACCTGGAAGAGATAATCAAGCGTTGGAACCTTCGATAGCAATACAGAGTAATGACGTGATTTCATCACCCAGTATTACGGAGGGGGTCGGGATCAGGTACGCTCTGGGGCCTTAGATTGAGGGTCAGCTCTGACCGTAGAATCACAGTTTTATGAGCTTGCTTTTCGCTGATGCCAGGTGGAGAGACCAAAACCTAAAGCTTTTGCAAAATCTCTCCCAATCTTCTGGCATTCTGGAAACTTCGGTACAGCCGAATTCTCTTCCTCCTGCTGAGGAAGCATTAGTGGTGTTCAATAACTAGTAAGTGACTGCATTGCCCCTTACCGATCGAGAACTGAAACGAATGGATGAAGCTTGAATGGAGCCCATGTGCAGAACCCATTCCTGCTCCGCCGAGATGTACAGAGGCTGTACCATTCCGTCTTTTCAACAGGCCAAGCTGTGCCTTCCTCACAAGTACCAGACCATCTGACAAAGCACGACGCCTTCCGTACCTTCATGATTCTTGCTGTTGGGTCGGTCATGTTATATCGATCCGGCGTTCATAAGCACCACCCGTACGGCTACTTTCTCACAGCGTTGCAGTACATCGATACGAATATCTTGTCAAGGGGGTTGGATTCTATCCAAGATCTATTATTTGTCGTGAGGTTCGGCATCTATCATCACATCGGTATGTGTCCAGCTTTCCCATGCCGGTTCTAGCTAATACTTTGCAGGCACATCGATATGGGAGTTGACCACACTATGTATGAGGATGTGCATCGAGCAGGGTCTTCACAAATTACCTCGACCGACTATGAAACGCAAAATAACTCTTCTGCAGGAGCAGTTGCAGCGCCGGATCTTCTGGGAATGCTACATGATCAGTCAGTACAGCTCGATCACATTGGATCGTCCAGCTGCAATTGCGGATAGGGATATCCAAGTTGGGCTTCCTGCCGATGCCGATGATGAAGAGATCGATGCCGCTGAGGCATCTGGATCGTTCTCGGATCTGGACTCTTTCTGCAGAGCCACTACAAGGCCCACTACGACGGGGAACACCGAGATGACGGTGTTTTTCTATTGCCTGCGACTGCGCAAAATCACTTCTAAGATTCGGTCCAAGTTTCAACAAGGCAGTGGGTCCCCCAGCAGTGTTGGCCATGCGTTGGCAATGGACTCCATCACCGCGAGCGGGAGGATCTATGCAGATCTGGAGGAGTTGCTATCGGAGCTCGAGGAGTGGCGGCGATCAGCACCCATTTTCTCTAATCCACAAGGCTTATACCACACGCAGGAATGGTATGATCTGCTGTTAATGAGGGAAAGACTGCTTCTAGTGCGCAAGGCAATCGACCTGGTGCCGAAGCGGAACAATATCCCCCCAGGCGACCTCCTCTTGATCTGTCTCGAGTACGCTGTGGGTACGATTACGAAGTTCTGCCCTTTGTTTGAGCAAGGGAAAATTACGTACACTCGGAGCTACTTCCAAATGCTGTTCACTGCCGGTCTCTCGGTAATGCTCTGGGTATCCGTGGCAAGCAACCATGATGCAGAGACGATGGCGAAGGCGGCCGATGCGGTAAAACAGAGCGAAAAAACACTAAAGCAGATGGGACGTGAGATGCCGGATGCGACTCCTTACGTGTCTGTCTATGAGGCCTTACGAGTACATGTGTTAGGGAAATATAATGCCGCGTCCAGGACAACGCAGCAGACGGGAGGATACCTTGGGCAGACCCAATCTCAGTACCACACATCACCGGGGATTGATGGTATGCTTCATAGTCAAAGCATTGCAGGTGAATATCATTCTGTCGAACAGAATCCTTCACAGTTTGGGAACCACTGGCCGCCCCTACTCAACGATTTAGGCACACATCACCAGCTGGATCATGAATCTTCCACCTATGCTTCTCTTCTTTCCCGGGATCTATTCGGAGACAATACATTCTGGAATGTGGAAGTAGGACTGGGCGAATATGCGTATGGAGATCCGATGTTTCTGTTCTCGGGTGTAACAGATGACAATGTATAATATGTACATAGAACAAACGAAGGATTCACAACCGTTCCCCTACTCTAGGCCTCCTTCTGTAAACGCTCACTAATGTCAGTGTAGTTCTTGCTCATCTGCTTCAATCCCGCTTGCAGCATGGACGCATCCTGGCCACTCAGGGACCAGGTTGCTCCCATCTTGAACCACTTTTCAAGGATGTCTAGTCGCCCACCAATACCCCCAATACCCACAGGCTTGCCAGCTCGATTAGCCGCCTGGATCACCTTGGTGACCGCATCTTGATACAAGTCGCTGTCATACTTTCCGGGAATCCCCAGGTCGGTGCACAGATCGTTAGAGCCGACCAAGACCCCATCGACTCCCTCAACTGCGAAGATCTCGTCGGCAATCTCCACTGCTGCCGGAGTCTCAATCATCGGGATCAACATGGTCTGCTCATTAAGAATCTCATTCTGCACGAGTGTCGGCACATGCTGGAAGTTCATCACTGCCTGGTTGTTGGTGCATCCTCGCGTCCCTAGAGGGGCAAACTTGGCATGCTTCACAATCTCCCGGACCTCTTGGACGGTCTCGATATGCGGGATCACGACGGCCGCAGCACCGGCATCTAGGATGCGGCTGATGTGCCAGTGTGACTTAGATGGTGAACGGACGACGGGAGAGACACCGGCATAATTGCAGGCGAGAATAAGTTGGGCGACAGTGCGCATGTCGAGGGCGGAATGTTCCATGTCGATGAACATCGCATGAACACCGGCCATCTTGCACATCATAGGCATTTCATTGCCAGTGACGAACCTGACAGACATAAGAGGGGTGATTTGACCATTGAGAATCCTGGTCCGAAAGGGGTTGTTGAGGGTATATGCCGGATGTGCGATGGAGCCCATGATGAAGATGATGATGATAATGTGATAGTCTAGTAAAGGGAATCTGGAAGTTCAAGGATATCTATAATCGAATAATCAAGTCGAGGTTCTCCTCTAAGTCCATACCTCTTCTAGCTTAAGTATTCCCTGCTTCTGTGCTGCTGCTCTGAGGCTTTCGGAGGATTTCCGATGGAAGAAGCCCTACTGACTCACGGCCGCAGAACGCCGGACGGATTCTTTCCGAACACTAGCCTACTAGTATCCTTCTAACTATCGGACCTCCGCAGAATGAGTCGTAATCTGTGGTTATCATACTTTATCAGACGTGGATCGGCATCTGAATTCCGGTCCCAATTCCCCAGAGCAGTGGGTTCCCCACGGGGACAACTGGAAATGGGAGGAAATCAAGCAAGACATGTGTCATATCTCAAGGCCGTGATGCCCATCTATTATTAATACGCAAGCTGTGGGCTGGATGAGATGCCTCTCAGGCAAAGGTTGGCTTCGAGTAGCTGATCCTAGTTTACTATAGTTGTAAAAAGATGTACTCCGAATGCCAGCTTGTTGGTCCTTGTGTGATATTACTCCGGCGATAGATTCAATAAGACACTCCCCAAACTTCATTCAAAATAAGCTAAGCGCAACGCTATTGAGAGACATCAGAGTAGACTATCATGGCTTAGGTATATAGGTAGGGAATTCGCATTTCTCTCCAAACTATTCCCGGCCCAAATTGTGATGCATATCTAGTACGTTAAGTCGCGTACCGCCATTCCGTGACTTCTCCACTGACAGCCTCAGCCTCGTCCAGCTTTTTATTCTTCCTCATACACCACCAGCGCGTGATTAAACAACAGATCACGGACAGTCCACATCCGGCGATAATAATCCCTCCGCCGGTTTGGTATCGCGGCTCCTGGGATCGAAGGAAGAAGTACGGGGTGAACCAGTGGGACACAGAGGACACGCAATTGGCAATGGCGATCAAAGCTGCTCGTTTCGTCCGTGGGCGTGGTACCACGGTGGTTTCCCAGGATATTTGGATCTAGGAAATTAGACAATGGGTTCTCTGACTTCTGGGGTCAAGGGAATGCTCACGTTCAACCCAACGAATGGCCCCGTGCACAGTAAGATCAAACTAAAATATCGAGCCCCCCGGTCCAATGTGGATATCATGACAACCGCTCCCACTAGAGACACGAGTATCGGTCCGATAATATGCCAACAATGGTCCCCAGTCCTGCCGGATGACCAGGAGATGACGAGCGTAGTGATGTAGGCAATCACATACGGTGGGGCCTGTACAAGATAAGTCACAACTTCGGAGAAGTTGAGGGTCTCAACTATCTTTCTGTGTGTCAGTAGGCCGATTGGGGACGTTCTATGCCATGGCTGGGGCTTACCGATGGAAAGAAGTCTTTGAACGACTGGGCGATGATAAGCGAAAAATGAATCCCAGCGAAGCACCACGTAAAAGGATCCTTGACTGCAAGCAACACTCCACCCCAGTAATCGCCTTCCTCATCTTCACGGGTGCCACCCGCGCTGACCACTTGTCGATATTGTGCCATAGCGGTTTCTTCCTCCGTGAACCACGAACGACCGGTGTTGTCGGGAAAGTTTGGGATGAACCAAAATCCAGACACCGCGACCATAATACTCACGATTCCCTCCAGCAGGATGAACCACTGCCAGGCCCGAAGCTTGGCTATTCCATCCATGTTCGTAAGAATGGCTGCGGCGAGGAGGCCAGAGAAAACATTCGAAATAATGTTACCCGCGTGCCAGATGCCCATCCGCAAAGGTGATTCTTGCTTAGTATACCACGATGAAGTGAGCAGAGAAACGGCCGGGACGAAAGGGCCCTCAGCCACGCCGACCAGGAAGCGACAGAGGCAGAATCCCCAGCCGGAAGACAGAGCAGGCATACAGATAGTTACCGCGGACCAGATTAGCGCAATACAGGGGAAGAGTATACTAGGCTTCCCCTTCGCGATGATAACATTCGCTGGCACCTGTGAGATGATATAGCCCACATAGAAAAGCGAAATCCCCGCCGACCACACTGTATCTGACATGTGGAGGTCGCTTTGCATACCGGCAAGACGGGCATTGGAGACATTGATACGATCCAGATAACTAGTTAGGAATCATACGCGGTTAGTATCATGGGTTTTTCTTTTCCTCAACAAGGGATATGAACGATGGATGTCCTCACCTCATCAGAAGAATCATTGTAATGCAAGGCAGAAATTGCCAGTCCAACTTTCGTAGCACCGACCGGTTGAGTTGCACCAGCTCTTCGGGGGACTTGTCCTGAAGAATTGGAAACAGTTGTAAAAGAGGATCACGCTGGGGAGAATCTTTGAGATCCTCCACATGTGTGTTCGACTCTAACCCTTTCGACGTCATCTTTCGCGGTATGGATTTCCTCAATCTACTGAGGAGCTGCAACGGGTGTCTAGGGAGCCATTATTCTCCAACTGGGGAGCATGCTTGCTTTATATACACAACAATGCCGTTGATAACAAGCGGGGATGCCACATTTCTAAACCCCAGATTCCACTCTAACGGTCTCCACTTCCCCAGACTATACAAGCTCTGGGGAAGTGGTCGAACAATCACGAGGTTTGGGGTGAGTCCGACTTGGCACGTCTCTTTCATCGGAAAACGTCCGGACACTTGGATGCATGAGCGCTCCGATGGGGTCACGGATTTAAGACAGAGGCTCTCTCTTTGGAGGGAGACGGATTGATTGGGCATGAACCATGGTAGCGCGGAAGGTGTCTGCACAGCCTTCGAGAGTCGCCCACACTAGTAAGCTTTAGAGGACTGGTGGCGTATGCTCTGGATTACTTCAATCCAGGGTATTCCTCATGCTCCCTTGTCTGTGCGTCGTTTCTCAGGCGCGGACCAAACTCAGCTGCTGCCAAGGTGTATACCCTACTACAGATCCAGTGAAACTTGGGATAACTCTTCCTAGAACTATGCTCGGGCTTCTGATTGCTATGTGTCCATCTTATCAGACTTCGGTAGACATTGGCATCGGAAACACCTAACTAATAGCCTGATTCGCTAGCCTAATGGGTATCCCATGGGCGCCTGGAGAACACAACACCGTCCAGATTGCAACACTTTCTAGGATAAGATTTCCATTTCCAAAAGAACGATCTTCCCATTTTGTTCCCCACCGGCCATAACAGCATCATATGTCCTAGTATCCGACCCCTCGCTCCATCGGCCTATTCGCTGTGGCCACAATTGTTTGCGTTGGACTTCCGGGTCCTTTGGTGGCATGACTTCGTTAGCTCGGGGCACTCGGGCATGTTTTGCGGTCGGCATCGCTCGTACGTTCACGGTAGGATATTCATGATGCGAAGCAATTATCCAAACGGCAGAGATCCCTTATTGGTCGTGAGTATTATACGTATATGTGCGACACATGTTGGAGGGGGTACGCGACGCGTCCGAGGAAGCTATTCTAGCGTCGCTCCGCCATGAAAGACGCAGGCTGTTGTCAGATGGGGCCAACAATTTGGAGCGTAATGGCTTGCTCAATAACTTCCCCTTGTTAGTATAATCTCTTGTCATATAGTATGGTATGGCTGTACGGAGTATCATGTTCATCTCGCGTCGCGGTTTGTTGTCTAGGCGGCGATTAGTCAGTGATGAAGTTGAACCCTAGTTGAACCCTCCCGATTCACATTGACCCTTCGAATTCTGGCCATTTGCCAACATCTAGCTAAAAGGCATTCGGATTTCCTAGAAAATTAACAAAAATTCAGTAGCCTCTAATATAGCCATTAGTGATTTTTCTGGATTTATTGGTCTATGTTTGACGTCGTTCGCTCTCAGCAGCCTTCTGTGCAAACCCAACTTCAGTCCCGACGGAAATATATTTAGTTCAATGCTGAATTGAACCATGATACAGTAAACATCCATCACCCACCCTTTGAGTGTAAAAGGAAGCAGGACCTCACCCGAACATACCAATCATGTATATACAGAGATTTCTGGATACTACCACAAAAAAATATCGCTGTTCGAGAGGGGACGTATACAAACTCGACTGCGAGTCGGTACTCGAGCCGAAAATTAACCGAGATTGGGAGCTATGGAAATATACACATACGCACTCTCTCTCCCACCCCCACAGCCATCATGTCTTCTCTGCGATGAACGTCTGCTACGGAATTGATTTACTGCTTTGCCAGATCAACTCATACCTACGGTAAGTTGAGAAGAGATTTGCCGGAAATATCAGGCGTCGTGTTTTATGCTGGACTGTTTGTTTGCGTAGTTTGGTTTGTATGGTTTGTTTGTTGTTCATGAGATAGATAACACGTGAGTTGGTATATCCTAGCGTGGTTTAGCACTCTTAGACTGTGATATGAAGAGGAATGGACCAGAGTCAAGTCCAAGCAGTTATACCTACCAAATGGACATCGGATGGTTACTACTAGAGGTACTTGGGCAATCGGGGTTAATATACGCTATAAAGTATGCCACGATCTTAAAGGATGGATTCAAAGCTACGCCGATTTACCAGCTACACCAGACTACACTTGAAGATATGGCCGCTGCTTGGGCAATAAGAAAGCGTTGCAAAGGAGTCATGCGTTGAAAGCGTACTATGTTTATAAGCCAAATAGCATAACTATTTCCTCTGAATGATTCAGTCTATTATTACACTTGTCCTCCGGTCGAGAGTGTAAAACCCCTATGCCGTCTATCATTAGCATTGACCAAACAAGGTGTAAACTTGACGTCAAGTTACAACCTGTGACTTTGCGTCTCACAAGGCTATGCTATTAATATGGACTTTTGCTCTATTTCCATGCACGGCAGATGGCGGATATGCTCTAGTCTTGTACGCCTTGAATCAGGTTTTTGATCCCTTCTCCCCGTGCCGTCTTGTCCCAAGCCTGCGGCGCGTGTTCGAAAGGCGTCACGCTGGTAATTAAGCGTTTAACGTCAATGGCTCCCTTGGTGAGCAGCTTTAGAGCCAGCTCATAATCTCCGGGTCCGTACCGAAAGCACCCATGGACGTGGAGTTCTTTCTGGGACAGGGCCAAGATGGGAATCTCAGCTTTTGGCTTCCCAACCCCGGCTTGAACGTAACTGCCACCGCGCCGTAAGGCATATATGCCAATTTGCACTGGGTCTTGAGCACCGGAAGCCTCGATCACCGCATCGACCCCATCCGGAGCATCCAGCATCTCTAACAAACGAGTGGCACTCGCCTCTGGTGCTTCGTCCAAACCGAGAAGAAAGGTTTCGCAATCGAGGAACTCAGATCCGAACGACAGCTTGTGTTCCAGGATGTCGACCAGAATGATCCGGTGAGCGCCGAATGCCTTGGCGACTGCGCCGCACAAAAGACCGACCGACCCGGAACCCATGATGACAATGGTTTGGCCGGGCGTAATGTTGACCAGACGCGTCGAATGCACGGCCACGGAGAGCGGCTCCATGAGTACGGCTTCTTGAAGGCTCATCCCCGATGGTATCTTATAGACGAAATCTCCCGGCACCCGGTAATACTTGGTCAAGGTACCATGCACGTCGGGTGGTACTGCCGCAAATCTCATCTCTCTGCAGATGTTGTAGTGACCATGTTTACAAGCCTTACAGCGCCGACAGGGGATACCAGGCTCAATGGCAACAGGATCGCCGACGCGAACGGACTTGACGGCTGCTCCGACCGTATGAATGGTTCCAGCAGCTTCGTGGCCCAGCACGAGAGGTTGTTCCTTGCTCACCTTCTTATTCACTCCGCCGTGTTTCCAGAAGTGTACCTAGCGAGTAGCGGGTGAGCAAGCGGGAGGATTCTATGGGCATCCAGGTTATCCTAGGACCCTGGCTTCGGTATCTTACATCACTTCCACAGACTCCAACGTAGGCGATGCGGACGATGACATCGTGGGGATCCTGAATCTCCGGCACGGGGAGTGACTGTAGACGTGCATCCCCAGGCCCATACAGGAACCAGGATGGGTTGTTACTCTCCATTTCCGGGCCCCTTGGACTGCCAATTAGCTTGTACCGTCGTTATCAAGCAGCAGACCCTCCATGAAGTGTCGCCAGGAATACTCGCGCTCTTAAACGCATTGCGTATCTGTCTCCACTTCGGCCTCCCCAGCGAAGCCCCGCAGTTGTTCGATCGGACTTGCCCCGTTCGCTTTCCCACGTGGCATTAGTGCTCGCCTCTCGTGCGGATTGAAGATATGGCCATGGTTACCGAGCCAGAGAACTGATCCAAGTCAAAGTCATGGCCTTCGTAAGAATTCTCGTCGGTGTTGCTGGAGCACTTTGAATCGATTAGCCTCGGGACGAGTGTAGTAGTACCTGCTGGCTGGGATAGTGGATGGGAAATGTTGGCCGAGCTTGGATAGGCACTCAAGCTTCTGTACGATGGAATGCTCGGGTGCCATGCAGAAAGTAAGTCGTTGAATGAGAACCACTCAAACATAAGCATAATATCCATCAGGACTTCTTGGAACGCCGGATCCTATTGAAAAGAAAAGCCACTCGACTCCGCAGGGCAGGGGGTGGCGTCGCCATGAGTGAAACCTGGATGCCTTTTAGCGAACAAAGCTTCGAGGAATCTCCCCTGAAATCCGAAAGGTACAGCGTCAATAAGCTCTTCCTGCGGTTCTCAGAGCAGAGCTACCTAATGGTGTGTAATATGGGGAGTGGAAAGCCCATATCTATACTTGCTTGAGGTCGCGCACATGGCTAAATGCCACCAAGCAATGCGTCTATCCTGAGTGCGAATCTAAATGCGCAGCAATGTCCTGTCTGTCTCCTCCATGGCTCAATTGAAGCCGAATATGCCTCTCATTTACGAAGAGGAATCTATCTCCGCGGGGGTTCCCCCTTGCATCCTAATCCCGAATCGTGTTGAGGGCTCGGTCGATTCTAGGGATGACTTGACTCTCAAGGGGCTCGGACCTTCATGTCAGCTCCGGGGGACCAGGTGCTGGGAAAGACAAACCCAATAAACTCTCCCCAAGCTGTATCAATGCCGATCGGACACCTTCCCAGTGTGGAAGCGAGCGGTGGTGATCGTCGGAAGCTGCTCTACGTTTGGACACTAGCATTGATCTAGGGGGATACTCGGAGCTGTGACTGGATGGTACGACAAGCACAGTCAGCTCTAACTCGACTACCAAACCTTGTTTCAGATCTGATTGTCGTTTGACGTCCAAGTGGAGAATGCGATATCGCTGTTGTTGTCCCAGAGTTGGCGGATGACCGCAAGGTATTGTTTCCTCGGTAACCTATTGAATCTTTCTTCTCTCTTGAATTAACGTCTCTAATTCATTCAAGTCATAAGCCGAAAGTCACCACTGTATTTAGGCAGGCCAGCCACACCCGTACGTAAAGGAGAGAGCCTTTATAGATGATACATCTCTCCAGCACTCATGACACGCGTTCTAGGGATATGAAGCCGCTAGACGTAGTGGGTATCACTGTAAAATTAAACTATTAATAGAGGCTAGGATGATATTAAGTACAATTAAGAGCCAAACATGTCAGTTCAAATGTTCCACCAATTAGTCGTGCTTGCGACAGGCGACTTGCGCCTCACTGCCTTTTTTGACGCCAGGAGCCGTTTCTTACTACTTGGGCCAACTGCAAATTTGAGCTTTCTCTTGACTTTGGAAACGAGCCCGCGATCGGTAGGATTGCGCTGTCTCAAGGCTTTGCGCACTAATGGAGATGTGTCTTCGGAATGGACGGTCCGACAGATAGGCTCAGTGTCCCTGAAATCCTCGCGCCTCGCACCCGACATTTCTGGTTTTTCTTGCGCGTAGAAGGCCTTGCACTGGCACTGGTGTTCGGGAGTGTGGAATTTCTCTTCTGATCGCACTGATCGAATTGCTGCGAGACTGGACGGTGGCCGCTTGGGGGAACTTGAGACAGCTGGCATCCCCGGAATGCTACCCTTTAAGAGTGGACAGGTTAGAAGAGGATCCAAATTTGATCTTTGGCGGGTATGCTGAGGGCAAGCATGGGTTAATGGTAGTGAGCTATGAAGAGGAGCCACGTACCGAAGCTGCGGACCCTGGTTCTTCATCTACAGCATTGGCCCTGTTAAAACCATTCTTCGCCTTCGTTGGCGTTTTAAATGGTGACGCTAGGCCGAGGACTCTCGCCATGTGTGATTCAAATGCGCTGCTAAACCTGACGCAACAGTGTTCATTGCAAGACAGAGGAAGATAGTCGCTGCGGATTTGCCTTGCACACGTCAAAAGAACTCCGATATATATAATAGAGAATATTTACATATTTGAGCTGGTATACTTCAAGGATGCCCCAGTAATAATATTGCTGTGCATTCCAGCGCTTTGGTCCCTCGGCAAGCAAGGGATGATATAACTGCCCGCAGTTGAGTAGTTTGACATAGGAAGAGGAGGACCGAATAGCGAGAAAATACCATCAGCTGCTGTTCTTGCCTTATGAGAGTGTTTGAAAGACGCATGGAGCTTCGGAATTGGGCATTCTCATGGAAAAAATGCACGTAAGCTCTGGGGATATCGCTCTGGGTCCTCTGTCACTTGTCCCGTTGCGCGAGTCATGCACGTCGTGTAGCTAACTGAATGTCCGATCTCAATTTCCGACACGCTTGGCCATAGAAGAATTAGGCTTTTGGCTTATGTGTTGATCGACTGATGGGCGGACGTTTGAACTCCTCCTTGCAGGCCACTCTTCCCTCACACGGAAATAGTACCCGCTCATCAGCTCATTCGGTCGATCGCTTACGCCTGGAAAGTACATACTTCAGTTAACACTTGGCATGATGAGGCGAGGCAGACGAACAGGAAAATAAACCCTTGTTTAGTCGTGAATTGAGTACTCCGCCGCAGGGGGAGAATGTGTCATGCTACCCCGAGCCAATCTCATATCGTGGAGACCTAAGAAAGAAGGATGAAAATGCGAGGAGTCTTAGAGAGCCTCTAGAAAGAATGTCAACGAAATTAACCATACATTGTGAATAACCTACTGGGCGAAGATTATCATAGCTGTCATTTCCCGCCTGCTGTCGAGCTCAACTATCGTAATTGGGGGTTCTCGGAGACGCCTGATGACCTTGTATGTTGGTTCTGCACAAAGTTGAATAGAGGGCGAGACGTAGGGCAACAAGGGGGTAGTTCATCGATCGTACAGGGAAGACAACTCGCATGGTGTCTTGATTTCTCTGTACACAGGAAGCTACATAGTTGTAATATGTTGACCCGCTCGACCAAAACACCATGTGGCACTAACACTCGTGCCTCCAGTTCGTATATGAAAACAGAAAACAAGAACACGTTTTGGCGGATCCAGAGTTAATTTCTGTCTATCCCCCATTGAGATAACCTAATGGATACGTCCTAGGTGACATCTGCTCCCTCTTCCATCCCTTTTCTCCTTTCCCCCTTAACAATACTCCATCCCTGGCATAATAGTACATCTGTGCTTGGCCGCCAACACATATTTGACAAAGGGATTTGTATACCATTCCTCCTTCTCATAGCAAATACTAACCTGCCAATCCAGCGGCACATAATTGCTATAAACTGAAATGATGTACATACAGAAAGCCACAGAGATGTAACCTGTGATATCTTCTGATTTTCTGAAAAGCTCTGCAAAATCATACATGGCGTCGATCAGAATGCTTCTGTTCGCCGGAATGGGCAGTTCTCTACGCACGATGTCAGAGATGGCATGCTATTACTATTTTGAACAGATAGGCTTAGTTATAGCGCAAGAGGTTTGCTAATGGTCAACCGGCTTTCTGATGTGATAAAAGAGATCTGCCTACATCTCCTTAGACACAGCCACGCTCAAATTGGACAGTATAAGGCCCAGCTGTGCTTGTCTCATGCTCGGCCAAGTATCTATTACTCCCCTGGACAAGATCACGATAACACCCCGACAGCCGTTCCTGATGTGGTGCGACATCCCATTCCAGATATTTCAGTAGCTCCAACTCCAAAACTGCCATCTCGGCGGCGGAAACACCACCCGCGGAAGCAAAGGATTGGTTCGGCCAGGCAAAGTCACTCACACTCTTGCTGGCAACTAAGGCGCAGCTCAGAAGAAGCCGGTGAGCTGTAAGACTCGAAACATCGAATGTGGGGTGTGTTTTGCAGAGTTGTCGGATGTAGATAACTATCATCACTAGTGTTGGAGACGAGAGACACAACCGATGCGTTAAGCGTCTCAGGTACTCACAGGCAGATATCCGGGGCGCTCTGTTCGAGTGAAAGCGTGTAACGGTAAATCTGGTGCGGCATGCCATGTCGTTGAGGAATGCGAGCCTTCCAAGCGTGTTTGAGATCAATTGAACCATTGCCATGGGGTCGACGAGCTCATAGCGCCATGGTAATCGCTGCGAACATGGATCAGGTAGCAACACGGTGGATAACGGAATGACATTCTCAGCTCCCTCGTTTGTACCTGGACTACTCCCTGCAATAGAAGAGCCCATCGATCGAGGAGATGTTGGGTGCGAGTCTGAGCACCATTCCGCTTGCTGGCGCACCCAGCGCTCGAAATGTTGCTTGATTTTAGTGTCGCGCTTGGACCGTAGGAGCCCATTAGATTTAGTCCCGCAGGAGGTAATATGACCGCCACGGTAAGAGTTGCCGCAAGGCGAAAGGGTGGCAGCCTTAGTGTCCTGCTGGCGAAGATCGACGATTTGCCTCACTTGTCTCTTGTCGAAAGTTAAGGTCGGCATCAATTGCACCCTCTTGTGGGCGTTTGCTTCCTCCATGAGATTCTGGAGGAGTGTACGATGAAGCATACAGTCTCGGCTATACTGAGTAGTGCTGGTTCGGATTGGTGTGACAGCGGTAGAACCTGCCATTGTGAAGGTAGAAAGTATAGATAGAAACATGCAAGTCAGATGCTTGGCTTTGCACTTTGCAATGACCGTACCAGAGGCCGTATATCAATGTTTTCGACCATCTAGAAGGCATAGTAGTGGATCGACACGAACCAATGGTTGTTCCCCAACAAGAGCTGTACGAGCCATGGTTGAGCTCCTCGGTCAACCGTCCCCACGTCACCATCAGGTCATTATATAAAATGCTTCATAAGAAGCTCGTGAGCAGAAGTGGTAGTGTCATCACTGGCGCTTCTGATCGCTTATTCTTCACCATTCAATGTGCGGCACATCTCCGTGGACTATATCACATTGGGACAAGGTTTAGTATCGCCTCTCTCCTGAATAACACGCTTCTTGATTGTAGTCATCAACGAATGCAACAGTCTACATGCCGACTCCAAATGATTGAATACTGAAATACACTCTGGCTTTGCTTGGTTACCACTATCCATCCCTTCGAGGAGAAAAAGGACAGAAATAAGCGCAATCGGGCCCATTGGTGGCTGTAAGCGACCAATGCCTATGGTTAAGACATGGCCGACAAGCATGCATGAAAAGATTCGCAACACCCGTCATGTCCTTGCTCATCATACTGTTCTCAGCCATGTGGTGGATTGCTGTTATTGCGAGAGTGCTCAGTGCAGCCACGAAGGGCTTGGCTCTTAAATAACAGACAAACCAAGTAGGAGAAGGGCGCAGGCGCAAAGGGCGATGGCCACGTATATATGACGTCACTCAACATATCGAATATAGTGAGTCCCTTTGAACGGTAGCGTAATACAACAAGAATGGTAAGTTGCTTGTGTGTGTCCAGGGATGGGCAGACTATCTTCGCTGTTTGCAAACCTCATGGCCGGAGAACACGGGATGTGGATAATATTTCCGGGGACATCCGAATGGCTTAAGAAGAGGACAGGGTCCATGATGTATGTGGGACCTTACTAGTAATGTTACGGGGCAAAATTAGCGATATAATGGTCGAATCGCTCACCTCGTTCAACGGGATGTCATATCTGTTTTACCTCGGCAACCAGCCCTACTAAATCAAAGCAGAAAAAACAGTCTCTTGACTAACATCTACTCACAACACCTTCCGCCCACTCGGTATTCGGCTGTTGTCGGAGGCCGAGTTGCTGCAGCCTCCGTTCCTAACCTGTAGAAGTGATATATAGTACTAATCTATGTATGCAGGTCTAGTCTCAGTCCGGTACGGCCTCACTACACCTTGGAGTTGAATGACAACCTGAACACCGACAATGCTCACCCTCAATATTGCCTACACGGAACCAGTGAACAATAGCGCCGATCCCTCTATACCAGTCCTTACCCAAGAGCAAGTCTGGAACGGGTTGAAACTGAAAGCTCGACATCCGCAGGATTTTGTTCCATCTTTGGATGATTCCCGAATCCTCGAGGAATGGGATGATGGAACCTATATCGTAAGAGAGGCTCATGTTGCGGCCAATCTCCGCGAATCCCCTATGGCTGGAAAATGGATCAGAGAGGAGTGCCAACTGCATGCGCCGGTCAGGGTAAGGGGCTTGGACGCTCGGATTTCATATCAATAATCGTCCGTCGTGGTCTAATCGAATTACAGACTTATTTCACGTTGCCAGGCGGGTCAGTTGTGGAAAACATCGTGTCGATCGGACATGACCAGAATCTCTACCTTACGTTTACATACGAATGGAAATTGACTGATATCGAACCCGGGACAAATGAGGCACAAAAGGCTAAAGACGAACATATGAGAATCGCTATATCCTCCGTGCAAGGAACCATCCGAGCATTGAGACGAATGGCAGAGGAGAGGACGCTCTGAAGTCTGCCTTGTAAGTGCTGAGGCTGACCCCGAATAACTTGATAATAAAATTTATATTGCTACAAGCAGTTCCATATGAAATGTCTAAGAACAGTAGAAGGTATGAGATACAAAGTAGCTACTTAGAAAGGCCCTTGGTGTAAAAATAGGAAGAAATATCGTGCGGAAGCTAGACGGAAACATGCAAGACTTTGAACCGTAGTCGTTTACAATTTTTACACGGTTTACTATATAGAAAAGCACAACTCAGATAAAGCCATTACTTGTATGAAAGGTGACGGTGGTAGCTAATACCGATGCTAATCCAATGCTCAGCAATATCTTGCTGATTTGATCAAAGGAAACCGACCAGACCCCATAATAAAAAAAGAAAAAGAAAAAGATAGAGAAAAGGACAAGCTCCTAGAGACCGCCAAAAGAGATCAAGAAATCTGAATACGTTGTGGATCCTGCCCTCATTACATACAGCGGAAAAAACCGCAATAACCCAATTATGCGCCCGCGACATCCGGATTCTGTAGATGAACGAGTTCGTAGTAGCGTCCTTTCTTCCGGAGAAGCTCACGGTGTGTACCTGATTCGACGACCTCTCCTTGATCGAGGACGTATATTAGATCCGCCCGCTGGATGGTGCTCAGCCGGTGAGCAACTGCGATAGTAGTGCGCCCTCGTGCGGCAGCATCCAATGCTGCCTGGACGACCTTTTCGGACTCGGAGTCTAGTGCGGACGTAGCCTCGTCCAACAGGAGGATCTTTGGATTCCGTATAAGGGCCCGAGCGATGGCAATGCGCTGTTTCTGGCCACCGGAGAGCATGCCTCCTTTATTGCCAACAATGGTGTTGAAGCCTTGCCTGCAAACTGTTAGTATACCTCCGCCGCTATACCGATACGCATGGTGTTGGAAGAGCTTACGGCAATGACAATATGAAATCGTATATGTTTGCATCCTTGCAGGCTTTAATGAGGAGAGCATCTGGGACATCAAGCGTGTTGCTTCCCAACAGGATGTTCTCTCGGATGGTCCCTTGGAACAAAGTCGGTTCTTGACTGATGAGAGCCAAGTGGCTGCGATAGGAAGACATCTCGAGAGTGATAATATTCTTTCCATCTACGTAGACACCACCTTTGAGGGGGTCGTAAAATCTCTCCAGTAACGCAATGGCAGTGCTCTTGCCACTTCCACTCGCGCCTACCAGCGCAACGAATTGTCCTGGTTTGATGGTCAGGTTCAAGTAGCGAAGGATTGGCTGCTCCAGGCGGCTGGGATATCGAAAGGAGACACCGCGGAACTCAACCAGCCCTCGTATGGACGTAACCGGAACTCCTTTGCCCCGAGACGCATGCATTGTGTCGCTGCTGAACAGCCGTTTGAACTCACGGGCAGCGTGTTTGGCCTTGCCCATGTCCGGGGCATGAGAGAAAACTGTTCCAGCGGCCTGGGCCCCAAAGATCACTTCGCTGAAGCACACGTAAAATTGAAAGAGTGAGTACTCTCCATGACCAAGTAAAGACCCGCCATACCAGAATCCCAACGCCATGCAGAAGAAAGGCAACGCCTGCGAGCTGGCATAGAGTAAGGATGATTTAACAATGGGGAGTATATCACTCTTGAGCTGCCGACGGAGCTGTGCTTGATAGGATTGCAAGGCCTCCGTCTCCATGGTCAGGGAAACTACTGTACGGATGGCAGAGGCTGCCTCACAAGCAGAACTGGCCGATGCTTGATATGCCTTCTTTGCCCTCCGCTGGAACCGCTCCAACATCCAAACCCGAACAAATCCACACATCAGCAGGGCTGGAACTGCGGAGATGCACACAAGTGCCAACTTCCAACCTATTACAAGGGCTACCCCCAACGAAGCCACAAGATTGACAGAGACAATCAAGATAGTCCCCAGTGTAACGCCGCTAATGCCGGTTAGCTCTTTGGTTCCCGCACTCAGTGTAGCTGTCAATGCGCCTGTCGTATTTTCCTGCCGATCGTAAAATGAAATATCCTGGTGTAGCATCACCCGGAATGCTCGGCTGCGGGCCCGGTATACCATTTTTTCAGAACTATATGCAAATAAGGTTCCTTGCACGCTATACAACACAAGTGATACGAGGCCAATCATGAGAAACATAAGACACCAGAAGTTGGCATCGTGCCGGAGCTTCGGATATTCAAAGGGAGGCAAGCTGAGGGTGCTGACAGCCTTCGCAAACAGTACGGCCTGTGATGGTTGAATCCCCCCTGCCAGGATAGATGCGCAGAGACCGAGTAATAAGAACGGCCACTCGGGCCGGTTAAATGAGGCAAGGAACCTGAACAAAGTCCAGAAAGAATACGCCTCTTCCTTGGCCGGCTGCAAGAGATGAGAGAGTGACATTCTTGACACCGGCCGTTGTTTCTCCCCAGTGTGCAATCCAATATCGGATGCATCATCACTGAGTACGCTATACAAATCGGACTGGTCATCACCTGGATAATCCTTATCGAAGAAGAATGTCGTTGGGTTATGTTTAGGGGGAATGCTCGTTGTTAACTGGGAATATCGCTTAGAGTATCTCGAGTACCGCTTCTTGATCTGCTGCGCTTCCACCATGCCATAATAGACCCCTCGCCGGTCCATCAAATGCTCATGCGGCCCTTGTTCAATAATCTGGCCATTGGCAAGAACAATGATGTTATATGCCTCTTGGATTGTAGACAGCCGATGGGCGATGACAATCGTCGTTCGACCCTTCGATGCCTTGTCAAGCGCCGCCTGAACGAGCTTTTCGGATTTTGTGTCCAAGGCGGATGTTGCTTCATCTAAGAGCAGGATCTTCGGGTCCTTTATAATGGCTCTGGCAATGGCGATGCGCTGCTTCTGCCCCCCAGAGAGTGAGAAGCTCTCGATATTCGTATCATAGCCATTCGGAAGCGCCATAATGAATTCGTGCGCATTTGCCATCCGAGCTGCTGCTTCAACTCGCTTTCGGATCTCATAGGTCGATTCCTTTTCAAATCGAGAACCAATGATTCCATAGCGGATATTCTCCGCGATTGTGGTGGCAAAGAGTCTCGGCTCCTGCGACACGAGCGACATTTGCTGTCGCAGCCACCGAAGATTCAATGTCTGAATATCATGGCCGTCGAGCATAATGGTCCCCGCGACCGGGTCGTAGAACCGC